AGCTCTTCGGCCTCCTTCCACCGGCCTTGATTCCAAAACGTTGACGCCAGGTTGGCCATGCTTTGCAATAGCTTCTTGTCACTTTTGCCAAGGCTATGTCTATCTTCCTTTAATAACGCCTTATATAATTCCTCTGATCTGTCATATTTTCCCTGTTTTTCATAAAAGCTCCCAAACGAAATTGTCTCCTTTCTCATGTCCGGGCATCCAAGGGGTTTAGTAAGCTTTATATGCCGCGAACTGGTCTGACAAGAATCTAGATGTGCCAGCAACTGCTGCCTCATAGATGCATCCGCAGCTTCTGCAAAAGTAGATTCTACAACCACGCTCATCAGTCCTATAGTCTCTTGTAATATCTTTTCTCGAGTTGGTCGCTTCCGTTCTCGTAACTGCAACCAGTCACTAATCACTGGATGGATAGAAAACCAAACAGCAGGCTTCTTTTCAATGCTCTGCACCAGAGAGAGCTGACGAAGGCGCTCTATAGTCAACCAGAACTGATCTGCACTCCAGCTCGTCTGTTCACCTTTGTGTGTAGGGGATGCATGATCAGAATCAGAGTCGGTATCGGAGTCGATCTCTTCGTCTGAGAGGCTTCTTTGGCGTCTAAATATTTCAAGCCATGGGAATGGCTCATTCTCTTCTGCAACGTATGTTTCAAACAGATAGCTGCCGATATGAGAAGGCTCAAGAAAGGCGGCAATGTTGAGGAAGCGCGTAATATGATCCTTGCGTGTCTTATTGCCTGGCTCCACCTGCTTGAATGACATTTCCCAAGTCGTGAACGCGCTCAGCGCCTCATTTTGCTCTGACCCGTCTCTTAGTTTGTGGTACTCCCAGAGATTCTCGCGCATATACTTTAACACCTTTGCCTTCTTTTCTTCGTATTCGTCTATGAAATCAGACGGCGCCATCTTATTGAAAGAAATATACGCAGCGGCCTGTTCAATGGCAAGAGCTAATCCCCCAAGCCTGCGGACAATGCCCTCTCCGTCAGCCCGGCTGCGTTCTACCTCCTCACTCGGCATGTCTCGAAAAAGTAGCTCAATGCCTCCATCGTCCACCATTGACGGGACTTGCAGGTGTCGCCCGAGTACTTTTGTGGCCTCGTGCCGGCTCGTAAAGATTATGCTGCCTTGTCCATCTAAAGTAATTAGCATAGAAGCATCCACAGCGCTAACTGACTCACTTTCTGGCAGGAACTGTTTGATATCTGTGAATATGTCGGGGCGGTCGTAATTGTCATAAACTATCAACCACCGCTCCTCCCATTCTTGAATCGTATCTAGCACGAACGCCACCTTCAACTCTACATCTTGTAGGCTGCTAGCAACTTCTTGGTTTAGTTTTCTAGCAAGTCCTTCAAAGCCCCGCTCTAACGTTGCCTTTGAAGTTGCATCAAGCCAGAAAACACCACAGCAATCCTTCCTAACCCTTCGGCATAGCTCTAAGGCAATCTGACTCTTGCCCTGTCCGCCTAAGGCTTGTAGTACAGCTACATTTGGCTTATCGTACTGCCCTCGCGGTTCTAGTACGAAGGCCTGCAGCTCTGCGAGAAGCTTCTGTCTGCCGAAGAACTTGGGCACAGCGATGTGTGGGACATGGTAATATTTCGAAGGCAATCTCCTAGCTTTAAGTTTATTAGTTATTCACAAGTCTGCTAACAGGCTCTAGGAAGGTAGATAGTTACGCTTACATCGAGCCGCCACAAGTTTAGGAGATCCCTTAATCATCTCCTCAACCACACCCCTTACTGTCTGAAAGTCTTCCTCTGTAGGCTTCCCAAACTTGTTCATATCAAAATGGCTCCGTGAGAGCGAGAATTTGCTTATCGAATTGGACAGGTCGAGGCAGCCAGAGCTCTCGCTAACCACACATCGCTTTGCCAACAATTAGTTTTGGTGAAATGCAGACTCCTTCCCTAAACTCACGATTCGGTCCTCTTTGCCCACAATCTTTCCAACATTGCTTGACTTGAGCTCGTAGAAGCATGCAACCATAGTCTTGTTCGCCTCTGTCCGCGTCTTCCCGAATTGGTCGACCAGGTCCTGAAGAAACTCGTTCCCTGGCTCCAGTATCTTCAGAACGTCCGGCTGCACTTCTTCCGCCTCATACTCCCGGCGGGCCGCGTCGAGCATCTCTATCTGACTCATCCCCCCGGCGCCCCGAAATGGCGTGCCGAAGAATATCAAGCCCGTGGTTGAAGTGTATATGCCGGGCCATTCATCTGGAACCTGTCGGGCATCTAGGAGTGCCTGTGACGTCTTAGCGTTGGCCGTATCCTGTTCTAGCTCACCTGCTCACCTTCAGCACAACCAGCCCGCCGAAGCAGTGCGCTATAAAGATCAGCGGCCGAAACGAGTACTCCTAACTATGTAAGCAGCGGAGATATGTCTAGGCACAGAGCCTTACTTTTCTTTCCCGCTTCAAGGCCAGCAGCAACCGCTGTGCAACCCTTGACGCCCTCTGTTGTATCGCCCCTTCTCCGAACCACTTCGACTCGTATCCGTATCGCATAATGCGCGCACTCGGCACTACCCCTGGAAGCATGTCTTCCTCTTCGAGCCAGTTGACCCGTCGCGGGATCTCCTTCGTACCGACATTCTTGCACCAGCTGTCGTCCGGGTGGGCGCCGATGCCGTGGATCGCAACGATGCTAGACGTATCAATATAATGTGGAAGGGGCAAATCACAGAGAATTAAGAGGACGCACTCGATGCACTCAGGGCTCTGGGCTGCCTCTGGTGTTGCCTCGCGGAGCACCTTCAGGCCGATGTCGTCGCTAGTCACTGGCCGAACCTGCTCTCTGTTCAGCCTTGGCACGCTGGATTCCTGCCCCATAATCGAAGTTCAATGCTTGCCCCGGTGGGCATGTACTTGATGTGAGAGAAGTGTCGATAGGGGAGTAGGATCAGGCTGGAGGATGGGAAGAGATATATATTAGGTGATGTCTGCCAGGTGGGCCTGCAGCCAGGCTGAGAGGCGCAAAGCACGCCGTTACTGCCTAAGGCGCGACAACCTTCCTGACAACGAAGATATATCGCTTCCACAATCGAACGTTTGAATAGAGCCAACTCATCACGATGTTATCTTTGCAATTAGTCATGCCGCCATTCTTAACGCTAAATTGGCTAATTCACGACTATCGGCCTGCGGTCGGAGCGTCAACGAGTACGACTTTGCCCGGCTACCCTTCTGTCATGTTGAATGACGCCCCTCACATAAGGCAATTTCTTGAAAAGGAACTCTGGTCCGAAGACCTCCAGGATGCTTAAGGAGGAGCATCCAGACACGCTGACTAGCATGAACAATCTTGCATCTATGTTAAAGGCCTAGGCCGCAACAACAAGGCTGTTTTACTCTATGGAAATCTATCTAACTCTAGGAACAAGTCCTAGGCCCTCAGCATCTATACACAATATCATCACTAGAAACTCTTACTAGATGGAAGCTAGAGGACGTAGAGGTTGGCGCTTGAAAAGAATCTCTGATTACATTTTGAACGCCTACAAGTGCTCTAATTGTTGCCTTAATGAGATTAACTAAGTAACAAAGCTTGCAATAACTTCAGAAAAGTAGTTCTTCTTGTTTAAAGCAGCAGGCGGAAGCTAGTACATATGTACGGAGGTGCTTTCAAAATGTATGGGCCGGTGGCCCGTGAGCACGCTAGTGGAGCTGAGGCCATCTATTCTAATTAGGAAGGTGCTCCGGGGTGAATAGATGTCAACGAATCTCTACCAAAACATGGTGTTTTCCTATAGAACAAAGCGTATGGTCTTTCAAATATCATTGACTATCATCTGTTTCATATTCTCCATCAACGCCAGATCCCCAATCGCTTAATTCGTCCTCTTCTTCAAGCAGTTCTAATTCTTCTAATTCAGACCATGTCATCTTATCCCTAAAGTCTCCAAATCGAGGCCGGTTCTCTAGCCAGCCATCGTCCTCATCTAAATAGCTTTCAGTATCAGTTTCTTCCTCTGTCTCCTGCAGCTGCTTAGGAGCTTTGTGATGAGTTACTTTGTCAAATCAGCCTTCTTAGTATTCATTACCCCCTTCTAGTTGTATAATCTTTTGGATGTGACAGGGGATTCGCTCAATCCAGCGCTGGATCCTCCACTGCTCAAGCTTCTCCCACCACTCCTTCCAGTTCTCCTCCATCTGTTTTGAGTTTGTTGGCGCTCCTTTAGCTGTTGTACGTCGCTTCAACCAAGGCCAGGATGGCTCAATTGCATTCAGATCAGGTGAATTACCGCACCAGAGCATACGCTTGACCTCCTTCTTACTATAGACTATATCCTGGTACCAGTGGGCATGAGATGGAGCTTTATCTTCTTAAACAATCGTCTCTGGTCTCTTCTTCAAGCACTCCTTTGCAAAAGGCAGCAGCTTAGGCTCAAGAACTTCATGTGCATACCAGTACCAATCAATGCCCCCTTTGTTTCTTTCTCTGCTTAATTTCCCATGCTTATCGTCAAACTTCCACTAAGGTTTTGGGCCTAGTTTCCCTCGCAAACCCGTACGTCTCATTGCTGTATTTAATTCCCACTCATCCTTCTTAATTGGTTCCCAATACTTGTTAAGCTCATCTACCTTTTTCTGTGCCTTCTTCTTCTGTACAGCTGTCTCTATTTTATAGATATAAAAGGGGCCTTTCTTATCATAGGAGAAGCAGCCCCAAAACATGAACTCAGTGTACCCCTTCCATCTCTCGCGGATACAGCTCCTATCAAACTTCTCAGCCGGCTGCCTCCAAACTCGAGTAGAGCCTCGTCGTACGCCAAGAACAATAGCAGTTTCGTCGCTCCAAATTACGTTCTTCCAATCCTCAATTGTCCAATCAGCGTGGTCCCTACACCATTGAAGCCTGTCCTTCCTCATCTGTGGTGTGAGGCCTGGTTTCTTTGTTAGTTTGACCTTCTTGAACCCCTGCTCTTTCAGTGAACTCCATATAGACGTTGACCCTATCTCTCTGCCCTGCTGACGAAACTCGTACTCCAGTTGGTAGGTTGACTTCTCCCTGCTGAATCGATCCTTCCTCACCTTCTCAGCAAGCTCTATATCAAATAAGGGAGTCCGCTTACGGGGAGCACCAGATTTAGGAGCGTCTTGAACGTGTACGTCGAGAAGGGGCGAATTGGTTGGATTCCCATAGTCAAAACCTCTCTCTTTTGCCTTCTGGATCATCTTCCTTTGAGACCTCTCCTAAACGCCTGTAAGACTAGCAACTTCAGCTGCTGAAGCTCCGTAGGATCGTAGAGCAATAACTTGAGCTCTGGTAGCAGCAGAATTGTATTTAGTCATGATAACTGATAGGTTTTAAAAGCACTGTTTAGGGGCAAAAGTTGATAGAATTGATACTGGAGGCTACCCGGGGGACATCTACTTCGAACCCTATGAGTTTTGCCCTATTAAAAAGTACTGTACACCTCATCGCGCAGGAATGAGCTGTCAGTGAGCTAGCCTCGGAGGTGCTTCCTATTTGGGACTACCCCTGCAGCCGCACTGGCCACCGGCCCATACATTTTGAAAGCACCTCCGTAGAATTATCAAACTACGAGAGCACGCTTATAAATGGGATTTAACAGTTTATCTAGGTGATTTGGCACTTGACACCGCCACCGCTGGTAGGGAGGTAGTCGACCCGCTCTGGCCACACACTTGTGAGGTGGCGATTTTTCTGTAGGTGTTCTTAGAGAGTTGACTGGGAGGCATGGCTAAGGATGAGCGGGATTGCAAGGCTACGGTGTTAAGGTCGGCCCGCTTGCCAAGACCTTGCACAGCCATAGGTTCAACGACCAAAAGCTTAGCTTACTGATGAGAAAAGTAAATTACACCGTGATTACGTATGTCCTGCGGGGTCGTTTTGCACTAGCTAGGATTGGCAATTGCTTTGATTAGAGGTCTGTTGCCTTCAAGCTTAAGTTACAAAGAACATTCTTTTCACGCATAACAATGCTCCTTTGCTGCATCACCACTATTAAGCTCTTACCACTTATGCTACTTATAGAGGGATCTGGTAGGCCATCCTTGTAAAGATAGGATAGTAGGTAGCACGGATAGCACTGAGAACAAGATTTCGAAGAAATAGGAGTGTATTGTAAGAGAGACGAATCGCTGCCAAGCCTCGCTTGTCAGGATTCATGCTTATATACGAAGCACAGGTCATGTGACCTCCAAACAGGTCAGGTGAGGCCATACTAGCCCGTTTTGGGACATCCGGCCTTGCAATTCTCAGCCTTGTATCAAATATTCATGCAATGTCGCCACGCTGATCTTCGAAGTACCTCGGCTAGTGCCAAACAGCCCCGCACGTCCCACGTAATCACCATGGTGTAATTTATTTATTACGAGATCTTTTCCGAGCCACTCTTGGCAGCCACCTTACTAAATTAATCTAGGTGGTAAGTAGGGAAGACTTATCAAGTGGCGATCTTATGAGCTGCGCCACATGTACCTCTAATCTCCCATTAACTATACAATTCAAAACATCCACATGTCCAGAGCGGATCGACCGTCCTCCTTACTCGCATCACTAGGGGCGTTCGCCCGTTTCTCAAGATTCCGGCATGCTTGAAGCCACGTCAGCTGTATGGTCAGGCAGAGAAGGCATTGTGAACAAGGTGTAGTCCTTGCTACTTTCCAAGAGCAACGGATGCAGAAAAGGGTAGGGTTGCCCGGCTGCGTCGTGGCCAGAAGCGCCAGCTTGGCCATGATTGTTTGGTCGATGCACTAGGTGTTAGAGTATTTGGTTTCCCCCGTGGTTCCCGTATGCATGCCAGAAGATGGACAATACCATCCAACCTGAGTACAACTATGACCACGTAGGTCATGCCGCAAATGACGCTAAAAACAACTGCAAAATCTTTGATATTGACTATTAAGCTGAGGATGTCCATGCCAAAAACAGACGTAACGAAGCTGGCAGGTAGGAAGACCATCGATATGTATATCAGCAATTGCTTCTAGGACTGTGGAGGCGTTGAAGAGCTATCCGTGTTATCACAACACTATATCTGAGACCAAGAAAGTCTACTTACCCCGTCTCGTAGTGACTTGATCTCCTCTTGCTTTGCGATGTTGGTTGCTTGCAGTTCCTTTAGCTTCGACATTTGCTTTTCTATCTGTTGTAGGTACAACCTAGGCATTTTAGCTGAATTATCGGTGTTCGAATCCGTCGGATTGTAGTCGGGGAGAGAGAATTCGCCTTGGCATAAATCCAGCAAAGAAGATTTGTCGTAGATATCCCAAGCAGAAATTAAGGAACTAATACAGTCGTTTACGGCCCTTAGTGACTGGAGGGCCCAGAAGTAGGTACGGGGGTTTGTGTAGCCCTCGTCCTCGAATAAGAGAGAGTCACGATACGCCCGGTTGAATAGGAATTCGTCCTATGATCATTCAGTGAGGTTCACCTCTGGCGCGCAAAGAGAAACTCATTGACGGTACAGCCAGCGAGGCTATTTGGTTCGAGACGTGCCGCAAGCTGCGCCTAACCCAGCTGACTTCCTGATTAACAGCCCATAATAAAGCTTCAGCGCCACTCAAGAATCGAGGCCTTTCCCCGTCCCATTGCTGATTGCAAGATAGAATGAGCGCTATCCAAGGATACGAAGCAGCAGCGTCATCCGCACCTTTGGTGGTGCTGTTGGCACTGAGACCCAAGGCAACAATAGCTGTTCTTCGACAGATGTGGAGATTATATTCCCGTTCATGGAAAGGCCCAGATACTTGACCTTCATAAACGCCTGGTTGACCGTTGTTTAAGAAGTAATACTTCATCGTAAAAGACCAGAAATGTCTATCTCCCCTGGCAGGCCTCCCATGCGGCACATAGCCTGTGGATACCCCAGGGCTTATAAGGTTAGAGAATAGACGCTCGATATCGAAGCGACGTTGGAGGGCCGTGAGCAGCTGGAGTGCGACAATAGGAGGGAGTGATCAGATTTGAATTAGTCGACCAAAGGTAACGTCTGCATTCTGCGCTAAGACGTCTGGCACGTTCACCTTCTGCGACGCGTTAATGATGTTTGATCGTACTTCGCAGCTTCTAGACCACATACCCGGATGAAGCCCCAAAGATCGCCTGCGGACCTCGACACAACTTGGTCCAGAGGTCTACCTGACCCGTCCACATCTAATGCAGAACAGTACGGCGTGCTTCTACCAGCCCCATGGCGCATTCTTATTGTGGAGACCTTAGCCCTTTCGCGGTCTAATTTGATTCGTCCATGATAGGTTTGCTGTTGAATACTAGTTGAGATCTGGTGAAACTCTTACTCAACTTTGACTGTGGCTCCCTCTAACACACTCCCCGAGCCGGGGCAGATTCGATGAAGTAACTGCTGTTGTCGATATATTCAAGCCGAACCCGGGTGGCTTTGCCAATTTGGTCCTCTTAGCTGAACCCGTATTCCCTGCCCTCATTGTTCAAGTCGACGTCTCCTCTTTCACTCTCTGTGATCACCCACAACACGCACAATACTCTAGCCATGTGTAATCCCAAAACCGTCCACAAACATGTTTGCGGCCACTACGTCCTCGACCGGCCTGAAAACGGCTGCGCGAAATCAACACGCAGTAGGCACAGTCCGCTAAACTATGACTTCGATGTACGCGCTCCCTGCGAGGCCCTCATGTATGAGCCTCTAGCATCCGGGGATTTCCGAAATGAATGCTATTTTGAGGGCAAGAGGATTCGAATACAGGTGTACTTCAGCCCTGTCTTTTGTTACGCGGAGGATCAAAAGTGGAAGAAAGAGGAAGCAAAGGAGAAAAAGGCGGCAGCGCCGAGGTTGGGATTGAATGAGGATGGTCCGAGTAGTAGTGGGGTATCGAACGATACGCTTGCGAAACCGAGGGAAGTTGAGAAGAAACCGTTTTGGGTGAGGTTAAGTTCTTTCTGATAGAGAATGTTACAATGTATGGGAATGGTGCACCGGTAATATACTCTGGGCTATTTTGTTCCCAGCTGTTGATCTTTGTCTGAGAGGTACAGCATCTGTTCGCACTGCCGGGCTGGAAGAGCTGTTCAATATCATAACAGACCATGTGCAATGTGTTCTGCATATGAATTGATCGCTCTTTAAAGGCGAAGCCTGTACTTCTCAGAGTCGCCAGCAGCAGGACTAATTCCATCCCAGAACGAGCCGTCGGAGAACTCATGGGTTTCCAGATTTGCCAATTGAGTCCAGGAAACAAGAGACTCCGAGGAATAACATCTCTTGTGACTATGGAATGTCAGGTGTTGCAGATTGCAGCTATCAAGTCGGTAGCTGTTCGCCCTTAATCGTCCGTTGAAGCTAGGTTCAGTGCCGAGATTCTCGCACCATGATCTATGCTTAATGAGCCCCAGCTCTTTGCAAAACGCATAAACGGTGCCATCCACCTAGAAGTCAAGGTTTCTTTCTTCCTGCACTTGCCAGTCCAGTAGTATAGCCTACATGCCTGGTGTTCCGTTACGATGCCGCGAATATCGAGCAGATTGAGCCCCTGCCAGTCCTCAAGTTACCACGCAACTATCTTCCTTCCATCCTGACATATGCGACTGTAGCGTGATAAAATTGCAGTTAGACTGTTAACGAACCAGGAAAGCATCGTCCACAGGAAGATAGTCCGATGGGAATAGGGTTGAAGTGGGTAAATTGTGGTTGGTGATGCGTTCTTAAGCGTGCACGCATGTTAAGCTTGATAGTCATGGCGAAATTAGATTTGAAGGTTCTCATCGAAGGACCAATGCTTGAAGCTGGATGCGCATGGGCTTTGGATGTTCCAAGGTTAGATGTTGAGACGCCGCGAATCACGAATGTAAAGGAACCGGATTGGGACAAGTGCCCTTACCCATAACTTTGATAGCAACTACCTTTCTCATGCTAGCTCCTACAACCTTACTTACTTGTAGTAGCATATGATGAAAACTTTACACAATGAATAGAACAGGCACTCACTCACGCCAAAACTTATCGAATGTCATGTTGAGTCGACGCTCAAACAACGCATGATGCACGAACCAGGATCCTTACCCTTAGCATCACAGTAGACATCTAGAAATCGAATCCTACCGTCTCTTTACGTCTACTCGAGGCTAATATAGCCCTCCAGAAACACGGTGGGCAAAACAAATCTCACGTTTCAGCTTGCAGCTTCACCTCTGCCGACAGGACCCTCTACGTCACACTACACTTCCACATCAACCATCAAATAAATGCGTTCAAACAATAATTTTACCAGATCCTAACTCTTTGTTTCGTCCTTGTATTGCTCATCCAAATATCTAGATAGGCCATGGTCGAAGGTGCCTACCACAAATGCTTAACGAGACCTCGACCATAAGAGACGCCAAGAAATACTCACAATGTTGTTCTCTATTACATGTAGTTTTCGAATGTTCTATCGCATACTTCAGATTTGCAATATCAATGGTTTCCAAAAGGAGGCTGAACAGAGAAGAGAGGTTCAACATCAATAGATACCCTGCGTCCAATACTGGAACTAGCATCTTCCCCGCAAACACTTCACATATCGCATGGAACGCTTACAGCCTAGTATAATAGCTTCCCACACTTTTCCCCACAAGTTCCCCCACCAACCCCTCCGCCTCTCCTCTAGACAAATGCAACATCATCCTCTCCCTAAGCGACTTCGTAACTCTCGCCCCAATTGCCACAAGTCCCACCCTTGTTTACCCCTTAGCTTGATTTAGTAAGGCGGCTGTTAAGAGTGGCGCGGGGAGAATCTTGCAATAAGTAAATTACACCGCGATGATTACGTAGGACGTGTGTAACTCTTGGGCACTAGCTGAGGTACTAGTAAATCAACGTGGCGACCTTGCATAAATTTGGGTACCACAGAGGACGCAAGGGCAACGATGACTTCCTAGGCAATTTTAAGGCTCTTAGGTTTGGATAAGATCCCTCTATAAGTATTATGAGTGGTAAGAGTTTCGTGGTGGTGCAGCAAAGGAGCATTGTTATGCGTGAAAAGAAGGCTTTTTATAACCTAAGCGTAAAGGCAACAATGAGAAGGTGATTTTTAGGGGGGAGGGATCTTAGACGTTTAAGAATAGCTATTACATATGGCTTATACAGAGCTGTGGCAAATACCAATATATACGCAGAAATCAAGTTGCTCAAAGTATCCCTCATATGTCTCGGCACAGAGGGTGTCTCGCCATGGAGGGAGGGACGTTACTAATATATGTAGAAAACACGGACCGGATTTGAGCAACTGCAATTCAAACAAGAAAGCTGATAAATTTGCTCCTTGCCTAGAACGATAAGGCTCAAGGGTCCAAGGTTGCAAATACTACAGACGACCAGGACCTTGAGGTTGCCTTTTAACGACATGCAATGGCTCCAAGAATTCATCTAGCACTTGACCCTAGTCCTACGCCAGCCTCTTTCAAAACCTTGACACTGCCAACGGACTTCATGTATATACAAAGGCTCAGTCACGCCGCATTTGTGGGCTTGATCCTCCCGAGCTGCTATTCGGGTTAGGGGCTAGATTTGCTAAACTTCGAGAGATCGCATTTGAAGTCGGCCTAGCAGACCCCGCAGACGTTGAATGTGCAAGCTCGTACCTACCCACAGTTGATCTACACCCCTAAGAACAAGGAGATCGAAATTATACAAATTTGTGGGCAAATATTAAATGCAATGACTAGAAGATCTCAGAACAGTGATTGAGTTATAGAGCTGTCAATGGAAAAACACATAGAAGATAGCCAGGTCCATGCAAACTCTGGCGTTCCTAACGTTACAATGTGAACTCATTCCAGTCGGTTTTATATCACTCTCAACTCCTACATTGACCACCCTAGTTAAAAACTGCCCCTCAACCCCCTCACCTATTTTCCTCTTGTGCTAGTGCGTAATTAAAACCACTTCGCGCCCTAGCTACTCAACTCAAATAAAATATCAAACCTGAAAGAAAACAAACACTGCTAAATCTCCCAAATCCAAAGCTCTGAAAACACCAGGCCCATAAGTCCAATAACTCCGGCCAACAGGCTAGCCCTAGCACTGCCGATCATCTCAGGAGCTTTGATGGCAGCAGCGGCGCCGGTGAACCCAGGTCCATTTGGTGAAGCGGGGCCAAGGGGAACAATGGTCTCTTGGGTTGGAGTTATGGGGTTGTTGTTGGTGTCAGTGATGAGGATTACTGCATTGGAGATGGTGAAGAAGCTGGGGGTGATGGTACCTTTGGTGAATGGGCCATTGGTTGCGGTGAAATTGGAGGATTCACCCACTGAGAGCGGTCCGCCGATTGAAAGAGGAATCCTGGCAGAGAAGGGGGTTGTGAGGATTGTGGTGCTGGTACTGGTGTTGGCGTTGAGGCGAGTGCTGGCGCTGGCAACGCTTGGAGTGATAGGCGGTATCGGTATGACAGGCCGAAGGCTAGCTGGGCAGATGCTGTGGAAGAAATGATTTGCTTCTAGGACTGTGGTTAGGAAACACTATTACGAGTAGGAGGAGTTCAAGTAAAGGAGACTGACCAGTCACTTCAGTAGAATTACATTGCTTTGCCATTTCGCCTCCCGCACCAGCGGTCTGGAGTGCCCGGCAGATCCAAGGGAGATTAACCAGATTGCAGGTGCTTTGGGCAAGAGCTAGGGAGAGGATATTTGGCAGCGTGAAATGTTAATTCGTTATCAAATCAACTAATTTATAGAGGCTTATGCATACAACACAACCAGAAAGCCCTTCTACTGGACCAAAGATACTATCGTCGTTCCGAGGTACTGAAGTTGAAGAAGTAATAAGGGTCGTAACTGTGAGCACGAACGAGTTGAAGGTTGTTGTAGGGGAAGGCATTTCGCTCGAGGAAGACCTAGTATAGCCTAGCTAGTAGTTGACGGGATAGAAGTGGTTGAAGATGTTGATTTTGGGTTAGCAGTGCCCGAGATACTACTAGAAGGACTGTAAGTACTGGTGGAAAAAGTTCTACTTGAGCATGCAGTAGTGAGGTAACTGGCAGTACTACTCGAAGTCGTCGAGGGTGAAGTAACCGTGCATGAGATTGTGAGATGTGAGAAGTTTGGTGTAGTGCCAGTGACTCCACATATACATCTCAAATTTGCATGCGAACAGACCTACGAGCGGATGCTATTTTTAGGTAATAGGAATTATATTACTGTCCTTGCCTCAAAAATGCTCTGTCCTGCTTGCGGGATGTCTATGTCATAAGCAATGCATTTTGAGATTAAAACTATCCGTTTGCAACTGTGTCATGAGTGGCTGGTAAGTCTTTCGGCACAAATCATGGGCATTCTCGTCGAGATCCTAAATCCGGCAGTGTTCTTTGTTTGTTCGAAAATGCCCCGCGGAGGCAACCATGACATCAACTCCAGGTCTCCGTTTCTGCGCCTGTCGTAGGGCTCTGGAATGTAACTGAACCATGACTTTCCCAGCGCCCTGACGAGCGAAAATACATTTTGGGCCCAAGTTTCGCCGCGAACCTTGACTGATTCTTTCAGCAGTGTAATAAACAAATTGTTGGTATTCTGGCGAGCTGAATGGTTTAGCAAGTGAAAGCTAGTCCTTGGGATTAACAATGGATAGAGCGCCTAGATGGCCGCTGGGTAGGTGGGCAGGCTCACTCGATTCAAAGCTAGAGGTGTATTGCCAAGTTCCTCATCGAGTGTTATAGTAGTGCGGCTCTGCTCTTAACCTGTGGTCGAGGACTCGAGGATCGACATTGCGAAACAAGCCTCTTCACTTAGCTCAATCTAAAGTCCTCGTTCATTTTCTTGAAACTTTCTGGAGCTCGAATATGAGATTTTCTGAAGAGTACATGGGCTCCCAATTTTTTATTGTTGTGGATGAGGATGACCGTGTTTGGTGTGATGTTTGTCGAACCAGATCCCACCTGGGCAGGTGAGGAAGCATTCAAACAAAGAAAGTCGTAAATACCGAGCAACTCATAGTTTACAACCGTCCTATTCCTTCCTCACGGGGGATGAGAAAGAGAATCACTGGCACCAATTTTGTGAATAATCCGAAGAGGGAGATGATGGATAATGGCTAACATATGACGACAGATTTAATATCTCTTTGTATCGCAGGTGCTGTCGAAGACCTCTAACCGAAAGAAACGGCTTCACAGTTGTCCTTCTCGGCACAAATAATGTGATATAATAAAACCAGGACAAAGCAACGCAGACGGCCAGGTAAAGCGCTTCTCTTCAGCTTGGCTGACCGCGGTGTCAGAATACTAGTCAATGGAACTAGCACCTTGATAAAGAGAAAATGTTACATTGAGAAGTAAGTCGAGTGTTTATGTAGAGAGCATAGAATGAACGCAACCCTCACCTTGAAATCTGGGACTTTTCTGAGATCAAAATCTGTGAAATGAGCTGTGGTGTGTTTGCACCAAAAAGAGGTCAGTAAGGATCGAGGGTCGTTCTTGCGAGAAAGGATGGGAATGGCTACAGACTAGTCTAATGGGGGTTAGCGCACATCTGGCTCGGCAAGCACACACCTCCAGGATCAAATTTCGCGAATTCGAAAGTTCTCAAACCCGAACGACAGTACGCGGAACCTGTCAAAATGGCGCCCAAGTCGTAAGTATCTCTTCAACGCATTGCCCTTGTCTTACTTTCAATACTTGAGTATTCTCGCAATCTCCCTAGCCCTTTGCAGAGATTTACAAACTGCTGATATATTTGGTTTGCAACAGGAGCGTTCCGACCCAGAATGACATCCTTATCCCTGAGACGCTTCTGAAGAAGAGGAAGTCCCAGGAGAAGGCTCGAGAGGATCGTGCTGCGGCGACCAAGGAAAAGCGAGGTACGCGGATAACTTGCCATGAACACAGTGGGGGAGGGGGGCGATTGCAGTGATGATACCAACCCACACCATCGACTAGACCTTTGCGTCTATGCTGTCGAACTGTTAACCATCTTTCGGGACTGAGTCAATCGCCCTCCTCACTCAATAATGGCAAGGCATGAGAATAGGATATAGGCTGATTGATGAACAGAGAAGAACAAGAAGAAGAGGCAGACTATCTTCACTCGCGCCGAGAAGTACGTCAAGGAGTACCGCGATGCTGAAGTATGGCCTCTATCATCCTTCAATTCGGCCGTGACAGCTAATGGAACAATAGAGGGAGAAAATAAGGCTTTCTCGAGAGGCTAAGCGGAGCGGTGAATTCTACGTTCCAGCGGAGTCAAAGCTTGCCTTCGTCGTTCGCATCAAGGGGTACGTCGTTTCCGAATACTAAGACTTAAGATTACCTGCTGATGTTCTGCAGTATCAACAAGATTGATCCCAAGAAGCGCAAGACTCTTCAGCTTCTCCGTCTTCTTCAAATCAACAACGGCGTCTTCATTAGGCTGACAAAGGCGACCTCGGAGATGCTCAAGAGTGAGTTCCGGATGCGTGCATCCAACGACAGCACCATCTAACATCTTCTTCCAGTCGTTGAGCCTTTCATTGCCTACGGTTACCCGAATCAAAAATCCGTTCGTGAACTTATCTACAGTGAGCTTCACGCCCTTCTGATTCGTGGATCCGCTGACCATCGTTGCAGAGCGAGGGTATGGCAAGGTCGATAAACAGCGTATCCCTCTAACGGACAACGAGATCATTGAGAAGAGCCTAGGACAATATGGGTGAGCGTCTTATGTCCGAGCTGCCGATTTGGGTTAGGCTGATTGACACATAGCATCATCTGTATGGAGGATTTGATTCACGAGAGTAAGTTCTTCCGTTCAGATAATCTTACAAGGCAATACCTGCTAACGTACTACTTGTAGTCTACACTGTCGGGTCAGTAGCATGATGTTCCAGTTCCTGACATCAATTACTCACGTATATGCAGGCCCAACTTTAAGCAAGCTTCCAACTTCCTGTGGCCATTCAAACTCAGTAACCCCACCGGTGGTTTCCACACCAGGAAGTTCAAGCACTTCATCGAGGGTGGTGATTTGGGTAACCGGGAAGACCACATCAATAGCCTCATCAGACAGATGAACTAGAATTGGAAGGGGGTTTCGGTAAAGTGCGGGATTATGACATAGATGTCTTTATGCATGGGTAGCTTTCCGGAAATACCATGGGATTTCACATCTACCTAGGTGCCTGGAGTCCAAAATCAAGACCAATAGTATGTTCATGTGTGTGTCAACACGTTGATTGAACCGATGATGAATTTGCTTGCGACTCTGACTGCGAATTCGCCAACAACGCGTGGCATCAAACACGCAAAGTGCAACTCATCTGTAGATAAAATACTTTCTTGTTGCTGTAGGTATTGAATCCTTCAGGAACAATACGTAACGGCGATTTTCTGCTGCCTGGCTAGCAGGAGGAGGAGCTGGAGGTAACGTTTGCGAAAGTGGTGTTCAGTTGGGACCACCTCATCACCACTCGCCACTAAGCTGACGAGTAGAGAGCTTGGCGCGTGTGCTATTGGTGCAAGCGGCTGGAATTGCCTTGCCGAATGCCAATTTGCTCCAGATGGGTGTTTTCCAGCGCCTGATTACTGTATTTTACGGGTCAGACGAGAGACTTGGGCCGAGGGGGCTTGGGGTTGCCACACCACTAATCGACGATGGATTCTTTTTTGGGGCAGAGATGGGCATCAAAGTCATGTGGAAGGCGGTGGATGGATGATGCTGAGCAGCGTTCTGACGCAACGATGGCTTGCTTTGCCGCCGAAGTCGTTCTCGTCTTCTGGAATTCCGCACTACTGAGGGGGTTCGATGCCTGGGACGATTTGCAGAGCAGAGTCTGATCGTTGGCTGCCACGGCAAGCTCAAAGCGCCGACCCATCACCTGGCAGCAAACCTGCAGCCTCCTCGTCGGTCCTGCTCTGAACCCAATGACACGATGGAATGCGGAGCTACGGGCAGTGACGGTAGCGACGGGCCTCATGCGGACAGGACAGAGTTAGCTACATGTATGATGCGGGCAGCTGGCACAATTTTCATACGAGGGGCACGGGGGCGGTCTCGCCCTTCGACGAGAAATGAATCTTGGAAGGAAAAACCAATATTCATTCGCATGCGCTGATTGCAATATGACTCTCGTCTGCGCGGACCGAGTCTATAATTATGAGCAGCTCCAGCGGTGTCATCGTGACTCGAAAGACTCTGCACAGATGATTATTCTGGAGGCGGAGTTTCTCCCCAAGCTCTCGGATGCAAGGTCAGCTTCCTAGCGATGCAAACCCTGGCCGAAAGGGATAGCTCTCACGACGGCCTTGGCGGCACGGCAGTGTCTGGCAGGACGAGGAAAGGGACGACCGGGCGGTTTGGACCGCGAGTGTGAGGAGACAACAGGTGCGCCAGCGTGGCTCGCGGGTGCAGCGCAGAGGGGAGTGGACAGGGCTGCGGTGTGCCTCGGTGAGCGGTCCCTGAGTCCGTTCGATTGGAGAACGTGGGCAGCGGAGAGACACTGTGGATCCCCGGGACATTTCTTCTTATTGAGTTGGAGCAATTTTGCAATGCTGTGCCTGACGACGCTGCTGCGTTACAGCCCTCATAAATACACCCAGTACAGTGGTGGTGCTGTGAGTGGGCGCGGCTGCATTATTGCAGGATGGGGGGGTGGGATGGCTCTGGGGGAGCGTATGACTAGGCCCAAGGCAGCGCAGCTCGGGAGCATAGAAATTTCAGAAGCAAAAGAACACAGTGGTGGACCGGCGCCCCTAATAAAATTACGCACTTCCGGACTGGCCGTTGGCTGCGTGCTCATCCGCCGGGAGGCAGAGACCACCACACAGCTCGCTTCAAGGCCAAACGGGTCGGCCGCGCTGCAACAACCCCATCACTCGCTGCCTCTCACCACCTGGGCAACGCTAACTGCTAACTCTCTTCTCCCTCCACCCATCCTCTTCACCTTCCCTCTCCCCCCTCTCTCCCCTCCACCGCGTCCTCTCCCAAAACTGCCTCCCAGTCCGCCAGTGTTGCTCGCAGTCCGGCTCGTCCTCGCTCTGAGCCACTTGGTTATCTGCACACAGCCGGGCTGAGTTCTGGTGGCTCCTGCGCTCCTGCGCTCCTCGGGCAACCTGTCTGGGCATCGTCCACAACCTGCGGACTCGCGGCTCTCCAGCAGCACCAGCAGCACCAGCACAGCGCCTTCACCTCGCACTCTTGCCTGTCGACCGACCGCGGCCTCGCATTGTGTGCGGCAGTGCATCTGGCTCTCTCCCCCCCATCATCGTCTGCCCGAGTGGTCATCTGGCCGAGGTGCGAACCGTGGGTTGCGTTTCCTGAGCCGGGCAAGGTTTGACTGTTGAGCCCTGTTCTTAAGAAAAACGTCAATCGCCTCACCACCACCACAAACCACCTCCTGCGGTACAAGGATACTTGTTCACTGCACCGCCGGCAACTGCATTTCCTGCGTGTGGCATATTTCCGGAGTTGCAGCTTGGATTTCAGATTCATCACTTTGGGTTTCGGTTTTTGGAGCGTTCTTGCCCGTTTTCCTCCTTCGGCTTTCGGCTTCCCTTGACCTTCACCCCCCCGACGCCATCGACGGCGACACGCTCAACCTGTAACCATCAAGGCTCCCGCCACGGGCGATCTATTCACTTAGGCCTCGTCCTGGTTTACGTTCCAGTGGCACTCTCCACCCAACGTGTTCCCCGCCTGTAATTCTGTGGTGTACACACCGCATCTCTTAATCTCAGTCTCCTTCGCAACACCCTTTCGCCGTCCCACCTTCTGGTCCTGAGACCTCCCATCGCCATCGGCTGCATTGTCTGGCTGCGACGACATTCTTACGACCTCTCGATCCTTCTCTCGATTGCTCGCTTCGAACAAGCAACCTCATCTCTCGGACACGTCTCCTTTGTGCATGAGCGCCAGCTACTAGAGCATCCGTAGGCTCGCCTCAGAGCGTACGCTCAGCACCTTCCGCAGCTGGGAACTGAAGAAATTGTATGTAGCGTCGACGGCAACACATTCATCACGGCACCACATTACTAACACGAGCTGTAGGGTGTCGAACACCGGTTTCTTTCGTTCTTCTGCAACAGTCTCGACACCATGCCGTCCTTTTACCCGCGCAACTTGCCTCGCCAGCTCCCACTCACACCGCCAGAGTTCGTCCCCAAATACACTACTGGATGCGGGGGAATACCCTACCAACAGTCTACATATTCTGGTCAGCCGAGCATTCGACAACAGGACGATGGATACGACTTCGGAGTCGGAGACCGGTATGGTCAGCTCGCGATGGCAATGCCCCCAATGTACCCACAAGCTGGCACTTATCTGAGCAACCCGCCACCGAGCCTACCGCCGCCAAGTACCTTCTACGATGCCCCTATCCTTCCTCCGATGCGCGTGCAGAATGGCCCGTCTATTGAGTCTCTGCAGCAGCAGCAGCAGCAGCAGCAGCAGCAGCAACAACAACAACAACACCAGCAACAACAGCAACAACAACAACAGCAACAACACCAGCAACAACAACACCAGCAGCAGCAGCAACGTGCGCAAGACCTTAGCCAGCGAGCAAATCCACCAAAGGAAGAGAAGCCAGTTGGCGGTGTTTCTGCCAAGCTTGACTACGACATGGATGTCATGACTGATTTTGTTTGCGAGATGGCACATGCACTGTACGTTTCTCTTTTGCATGTCTACTACTGCTGAGGCTAATATTCATTACAGCATCACGCCTGGACGCCCCATGCCTGCGTCTTTCCGCAAGTGGGTTCACCAAGTTTTGTGCGCCACGAGGCTGCCTTCGGCGACCATCTTACTCAGCATGTTCTACCTGTCGAATCGGATGCCTATGTTGACAGGCCAGCCCAAGTCGGACAACCATCTGTTCCGCCTGCTCACCATCTCGTTGGTCCTTGGCAGCAAATTCTTAGACGACAATACGTTCATCAACCGATCATGGTCAGAGGTCAGCGGCATTCCTGTCCAAGACTTGGACCGTCTCGAGATGGAGTGGTTATTGGCCATCGACTTCAGGCTTCACCGCGACCCGTCGGAGCAACAAGGCTGGTGTTCCTGGTCAGAGCACTGGAAGGACTACGCTGCCAATGTTACGGCCCGTGCGAACCGGTCTAACAGGCTGAGCCCAATTGATACCACGGTGCAGCGACAACGTTCCCTCAACCAGAACAAGCCGCTTCCACCGTTGCCTATGCAGCAGAACTACAGCCAGCCACCTCCTTATGAGTATACACCCAAGTCTTCGCAGACGTCCTACAGCACCGCGTCCAACTATACACAGTACGACCCGTGGCGATCTGCCAATGACAATTCTCCAGCGTCTGCTCCGACCACTGGACCCACAACTCCAGAGTACTACGGCGTTCCGGGAACTTGGGCTCCATCAGAAGGCTATTCACGTCGCACCATGTTCGGCTTCCCACCCCTGTCTCAGCCTGCCCCCGCTCAGCCGCAACACCAACAGCAGCCATCCAATTACGGACCCCCCGCATACACCGCGCAGTACAACCCACCGGCCTGGAACAACCACGCCGTTAATTGCGGCTGCATGTATTGTGCCCAGAGACATCCACCGTACTTCATGGCTCCCGGCTTTGGGCCCCAGGCTGTTGCTGTGTAAATGCTCCCGCTTCGGCGAGCAGGCACCTAAATGACTCTATATCTGATGAATATTCTAATTGGTATTCCTCAGACTATGGAAGTTTCATTGTTGGCTGCCTGACCGGCATTCGGGATGCGGATTGCTTAAGGTTATGCCAGTCGCCATTTCCTCCGTTTCTAGAGTGCATCGAACACCAACCCTCCCCTTCACTTGATACATATTCAACACCGGATTCCATTTTTCGAGCGATTCATCTGTCCAAAAGTTGCTGTTTATTCCCCTCGGTCTCATGACTTGCTTGTTCTCATCCAATTCTCATTCTGGAAACGCATTTGCCCAACTTCGGATGCTTGTTGAGCCTCGGCCTCAGCTGTGTGCCCAAGATTGGTCACCTCGCGAGACAAGCTTTCAATGGTTCGATCTGGAGCTTTCACTTTTCCCGAGGCGCACGTTCGTTCTCTTCTTATCGCTATTTCGAACGCATATCGGCGCCACTCCGGATCTGACGAAAAGGCCCAAGGCTTGCGACCATCCTGCATGATAGATTTCCTTGTTTTACATATCGTGGCACCGGTCATTCCTGTTATCGTTCGTATTCCACCTTAGACGACGGGTTTTTCCATGGTTTATTAGGTACATTCAAGCGAATCTGTGGGCTTTGGAGTTTTGTTTTTATTGACCTTCGCGTCAAACATGGATGCCCTGTTTCTTTGTTTTTGCTTTTCGGTTTCAAATGACTGCACCCTGCGTTACGGTTTGTGGTGGTACCCCTTCTTCATGACGACTCTTTTTTCTGCACTACACCACAAGAATGGTTCCAGGGAGGCTATACTGCACTGGTTAATGGTTTTTTTTTCTACACAGATAGGCGGGGGGGCGCCGTTGTTTCTACAGCCCTTTCTGTGTTTCCTACAATTCGACCCTTCGGTTAGCTTACCGGCGGGCGGTCAAGGCTCTGCATGACTCTGATCTCAGTACCTGCCGGTGTTCAGGCTCTGCTTTGCCTCGATATTCCACAGTCCCGATATCAGCATCCGGTCTCCGCTTCAGCGGTTCCACTATGGTCTTTTACGTTCTTCCCGATCACGATTTTATTCCCCTTCGAACGTATCCATCCATCCAAAGTAGTCGGGTTGTAATTAATGGCTTCACACCAACGATAGGAATACCTGTTTCTTTGTTCGAGGCGGAAAAGCGAAATGCTGCTGCTGCCTCAATTTCTTTTTTCTTTCTCACGATTCCAATACCAGATGGAAGACTTAGTGGATTGCAATGGATGGACTAGGTTATTACTGTATGGGCTGCAGCAAAATCAGTTCTAAAAATGGTAAAAAATATTTCTGAGGGGCGACTTGATATCCCCAAGAAGAAGTGGCTTCCATCCTTTTGAATGTGTGGTGTTCAATACCCCTGTGCGGCTGCTTACCCTGAAAGCGGAGGGGACCCGTAATCATGGATTAAAAAGATGAAGTACCATATTTGGCTTGGGCAATTTGCCAACGTTACCAAAATGGCTACGAGTTTTCTCTCGTTGACGGCTCGTGTAGTGTCGAAAGGTCAAGATTTATGGGCGAAGAGAAGTTATATAAAAAAAAAATGAACAGATAGACTCATAAGATGCTTCTTGATCCACCTGCTACTAGTGCGCACAATTGGGCCCTTCATTGAAAGGACTGTCCACCATTCTCCGTCTCCACTAAGTTCGTCTTTATGGAGACAAGGAAAGTCTTGCTAACTTGCTGGTTCACATTCGCCAAGTCCTCTGTGATTGGTCTACACATCTAAACAAGAACTTTGCTTTGTGTAGCTACTGAGAACGATAATATCGGCTCCAGAACACGAATTGTATCATCATAGAAGCCTTCACAGTATATTCAGTGCACGCACTCCAAGGCCTCGGACCCTTATTAGATCTGATGGAGAAAGTCTGCTCTCGGAGCCGGACGAATTTTCAGCGCCGCTTTTGGGAGATAATGGGCCCAGACGCGGAGTTAACGAATCGGCATCGGGGGAATTAGAGATATGGTGCCGATAGTGGGCGTCATAGAGCAATGCTTTGGGCGAATGTTTTGCTCAAAAGATTAATCTCCCTGCTCGCTGGCCACGTTGTATGTCCGCCACTTGTTGCTGTGTTGGATGGATGTGTGACTGAGAGAGCGGAGATACGAGGGATAGCTAGCGAGAAGAGAGTAGGCCTTGCGGGATGTGCTTGCGGCTGCAGGTATTTAGTATACCTCGCCCTGCTGGAGTGTTGGTACGGCTGCAGTCTGTGAAAGCCCCTCCACGCCTGCATCTTCGAGGTCATATGTTGAGACGGATTCCCTTCTTCTCTTCATCGTCTTCCACTTCCTCCTCTACATCATCAACCTTCCGAGATTTTTGGTCCTCCCCGGCTTCTGCTACTACGCGCTCGAAAACAGGCCCATCAAGATCACCTCGCCTCTGGAATTGGAATTGGAAAACTCCGCAGTTTAGTGGCACAACGACTGTTAGAATGAGTTCTGCTGCTGGTGGTATTGGTGTTGGGAGTGCGGGGCTTTACGCTGTGGTTACGAATCCGGCGCAGATGGGCGCGAAACCGGAGGAGGCGGACGAGTTGAAGCATCATTTGAAGCATGGGAAAGGTTTCGTGAATCCGTGGGATAGTTTCCGGGATTTTAATCCTTGGAAGCTTGGTTTTGGGATGGCTTGGTATATACTCCATTTTCTTTGCGCTCTTCCCCTTGTTTTCTCATGGGCTCTGATATACTACCCTTACGCTTCAGTGGATATGGTCAACGGGTATAAATAGAGAGAAGATGTAGTAGCTAACAAACGCACACAGGCGACGGCTATCCGGCCAAAGCCACTTCCCCGACACGACACCCCCCACCGTCCCCATCCGTCCCCCCTCCTTCCTCCCATCGCGCCAAACCTCCAAACTCCGCGCAACCTGGCTCGGGCATGCCTGCTACTATGTCGAATTCCCCGGCGGACTCCGTGTGCTCTTCGACCCGGTTTTCGAAGACTGTTGTGCACCCATCAATCTCAAAAACCTAAAGCGCTACACGCCCCCGCCGTGTGAAGTCGAAGACTTGCCGATAGTTGACGCTGTTGTGATCAGCCATAATCATTATGACCATTTAAGTCATCCGACGGTGATGCGGATACATAAGAAGCATCCGAATGTGCATTTCTTTGCACCGTTAGGGAATAGGCAGTGGTTTCTGGATTGTGGGGTTAAGAATATTACAGAGCTGGATTGGTGGGAAACCCGGGACGTTAAGCTTGAGATGTTTGCCGGCAAAGGAGAAGAAGGCTCTCAAGTCTCGGTTGCTGAGGTGGATGATTTGAAGTCGAATCTGGGGGCGATTACTGCCACGATCGGCGCACTGCCGTGCCAGCATGTGAGTGCGAGAACACCATTTGATAAGTGCCGGACTCTATGGGCGAGTTGGAGTGTGGAGAGTGGAGGGAAGAAGGTTTATTTCGCTGGGTATGTTTCTCTATTTCCTTACGCCTCCCCCCTACTACGTTTCCTCTTTATCTATCATTCTTCCCTTTCTCCACTGCTTATTATTCAATCCGAACTCACACTAACCCCCCAAAGTGACACAGGCTATCGCTCGGTTCCGCACCTCCCCCCGGGCACCGACGACTACTCACCGGCCTACGCCCACCTCCCGCACTGCCCCGCCTTCGCGCAAATCGGGCTCCACCGCGGCCCCTTCGATCTTGGACTCATCCCCATCGGCGCCTACGAACCGCGCTGGATAATGTCGCCTATGCATGCGAACCCGAAGGACTCGGTCAACATCTTCGTAGATACCAAATGTCGGAAGGCCTTGGGAATGCATTGGGGCACGTGGGTTTTGACGGAGGAGCCGGTTATGGAACCCCCTAGAAAATTGAAGGAGGCGTTGAAAGAGAAGGGGCTTGATGAGAAAGGGGTGTTTGATGTGCTGGATATTGGGGAGAGTAGGGAGTTTGGGGGGGATTGATTGAGTGGGGGAAGGAAGGGAAAGGGGCGGTGGATAGATAGATGGGATGGGATGGGATGGAATGGAATGAGCATGACGGGCGGATATTCTTTTGTATATTAGATACCTTACTGGTGGCCTCTGTTTTTCGATTGCGTGGGCGTACTGGATCTTGAATATGGAGGACATGGCATAGCATGGGATAGACCAATGCCTCTCTTAACAACAACTCAGTCACAACACATACACAAACATATGCAAATTATGTGCCGCGCTGTAGTAAAGTAAATCCACGACGCTAGCTACAAATCTCCCAGTTACTCTCCCCAAATCCCTACTCCAACGATTCAACACACCACACTGTACACGCCAAAATCGCAGTCTCGGTTTTAATCGATTCACACAAATGCACACAATAAGCCCTAACTCGTTCCTCACACCCCCTTCGTCTTCTCCAATATCGTCTTAATCATCTCGTTCCCCAACCGGGTAGCCTCCGGGAACCGGGGCGCAAAGTAACGTTGAATCTCTTCGAACTTGTCACGGTATCCGTTGAAGGAACCTAAACTTACGCGGGAACTCCAGTCCTACAGAATCAGGGACGGAGATAATTAGAAATTTGGGTTGGAGGGATTTAGAAGGATGTAGGGATGGGTGGGTGGATGGGTGAAGGAGAAAGAAGGGGGTGGGATGTGATAAGACTTACTCGTGCAGCAAAAGTAAATTCTAGGTCATCTGCTCTAAAAGTATTATCATCAATGGCGGTATCGATGACTTCTTCCAACAATTCGTCGTTACAGAAGAGGTATTCCGTAATACCGAGCCACATACGAAACAGCTACTACCAGGTCAGCCGTTTTCACAAACAAGCAATTCCACAAATGGGAGGGAACAACGGAAGACAAGAGAACACGGCTAGGGGGCAGCTTACAGGAGTAGAACAAATCATATGATCGTACGGCACAATCCCCAACTTCCACCAACAATCCACCATCGCCAGCAAACTCAAATGATTATTCTTCAGCCTTTTCTCCGGTAGCTCACCCAGGCTAAACCGATCCAATACCTCATCCCTCAGCAACAATTCCTTCGCTCGATCCTCCCTGAACACAGCTTTCCTAGCAGCGTGTATTCTTTCCCGCAGCTCTTCCCGGTGGCCCGCGAGCATGACTTTAAACAGCTCGGTGACGGATTCTGCGTATTGTTTGATCTGCTTCTGCGCCGAGGGGTTTAGGATTGCGAGACCGGCATAGACGTGCCACTTGTTGGAGTAGATGCGCAAGGTGACGTTCATTTTTACGTTTTCGATGCCGCCGATGTAGCGGGGCGTTTCCCAGGGGAATTGGGCATTGGCCATCCATGCTGCGCCCATGCTAGAGGGATAGGGTTAGTATGACGGATAGGGTAAGGTCGGAGGAAGGTCGGAGGAAGGTTAGAGGGTTGGAAGATAAGGTACCTTAGGAAGGCTGCGTGAGTAACGGCTTGGGTGTCGGCTGTTATTCGGTCGTGCTGCTCGTGAGTGAGATAGACGTGTTTGGATCCGAGACAGGATAGGATGTTTTCGACGAAGTTGAAGGCAGCGTCGGAGGCGCGATATTTGATCAAGACCTAGTTCCAATTTAGCTTGGCTGGTGCTGTATATGCTAAGGCCGACAATACCAATGGTTGGCCTTTTGGATCGACGCCAGGGCCGTGGAGAGAGTGGCAGGACACAATGCTGACATCGCTGGGAAGATGCTTCTCAAAGGCAGCGATCTCCGGGGCTTTGCATGAGGTCTGGCCACCGACGATGGCTCCGAGTTTCGTGGCTATTTACAATGTCAGATTAGTACAAGAATAAGATCCTGTGAACAGGCTTGTGAAGGACGGCATACATGGGCCATACGTCCTTACAACACAATCAATGTTCTTGGCCTCGACGCTGTAGATGATGTAGTCGCTGCACCGGGAGACGAGATGACCGTTGGGCATGATTTCAACCTTGGGCTAGTATAGACTCAGCATGCTTCTACTGATATAGGTATATATAGATGCTATCCTACTCGGTCTCGAAACTCGTCCACCAAGCTATCCAGTTTGTCTGGAAGATCGCACGCATTGACTCTGGAGGGCCCGGGTCAGCTGGGATGGGAATAGGGTTAATGGCTTCTGCGATACTCGTCCGTGTCAGTGTCATTCAATTGAGAGGTCTGAGGCGAAGTGAGGGATAGAAAAGGGTTCAGACAATGAAAAATAAAGGTAGCGAGAATTTACATCAGTGACAATGCCCGCCCAGAGCCTTGCAATCAAAACGATGACAAGAAGGACTAGCACCATACTCGAGCCAAATGCACTCACGGTCATCATTACAGCAGAATGATCGAAGGTAGGGAGATGCCTTACATACCAATTGTTGCACTCAATGAGCACACGAGCAGAGAAGAAAACCTACTTCCATCCCGCATCGCTCAACCTCCTGGCATACATCTTCCCCATGTCCCCCATACCAATAATCCCAATACTCTTACCATCTTCCATCCTGTCGTCGCGGCCTTTGGAGTGAGGGAGAGGTGGTCAAGTCATAGTGCGGTGAAGGAAAAAAGAAGAGGTTTGACTAGGGTCAGCCACAGCTCAGAAAAACTCGGGGCTAGGGGCGGAGAAACGTTTGGCCGACTGTAAGCGAATTTCCGCACCATTTTCGATTGCAACTTCGAGATCGACCCTTTGTCAAACGCCAAATCGACCGTCGCGATAAATTCCTAGCCAAAATGCCACCAAAGAAGAAGGTCGATAGGGCCGCCACAGAGAATGTCCAGGCAAGTTATCTTTATTGCACTCGAATTTGAACAATTACTGACATCCTTCTAGCTTGGACCTCAGGTCCGCGAGGCAAGTCGACCGGTTGCTCTAAGGTCGAAGCATCGTGAATTGATAATTTGCATAGGGCGAGCTTGTCTTCGGCGTCGCTAGAATCTTCGCTTCCTTCAATGACACCTTCGTTCACATCACCGATCTGTCCGGCCGCGAAACCATCTCCCGCGTCACTGGTGGAATGAAAGTCAAGGCTGATCGTGACGAGTCTTCTCCATACGCTGCCATGTTGGCTGCCCAGGATGTCGGTGCGTAGAACCAAATGCCTTGGATAGTGGACAGGTGCTGATCTGTAATGTAGCCGCCCGCTGCAAGGAAGTCGGGATATCTGCTCTGCACATCAAGATCCGTGCTACTGGCGGTAACCGCACCAAGACCCCAGGCCCTGGCGCTCAGTCTGCTCTCCGTGCTCTTGCTCGTGCTGGAATGCGCATTGGGCGTATCGAGGATGTCACACCTACCCCATCCGACTCGACGAGGAAGAAGGGTGGTCGCCGTGGTCGTCGTCTCTGAGCATTTGTGGATGTCTGGTTGGTGTGTGGACTAGGCATGGGATGGGGTACGGTCTTTATGGCTAAATCCTATCTCACGATTACGCGGGGAACGGCTTTATGCCTGGTCTCCATGGTCAAATATGACCCTTGACATAGTCGAGGTAGTTCAATAAAATGGGTTGCACAAATACAAATATTTCCATTATGCTACTTGGCTGCGGGACGAATATATATTTTAACTCATTACTCTAATATTTACCGTAAGCATCAACTCGTAAGAACGTAACTCATATCTCCGCCACTCATATATCCACAACTTGGACAGGATTGCTCAATTTTCCAGTGTTCTCATGCATTTGCGACGCATTCACCATAATGGTGCTAGGACCTTTCCCTCCCCACACCTTGTCCCATACCAGCCCTCTAAGACCTCGATATCCCACTCTGACTAGATTCCACCATATCCAAGGATTCAGTAACCCATGCGCCCATCTAGTTCTGGCGCCCATACCCATCTCATATGCATCGTGACAGCCATCCCACCAGACAACCATCTGCCCCGCTCCCCAATGCACATGTCCGAACACATGCAAGGTTGGTTTCACTCGCCTCACCTCTTTCATAAGATGCTCGCACCCCATTCCATTCGGTAGGGTAAGATCCATATGATACTTCGGGGGTGTATGCGTTATAAGAATATCCGTGGCCTCGGGCACTGTCTCAGACCAGGCGTCCAAGCCTCGAGGGTATTGGAAGGCATGTATTGACAGTGGGCCACAGGCCGGAATCTGCGGGGCTCCATACAATCGAATACTTCTATGTTTTACGCCAGACAACAAACGTGTTCGGGGAGAGTCAGTATAAGAAGGCTCAATAGCCAGCGAGAGCGTCAAGCTGCGGTGTTGGAGGTAGTGCACTCGTTTCCAGTCAATCGTGCCTGATCTCTGGTCGTCGGATAACGACGGTCGTGTGCGCGGGTCGAGGTATGTATCGTGGTTGCCGGATATGACTACTATTTCTTTGTGTGGTAGTGACGATAACCAGTCTACCTGCTTTTGTATTGACGCAACGCTGCCGTCATTCGTCATATCTCCCGCGTGTATAAGAACGTCGCCTGAGGGTACATTTTCGGGAAACTTTTCGTGTGTGTCTGATATACAGACTACGCGAATTGGCGGATCAGAGGGCGTGGGAGCTGAGCGGAGGGAATTGAGGACATGGTATGTATGAAACAGCAACAGCTTCACGGGAGCTTTAAACAGCAGCTCATGGAAAGGGGTGGTCTCGAATGGATCAGGCGCCTGAGGTGTCTGCTTGAGACGACGCCATCCTGTGAGAGTCTCCAAGACCATCACCAAAGGAAGGCGAAGTTGAAAAACAATATGGGAAGTGTGGGGAATTCAATCAATGGCTTTCGTGCTGGTGTGACGCTTGAGGCTTGAGTCTTGCAGGGGTCCAAAAGTTTAGGGTCACCTGCTGCAGAACTGTGTGGCTGAGCTGAGGCTTGCCCCTGCGACCGTCGAGGCGCTCTCAGCCTTCTTCAAGTAATCCATCTATCCTTCCGTCTCCCCACGTTCAGACTTCATTTTAATCGACAAAGGCTGCAAATCGAGAAGGCTGCCTGTTTTTTATTTTATACTGACATGTAGCTGACTAGTCCCTAATATCAGAAAACCCTCACAATGGCCTCAGGCATGCATTGGCGATCTCAAAGCCGTGGAGGCTGAGCTGAGGCAGACCGGCGACTTCTGTAACATGGCTATTTAAAAGGTTGCCTTGCCAGAGCCTCTCCATGTTTAAGAAGAAGATGCTTCGCTCTTTTTGTCGCTTTGGAAGTTCATATTTCTAACCTTCAAATCCATCCCAGTCAATTATCCGTATCGTCTGTCTTGCTTCTGTACTCGTCGCATTATTATTTCATTTGTCACTGGCATATTCCAATCATGGACCCAGGAACAGCGTTAAGTGTAGTATCCTTGACCTTCCAGGTCTTTTCAGGATGTGTCCAAGGTTCGTAACCTGCGATCATTTGCACCCTCTCTCATTAAACACTTCACAGGCTACCAGCTCCTAGCCGATGCCAAGCATATGCCATCGGATTGTCAGTACCTACGAGTCCGCCTAAAAACCGAACAGTATCGTCTTCTCGATTGGGCACACATTGTGCAGCTCGATGAACAAGATGAGAACATTCTCATTAGCAACTCTAGCAAAGGACTTCTTTTGGATGTCCTGGATCAGAAACGACGCCTCCTTCATCAGTTCGGGCGGTTAGATGATAAATACAAAAAGCTATCAAAGCCGCTTCTTGTAGATTCCCAGGAAGCCAACAATGGCGTCTTCCCGGACCCTCCCGCATACTCTCCCAAGGAGATGAGCCCGACGATTGAGCGGGTCAATTCCGAATTTGACAAACGTTTCCCTCAGTCTGAGATCCTGCTTCAAAAGTCTCTGTTCCTAGCCAGCAGATCTCGCGAGTACCCTCGCCGGCTTAAATGGGCTCTCTTCGACAAGGCGAAGATGGAATCTCTGATCCACAAAGTCACGACCTTGAATGACTACATGCGCGAGCTGTTGAATTCCACACAACTCCAAAGACTTGCTATTAAGCAGGAACGCACAGAATTCCAGATCATGCAATTAAACAGCAGTGTTCAGAACTTGGTGCAGATTTTCGAATCCACTGCCATCACGATGAAGAGTGAGAGGAGGAGGGCGCGCTTTCCGACGAACCCGGTGAAGGCCTATATGCAAATCCGGGGGTTGGAGGAAATCGAGGAAGAGGGCGATGGAATAAAACCCGCGCTGCAGAACCTCGCTGCTTTAGCACAAATCAAAGCCCTCAACTCTGCCATCGAAGATCCCAGCCTCTTCACCGACGAATTCGCAGTTTCCCTCGCACTCCCACACACAGCATCCGAAATCCGGTCCGTAGAGCTGTCCCGTGCAGACATTAGAATCGAAGGCGAGGAGCCCGAAGACGGCGGCGAGAGTCAACGCGTCGAAGCCATCTACCAGCCCCCCCACTCCCGCAAAACCTCTGTCTGGATAGAATGGAAGACGTACGAACCACCCACCTTCCAATCCACAGGCCCGGACCCCAAAATCCACGAACGTGTCGAGGCCCTCGCCGCGCTGCTCAAAGAAAACAACCGCACCGACCAATTCCGAGCTCCTCACTGCCTAGGTTATTTCCGCGATATCGATGTCTCCACAGGCGAAGACCACTGCCGCTTCGGTCTCGTCTTCGAAAAACCACCATCCGCGCATCCATCTACAGAACCGATTTCCCTGCACTCCCTGCTCACCACTCTCCCCGTCGAAATCCCCAGCCTGACAGACCGCATAACCCTCATGCGGCTCCTCTCCGAAACCATCGAGCGCCTGCACGCCGTGAACTGGCTGCACAAGGGTCTTCGATCCTCCAACATCCTGTTTTTCTCCGACAGCGGACCATCAGACATCACATACGCGTCCCCATATATCTCAGGCTTCGACTACTCGCGTCCCGCCATGAACGACGACATGACAGAAAAGCCGCCAGAGAATGCCGCATCCGACATCTACCGCCACCCGCGCGTGCAAGGTGCTGGCAATCGCGACAGCAGCAACAGCATCACTGGCTCTAGGGGGTTCAAAAAATCCTACGATCTATACTCACTAGGTGTCATTTTCATGGAAATCGCGTACTGGAAGCCGATAGATCAGATACTGGGGATCAAAGATTTGAACAATGCAAGGCCGAGTGTGACGATTAAAGTGCGGCGGAATCTGTTAGATGAGCAGCAGGGGTTTTTGAAGTATGTGCGGAGTTATCTCGGGAATACGGTGGAGAGGGTTGTGAGGGCTTGTTTGGAGGGACCGAGGGCGTTTGGGATTGAGGATGGGATGGATGAGAAGAGGGGAGAGGTAGGGGCTGAGTTGCAGAGGATGTTTTATGAGAGGGTGGTTAGGGAGTTGGGGGATATGAGGGTTTAGGGGGGCTTGGGGTATCTCATCAAGTGGTGTATAATTTGTTAATGTAGAAGTTTGTTTATCAAATCCTTAGGGCATTCATGCGCAACGAAGTGATTTTGATACACGCATATGCCAAAGCTACTGACTGAGTAGTAGCATGTGACTATTTGAGGGTTGATCACAAACTATCATAGTGATGACTTCCATAATGGTTCTGACTTCCATAGATCATGTATTGGTTTATCTTCAGTATTGAAAAAGGGTGCCCCCATAACCGACATCGGTACTGATTCGTTTCTATCATTCCAGAAAACCCCACCCCATCCCTTTCCCTGCCACTAATCCACCCATTCACCCATCCGACCGCTCCTCCGCCCCCGCGAGAGGGTATGCAATTATCCTTAAAGTACAGCATCAACATTCAACACCCTTCACGGCGAGGGGAAGAGAAGAGGAAAAAATTGTAGTCCCTCACGCCGAGGACCGCGCCGCGCCCGGCCCAGTTCGAATATGCTCAGCTCAGTAACCGACTTTGATGAGGTAGTCGGACAGCTCGGCGACAGAGCTGAAGGCGTTGGTTGTTTGGACTTCGGCGGGGTGGTGGGCGATCAGGAGCGCTTGGGTGGTCTTCATGGCGATGAGGCCCTCTTTGCCCTGTAAAATCCATATTAGTTGTTATATTATGCTACGTTTGTTATGTTATATTCGGGGCGCATAGATGAGCCGGTAAGTGGACGAGATGAGATGTACCTTCTTCCCCTTCAGCGACTCATCGGTCGAATCGATGGTCATGTATTTCTCGCCGTTTACGTGGAATCCATTCACAATGATCTGCTTCGGGTCACTCTTGTCTGAGAAGGAGTCGGCGATGGCCTTGCGCTCGGCGTCGGAGATCTGGGGTTGAGGTCATGTCAGCACACCATTCTAGAGTCGCTTTGCGCCATCCCGTATGCGCCTGTAGCTCGAACTTTTCTTATTTGATGGAGCAGATTGTGCTGATTTAGATGCGAGGCTGCTGGCGGACGGACGTACGGTGAAGCCTGGAGTTGCGGCCCAAATGGTCTTGCCGGATACGTCGCTGATGACGGCTTTGTCGATGTTGCCAGTGCCAACGAGGCTGTTGACAGCAAGTTAGAAATGCGAATGTGTAGCTTGTAGGTGTAGTTTACCTCTGGTCGACGTAGGCTGGCGATACAGTTAGCAGAAAACGGGTGTGTTCGGCGCCTGATACTGACCTTGCCAGGACATGTTGGGAGCGAGAGAGGGGGGGGGCTACGCGGGCCGATGGAGCTTGTGATGGAGGGGGGAATGGAGGGGTAAGTGCGGTGTTGTGACGCAGAGAGAATTTGCAGGTCGAGGGAGCGCGCGAGGATAGCAAGGGCCGTGTGGAGATATGTTGCGGTGAGGAGTTGTTGGGCAAGGCAAAGGCAAAGTCACAGTCAAGTCAAAGAGCTTGTCTGTGTCTGTGTGTCTCAGCTCCAGACTAGAGTGGGGCACTTTTCTTTTGCGCAAATCCCCGCAGCGTTGCACCGTTGCCAGACCACGAGTTGCCATGACACTCTTTCAACATAGACCAACCGACACTGTGTTCTATTTTCCACACTTCCGCTTCTTGCGCCATCATGCACCTGCAGCGTCCTTGGGCGAGTCCACGGGTGGGGGTTGTCTTCCATTCATGCCCGCGAATCCCCAGCCAGACTCCCCATCTGCGCCGCCGACGATATTAAGCAGGAAGCAGGAGCGGGCAGGGCCGCAATGACGATTCCCCACCGCACCGTCCTTGGCCTTTCATGCAAGCATGCCGATCGGATGAGTTGAGATGCCAACGGCGGTCTCACGAAGAGAAGTGAATGGGTAGGACAGTAATGGCGGATCAGGCCGTGCTGAGCACCCCAACATGCCAACAAGCCGGGTTTCAGAGCAATACGGACGTGATTGCGGAGCTGAAGCCGTGGATCGTGCCACCAGTAATTCCACGTCGGGATAGATTAGCTGTATATATCTCCGAGCATGGTCCCTGAACGTGGCTCACTGACGACGCACGCTCTGAGGGAGTTCAGGTGTTCAGGTCACTTGCATCCAGATCTCTCACATGCAATATTGTTTATTGTGTGCAAGCAGTGACCTTCGTTTAGGCACATCTTTCCTTTCCTTGTTCCTGTGCTGTTACTGTGAAGAATCGAGATGAAGGAGCCTCGCCATTTGCGGCAGACCACGTTGAGCGCTGATTGGCTGAGGGTAATACTCACGTGATACGCACCCGGAAGAGGCTCGAGCTCTAAAGTTTTGGACGCGAACAGCTTTTCCCAACCTCAGCCTGAACAAGACACTTAACCACTGACCTCACAGCACACCAATTCTGTGCTACTCTTCAAGTTCTCCACAGCGATAATGCCTTCTCGTTCTGGCTCACCCTTGCGCACCCCATCTCGCCCTCGGTCTGGTAGCTTGTCTCGCGGTCGGTCGCCCATTCACTCAAGGTCGAGGACGCCCAGGTCTCCACCACCGCGGTCAGATCGCTCTAGGTCTCCACGACGGTCGATATCTCCTCGCTCTGCGTCGCGTTCTCGCTCGCGCACGCGATCAAGATCTCTCACGCCAGTCGGAAGACGCAATGGCCGGCGAAGCTATACGCCAGACAGCAGGTCCCAGTCTCCAAGAGGACGAAACTATAGCCGTAGTCCGAGTCGGGGCAGCCCCCCTGCCCTGAGGAGCTCCAAGTTAAGTACTACCCATCCCCGCACTACGCAATGCCCCTACTAACTCTTCACTAGATTGTCGTGGAGCATCTCACAAAGAACGTGAACGCCGATCATCTCCGCGAGATCTTTGGCAAATACGGCCCCATCAAAGAACTTGACTTACCTATGAACCATACCTGTAAGTCTTTCTACTTCCTTCACGATAATCTTGTAACATTATCCTCCAGTCAACACAAACCGCGGCTCAGCCTACATCCTTTACGAAGAGGTCGAAGACGCCGAGAAAGCCATCACTCACATGCATGAAGCGCAACTCGACGGTGCTAAACTCACTGTCTCAGTTGTGCTTCCTCGCCGCCGCTTCTCACGCTCTCCTCCACCGCTTCGCCGACCCTTCCCACCCCGAGACCGCGACCGCGACCGAGATCAATACAACGACCGCCCAGGTGGTCCCCCTGGTGCCTACCGACCGCCACCAATGGCCGGGTCTGGTCCACCGGGACGGTTCCGTTCGCCGCCACGACGCCGTTCACCTCCACGAGGCTATGGAGGCCGTGGAGGCCGCGGTGGTAGAAGAGATGACGATAGCTACTACCCCCGTCGTTCGCCATCGAGGTCACGGTCTCCTCGGCGCAGTAGGTCGAGGTCATATTCGTCACGGTCGCGCTCTAGGTCTCCCCCACCACCACGACGAGGAGGAAGAGGACGCGGAGGTGGCGGTGGTGGTGGCGGTTATGGAAGGCGAGATTCTCTGCCTAGGCGAGGCGGAGGAGGAGGAGGAGGGGGTGGTGGTGGTGGTAGGAGGAGCCCGAGTTACAACTCATATGACAGTTACAGTCGGAGCCGCAGCAGGGACAGAAGCCAGGATCGAGGTGGATGGAGACGGTAGGTGAACATCAGAATTCGGGATCAGAGTGAAAGTGCAGTGGCTTGATGCCTAAGGAAGCTAATATCGCTGCGACTGAATAATTTTTGGAGAACTAGGGGCAGGGTTGATTCATATCGAAAGCTTCAGGCATTTGCAATCGTAGCAAGGCGTAAGGTTCGCAAAAAAAATTGGAATACCCACTTTCATATGCTCATGTTATGCGAAACACCACACTATCTTGCGTCTAAGTAAATAATCTTACGGGTTATTTTACATCCAACAAACACCTCATTACCCTACAACATCCCCACCAAACCCAACTGGCCTCCTCACTTTACCACTACCAATATGCGGCACAATCGCCATCGCCTTATATATCCTGCCCATCCCCGTTGGCCCCCGATCAACCAACCTTTTCCACCCAGTTTCTACCCTCTTTGCCATCTCATCTCCCTCATCTCCCTTCTCGGTTCTAACCTCTTTCGCAACTCTCGCGACCTCCGCTAATCGTTGCGCCCTCTCCACAATTCCCAATGACCTCAGGAAAAAAGCTTGTTCAACTGGACCATGAACTTCGACCCCGGGTGACGCGCGAATCGCGGATTCCGCGAGGGCTAGGAAATCAACGTCGGCGGAGAGATCGACTTCTCCTGCGCAGAGGAAAGGGGTGACAGGTTGGTGGCTGCGGATGCCGCGGAGGGTGTTGGCGGGGATGGTGGATGATGGGCCGTAGTCGAGGATTAGGGCTGCGCCGGAGGGGTGTGAGGATGATGGGTGTGAGGAGAGGGAGGGGGAGGATTTGGGGGCATTGGACCCTCCGATTCGAATAGCGAAATCTGCTACGTACGCCAGAGATTCCGGAGAAATTTCAATGACAGCATCAGGTGTATTAGCCAGTGCTTTATATCTTTCTGATGTCTGAGGCAAGTACAGCGAGTGCGGTGTCGGGGTTTTAGAAACTGTAAGTTGGAATTCTGGCTTCTGCTCTTTCAAATCCTTCGAGCGAATGATGTCCGGGTCCGAAAAAGAAGGTGCAGGGGATACGACGAGTTCGTGCCACTGGTTTCTGGGAACTTGAGGACCGTATTTAGGTATGATGGGACCGGTCGGTGTGATGATTTTCGAGGCCGCGGGGATGGTTGATGAGGTGGTGTTTTGGAAGACGTGGATGGGGAGCGCGTCGAAAAATTCGTGGGCGAGGATGAAGGGAGTCGTGGTTTCGTCTTGTATTTGAGTTAGACTGACTCAAAATGAAGGGAGAAGATGGATCGGGACGGACCTTTTGGGACAAATCTAATGTCCTCACACCATGTGATATCGCGGCCTGGAAGGTATTTACAGCCGGCTTTCCACCCATTTTGAACCTCTCTCAGGTCCTCGGTGCCGGAGAGAAGTTCTGCTTGTTGCTTGCGGAGATGGGGTGACGCTTCGACGAGATAAACAGTGTCTATGCTCTGAGAGAAAGGTTTGAAGTTCGATATCGTCTATCCTCCGATCAGCGTCATCCCTTACCACTATCCCCTCCTCACCCCTAGATAATAAATATAACATACCCTAAGTACATCCCCCATCAACGTCCCCCGTCCCGGGCCAACCTCAATAACCTGCGACCTTTCTCTCCTCCCCTGCGCCAACCACTCCGTATACAACCATATTCCGACTAGTTCTCCAAAAACTTGGCTTATCTCGGGGGATGTTATAAAATCGCCTTTTGCCCCGAATTGGTCGTGTCCAGACGTCTGGCGTGTGTAGTAGCCGCCGTTAGGGGAGGTGAGACATTGCCGCATGTATGAGGCTACAGATACGGGACCGGCAGTCTGTATATTATATTAGCATCTAGGTCCACGGCAACAAGGATATAATTATACAGTTATAGCTTCAGCGAGCGACTTCGCAAGAGGCGTCGACCATTGTCGTTCTCCGCTCCCGCTCGAGGAAGAAGACCACCGAATCCCATACCCATATCGAGCAGATAGATACGCAATTGGCCTTGAACAACGCCCTCGCGTCGCAACCCGAAAATAATTGAGAGAATGGGCTCTCATTGTCTTGAGTATCATCGAAGTTCCATGACAGACAAACGCATGCACGCGTGAAATCGGAAAGTGGGACGTCGGAAATCGGAAGGAGCTATGACCACTTTTTAAATTCACCGACCTCTCTGCACGTGTGAGGCAGGCCACCTCGAGCATGTGGCTTGAGTTTCTTCGACTTCATCTCTTCACAACGCAACATCTACTCAAAAGCCTGCGGATTTAGAATAGAGTGATTAAAGTATTATTTGAAATGGCAGGAGCTTCTCGTTGGGCTAATATAGATGACCTGGAATCTCAACGCAAGAAAGAGAAGGAAGAGAAAAAGCGCCTGAAACAACTGAAACAACAACAAGCCGAAACCGAAGCCGAAGCCTTACGTGCAAAGAAAGAGCAGGAGGAATTAGACTCCCGTCCTGCAAAGAAAAGGAAGCTCTCACCAAGTCCCGAGAATAGATCCGCATCAGCATCTTCTGGGGAGAAGAGGAAGCTATTACGCTTTGAAGCTGGAGGATGGGGTCCCTGTCGAAACGTTAGCAATTTCGAGACATTAAATCATATTGAAGAAGGCACCTATGGGTGGGTTTCGAGGGCGAAAGAGACGGCAACTGGAGAGGTAGTCGCTCTGAAGAAGATGAAGATGGAATACGCCCAGGATGGATTTCCGGTGACCGCGCTGAGGGAGATCCAGTTGCTGCAGCATTCGAAACATCAGCATGTTATTAATCTCAGGGAGGTTGTTATGGGAGATCAATTAGACGAGTAAGTGAGAATCTCCCTCCCAATTCCGCCACCCTCTTCACGGGCATACTACAAGGAAAGACACTAAGACCCTCCCAGAGTCTACCTAGTAATGGACTTCATCGAACACGACCTAAAATCTCTCCAAGAAATCATGCCCGAGCCGTTCCTCGCCTCCGAAGTAAAGACCCTCCTCCTCCAACTCACCTCCGCCCTTGACTTCCTTCACACCCACTGGATCCTTCACCGCGATCTCAAAACCTCTAATATTCTCCTCAACAACCGGGGGATCCTCAAAATCGCCGACTTCGGCATGGCCCGTCGGACCTCGGATCCCCCTCCCCCAAACCTCACACAGCTTGTTGTAACGCTGTGGTACCGCGCCCCGGAACTCCTCCTCGGAACCACGACATATGATTTTGCAATCGACATGTGGAGTCTAGGGTGTATATTTGGGGAACTTCTTTCCAAAGAACCCCTCCTACAAGGGAAAAACGAAGTCGACGAACTTAGCAAAATCTTCTCATTATGCGGGATCCCAACAGACATGTCCTGGCCCGGATTCCGACGGCTACCAAACGCCCGAAGCCTCAAGCTGCCGCGTGACGTCGAGCAAAACGCGGGATCCATAATCCGCACAAAGTTCCCGTTTCTGACTACCGCGGGCTGCGGCTTACTTTCCTCGCTGCTCGCCCTGAACCCGGAGAGTCGGCCTACTGCGCAAGACGTCCTTGCACATCCATATTTTAAGGAGGCGCCGAAACCAAAGTCAGCGGCTCTGTTTCCAACGTTTCCGAGTAAAGCGGGAGGGGAGAAGCGGAGGCGCGCTAGTCCGCATGCGCCGGTAAGAGGGGGAGCGGCTCCAGGTTTGGGTGGTAAGGAGATTGATTTTAGTGGGATTTTTGCAAGGAGGGATGAGGAGCAGCACGGTGCGGGATTTACGTTGCGCATGGGTTGATAGACACAGTTGCCCGGGGACTGGAGAAGGGCTGATGTTCCTTTGTCTGAGTAGACTGGGAGATGATGGTTGCAATGAGCATCTTTAGGAATTCAAGACGTGTACAGCATCTTGCCATCCAGCGTGGAACATGACAGGGCGACTTAGGACAGAAGTTTGCACCCTCTTGACACTCTCCCTGATTCCAGCAGAGGTTTAATCGATAAACTCTAGCCTGTTCGTGCTCCAAGGTATGTGATAACATACTGCAATTTTGTAGTACCTTTCCCTAAGTAGACAAAGACTCAAAAATATCGAGCTCGCAGATGCTACCAAGTTCATGTCTCATGAAGCCAGTCGTGAACTTAAAGCTACACCCATCATCCCCATGCACTCCCATTACACTATCACAAATCTCGTTCAATCAGCGCCTCCTCTCCCCACACACTCCTCTCACAACTCCTTCTTCCCCTCAGAACTACCCTCCACAGCCGCTTTCTCAATCAACCCCTTCGCAACTGCCACCGTCTCCCTCCACCCCTTCTGCCTAGACCAAAACCTATCTTCAGGCGTACTAGCCTTAAGACTCGCCCTTCTCGCATCCTCCTCCAAGCTTTCCCTCGTAATCTTCTCCCCCAGATCCGCCATCTTAGGCAATCTACCGACCTGGCTAAGACTTTCCTCGAAGTACTGCTTGCGCACAAGAAACCGCTCCCTCCGCTCTTTCTGCAAGCCAGGAGAATCTAGTTTCGAGATTGCAATCCGGACACCCCAGCGCAAGAGAATGAAGAGGTGCTCTGAAAGCATAACGGAGAGGAGGAGCGCCCAGCCTGTGATGTTGCTAGGGTGGCCATCAGGTCCGAGCCCGTCGTTCGAGAAGAGGTAGACTAGAGCTGAGGTCGTTAGACTTCCTAACCAGGTCAAGAAACTCAGAGAGTCGAGCCAAGGACCGATAGTGTCAGCGCGGCAAGGAGTCGGACGTTGCATTTCCACGCAGATTTTGATGGCATCGGCTCGTAATTCGACCCAGTCATTGATTAAAAATGACAAAGGTGTCAGTGGCCAGACCACTGAGAATAAGGAGAGGTATCCAAATTGGACCACCATCTCCCGAAGATCGGCGGTTACATCGTAGACTTCTAGTTCTGCTTCTTCTCGCACGCGGTTTAGGAATGCAGCGTCTTCGGGTGGATCGTTGGGAGAGGGAGGTGAAGGTGTAGCACTACGATTAGTAGAGGGCGGTGGAGGTGTACCGCTACGCTTAACAGCTCGGTCTTCTTTCATTTGCCTGTACCTAGAGAAGACACGACGTTTGAGGTAGGGAACTACCAACTCCATGCCCAGGTTTACGATCTGTGCAGTCACCGTGAAGTAAATAACCTGTTTCCTCAGCCTATCGGGATTAATGGTAAACCCGGCTTGAGGTGCCTGTATTTGCTTTTTGTCGTCGGCAAATGGCTTGACTGTCAAATTAAAGACGTCAAGGTATGGAACTATGATGTTGCCAAAGGGGACGTAAACAAATGCTGTGAGGAAAATCGGTAGGTAAGAAGTGATGAAGTTCAGGACAAATATCTTCTGGGTGAGTGCCGCCTCGTACGCTCCATCGGTCTGGTAGTTCTCGTATTTAGTGAGACGTGTTGCAAAGTTCGTGAGGATGCTGGAGAGAATTGGCATGACTGTGGTGGCGATGCCAGTGGGGAGGAATACCTGGAGAGGATTAGCAAACGCAGAAGATTGTACAGACGCAGTAGCATACCAAGACGCTCTTGAAAGGCCCACTGTATACTTCAGAAATGAAGACTTCAATGCTAAAGCAGGTCGCAATGAGAGCCCCCAATAGCACCGCTGCGGTAAGTGCAAATGGAATCTGCAATAGTTGTCGTTGCAGCCGTTTGGTAGATGGGAATATCAAGACCGTTTCTCCCGTAACAGGGTCGGTGATTTGCTTCTCATGCTTGAAGTCTCTCTTCTTAGTTTCGATCCGAGATACACCTCGGACGCCCCAACGCACGCCCAAGTCCACCTCTTGATGCTTCCACCACTCCGTGAAGATAGTACACCAGACAGCACTTACAATCCCATATATGGGTGAAAAGTGGCCAAGAAATAGCCATGCCGACGCGCCGAAGACGGCTGGGAAGATGAGGAAGGTGAAATAGGATTGCGTAAAGGCGAAGTAGAATGCAATCTACCCACGATTAGCGACGCAAAGCGTCAAGGAGCCTTTGAGCCCTACCTTCTCGCCCAAGCGGTTCCGAATATCATCCAGATCCTCCGTCTTCAAGAAATAAGATGTAGTCCATTTCTTGATCCAATCTTTGTTGTATGCAAGATCATGCAACGCAAAGATAGACTCCACATTCTCCCACTCTCCCTCACCAGGTGTAATACCAGCTCCTCCTTCATCTACCGGATTTGTAATCAACTGATATATGATTCGGAGTCTCTCAGCTTCGTACAAAGGCTCCGCTTCGAGAGCTTCGCGGGTCTCCTTGGGGGGTGCAGCGGCTCGAACGCCATGGATCCAGTCACGGACTCTGCCTTAGGCGTCAGTTATAATGTTCACGTTCTAAATGCGGAAGCGGCATTTACCTTGATCTGTACACCTCACCAAACAAATGCTCATCTGACGCAACCCTTACGAAGAGCAAGACTGACTGCAAGTCTCCATTGCGGACCTCTGTATTGAACCCTACAGACGCAAGGGCCTGGACTAATTCCTCGAACTTTGAAATCGCTACGCTTTTATCTGCACGATTTTAGCGAAATTACATGTGAGAATAGCTAGTAGACGGGTACCCTTCTTCGCGAACCGATAGCTGATCACGTAGTCGACGTCCATGTTCGTTTGGAGGGCTTGGCTCTTCGGAGCCATAGCGAGAATTTGGCTGGCTACGCGAGCAAGCGGACGAGGGGAGAGAGGGCAAACTTGTAGAGGAGTGAGAGAGAAGTTGGGGGGAATTGGAGGCAGACGCTGCTCAAAAGGAAAGTGGCATGGTGCTCTCAGCCAAGCTTTTCTGGACCCATCAACGTCATCGCCAGATCTGCGATCATCCTTGCAGCACATCAGTGCCCGCTCTCTGGACAAGACGAACATGTGATCGGCAAAGGCTTGTATTTTCTGACATTATACTAGAAATGAACATATATACTTACAAAGCAAGTATTCCCAGTATGGAAGTACCTACCATTAAGTACTTTCACCTGGCGGATCGGAGGAGCCACAGCGGATTTCGAGGAGCATCTACGGATCGTCCAACTTCCTATTACTCCTAAACTTCTCAATATTCCCCTCCCTCGCTCTTATTGTCCCAGTGGCATCTCAGGAAGTTTTCATTTGTGTAGCTACATAGTATCGAACCAGTAACCTGGTAAAAGCTTATGACCTTATCTATAAAGAGACAATGGACGCTAGAAAAGGAGATAATGAACCTCGACAATATCAAAGATCAACTCGAGCGGCTGCGAAGCGGGATGTGCAACCGTTTATGAAGAACTAGAACCTGTAAGCCAGCTACCTTTCGAGGTAGCTTCCTTATATTAATAGTTGTAGTGGCAAAAACTCCAATGCTGAATAGATCTGTCACTCTCTACCCTCCCACCTTGTCACTCACTCACCCGCCAGATCCCCCACCCGACGATCCTCATACAGAGAGCCTAGCATATAGATGTTAGTATCTGGGTGGGGTGTTGTGCCAATAATTAAAATAGTCCGAAACCAACAACCCTTTGGGGCCGATACCGGATCCCTAATCTCATCCTCCCCATACCCCCTGTCGCAGCATCCCCAATCTCCTCCTCAAAGACACACATAAAGCGCGTCTATTGATGAGAAAAGGATTGCGCCGGAAACGGGAGCCAAAAATGCGGCACCGCGAAGTAGGCATCGTGTCGATTCGCTGCTCATCGGAATCGTATTCTCCGACTAGCAAGTTTGCCTTTCCCACACCGGGTATAGATCAGCAGTAGAATTCAACAATGATGACTAACACATAGAAGATCGAGTTGCAGGAGGGAAGAGACAGAAACTGGAGCAGGTGCTTTGAAAATTAGAGTACAGAAAAACTGGAATTAGACTTGAGGACCGAATCCACTAACGTGACATCGCGCCTTTCAACACCATTGGGAGCCAAGAAGATCGGTTGGCGAGGTTGGTACAGACTCGTAAGTCTGGGTTGAGGTCCCTTGGGTCCAGCAACATAATACGGGGCGCAACCGACCTATGATGTGACAATCTCCGAACAGACTACGGTAGGCGATGAATAACCACATGCTGAATGGCCCAGTCATTAACGCCGTGTGCAGGAAGCGATCCAAAAGGAGTGTTCCCGATAGAAAAAGAAAAAGAAAGTAAAAGACTGAGCCACAAGTAGGGCTACGATCCACCAAGCAGGTTGACTTCGCCCGACCTACGTAGAAACAATGTGCCACCCATCCATCTAAGGGTATACCGGTATGGGTGGACGCTGTGTCCACTAATCATCATATCATGAACCGCTGAACTCCGTTTGCCGTATTCCGTATTACATCTGAAAGTTATAGCCATATCAAGGTTGCCACACAAAAATTGTAAGCTGTCCCAGAAAAGGATGAAAGCGATAGCCCATAGCCGCGCGTATAAGTGTGCGGTCAAGTTGAAGACTGGGGTCAATTTACAAGGACGGAGCAATGCTGTGTAAAGTCTCCAGTGGAGCTTTACTACCCATGCTACGATGGATCTTACAAAGACCTAGTAAGTTTCTCCATGTGGGCTCGGTGATCCTCGTAGGATTCGTAGTTTCCAGCGAAAATTGGCTCGAGAATGCTGGCTGCATACTCTCCAGACGCGCTCAGGTAAGTCATTCGCTCCCGCATCGCCTTGTGAGCGGTTGAGAACTCCTTGAAGACATATTTGATTTTCGAAGATCCGCCTGATATGTTGTTGGCCGGGTTGTTGGGATCCTGGATAGAAAGACCATCCGGCTTCTCATTCCGTCCATCAATACCGATGCGTCCCTGCAAGAAGACATTAGCTACACAATTGGGCCAAAAATAATAATAATAATAATAATAATAAAAAACCCGAGAATCTTAAGAAGCCATGAAGAACAACCATTGTATAAAGAAAGTATGGAGAAATGGTACATACCTTATTAACGTGGCCCGGCGGGTCCATTACAATCCTCTTCCTTGCAAGATTGAAGCGATTGCCGTAGAGATCAAGAAGGCCAAGGAACATTTCCCCGAGATCGCTTGTGCGTGGCTGGGTTTGTAGATAGCTGACGGTAAGGCAGATGGTTGAGAAGCCGCCCAATCCACCGTTGTGCACGTCGCTGAGTCCTCGCATAACGAGAAACTGTTTGAGAAGCGCTATAAGAAAAGGTATGTCGGGGTAATCTTGTTTCCATCCGGCGAAAGTCTCCTGGGCTTGAATTCCAGTAAGATTCTCGAACGAAAGGTCAACTCTGATGCCAGTTAGAGAATCGATAAATTTTATGATCGGCACTTTAGCTTTCGTAATAACCTGAAGCGAATTAGGTTCTATTAATCCTGCTTTCTCAAGCCTGTTAGCAGCTGGGAACAGTACTGATCCAGCCGATCTAGGTTTGTCAAGCTTTCCGAGTCGCGGTCCACCACTAGCATGGGTGTTGGTGACATAGACGAGATCCATATCTGCTGCAGGCAAGTACAACCCAGCAGGAAACGAACCAAAACAATACACTTTACCGGAAGTGCGTCCAAAATTGCGACCCAGAGCATCTTCGACCCGTTGTACAAGATTCTGGCGAATAGTTTGGTCTTGTTGCGTGGGCTTGACATAGTCGTAGAAGTCCAGGATCTCATTATGAAGCCTGCATTAACGGTCAGCATCAGAGTTGAAATGTGGAGGTGGAAAGAGGTACAACTTACACTTTACTAATATCGCCTCTGAGTCGTTCATAGTTTTCGTTCTTGCACCACGGCGTTCGATTCCCGGACGGGCGTGGAAGCCATTCCTGCAAGAGGCTACCTTCATGCTCCCCACGTTTGCGCTTCGCAGCATGACGGCTCTGTTGCTGAGGCTTGGGAGGAAGTCCAGCAGCATCAACAGAGCGTTTAGGAGCGTGCTTTGGTTCTTGCAAACCTCCGGCGCTTGCGACATCGTTCAAAGAACCAACAAGCTGCGGAGTACTCAGCGAGTACAAAGAGTAAGACGGAAGGAGGTAGGGCTGGACAGATGCAGGAGGAGAAAGTGGAGGCGTCGGTGGAGGCGTGGAGTCAGGGGGTGGGGGAATGCGTGGAGGCGTTGGTGGGGGTGGAGGAACTATGATATTCGGGTCGCTCACATCTTCGTTCATGTCGAAAGCAATAAAATCATCATTGGCAGCAACCGCGTTATTAGGATCGTCCTTCTCAGCTGCCTGGTTCTTAGCCTTGCGGATTAGCTGAACGAAATCCCGCTTCTTTCCGGTGGTATCAGAGGGCGGTGGTGCAACAGTGTAGGGATCGGGATTTGACCATTTAGGGACAGAATTGCCATCCGCCCGACGGTTCGCTGTCACGCGAGGTTTCTTGTGACTACCATCTTGGTCGTCAGAGGTGTTGTCATTACCAAAAGTCTTGCCAATTTCTCCTTCGGATCTGTCATCATCGTCGGGTAAGTCAGCAAGATCCATGAACCTATTCTGGCCGTTGCTCCCGAGGACCCGTTCCGGGCTTGGGGCATCAGTCGTGCCTGAGATAAGCGCACGCTGGTGTGGGGCTTCTTTGCGGAAAGAGCGGCGGCCACCCCTTCCGTTTCTGTCAAAATGATGGCTATTTCCGTTCTGGGGAAATCTTGACTGGGTGCCATGCTCAGGTTGTTGGTGCCTGCGAGGCTTCTGTGGCGGTTTGCGGGCGCCAACAACTGTGTCGTTATATCCACGTTGGAACTGGAGCGTCTGGTGTCCAGCTCTGAACGTGAATTCCGCGCCGCCGCGACTAGATTGACGGGACGAAGATTCAGCAGGTTTGTACTGATCGCCGGCGCTGTAAGTATCCCCCCCGCCGTGAGTGAATGTCATGCGCGATTGGAGAGGGACTGGGCGGTTGTCGTCGCCGCCGCGCCTACCGCCTCCACGGTTGCGCGGGCGGTATGAGTCCACCATCTGGGTGAAGCTATTATGGACTGCGTTTGCGATATGTCGGTGCGCGCGTTTGTTGTCGGTTGTGGGAGCGGTGGGATGTTCCAGGAAAAGACCGTGCGAAAGATCTTGTGTTGTGTCGAGTTGACTGCGCTAAAATCTTGGCACTGGGATTGCGCAAACACGTCATGTGTATGATTGCCCGAATGCAGCACCATCAGCTTCGTTTTGCCACACCGCTGACTGATATGTATGAAAAGTGGCGATAGTCGCAGATAATCATAGCCTTGGGATGAGCCCAGCTCCTGAGTGATTGGTTTCGACGATACTAAATCAGACCACTTCTGAACGGCCGTGCAAGGGAATATGGTGACATACAGAGAGTAGCCAGCGTTCCTTCCACAGCCTTTGTTCGCTGCTTTCTCTCCAGGGAAGGTGATATCGCATGCCGAGTGAGTGGGACAGGCCCACGAATAACATATAGCTTGGCTAGGCATCGGGGTGCTGTTTGGACAGTATAGAGCTAAAATAATGTCTAAGCCGCTACAGGCGTGTTCTTGCCAGTCGAGATACGCCAAGAGAAGAAACTATTGGTACGAGGTATATACATCGGAGAGTGGAGATATGGTGCAGAGTACCTGGATCCTGCTCCGAGGTGCAGTTAGGACAACTCTGCTCTCCGCTTCAAGCAATAACAATATCCAGACGCTATGCCAGTAACCCAACGCCGTCCTAATGCATGATATAACAGGATCCCAGCCGACAGCGACTATTAGGTACAAAGTCTTCCGGACATTTAGAGGTTGCAATCGGCGGGGGACGATCCGCGCAGAGTGAATGTCGTTCTGGGGAACGTATGCGGCTTCATTCCTTGTAAATCTTCGGCTTCCAATTGAGCTCCTTTTCTCGTTCCGCCATCTCCTGGTATCCCCGAACTTCTCGTTCGATCCGCTCCCTTGCCCGCAGTATCTTGCTTTGGAGGTAGAAGCTTCCACCCTTCTTCGGTTCATTCAGATCGAATAACCGCTTGAATCTCTCTGTGACGATCTCCATGTCTATCTGACCCATCTTCGACGGCCCTACGTTGAGGATCTTGCAGGCCTCGTCCATTGTGATGTTCGATGACGTGAAGACAGCATTGCCGCTCTTTGCATTTGCCGCTGCATATTTTTGCGACGCAGCGGCCTGGCGATAGGATTCGGTGACTGCGCGCCCTATTATTCGGGCGCCAGAGAAGACGACTTGCGTTATTATTCGATGAGCCTGGGAGTGTTAGGTGAGGTAATTGATCGCATTGGATATCGTACCATTGTGCGGAAGAAGAGATTCCAGGGTAGGAGAAGAGAGTAGAGATGGTGGCCGACAGCTTCTGATAGGACTGATTGAGGTAACCGTCAATGAAAGGACGTCGGCCAGCGGGAGGAGAGTCTCAAAAGTTTCCTAGAGTCGCCGCCGAAGATTTGGTGAAGATCCCGACCCCGGGAGGCCGGGTTCACGTGACTATAACCAACCGCCAATCAGACAATGATCGCATTCCGTCCACCGAAGAAACCCGAGGTGTCCCGTCAAAGTGCTGCGAAATCATCAGAAGGCGTGAAAGCAGAGAAGATAGTGTTTGCTCACTACAAACCTGCATATATAATCGCAGCTTCAGGAGAGCAGTAGCAGACACGGGCCACCAGCATGTGTTGTTGCCTTTCAAGCGCAGCTATCAACCATCTCGGGCCAAGTCCTTCACATGCACAACCCCCGCCCACTATCATCTTACACAAAGCCCTTCACTTCTCCTTACCTCTCACTAATAACTAATAAAACATCTTCCCAGAAGCTTGGATCTGCTGTCGGCGGCAAGCTAAAGGACGTGGCTTGACAGAGTGGACGCGGCGCTCAGCCTCAAATCAGCACATGCTTGCTCGACAACAGGTGATGACGTTCATGCATGGCAGCACTTGGCAAGTCGCGACCATCCTCAAAACCACAAGATTTAGACCACAACACTGCTAACACGGCCTCAGACACCCCTTGGCTAGATCATATGTCCACCCCTTCACGATCCGCCAACGATGCTTCGCCGCAGCCAAGTGGGGACCCTAATCCGCCCACCTATGCTACCTTCTCTCCCTCTACAATAGGGCAAGCAACACCCCAAACGAAGATCCGTTCTGCAATTCTCGTGCATCAAAAGTCGCCTTTACTCGCCGCAACACCTCCTCAAATTACGCGCGTGCTTGCCTACTCACATCCATTTCTCCTGCCACTCAACAAGCTTGTTGGACTGCTCACTTGGACAACTGGCGACCCATGGGAGAGCTTCCTGATAGTTGCAGGATTCTGGGCGGCGGTGTTGTATGGAGATGTGGTGACAAGATTCGCGGGGCCGATCATCGTGGTACTATGCCTGATTCTGGGTATGTATGCTCGGAGGTACTCCCCGCTGTCCTCGACCGGGTGGACAGGAGAGAAAGGGCAGAAAGGACATAATAGAGCCGAATCTGAGAGCAATATTAAGCATCATAAGAGCTTGGAGGAACTTGTAGACACGCTGAAGCTCTTCACGTCGCGGTGCAATATCCTCCTAGACCCGTTTCTGCGGTTGACAGACTTTCTTTCAACACAAAGAACAGCAACATCCGCAACTACAAGACCTGCGCTCACTACACTATTTGTCCGCATATTATTCGTCACGCCGCTATGGATCATCCTTACCCTCCCACCGTTCTACATAATCACAACGAAACGAGTGGTCCTGGCTGTCGGCACTGTTGTCCTCAGTTGGCATTCCCGGCCGGCGCGCGTGTCTCGCACTATCCTATGGCGCTCGAGAATAGTGCGGCGAGTATGCGCTGCCATCACCGGACTGCAGCTTGGAGAGGCCGATCTGAAAACTAAGAATGGGGCACCAACACTACCTCCACGACGAAAGAGCGCGCAAGAGATAGCAGCGTCTCTTGCAGCAAGGCGGCGGCCAGACTCTCCCGGCGTTCGGTTCACTTTCGCTATCTACGAAAATCAACGTCGATGGTTAGGTATTGGGTGGACTTCATCAATGCTTGCTTACGAACGTGCTGCCTGGACAGATGAACACCTCAATCCCACCCCATCAAGGGATCAATTTGAGCTTCCGGAGGTTGAAGGTGGTCAAGCAAGGTGGAGGTGGGTTCAGGGGAGTGAATGGAAAATAGAAGGTACAGAGAAGGGTGGAAAGGGCGACAGAGAAAGCTCCGGGGGAGATGGGGCGGGTTGGATTTACTACGACAATAAAGTATGACATTCCCCATCATTCTAAGTCAGTGAGAAGTTGAAACTAACTCAAGCGCAGTGGCGGGATGGTCGTCGTGGCCAGGACGGGTGGGGACGCTACACCCGTCGACGCAAGTGGTACAGAGACGCTGAACTCGTGGAAGTGACTCCTTCTACCGAAGTGACACCCATCCCAACCCCCAAATTCGAACCAGTAGCCGACTCCTCTGAGCCACCTACTCCAACACCCAAACTCTCAACCTCTAGTGAGGCAGCAAATGGCAGGCTCTCCTTAGATGATAGCGTGTCAATCACGGACGACACTGATGCAGGCAGCAATAGGTCAAAACGAAGCTGGTTCAAGCGAAAAACCCGAAGTCGGCCAGGAAGTGACAAGGCGGCTACGATAGCCAGCTCAACAAGCACAGATCTAAGTCGACGGAGTGATGAGGATGATGTGCATACGCCGCTAGAAAGAACTGCCAGAGAGGATGAGTGGCGGCTTGGAGACGACATACGGATGCAACTAGACATTTGAGCGCGTAGTGCGGGTTATTATCTTTCTTCCTTCCATCACCTGCGTGTATTACTAGCCGCTATTTCCTCCAAGTATACCGAGCATGATGGCGTTCAAAGTTTTGAAGTGAGGCGATTTACCGCTCAATCTTCCTTGTCTCTGGGATTTCTTCGGGCCATCTGGGGGACTTGGATTGGAGCAAGGGTGTTATCCCAAGAGTAGGTAGCGTAGATGGTGAACATATATTGCATAATCCTGGAACTTGAGAACGCATAGCACTGGCAATGTACATTGCCTACACCAGTGCTATACTCGTCACATTTCTTGTTAAGTGATCCCCTAGACATTGATGATATAGAATAGTGGCTTCCCTTAATTCGAGACTCTTTCGTTCAGTCTGTGTATCTTCTTCTGCCAAGCAAAAGTACATGCAGAACCAAAGATACCCCCAATACCCGCAACAAATGTATAGACCGTGAATGCGAAAAGTGGAAGAAATACTACTCCTGAGATTGCTGAAGCTGTGACCTGTAGCCAACGGCCAAGGTGAGTCTTAATATGAACTGGGAAATCTTCCCCAAGACTGTAGAATTTCCCTGCACTCTGCAATGTTACGTCCATTTATAAATGAATTAACCTAAGTAACGTAAAGCTTTTGCCATATTAGCATCACCCTTTCATATTCAGGGGTCCCAAATCCTCCCCAGCTACCAATCGGTCATTGATGGCATACGGATAATATGTTGAGACGAGATCATGGGAGATAACGTCCTTTCCGGTTTGTGTAGTCTTGATCAATGCCTGGCGATTCGTCCATCTGAGGAGAAAGATTAGTTCCAGAACTTTACTATTTCCACCAGGTGTATCGGGAAGTGATTGGCTTTCGAAGATTGCATCGAAGCCCCCATCCCAGCTGGCGCCCGGATTGTATAGATAGAACGGGTGCTGGCTTTCCGAGTGACTGTGAGAACGGATTTCAGTTGTGAGTAGGCTGTGAACGAAAGTCCTGTATCACTTCCCCTACCAACCCTAACCCTATACGAGGTTCTATACCCGGAGTTCACCGCGAATCCCTCAAAGAGACAGGCCTACTTCCTTTGGTTATTCCACTCCTTCGGCCGTTGACAAAAGTAGACCAACTACAGCTGCTCTAACAAAGGTGTCTGTGAAGGTATTGGGAGAGTTGGATGAGTTTTGCGGAACGAGGACTTCCTAAGATTGTACCCTTTGTAGCAGCTGCTCGAAAAGCCGAGGGAATTCTACCTCAATCTTCTTTGCAACTTGCTGGTGAGCCTCTTCTGCTTGAGCGGCAGCCTATGTAGCCTGTTTTCGAGCTGCGACCGAATGGTCGGTAGCTAGCCCTGATCCAGCCCGTATTGATTTCAGGATATGACGCTCGTTTGGGTTAGCAAGCTTCTTTCGTTTAGTATTTGTGAGTGTTCCTAGTACAAAAGACACAACCATAGCTCATATTCTATAGGATGCAATTCTCCACAGAGTGAAGTGGTGAGTACAGAAGTGGATTTGTCGACCATCTTCAAGCCTAGGCTTACACGTTGGGGTGGCTTATCTCGTACAATAGTCAAGAATGGATGTATCGTGGTTTTGAACAACTGTACTGCCAGGATGGCTGCGCCGCACTCTTTAAAGATATCATAGGATAAGCTAGTCTTGTAAACAGGCTTCCTACCCTAAGTGCCAGCTGTTTATGTGAAGGACTTTTGTTAGGCTCTTTGCACATTAGTCAAATTGACTGTGGTTCCCGAACCGGGTAATTCAGATCCTCACCCCATCTCTGACATCTTATATACTCCACGCCTCATTCCTTACCCAGTCTTCACATGTGGTAAATTACCCTCTAACACCTCACACCATAGCTGATAACTTGTAGCCCGCCGCAAAAACGCTATGCAAATCATCGCCGAATAGTTGTTGGGAGTCTCCAAACACTGTCTCGTCTATCTGCACCTAAGGCATGATAAACCAAAATATATATATATATATATATATAAATAATAATAACAAGGTTCAAAACAATTTAAGGATTACTACCTGCATTAAATAGGACGTCTTTGGGCTCCACGCCACAATCACACCCTTAGAATAGAGGACCCCTCACGCCTAGATTACAAGTCCAGCTTGCTCGTCGTTATGGTCTTGCACAACTAACCACTTCGAGGAGAGCGTTTAGATACACATACTTAACTTACTAGCTTCCTGTTGTGGAGAAGAGTGTTTAGTATGATATTTACCGTATATCAACATGTCGCCAGGTCCAAAGTCCGAAGGCCTTGAGGAGACATTAAGATTGGGGATAGGCGAACCAGTCAACCAACGACCATCACCAGGTCTCCAGATATTGGCTGTAATCCTGTCTCTGACTGCAGCTGTGGTGGCTCCTGTGGCGTACGTATTCTTAATTCCCCATTTACCGAAAGGTATGAAGGGGCTCACTCCTTACAACACTAAGCGCCTCATAACACGGACTCGACTTCGAGTGCGTGCGCACGTAGCAAACTATTCCAAGATTCTCAGTATAATAGATCATATATTCAGTCAACTTTGAAATAAATGAGAGAGATTGGATGCAGTGAGTGCTTTGGTACGGGGAAATTTAAGTGCTCTATAACCGCTGTTTTTGGTCCCTGCGCTAGGTCTTGAGATGTGAATTCCGGATATCATACATGAGCCATATTCTTCGTATTCATACAGAAATAGTATACAACCTATCCATTGTCAAAATGCTCGTAAATACAGCTTGTTCACTCACGAAAAACAGTCGTAGGAGGATATTCATGCTCGGCCTATATCTTAACTCTCTGTCGCACCTCCAACTGACTTGCAACATCCAGTACAAGTCTATCATCGCCGTATTGCCCAATAATCTGCATACCTGCTGTTTGCTCTACCCCAGCTTTGCTCAAGTCTGGGTCATTGTGGTCTTCCCTGATACTGATCGGAATACTAATGGCAGGCAGCCCAGCCAGGCTGGCAGGCACCGTGAATACATCACTCATTGTTTCAGAGACTGAATCTTGATTCTCAATATTAGAGATGAGTTGGGGTAGGGTCGGGGCTGTTGGACAGAGTAGAACGTCCACGCCACTTGAGTTGGATACAGAAGGTGAGGTAGAAGATACCAGCGGATTAGGTGCGGAGAAAGCATTGTCAAAGTCTTGTTGCACAAGGCGACGGATTTTCTGGGCCTGGATGAAATAGTTGTCGATCGCCTGAGCGCTAAGAGAGAAGGTGCCCAGAAGAATACGGCGACGGACTTCGGGGCCAAATCCCTCACCACGCGTTTTTGCGAAGAGAACGCTTTGGGGTGTGCCATCAATACCCTCTGCCCGGCTCCCATATCGGACTCCATCATATTTCGCGAGATTGCTTGAGGCTTCCGCTGGAGCTAGGATGTAGTATGCGGAGAGTGCGTGCCTTGTCGCAGGGAGAGACACAGAATGCAATGTATGCCCTTTAGATTGAAGGAGCCGGAGGGCACAGATCCAAGCATCCCGAATGGCGGGTTTTAGCGTGGACACGTTATACTCTAAGGGTATCCCAATGCGGAGCGGAGTCTCAGCAGACTTTGGGGTTCGGAGTCGAGAGCGGGTTGACGGTACAAGAGACGTTGGGTCTTGTGGATCGTACTTATTGAGCAAATCTGTATAATGTAAATTCTATATGCTTTCGAGCGAACGATCAACCCGAATACGTACTGAATGTTTGCCGAACCATATCAACGGAATTGGCAAGAATACCGACGGTATCAAGTGAATTGGCGTACGCAATGACGCCCCACCGCGAGAGCAGGCCGTAGGATGGTTTGAAGCCAACAATTCCGGTATACGCCGCAGGCAATCGAACTGATCCTCCAGTATCCGTTCCAAGGGCACTACGACATGTTAATGAGAAAATAGTGTTCCTCGTTCCATGATACTCACACGTCGCAATAGCCAGACTTGACCGCTACGGCACTCCCTCCAGAGCTTCCTCCAGCACTTATTCCTTCTTCTCCACGTCCCAATTGCTTCACAGGTCCAAAGTAAGAGTGCATTGAGTGTGATCCCATCCCGAATTCGTCCATATTCGTCTTCCCCATAATCACGGCTCCCGCATCTTGAAGCCGTCTGACAACCGTGGCATCATAGGGACTTATGAAATCTTTTAATATCCCTGACCCGGCCGTGGTGGGGAGATCACTGGTGCAGATGTTGTCTTTGATGGCTATCGATTTGCCAGAAAAGCTGCCATGTGTATCTGGTGTCGTGCTTATAACGGATGCCCCGTCCGCGAGTGATATGAATGCATTAAGATGCGCGATTCGAGACTGTTTAGCTAGACATTTGTAGTATGATGGTAGGCGGGACATGGAGAGTTGGAGTCGTAAGAGCCGCGAGTTCGCATGTCAATTGAGGTCCGAACTTCGGCTCTAGTCATTTTTAGTCTAGCGTCTTTGGTGCAACATTTACACTCCACGGATTTTTGACATCCCCATGAGTGATGAACGAAAACATTTATATTTAAGCTGTATTGTTCGTAGTATGCTGCGTGATAACCAGCTCTTGAGTCTCAACACTTGTACTCTACTTCTTCAAAAACGTGTAAATGCTATAATTGGAATTCATCGGGAGTCTTTACATAGTCAGTTAGGGGTCAATCTGAACAAACAAAACGACCCAGTCGGGTACGACCTTGCAGTATTCGGTTGAGACGTTTCCCCCCCTTTACTTTATCTTGGAAGAACCCCAGGGTTATCCTCCGTTGTAGATCAAACAGGGACCCTACTGCTGGTTACGTACTTCACACACGTGATTAGCTTACGTATATGGATCGATGGATGCAAGCATATATTTAGCACTCCTTTTTGTTCTACCTTCTTTCTAGGTTTAAGGCAGAGAACTGCGGTGTTTCTTCGCAAATTTCACTTCGTCACTCCGGAGCAGGATACCAGATTCTTCCAGACCAGGGGATTGCTGCGCAAGTTTCGTCGAAGGCTCCTAGGGGGCATGACTCTTATTTCCCCCCATGGAAATTGTCGAATATTCGCAACCTGCACTCGTAATCATGGGACGTGCAGGCCATAGTACTGGGAATTTTCAAGGAGAAGTGACCCTATATACCGTTTACAAGAAGTGACCATATATACCGTTTACAGGTGGCTCTTTCTGCAACCCCACGGCACACATTCACTTTGATTTTGCTCAACATTCGTTCTTTATTTGTTTGCATTCTTTCAGTATGGTATCTTCTACACTTTCATTTCTTGTGTTGATTACAGCTACCACTTTGGCGGCTGCCGTCCCTCATTCGCGTTTGGCGAGTCGTGCCTCCACCTGTACTACGAAATCACAGCGGAAATCATGGTACGGGGTTTGTTATCTTGTCTTGATATCTCACTGACAGTAGTGATAGGACTACCCTCACCAACACCGAAAAGGCAGCCTACATTGAAGCTGAACTTTGCCTCATGAACTCCCCAACAAAAGGCTTTGTCGCGGACGCAGTCTCGAGATGGGACGATCTTACCTGGGCACATCTAAATCAATCAAACTACATCCATGACGTAGGCCAATTCCTTCCGTGGCACCGATACTTCATGTATACACACGAGTATCTTCTGAAAACCGAGTGCAACTATACTGGTACTCAGCCGTACTGGGATGAAGAGGCAGACTCGGACGCCCTCGTAGATTCGGATGTTTTCGATCCCGATACTGGATTCGGCGGAAATGGCGTCTCTTCGAACACGAGTGACTACGCTTGCATTGCGGACGGTCCGTTCGTAAATGTGACTTTGGCTATGGGCCCAGAGTACACCAACACGAACCATTGTATCTACCGCGAGTTCAGCGCAACTTCTTTCATGTGGGCGAATTCTACTTACCTCGACCAATGCATGGCCGAGGAGAATTATACGTCCGCATATCCCTGCTTCTCCTCCTGGCCCCATACATCCGGTCATGCTGGTGTCGGTGGATCGGTAAGTGTTTTCTTACCAGGACTAGCTCATACTAATACTTTCAGATGCTGGATATCGTAGCAAGTCCTGGAGAACCTCTCTTTTTCCTCCACCACACAAACCTCGACCGACTTTGGTGGATCTGGCAGTCCAAGAACCTCACTACCCGCCTGACTGATATGGGCGGACAAAACATTCCCGACGACGATTACTTGGCTTCGATGGGTATGCCGTACCCTGACGCGTCTTTGACCAACTACTCTGGGGATCCTGGAAATGTCACCACGCTTACACATGTCCTCTGGATGTCTGGTTTGGTCCCGAATGTTACGGTGGGCGATGTCATGGATATTGGTGGGGATTTGCTCTGCTTCGAATATGTCTAGGGTGTCTCTTCTGAAGGCTGCACATAGGCTCAACCTTTGCGATTGCATGATTGATTTTTATATATCACATTGCACTCATGTTATAACTAGATTCTATGTACATACAGTTCTCATCATCAGGGTCTTAGTCGAGCTGATGAGGCACATTTATGGCCCACATCTTTCAGTGAAATTCGCCGATACGAGCTGCCTAACGTCCTTCACCTTTCCTGTTCCTCCCACGGTGAATGTTCCGCCCAATTCCGCTTTCCACCCTCTTGTAAGCGGCTCTTGATCTCCTTAAATTTCGCAAATTGTTCATCCGACGAAAAGTATTCTCGCTTGTCCCACGTAGCCACTGTACGCTGGATCTTAGCCAGCACTGCGTCCGCTTTTGTCATCTGCTCCTTCACCTTGTCCCTCCCATGCTGCCCATGCTGCTTCAAGTTTCGCTGACTCCAAATTTGGTAATCCAGATAGTACCTGTATCGGATATCCTCGCGCAGATCTCGTAACTCATCTGGTGTAATCTTTTGCCCTTTGGCTCTAGTTGAGGGGATGTCGCGTGGTTGTAGGGTTGGTGAAGGCTTGGAGACGACAGAATTTCTTTTGAGACGATTCTTGCTGAATGGATTCTTGATCCGCATGTCTGATTCTCAGCTGTTTCAACTAGTCAAATTAGATGGTAGCTTATCGAGAGTGACAGCTCCAAATACCTTTTGGTGAACTTTGAAAGGCTGGCCCGGTTACTCCTCAAGTTCCAAGAAATCGAGCATTTGGCCTAAAATATTCTACGGATTGGAGCGTCCGCTAAAATGAATGAATGGGCAGAGGGATCCTTGAAAGATGCTCTCCGAATGGAGTGGGGGTGGAGCGGACAAGCCTTCACAGTCGATTCAGCCTACAAGCATGCCTGAAGTCACCGCTCCAGCTGACAGGGTGTCCCCCACTTTATTCTTTTCCTGCATGCAAGCCATCGGTGTTGTCACGCTGCGGACATTAGCACACACTGAGCTGGTCTGATATTTGGGTTTGCCTGACTGCGGCCAGCCTGGACCAGAGAAGGCTACCTTCCTCAGACATGTGTGCAACTGCTAGCCTCCTCCCGCCATGAGTCAAATTTCAAATCCAACTACTCTCTTCTTAGAAGGTCCTTGGCACTGGCCATTGGTGATGGTGGCTTCCCCAACTTTCGACCCCGTGCTATTAACGAATCTGGCATGGTAGTGGAGCATTTTCTAGTAATGAAACCTAATGATCGTATGAATATTTAGTACCTGTTCTCTAAGGCCCTCTTAAAGTTTCAGACTACAATTACGGTTTACCGAGTCCCATATGAAACGGTAGTCCCTTTCCAGCCTCCAACAATAGCCTGTTTCGCCAATTCCCGCCCTTGAGAGTCTCCAAAGCGTCTCAATTCTGGCCTCATAACAAGTTTCAAAGATCTGGATCCTCCGTTCCTTAGCCTCAACACATCCACGATTCCGCTAGACATAACTACGACTATCCTATATCTCTGCGAACAGATGTACAGCCACATCTTCGCAGCCAGCTGGATGGTGTCATTCAATAGCTGTGCGTCTTTCTGCTCCAACGGAGCTATTTTCGCCAGAGTAGATGACACTTCGCTCGCAATCGCGGTTACTGATTGATAGAAGGCTTGTTTCCGCCGCTGGCTCTCATTAGATGTCCAGGCTTCTTCCTCAATGGCCTTCAAGCACGATTTCGCAGTTTCAAATCGATAGTCCTCCGATTCGGGGCTTGGCTGAGGCCAGTCCGGAGCCGTAGTCGTAATTTCATCTAGATTGTACTCAGCTTCAGATTTTGTACGCAGGAATGTGTCACTTACTTCTACCAAAATCTTCAGTCCACTTCCGGTCGAGCGCCTTCCCTTCCTCCCCTAGAACAATAAATGGCGTAAGGAAGATTCTGTTGAAAAGTATCATCCATAGACTGTTTTGGACAATCTGCTGTTTCAGTTTCCTTGGATTTTCCCGGTGCAGCTGCTGCAAGAAGCGCTCCGGAAAGGGCCAGGATGCTTCCCTCCCCGCATCCCATGGAACCCTCGAAAGAGCGTCTATCTGGCCCGCTAACTTCTCGAAGCTCGATGCCAGCTCACGGTCTGTCATGCCTTTGATGTGCTCTCGAGCCACGAGGGCCCCTTTCAAATCCATATTCTCCCTTTTTAGGTTCACAGTTTGCGCGGCAAATTCTTTCCTCAAATGTTCCTCCTTATCTGCATAATCCTGCTTGAGCCGCTCTTCTTTATCTTTGTATTCCTTCTGTAACCGGGTATTCTCTTTTCTTAGGTTCGCAATTTGAGTCGCAAAATCCCTGTTCATGCGCTCCTCCATGTCTTCAAATTCCTGCTTGAGTCGATCCTCTCTGGCTTTAGATTCCTGTTGCAGCCGGGAATTTTCAATTCGTAGGTTCGCGGTTTGAGTAGTGAAATCTCTCTTCAGCCGCTCCTCCATACCTTCGAATTCTAGCTTGAGTCGATCCTCTTTGTCTTTATATTCCTGCTGCAACCGGGAATTCTCTATTCGTAGGTTCGCAGCTTGCGTGGAGAAATCCCTTTTCACCCGTTCCTCCGTGACTTCAAATTCCTGCTTGAGTCGATCCTCTGTGTCTTGGGCCTCCTTCCTAAGCCGAAGCTTCTCATTTTCGGCCCATTGTTTCCAATCATCAACTGTCTTCCTCCACTGGTTTTCTCTGATTTGGAATTCAGACTGCAGTCGGACTTTCTCGCCCTCGGCCCCACGCTTTAAATCCTCCATCTCTTGCCTTAATTGATCTTCCTTGTCTTGGAAGGTCTTCTCTTGTCTTCTGTTCTCAATCTCGGCATTCTTCTCGAACTCATCGAATTCTTTGTCCCACTCATCCTTCTCACGACTATGCTTTTCCACTTCGGCCGCAAGTCGTTGTTCAAAAGTTTCATTCGCCGACCGCAACTGTTGTCTCAAGAGTGATCGTTCTTCAGCGAAACTCTCTTTGAGAGTATCCATAGTTTCTTTATGTCGTGATTCAAGGCCCCACCTCTCTTTTGCTGCATTTTCCACTTCCTTCGAAAGCTTTTCGTCAAGCCTGGCCTTTACACGATCAAATTCACTCTGCTGATTAGCACGTTCTCCTAATAGCTCAGCTTGGTGGCTCCGCTTGAGGTCCTCTTTCTCGTATTCGAAACGCGAGATTTTGCCATTGAGTGTCGTGACTTCCTGAATGTGCCTTGTCGCCTCGCCTTGGAGTTCGATACGGTGGTTGTATTCCATTGTGCTCTTCTCACTCGACCATTGTGACTCCCTTGTTTTGAGCGCTTCATTCTCTGCCCTGCAACGAGCAAGGTCGTCCCCGCAGCTAGCAAGGCTGCTCTCGCAGTTTTGAAGCCGACTTTTCGCGTTTATGAGCTCTCCGCGAACATGCTCAAAATTCTTGAGGCTTTCTTGGATTTCGTCAAGATTTCGGCTAAGATTTTTGAATTGACCCAGAATGTGGACAACCGCACTCTCGGGATCTTGTGCAGTGGTGCCTCTCAAATCACGGCAGTCCTGTGCTGCCTCCAAGATGCGATTAGATATCCGCATAAGAGTCATATGGGCGCCTGTAGTAGCTACCGTCTTCTATCGCGAAATTGACGTGGTTAGCGCTAATAGCACGATCAAGGAGATGAAGAATTCTCACATTTGAGGCAGATTCATGGAATTGGGCTTCGTCCTTTGCAACAGGCTCGGGGATATAACTGCCACCAGTCCTCGATGGAGACGAATAGGGACCGTTTGAGTCAGCTTGTTCATTTTCCGGCCCTTGAGTATATTGCTGCAGACCAAGGCTGCTGTCGGGAAGCTCATGAGCTATCGCTGGAGGACTAGCCACATCTCTGGTGCTTAGGCTTGTATGGGCTGAAGCCGATTGGGCAGGCGAGACTGGGGTTTCAAATGGTGAGGGTGGACTGATGCCCGTGCCTGCACTCCCATACGCTGAAGTCTGATCAATGCCTGTACCTAAACTTGCATGTCGCGAATTAACCACTGGCTTCATATCACGGCTTTGATATTTTGAAGAAGCATCCACATCAGCCCTTGGACTTGGAGTCTGAGGCAGTTCTTGATATTCCCGTGGCGTCTTTGCAACTTGCCATGTCGAGTCGAGCCCAGATCCTCGCACTGTCCCACGCTGGTCTCTTTCAACATGAGGGACTGTTCTTGGGGTGAAATGATAACCATCGTCTGTACTTGTTGGGAAAGGACTTCGAGCGAACAGAGGTGGTAGCGTCTTTTCTTGCCTTCTTGGAGAAGGCAACACGGTCTCGAAGGAATATTTTCCATTTTCTAGAACTGTCATTGGCATATCCGGAGGTCCCCTGTCACTCGAAGAGTGCTTTGGACGAGAGTTCCTCCTCGATTTCCTTCTGGAGTTCGTGGAAGGAACATCATGCACCGATCGAGGGGTTGTGTATTGTGGATTCAGATATCCTGGCGTAAGCTGTGGAGGATGCCCTCCGGACGTTGGATGATGTAGATTTTGCCCCTGTGGCTCCCGGATGTCCTTGTGAGAAGAAGGTTCATAGGACTGATTGTCCTCAACCCTCACATAGTCTTCTGCCTGGTGGTAAGACGCCCTGTGGTTTCGGCCGCTCTTATACTGCCTCAATTTCCTTGGGGCGTTCATAAATTCCAGGAGACCCATCTTTCGACCCAGGCGATTTCGGGTTACCGAAATCAAAGATGGCTCGAACCGGGGTTTAAGGAGCAAGACGAAGCAATAAATTTGCTCTAAGTGCAAGGGAATATCCAGTTTGCAGAAGGCATCCACAAAGCAAAGTATCGAGATAGTCAAAGGGCTCCAGATGTGTCACACGTTCTGGTCCGCCCACCATTGAAGGCGTGCTTTGGGGCCGCCAATTGACAGCGCCATTTTGCGCCAATCGTCCACGCCAAAGAGTGAGCAGCAAAAGCTATGCACGGTTTCAGAGCCTTGCCATCAACATGGAGAAGTCGTGACGAAGGACAATGTGTCGTACCGAAGTTAGCTGATTTAATGTTAGGCAGTGTCCGGCTCAAGCAATTTTAAGCGAAACGAGGAGGGTCCTTCTCACCACTTGACCAATATCATGAGAAAAAGTCGAGGTTCGTGTTCACACTTCCAACCATCAATAGGAATGCGTCTGCTGCGCCCCTAAGCTAAAGAGAGCCTTTCTGCACTCCGCTTGCATCCCACTCCTCCCGCATTTCATGCCAATCACAAATCACTAGGTTGAGCCCGCAACATGGAGGGCAATTGGGGACCTTCACCGGTCAGCTGCATTTAGAAAGTGGCATGCTTTAGCTTGTCGTTGCCTCTCACTTCTTGGGACTCTCTCTTAGCCAATTACTTCTCTGGGGAGCCCTGGAAGACGAGCCCGCTCCTTGGACCTCCCCAGTACCAGTTTCCCTCGAACCCGCTCTGTGGAATACTCAAGAACTCCAATATTTACACGCGCTCCTATATTGAGGTATAACCCATGGATAGCTATACAGAGGAAAGCTCGGTTCAAGAGCAACGTTTGGTCATTGGGCTTGACTATGGCACAACCTTCACAGGTATGTCCCCTTTCCTAGCCTTCGAGGAGTCTCCCAAATGAAAACCTTGACCACTTATATTTATTGTCTAGGTGTCGCCTACGCAACACCTCTCGGGGCTACTTGTCCTCTTGAAAAAATTGACCCCATTACAGATTGGGGTGAAAAGATGGATAATCATGACAAAGTGCCCAGTGTGATTTCATATTCGCAACCAACTCGGGAGCGGAAAGAAGCTCAATGGGGAAGCGACTTAAGTCCGGGGGCGGTGACCATGGTCCATACTAAATTAGAGCTTGTTGTTGGGAATGTTTCAGAGGAACTGGACCTTCTTCTCCAGTCGTTGGAAGGTACAAAAAATCTGAACTTTCAACACGTTAGGACATCTACGGGCCTGCGTGGCAACCCTGAATATCCCCACAAGAGCCCTGAAGAAATAGTGACCGAATATCTCACCAAAGTCTTTGAGTATTTGGAGAAGGTGGTGAAAGACTTCTCGGAAGTGCTCCGAAGAACTATATCTACCGATATTGTAATCACGGTACCAACAGTAAAGCTATCCCTTGCCAATATTGGTTAAAGTTTTTTTTTTTTTTTAACTAACTCATTACCAAGGAATGGTATGAATCATACAGAGCCATGAATGCTACTTATCGCGCAGCAACAAAAGCAGGCTTCAGCGAACGCTCTTTCCCTAGGTTACAAGACGTGTTATTTGTCACAGAGGCCGAAGCTGCGGCTTTCTACGCTGTAAGGTATTTGAGGGATACTCAGGGGCCAGATTTCCTCAAGGTGAGAGACTAGGGCTAGGATTCATTACTGGTTGCTAAAGACCTCACAGGAGAACGCTTGCTTTGTCCTATGTGACGCCGGTGGAGGGACCGTGGTACGTACTGCACATGCCCCACGGTCCGTGTCATTGCAACATAACTAACCATCTATTTTTCACCCTCCATAGGATGTGGTGTCGTATGAAGTCAAGCAGCTAGAACCCCTTCAGCTCGCACAGATTGGGTACCCCACTGGCCGTAAATGCGGATCAATATTCATCAACTTGGAATTTAAGAAATGGCTAAGGGAACTTATTGGAGACAAACACTATCAAAAACTGGATCCGCACATGGAGATGAGCAAAATTACTTCACATGCCGTGGAAGGCCGAGCGCTACGAGAACTCATGAAAAATTTCAATGCACAGAAAGAAGTATTCACCAAGAATTACGGTCGATCCATATCCATGGACTTACCAGCGCCGCTTGAAAACCTTGACATACCCGGAAAAGTCAACCATGGGGAAATCACGATTAGTTGGTAAAGATGCTCGAACCAACAAAGTTCGTCCGTAGCTAACATGCATTTAGTACTAAGATGGAACAGTTTTTTGATGTTTGCGTGGATCAAGTTGTGGACTTGATCACAGGTCACATGTACCATATTGAACAAGATGGTGGACGCCCCAAGGTAAGATTTCAAAGATGCCTCTCGTATATAGTTACAGCCTCAGTAGCTGATTATGTTATCAGAACGTGTTTCTTGTGGGAGGTTTTGGTAGATCTCCTTACCTTCGGGAAGAAATCAAAGCAACTCTTGAAACTTGGGACGTCAACCTGCCAGATCTCGCAACCTCTTGGACAGCAGTTGTTCGAGGTGCCGTACTCTGTGGCATCGAGAAGTCTGATACACAAAACTTACTTCATGCAAGCTCTTGTCGTCACCATTACGGCATAAGTGTGAATCAACCCTTCTCCGCAGCCTACTTTTCTGAGAGCGATCGGGTGGTTTCTCCTGAGAACAATATTGCATACGCGCAAGCACAAATGATTTGGATGCTGAAAAAAGGAGATCTCGTGCTTTCTAATAAGCCGAGAGCAGCAGAGCAGAGCCTGACAGTGTCGTTCTCGAAGACAGACGACCGAAAGGGCAAAGTCACTATATACCGCTACTCAGAAAAAGACCCACCAGAGAGGCTAGGAAACGGCAGAAAAGGTAAGCGAGCGGTTGCGGAAGAATTCTATATCACACTGACTTCTTGAAGAGCTTACTACGGCTTGTGTGTTAACATACGATTTGTCAGATATTCCTTTGGAAGAGTTTGATCTTGTTCACAACAATCAGAAGAAATTAGAGACATATAATGCGGAGTTGAGAGTGTCAATGTCCTTGAACGGGAGTAATCTGAAGGCTTCTATTTGGTGGCGGAACAAGGAGCTGGCGACGGATGACAATATCATGTACTAGTTTGGTTGTTCAACCGCTCTGTGAACAATATCTTCACTTTTAGGCATCGCCTTACTACTGACGACAATATATTGAACTAGGTTCTTCAATCTATGATTTTCAGTTCTTTTAGCAATATTTATGTATCATGGAGTAGAACTTGCACGCTGAGTGTAACTTGAATGATTTGACAAGCCTTCACAAATAAAATCCACCATATAGAGATTTCTAATAAAGATTTCGGTGGCTGAGGTCGTTGAACGCTAAATATGTAGGCATTATGGGTGATAACTGCGCGTGGGGGAGGAGGTTGCAGGGCGTCACAGGTGACTTCCAATTGTACTAGGCTGCAAGGCAAAATGCAGTCTTTGCATTCCAATTATAGCGACTACTGCAGATCACTCGGCAGATAGGTAGAATCCACGCGAAGGCAATGCCACGCTATGAAGGCGCAGTACGTGTTGCATTGAGCCCACGTTTAGGACCACGGCTCCAGCCTAGCTTGTGATATATGGGGCTCTAACTCCACCATTGAGAAGCTAGGACTTAGCTACTCTGGTGTCGTGCTTTGAGTGCATAATTTTTTATTATATAATTTTCACGTTGCTCTAAACTCACGCACTACTCGCGCTGTCAAAAGCACTCAACTCCCTACCATGCCGACCATCGAAACATCTACACACTACACCCTCACCAATGCCCTTCTCGGCCCCTCAAGAGCCCTAGCATCCGCCTCAAACAACGACTCTATAATCATTGTAGACGTCAGCACCCGCTCCGACTCGTACGACCAACAATGGTACTTTACCGAAACTAACAACTCAAACCGGTACCGGCTGCACACGGTTCAAAAGGGAGATTTCCACGCTGTCGACGTCTTCAGCTACACGGGCAAGAATAGTCTCGATGTACATTTTTTTAGTACCGGGAATTACACGGGACAGTATTGGCAGATTGATGAGTGGGATGGTGGGAGTAAGAGGATCAGTAATGATTTCACTGGCCCGGATATTCATCTTGGTGTTTTGAATGATACGCTAGAGGTTAAGCTTGCGGGTGGGGATAATCCGGGACAGCATTGGATGCTGAATCGGTTTGGTGCGATGTCGACAGCCTCGTCTTCTACCACACCTACCGCGGTGGCAACTACTCTCGTTACAGCTACTACTACAATTACTGCGAAGCCAAGCATATGCACATCCACAGGGTCTCTATGTACATCAACAGCAGCTCCTACTGCTTCGCCTAGTAAGACACTCGCCAAAGGCACGCTCGCGGGCGTCGTTGTCGGTGTGGTGGCCGGTGCAATTCTACTCGCCATAATTGTGCATCTCCTTTGGTCAAAACGAAAGGCAAATTACGAACCAGTAAATCTGCCCAATCCAAGCCAACCGATGGTTCCCCTTGATAATTAATATCTTTTTTACCTATTCATACCGCGAGGAAGGTGACTAGCAATGGCAGGGTTGGGAGGCGATTTCCACATCATCTAGCAATGGACTCGTTCGAGAAGCATAAAGGTTATCAAGAAAGTTATAAAGGGGCATAGATACTAAGCTTTTGTACAGCTAGGTACAGTGCAATAATCTTTAATAAAGCTTATGCTTCTACCTGTTTCAGCCACCCTTAAAGTTCCGACGGCTTCCGCATCAAGATCGAAATAATTTACTCGGTGCTATCAAACTTCCGTCATCAATATGTCATGATAGCAAACTTGAGGTCTAACAGCAAGTTGTACCAACTCTAGAGCCTGCATCTAAACGAACCACACATTGTTAGCTAAGACCAAGGGAGAAGGGTGTTTAGAGAATCTAGGCGGACAAAGTAGCTGGTGTGTCACGAAACTAACGGCATTCCTGGAGCAATTCGGAGGGAGACGTGGTACATTTGGACTCGCGAAAAACACCACCTTTCCATATTTACAATTAAAGAATGACAGCAGCAACGAGACAAATAACAGTAAGCAAAGACGAGCTTACACGTATCGATAGATGGTAACATCATTCCGTCTCAGGCAGCTTTGCGCTCCCCTTTTCGATATGGCTAGGTAGCTATAAAGGGTGGTGCTGCTGGACGTTCGCGATGCATGGCATGTGGGCTATTTTGTAGTCGATGAATTTAACGTATTCCTAGCTAGAAAAACCATACCATTTTCTGAGATCAAAGCGCGGATATAACGATGGGTGCACTGTAGCACCTCGTTTGTCCCCGTAAAAGTCTGCATAGTGTTGAGCATGCTGTGGGCTTTGTGTATAGTCTCCACGGTGGATAATTGTCAGAATGGCTCCTTTCTTCCCTTCTTGGAAGGCTGGACCAGGAGGGTTACTGTCACGAGGGATTCAGTAGATTACCCCATGAGCACACTAATGGCAAAGAAGAAGAGTATGTCGTCGTTAATAGAGTCCTTCAATCCTGTTGCCGGATTCAAGGAAGCGGCTGATAGAATAGTCCCTATTTCGTGCCAGTCAATCAAACTCTAATCATCAGTAGTACAAGGGAAGCACGCGATGCGAGCTCAAATTCACAGTGACGAACTAATTCTTGATTGGAAACCAAACTCCTCGGGTATTTCGAACATACTCGTCTATCCCTTGATGCCAAATCCCCAACATGGTATACCAAAAACTGAAATCGCGGAACCTGTAGCTAAAGTCGGATGCTAACACTCTCGCTTTAGTCCTTTCGAGCGCCTAAATCAAAATCAGTCGTGGGAAGTTTTCCTAGGCGCAATCGGTAAGCGACGAAGCCACAGCGTGTGATGCAGCGACACGATTGCCCTCTACTAAGCCTTGAGTCTCGTACCTGCAAGGTCCTCCTGCGCGTCTTTGACGAGGAAACTGTGGTGGGTTAGTTTGTCTCCGTGCGGGATGGGAGGAGGAAGAGCTGACTTGTACCACCAAATTGTCGGGCCGACTGTCCCAAGATGCCAGAGGCTATGCGCATCGATCATTCCTTTCCAGGGCGGGAAGTCCAATAACTCTAGGCCCATTGCCATGATCAGCCAAGCGACAATGAGACCAGGCCACGCAGCCCATGTTCGACCGACTTTTTGGTATTGCATGTAACTGAATCCGCTCCACAACAGGTTCTGGAGGATACCAACGGTAACATTAGCAGCCATGTTGTAGGTGTAGTCCCAAGACCAGAGTGTGAGGTAGAGGACATGCAGCGTGTACAAAAGGATGCACAGGGCCGTCCAGAGGCGCAATATCGATTGCTTCATGGGGACCTTCTTATCAAGACGAAACACGCGAATCGGGGCAAAGTAGAGGCCGTACAGCACGCTAGCTCCTGCTGCAAAGTAGTCCAACTTCTCCGTCAGCGGGAAGTCCCTGGTATGAAAAACCATGCTGAAGATCCAGCTCGCCAGCCCAAGGTATCCAAACATCATGTAGTATTTACGGAGAGGGTAGGAGGCGGGGATCCTGTCGCGGATCCGACTGATGCCCCAGTCGTGCGCTAGGAAGTTGAAGAGGGAGAAGATGACGCTGAAGGGCTCTTGCATGCCCATAAATCGGTAGAAGGGCCATTTCCCGTGGAATTGGTAGACAGGCTGCATGTATGGAGGATCACGAGCCAGTCTTTTGTCCGTGACGACATGTTGGCAGGTGTAGTCGCATTCAGAAGGGCAATCCCAGAAGAGGATGCGACGGTGGAGAGCTGGGTGTCCGTTAGCATTCAACAGAACTACAAGCATGGAGAAGATTCGTACGGATTGGGGTAGGATTCTCAAGGCAGTTTGCAGTTTTACAGACCTAAATCGAAGTTAGCGATGTTTTCCCAGCAGCATTCTAGCTGTATACCTGTACACAGTCTTTGAAGTCTGGCAGTCTATCACCAAGCGAAGCGTGGACGACTCGGCCTAGCAAGCAAACGAGGGCAGTGATGTGCCATATTGAAGGCTGGCGTAGTCTCATGGTGCTGAGCGAGTTAGAGTGACCGGCCCCATGAGGTAGACGGGTGTAACATTTTTGGTGAGGCGCGTCGACTCCTGGTCATTCCAAGAGTCGGGCTTGGCGGTCGAGGATTCCTGCCAAGAATCCAACAAACCGGCAAAAAATTCCTCACATCTTCCCAACAATGCAATTGACAGGCCAAAAACCAGCCAGAGCAGAGTGCAATGAACAAAAAGAAATTGGAGAAAATCATCTCCCAAGAAAAAAAAAGTGGACAGGCAGGAGATCGAATCCTGGACCTTCCGCATGCAAGCATGCAAAGCGGACGCTCTACCACTGAGCTACATGCCCTGGAAGATGGTATATTGGTTTGGCTGAAATATAAAATTTATATACTAGAGCTAAGATATTCCAATAAACAAAGACTTTGAAGAGCAGTAAGCTAGGACTATTTTTCGGTAATCTTTGCCGACACATCCGTAAGTGTGAACGGTGATGCCTGTTCCTACCTAGCGCCAAGGTGCTAGTCACAGGATGCTGAAAATAATAGCTGGTCCATCCCGAGCTCTCTCTTCAAGTCTCACTCGAAAACCCAACCAATCAGAAAGCCTCTTACACCAACGGCATCCAACACCAACACTCAAAACGCCGCTTACGGACTTAATTGCAGCGTCCACCTCCCTTAAAGAGGGCTGTACCATCCCTGAACCGCAGAGCAGATTTTTGACTGTCGATTCCTATCTCTCTCAATTCACCATGGCTCTCGGAACTGTTCTCCCGACTTGGCCGGCCCTAGTGTTCACCTATCTGGAGCCTGTAGCGCTGTAAGTTCATCGGGTCTGTTTCACACGTCGAGAAACAGTCTCTTTTTTTTTTAGTACGCTGTTGCGTTTCGCTTTACATAAACGCGCAAACTGCGGTCAACCAACTATGATTGTTTCATTTCATTCGCTTAAGTTCCGTCTGAGCTGTACCTCGAAATATATACATCTCAATCCCTCCACCTATTCCTCTTCACCCCCAACTAACCCACTGACCCATAGAATTATGGGCTGGCACTCAGCCACCTTTGACCCTCAATCCTTCGTCCTCAAGCAAGTCCCCACCACCACCCCCTCATCTCTCACACCCGTCTCCGCCTCCGCCCTCTGCCTCTCTTACGCCGCTGGCAACGTCTACCTCCTTCTCGGCCTCATTGCCATCCTCTGCACCGCCATTACCCACGAAGCCCGTGTTGCAAAGTACTATCTGTTCTTCGTTGCGCTGGGCGACCTGGGACATATATATGCAAGCTACCGGGCCATGGGACCCGAGATATTCTGGGACTTCTCAGGGTATAATGATATGATGTGGGGGAATATTGGTGGCAGTGCGTTTTTGCACGTTAATCGGTTGGCTACGATTCTGGGGGTTTTCGGGAGGTTAGGTCCAAGGGCTTGAGGTAGGTTACTGATGGTTTGTGCATATGAGGAGTCATCCATTGGGTGGCTCGTACATGGCACATTAAACGACTGTCGTTGTATACATCTGCAAGGGAATCGAAATACATGTAACGCCACTAAGGAATGGTACCTAGAGTTCCACAGCTCTCTAATCCCCAGAGCAATTCACAATAGCCCCATAACCCCTTCTCAACCAAACAGTGTTAAGAGATGATTTTATTTCAATAACATAAATGAACCCGATAGAATCAAGCACACCCCAATATTCTACCAGTCCACAGAAACCACCAAACGTGAAAAAAAAAATGAAATGACCGGGTAAGCTATCTCCGTAGGAAGTCCTATGAAAGAAAATTCACTCCAAGCCTTCCAACTCGCTCCTCAAATCTCGTATCAATTTCTCTCCCTCTTCAAGCCCAATCATGCCCACAGGCGCAAAAACACCAACATTGAGAGCGCCATTTCGAATTGTCGCTTCGATATCAAGAGCATGCTGTAGACTCATTAGCATACAATTTCTCAAATAATCTGACGAGGTGTAGCTTACCAAATACGCCTTTTGAACATGCCCATCCACCAACCACCCCGGCCCATCAGGCCCTCTTCCCTTCATCTCTACAACTTTACTGACATTCTCTTCCCACTCTCCAACTACGCGAATCTTGGTTCCATACTCTCTGTCCTTGTCCTTCTCACTTTCAGGCAATTTCAAGAAATTCACAAAAGTGTCCACCTTGACCCCCGTCCACTCTCTCACCTCCCACAACCCGACCCCCGCGTTCTCAACCATGCTGATCTCTTGAATATCATACTGAATTTGCGCCGCTGTGTCCCACACTTCCATCTCTAACGGTTTTGAAACGCGCAGAGCAACAAGATTGACTGTTGGAATCGCTGATTGTGCGAGAGTGGGAATACTTGGATGTGAGCGATTTGCAAGATAAATTCCGATTACCACGTCTCTGTCGCTGGGTGTGGGAACGAGGGAAGCGTAGAGCCTAGCGTAGATTGCGAAGAAGACGGATTGTGTGGAGAGACCATGTTGTCTAGCCAGTGAGTCCAATCTCGTGGCGGGGAGGAGTTGGCGCTTAAAGATTTCGATTTTGCTAGTTGATGGGGTGAAAGGTTGAGGAAGTAAGGGCTGCTGTTGTGCTATGCCATAAAGGTAGTTCGACCAGAATGCTTTGCGCTTTGGCATGGACGAGGATATGAAGCTGGAAGCAAGGAACTTGCTGAAAACCTTGGTGACGGGGGAGAGCGTGGAGGAGACACCGTTAGAGAGATCCTGAAGTTGCTGCATAAGAATAGGAAGGCTAGCGCCGTCATAGAGCGCGTGGTGGATCTTCAGCGTCAGGTTCCAGCCCATAGACGATTCTGAGACGAAGAGATGAGCGTAGGGTTGCACTAATGAACGTTCATGTATTTCCTGCGAAACGCTCTCCCCATCCACGCGAGACAAGTCATGGACGGCTGTTTCAGCGCTATGAAGTACGGCTTGCACGTACGGAACCCGGCTGTCCTTGGTAGCTACGAAGCAGGCTCGGAGAACTGGATTTGCTGCAACCAGCGCTTCCCAGGCCTTCTGAAGTGACTGAAAAGTGATAGAGCCCGCGAGCTTGTACGAAAACTCTGGGTAGAAGATCGTCTTGTTTGAGTTTATCCAGACGGAAAGCATATAAATTTGTCCTGCAGATGCGGGGAGAAGCTGCTCTACATTCTGTTCTTCCATACCGGCTTGTCGAAGAATAGCTGCTTGCTCAATGTGGCCTAAAGCACTCTCAAGCAATGCTTCGGCGTCATGGGCATCCTCATCAGATGCTGGTGTTCGCTCATCGGCAAGTTGAGCCATGTTCTCCACGGTGGCGGCCTTTAGCATTTCGCCAACACTGAGAATAACAGAGCGCTTGCGTAAGAGAGAGGAGACTTTAATAGCGCTTATTGAATCCAGTCCAAGGTGAAAGATGGTCATCCCTTCTGTGATCTCTTCTTCTGGGATCTTAGATACGAACGCCATAACTTCGCGAATTATCCTTGCGGTGGGAGACTCCAACAGACTTTGGCTATGGTCTTCGTTTTTAGGCGAATTACTTTCGGCATCTTGGTGCTGTTCCTCTTGAAACCCCGGGAGCCCGCATATTGATGTTCCAGCTGGAGTGAAGTCGATGGTGGGAGCACCAGGATGTTCCAGCAAAGCCTTTAGAACTGTATCTAGTCTCTTTAATAAACCTTCAGCCCCAGTGTGATCGAACACATCCTCTTTGACCGCACATCTCCATATAAGTTCATCATCCACTACCTCCATTTCCACACAAACAGGGTACTCGACACCACTTTGGCCTTCTACACTCTCGTATAACTGAGGAGTATTCTCATCCCGATCCTCTAGTCTCTTCTGGTAGATAAACAAGCTCTCAAACAGAGACCCTTGTGCCCCAGCTATTGCTTGTGCCTTGCGTAACGGGAAATGCTGCCACTGTTTGACTCCCATGAAATTTTCCTGCACGTATCGCAGCATCTCCAGGCGTGTTCCGTGAAGAATTGTTCGAATAGCGACGGTGTTCATCGTAGGGAAGAGGATCTCAGACATGTTGTCGTTGTCACGACCTGAGAGCACGGAGCCGAAAATGACGTCGAGAGACTGGATATAGGAAGCAAGGACCAGTGCGTAAATTGTCTGACCGACAGTTTGAAGGGTTATGTTGTAACGCTTCGCAAAAGATGCGATGCTCTCCAAATCTGTTTTGCTTGTCTGTTCCATTCGACATACACGTTGATGATCTGGAGTCTTCATGCCCGGCCGGCGTGGAAGGAGGCTTGGTTTAGCTTCTGATAGATGATCCCGCCAGAATGCCGCAGCGTCTGAACCGGTCGCTGTCAAGATTTCCTGGAGAGCAGAGTCGTAACTTGGCCGAGAGGAGAACTGGCCAAAGTAGGAACGACGAACATCAGAATGGAGAAGACCAAGGGACCAGCCGTCATAGAGTGCATGAGACACTGAGAGTACAAGATACCTTTGGTCTCCAGAATCGATCCGATGGATGTGGAACAAGGGACCCGGTTGACTTGCCTTTACTGCCTTTCTGCGGATTGATTCGAATATCCCCAAGAAGTTAGGTTTCCCTTCCACCTTCAAATTCTGCCAAAAGGCATGAGGGACTCGATGTACGACCTGCGCAAAGGAGAAATCGATGTTTGGATCATCGACTCCAATGAATGATGTTCTCAGAATAGGCGAATTTTCAACTAGTTTGGTCCACGCAGCTTTTAGCTTCTCGACATCGGTGTCAGGCGCTAGTTTTAACACGTCGTGGTTGTAATATCTTGTATACTCTGAAGCGACCATCTCGGCAACCATAGCCTCTTGTAGTGGCGTCAATGGAAGCACTTGCTCGATATCTTCCACCAGAATACGTCGCCGTTGCAAGCAGTTCTCAAGTCTACGTTTGTGGGACCTGAAGATCATATCAGAATGTCGCTGGATTAGTCCAGTATTATTGCTGGATATTCGGGCCATGCGGGGAATCGTAAGAGCACGCATGATACCGCTAACGGGAACGTCAATGCCACGCTTCTTGAGCCTTGATGAGAGCTTGATTGCGTCAATGCTGTCGAGGCCAAGCTCGAAAATAGAAGTTGTCTCCGAGATGTCTGTGATCCTAGTACCTGCAAGTTTGGCGACCTCCTCTCGCATTGCGATAGCGGATTTGCTCCATTCAAAGTCATCTGCTCCGTCGGTGAATGTTGGCATGTTTTTGTTCTCTGAGCTCGCTGGCAACCCATCGGCTCCTACTTCTTCTATGAAAGAAAAGTTAATGTTTTCGCCCGTATCGTTCAATATCTCATCCAAGGTCTTCTCGAAGTCATTCATTAGGCGGTTGGATAATTCCGGATCTGAAACATGACCCTGAGTGACCAATGTAATTTTCAGTGATTTGCCACCCCTTTGCTCAATATCAATTGTTAGAGGGAAGTCTGCCTCCACACTCCCATCAATCAACTCCCATGCATTATTCTTAACCCACTTCTCATCAGCCTCCGCAATCTGATACACAAACAGTGTGTCAAATAAAGGCTGACTTGGGCTTCTCTTACACCACTTCATAATGTCTCTTAGCGGAATATGCTGGTATGGGTGTACTCCAACATTGAAGTCGTGGGCCTTTTTGACTAGTGAAGCCCACGTGTCTTGGGAGTCGACCCTGTGCTGGTATGGAATTGTATTGAACAATGGTCCAATAACTTGATCGACATCCTCAAAGTCAATATTTCGACCAGAGACGACCATGCCGAGAGTCACTGTTCCCTTGACATATTTGTGTAGAACAGTTGCCCAGCAGGCCTGAGCGATAGCTTGCGGGGTGACGCCCAGTTTTCGTCTAGCCAATTCGTATTTAGATAGCCCTTGGATCTCACGGATGACCATGGTGATACTAGGTTCATCTGACTGACCGATGCGTCCAGGAATGGGTCGGAAGGCGTTATCCGAAAGATGTTTGTGCCAGAAGTTTTGAGCACCGTCGACATTTCGTAAAGGTCCACATGCGAGAACGGATTGGAATGGAGGCCCGATTTTACCACTCCAGCAGCCGTTATAAATCTCCCACACAGTCTTGACCATCAGCGCGATGCTATTGCCGTCATAAAGCGCATGGAAAATATGCACTGCTAATACCTTCCGCAATGGAGTAGCCACAAAGGCGAGCTCGAAAGGCTTCTTCATTAAGAAGGTCTGGTTTTGCTGCGACCATTCTCTTTTCATATCATCCAGATACGCACCCAAGGAATCATCATTGGAGAGCTCGCACGACCTCCAAGGGAACGGCAACTTCCCAATTGCAGCTTGAACGAATCCATCCTCGGTGTTGGAGAAAATAGTCCGCAGTATCTGGGTTGCTGAAAAGACTTCTTGCCATGCAAAGCGAAGTGCATGTTCTTGGACACGGTTGCTGAGGTTAAAACGGAAAGTATTAAAATACAGCCCTTTCTCGCTATCAAGGGATCTTGCAATCATTCCCTGTTGCAGAGGTGTGCACGGGGCAAGAGCTTCGATGTTTCGTGGGTCCATGTGTAGAGCCTCAGCGACGGCGCGCCTATGGCGGTGCTGGGTCGCAGTGATGGACTGTTGCGCAGCGAGAATGGATCCACGGTCATTGTGCTCAGGGCCCCTTTTTTTCAGAACCTTAGCGAGCCGGGCAATTGACGTGTTTTTCATGACCGTAGAGGCTGTAGCGTTCGAAAATCCGACCTGCTTTAAAGCTCGCACGAACCCAATGACAGACACCGAGTCCAAACCCAATTCAAAAATACTAGAACTCTTCTTAATCTCGCTTTCGTTGAGGTGCAACATGTCCTTGAGAACCTTCCTGATCTTCTCCTCGTCCATTGACCACCTCATGTCGTTGATATTTAATGTCCCTGCGAGAGCTTGGAGGTCCGAAACGGTTAGTGCATTATACATCTCTCTTAGTTTCCGCACCTCGGCTTTGTTACTTGCTGATAGTGGCATAGCTGAGAGGGCGATAAAGTGTGTAGGAACCATGTAACCTGGCAGCTTCTCGTGACATGCTTCTTTACAGTCTTCCAAAAGCCTCCCACCATCGATAAGAATTCTTGGTTCTCCATTCATTCTCGAAGTCGTGACTACAAAGGAAACGAGTTGATCTTTTTGCTGTCTTGGGTGCTTCAATATTAGCGTGGCTACGTCTGAGATACCAAGGCCGAACTGTTTGATGACTGAGTTGATCTCTCCAATTTCGAGGCGCTGGCCTCGCAATTTAACCTGATCATCAGCTCGGCCTAGGAAATCGAATGTGCCATCATGGAGGATCCTGACTAGATCGCCGGTTCTATAAACCCGTTCGTTAAAGTGAGGAATATGAGGAAAACGCTCTAGCGTCAACTCAGGTCGATTCAAGTAGCCTTTCCCGACCAGTTTCCCCGACACACAAAGCTCCCCAACACCTCCCCTCAAGACCGGAACATCGGAATTCGGCGTCAAGACGTAAGATCCAACATTGTCAAATTGAGGCCCAATATTGGATGGCTTGCCAGTGGCTGGAACGCGAGGATACATCGTTACACCAATCGTAGCTTCTGTTGGTCCGTAGCCGTTATAAATAACCCCCTTGGGGCCCCAGACGTCAAGGATCTCTTGCTTTAGACTCTCCCCTCCAGTAATGAACACACCCTTGCAAAGACTTGGCACATCATCTGGGTGTAATGTCTGAGCGAGACTAGGTGTCAAATCGATGTGAGTGATACCCAAGACTCTGATCGATGTAGCCAGATCTTCAAAGATCAGATCTCGAGGCGCAGAGACAACGCAAATTCCCACGCTCCAGCTCCAGAACTGCTCGAGAACCGATACGTCGAAATGAAAAGATGCAAATTGAAGCCAGCGCGAGTCTTCATTCCAGTGGCCGGCAAATATTCGCTGGAATGATAGCATAGCCTGGACCGCATTTTCGTGGGTAAGTTCACAACCCTTCGGGGTACCAGTAGTCCCAGATGTATACAAACAGTAGCTGCGGTCTTGAGGAACAATATCCCGTTCTAAAACGGGCTTTGTTACTGGGGTCGATTTGAGATCCATCTCATCAAGGTTGAGAATTGGCACATCCAAATGTGCTATGAGGTCAGTTGATTGGGTTATCATTGACATGACAACAATGGCTCCAGAGTCTTTGACTATGAACGCCCGTCGCCTACTAGGCGCCCCTGGGTCTAGGGCCACAAATGCTGCTCCTGCTTTGAGAATTCCAAGAATTGCAAACGAAGCCTCTGGACATTTATCAAAGCAGATGCCGACCAGGCCTCCAGGCTTTACCCCATGGGATATGAGCATGTGAGCAATTCTGTTGGCTTCCGAATTGAGCTGGGTATATGTCCAGGTTTTGCTAGTGTACTGGCCATTGGAAATTGCTGAGGCAAATTCGAGAGCAATTCGGCTCGGACTCTCGTTAACAAAAATCTCAACAAGCTCGTGTAAAAGAGAAACTTTTGATGGTATCGTATGTTCCCTTGCTGGTGTGATAGAATAAAGATCTTGATTGTAATGAACAACGTTCGGAGACTGAACCTCGGAAAAGACAAATTGGGCAAGCAGATGATCGAGTTGACCGAGTATCAAGGCCGCTTGCTCTCGTGGTATCATGTGTGGCAGGAAGGTAAGTCGAATCTCGACACGCTCTCCGACTGGTTCCAGCTCGATTGAGATCGGATAATCGACTGATGCCCGTTCATCAACTACTTCCCACAACATATCTACCTGCCCTTTATTGGGGATCTTCTGGAAGGCAAAGATAGTGTCAAATAGAGGCTCATTGGGATGTCCCATCATTCTCTGGATCTCGTTCAATGGTGTGAATTGATGCCTTTGGATTTCCGCATTCAAAGCCATAATATCTCTCAGCATCTTCCGTTTGTCCTTGCCAACTTTGCAGACGAAAGGCATAGTTGTAATACAAGGGAAAACTGCAGACTCTGCTGCTTCAACATTTCGACCAGAGAGAACGACGCCGCATGTTACCGAAGATTCGCCTGTGTAGGCAGAGAGAATTGATGCCCAGCTGGCAATTCCCGCTGCTTGAAGCGTAATATTCGACTTTCGACATCCAGCTTCGAGATCTACAACGGATGTTGAGCATATTTTCGTGACTACAGCTGGAGATACTGCATTATATCGAAGGGGTGCCACGTTAGGGAATCGAGTTACAGCCAGTCCCTTTCCAAGCTTCTCCCAAAAGTGGGTACGTTGGATATCCTCGCTGGCGCCCAGGGTGAGTATCATGTCCAAGAGGGGTTCCAATGATGTCGGTATCCCAAGCGGAAGATCGTTATATGCCCTTGATACGTCGGTAAAGATAGCCTGTAAGCTCTCAGCATCGAAAATGGCATGGAATATGGCTAAATGAAGGTGTGCCTGGCCGTTTTCTTTGTTGAAACGGATGCGCCACGGTGGTCTATGTAACTGCTTCAAAGTTTGAAGCGTAGATTGAAGATACCACTCATCTACTTCTTGTGGATCATTTTTGGCGTTTTCCTCGTCCCAAGGTAGGCTCACAGTAGTAGCGGCAAATTGTACCATGGCAAAAGAATGGTTGCTGTCTTTGAGTTCAGCAAAGCCAGTCCGTAGCATTTGATGCTTCTTCATCACTAGTGACCACGCTTGTCTTAACCTCGGCGCATCAATATCGTCGTTAAGCCGTAACCGGAGATAGTTGTAATATACGGTTCCTTCTCTCGCAATGAATCGCGAAATAATGCCTCGCTGTAGTGGAGTGCATGGGCGAACAGCTTCGACATCTTCGTCCTTGATTCCGAAAGCTTTCAATATGTCAAATCTGAACATATTGTCGAACTCTTGGAAGTTGAATTTTTTCGCTTCTCGAGAAGATAGTCCACCTGGCCGATCGAGACAAGCGGCAAGCTCTACGCAGCTAGTGTATTTGAGTACATCCACTGCGTGAACTTCGTATCCTTTCCGCCTTAAACCCGCAGCGATCTGAACAGCACTAATACTATCGAGCCCAAGCTGGTGAATCGACGTAGTGGGGTGAATACACTCTGTCTGCGTTCCAGAAAGCCTAGCGAAGATTGTGCGTACCTGATTCTCAGTCTCAGTCCATGAATGGGATGTGGCTTGCTCCATGGTTTCTTCGGAGATTAATTGAGTATCTTCAGAGTCTTGGAAAATAACTCCTAGGGCTTTCTTGTCTACCTTTCCGGCCATAGATTTCGGTATCTTTTCGATGAAAATGAAGAATTGGGGGACCATATAGAAAGGCAAATGGTCGGTTGCTGCACGCTTCGCCTTTATCTTGAGCTCAAATGTCTTATCCCAGGCCGTAGTCACTAGGAAAGCAACTAGTTGTTGTTTGGCGTCCGCATCTTTCCTCAGTATTTGCGTTGTGACGCTAGAAATATCTTCATCACACTCTTGTAGTACATGGCTGATCTCACCCAGTTCGACCCGCAGGCCTCGGATCTTGACTTGGTCATCTGCTCGGCCAATGAACTCAAAGTTACCATCACTCAACATGCGAACCATATCACCGCTCTTGTAAAATCTTTGTCCACTTCTGTAAACAAATCTTTCTTCTGTGAGTGCGGAATTATTATAGTAACCCCGGGCAATCTGGGCGCCGCCAATATATAGCTCGCCTACTCCAAGCACAGGCAATGCGCGTTCGCCGTTTTTAGGAAATACCGCGAAAGAAGTCGTAGGGAAAGGCATGCCAATGACGGTGTTCTTGATGTCTTTGCGAACAGGAAAGATAGTTGTGCAAAATGCCGCTTCAGTTGGACCGTAGGAGTTGACACATGCACCCTCCCACCTCTGCACGATATCAGGCACCATTGTTTCGCCAATGCAATACAACCATTTCACCCCTGGAACATCCTCTCGTGAAAGTCCGGCAGCAATGGAAGGTGTAAGGTCTAGTAGATCGACATTTAGAGAATTGACAACGTGGGTAATATTGTTCATCAAAGCATTCTGTTCTGCCGTGCAAAGCGCAAATCCGAACGTCCAAGCTAGGAAACAATCGTAGTAGCACATGTCGAATGTAATTGCGGCATACTGAAGCAGTCTTGAGTCGTGGCTCCAGGGGACCAATGGCCGAGAGCTTTCAATTGTTTGAATCGGTGACCGGTGTTCCACACCCACGGCTTTGGGTACACCAGTCGAGCCAGAAGTGTACAGGCAGTAGGCTAGATTCGTTGACGCGAGTCCTTGAATCACAGGGTTTTCCGTGGGGTTTCTTTCAAGTGTGTCAACGTTGACAACCTCTACATCGCGGCACCAATCCAACGCAGAATCGCTAACGCAAAGCAAGACCTTTGGGTGAATTTCAGAAAGCATGAATTTCTTCCTGGCCTCCGGCAACTCTGGGTGGAGTGGTGTAAACGCAGCCCCAGCTTTCAAGACCCCAAGTATGCAAGCGTAGAACTGAGGACTTTTCTGTATGTAGACGGGGATAATATCTTCGGGCCCTATATTGCGCTCTATCAAGGCATGGGCAATTTGATTTGCTTTTGCGTTCAGTTCTCCAAAAGTCCAGGTCGTTCTTGTATTATTATCGTGTTGGAAGTCGAGAGCAACCTGATTGGAGCGCAAGGAGGCATTTCCCTCGAACGCCGAATGTAGCCCAGGCCCCTCTGTGGGAGTTGCGGGAACGAAGTCAAAATTCGATCTCGCAAGAATGTCGGAAGGGAAGCCAAAGGTGTCTCCAGCAGCAGCACTTGGGAACTGAACACATGATGACAACGCGTAACTGAATGTCTTCACGATCATATGAGCGTCAGTCTCTGATACGAGGTGGGTTTGGTGGTGGAGAGTCACAGAAAGCTGATCGTGCAATGGGGATTGGGATACTTCGCAGACAATTGGAAAATTCATGTCTCCGGCGTCTCGCTCCAATCTCCAGATTGACTCGTCAAGAGGATTACTTGGCTGTTGAAGAATGACTAGGGTATCGAAGAGATGAGCTGTTTCTCTCTTAACTTTAGCTTGGATGCGACGGAGTGGCGTTAAATGAAATGGGAGAGAGTCAATGTTGAAATTATGGAGTTGTCGAACCAAGTCTGTATTACTCCTTGCGGCGTTGAGGTTGAGGCGCACAGGGAGAGTGTTAAAGCAGGGTGCAATAAGCTGGTCTAGATCCTCTCCTGGGAGGGAACGACCAGAGACGACGTTGCCGAAGCACAAGTTGGTCTCCCCAGTATAAAAATGTAGGAGCTTCCCCCAAGCAGCCTGTATCATTGAGAGAAGAGACACCGAAGAGTCTTGGCACATCATGAGGACATCCTGAAGGGGAACATGAAGAATCTGCCTGGGGGAAGAAACGCTGCTACCATATTTCTTGCTGGTACCAGAAAGATCCGGAAAGGATGTTGGCTCGAGCCCAGCGAGGGAAGTCTTCCAAAATTGGTCGGCAGCGATAAAGTCCTGTGAAATCATATGCTGAAGGTAGCGTTCATACGGGACTGATGGCGGCAGTATGCTGCCATAGTACGCTTGCTGTACTTCTTGGAGGAGAGATGAAATGGCTTGCCCGTCGTACAGCGCGTGATGGCAACAAAAGACGAGTTTGGTTGAAGTGCTAGACTCAAGAGTGGCCAATCGTACGGGTGGTTTGAATGACCTCAGCAGATGGCTTAGGGTCCTTTCAACATACGCTTCGGTATCATCTATTGACTCTAATTCATCCCATATTGGATCCTCATACTCTAGAACGACTTGAGCGAATGCGTAGTCCTTGTCGTCGGTAGGAACAAATGCAGTCCGAAATATCTCATGTCGCTGGAACATAAGAGTCCAGCATTTCTTCAATTTGGAAACCTCTCCAGTAACTTCAAAGACCATCGTGTTGTAGTATGACGAGCATGTGGCAGATGGAGCACTTGAAAGCATGGCTTCTTGGAGTGATGTACAAGGCAAGATCTTCTTTACTCGTTCACCACGCTTTTCGAATTCGGAACGGATTTGATTGATATGTGCTAGTTGCAACACCTTTCCAGGCTCGTGCAAGAGTCTGCGCGCAAGCACCTCTGATGTGGAGGCCACTCGGATCTTCGATGATAGGCGTGCCACGGAAGCATTCTTCAGAATGACGGAAACAGGAATTGCCCCAATGCCAATTTCTTGAAGTTTCCTAGAAAACCTTATTGCGGATATGGAATCTAATCCTACATTGAAGAAAGAGGAGTTCCGCTGGATATCGGCGAGCGGCACTCCAATACTTCCGGCCAGCGCTTCCGCGATAGGTCTTTCTTGCTCGGATAGCTCGCCATCGTAGTTATCAGGGGGAGAATTATGTGTGACTAACTCGAGTTGCTTAGAGGATAAGTCCTGGAATACTTGGAAAAGACGTTTTTTGTCAACTTTGGTCTGGGAGGTCACAGGAATTTGGGTGATCGGAATTAGATGCGACGGAATCATGTAGGTCGGTAGCTTTGGAGCTAGAGACTCGAAAATATCTTGTATTGCGGAGGAGAAACTCTGAAAAGGTAGCAGTTCGAATCTTTTTGCTGATGCCTTCGTAGGAACCCAAAAAGTTACCAGTTTTTGGGAAGATTCGGTTTGTTGAAACAGCAAAGTAACGCAATCTTCGACCGCAACGCAGTCGATAATGCACGAGGTCACTTCCCCAAGTTCAACCCGCTGGCCACGAATCTTGATTTGGTCGTCCGAACGACCCGTGAACAATATAGAATCGTCGGGAAGCAACACACCCATATCTCCTGAACGATAAATTCGACCATAGGAGGGATGGTTGATGATTTTCCTTGCGTTGAGTTCTGGCATATTGAGATATCCACGGAATACCTGTGCTCCACCAAAGCACAGTTCCCCGATACCACCTCGAGGAACAATTGTACTACATCTAGGATCAAGTACGAATGCCGAAGTGTTCCGGAACGGAGCACCGATGTTATTGATGGCGTCCTCCATGGTAACGGAAGCTCGAACTGTACAGATGTTTGTTGTTTCCGATGGCCCGTACCCTTGATACAACCCTTTGCCGGCCCATTGTCTTCTAACATGCTCCGTCAAAGCCTCCCCCGCAGTGACTAGGAACCGAACCTTGGGGACATGTTTTGGGTTCACTAAAGACGCAACCGTCGGGGTTAAGCTCAAATGTGTTACGCCTAAGCTAACGATGGCTGCCTCAAAATCTTGATAGAGATCATCCTTCGTGGCTGAGCACAGGCACAGGCCGGCGTACCAGGTGAAGAAAATCTCGAATACAGAAACATCGAACGCTTGAGAGCAGGCTTGCAGCAACCTTGAATCAGCCGGCGTAGGATAAAGGTCAAGGAGAACTTCGAGATTGCTCATCAGATTTTCCTGCGTTACAAGAACACCCTTAGGCGCTCCTGTACTCCCAGACGTAAATATAGCATAGGCAAGGTACGACCCGTCATATTCGACACTAAGATTCTGGTCCGGGTACGTTGAAGTGTCCATTGTGTCAAGATCAAGAACCAGGTATGAGCCTTCGTGACGTGCATCTTTCAAAAAAGGTGTTTCGCTGAGGCATATATTTACTTGAGCTTCTGACAGGATCTTGGTGATTCGTTCCGGCGGTGAGTCAGGAAGGATTGGAAGATAGCCTGACCCAACTTTGAGAATTGCTAATATCGCAACATAAAGATTGACAGATTTTTCCAGGAGTACGCAAATGAGAGAATCGCCGCCAATGCCACGTTCCTGCAGAGCATGCGCGAGTTGGTTTGCACGTGAATTCAAGGCACTATAGGTGAGTCTCTCCTTTTCGACCATACTCCCGTTGAAAATGGTGCCAAATATAACCGCTTCCTTGTCAGGTGTTTCTGCAGCCCACCGTTCTACTGCGTAGGCTGGTCCGTGGCTAAACGACGTTTGCTGGGGCGAGGGATTGGCAATTGAAAGACTTTGTGGACTGAAGCAATGAGAGACACCATTAAATTCCGCCGTAGGTTTTTCTAGAAAGTGATTGACCAGTTCATCGATATGTTGAAGAAGGTACTTGACTTGGGTTTCAGGAAGTACTGAAGAATCATATGTCGCCCTGCATGACACACAGTCTGCGCGAGGTTCGAACTCGAGAGTCAACTTGAATTCGAGATCATCGGCACTGCCTATGGTCTTAATTTCGAAAGGGCCGGAGGCCTTGCTAAATATCGTTTCCTGCCAGACAAATAGTACTTCGAAAAGATGTGAATCCGGTGGGACACCACATGATCTTATGATGTCTCGTAACGGCAGTGTAGCGTGACTAAGCATTGCTCGATTTGAGTTTTGAACCCTATCGAGGATGTCCTTGATGGTCGAACACTTTGAGAGGTCTACTCGAAGCGGCAGCGAAGCGATGCACGGTCCCATGATGTTTTCAATGCCAGTGACGGGGATGGTCCTCCCAGAAGTGACTGTACCAATCACAACATCGGTTGACCCAAGGTAGGAACCTAGAATATACGCGAGAGCCGCCTGGAAGAAGACCTGGGGATTGACTGTACAGTTATTTGCGCCCTCGTGTAAGGACTTGACATTGACTGATGATGATCGGGCAAGCGACTGAAGATAATTATTACAGATAGTTTTGCCATTGAAGTTTCGAAGAGGCTCCGGGCAATATCCTTTGAGCATATGTGCCCAGAAGCTTATGCTTTCCGCCTTTTCTGCACCACTCGAAAGTTGTTCGTAGTAGGTAACAACCTGACGAAACTGCGGTCGTGAATCGAGTGACCTTCCGCGGATAATGTTGGCAAAGTCTTTCAGGAGAAGGTCAAACGACCATCCATCGTACAAAGCATGATGTATCTGAAACACAAGCCGCGTTTTCGGAGAGGTTGCGTTGACTTGAACCGTGAAGGGACGGAAGAGGGACTCCATTGAACTAAGTGAGAATTTCTTGGAAAAATTCGTGACCTCGATGATTTGAGATTTATGTAAAGCTTTCCACACAACCTGTGCAAAGGAGCTAGAGTTCAAGGAAGAGGTGACGCAAAATCCTGAGCGCAATATCTCATTTTCCTTCGCAAGAATGTCGAAGAAGCCTCGTACTTGCGAGAAAGTGTAGGAAGCAGGAAGTTCCGTTTCAATCCAGTTGCAGTAAGCATCAGGTCGGCCAATGGTTTCTGCAAGCATTGCCTCCTGTAAAGGTGTGCATGGAATGATATCAACAATATCAGTTTGGTGGCTGTCTAAGTCTGACAATCTCATGGCGGCATTGCTGATAGCGCTGAAGTCGGCGGTCATATTTTGAGCAAGATATGCTCGCTCGCTTTTGCATATTGTAAGAAGTTCTTCCAGATTATTGGAGGAGAGCACATCCACGGCGCCTATTCTATAGCCTTTCTCTCGAAGTGAAGAAGCAATCTGAATGGAGCGCAGAGAGTCTACCCCAGCATAACTAAAAGCAGTGCTGAGGGTGATTTTACGACCCAATGTGTGCTCAAGTATGCGTTGGACGGTACGACCAAACTCGTCAGGTAGCTTAGAACCGGGGGAGTCATCAACTTGACAGTCGCGAACGTATTGCGCTTCTAATTCTTTCTTGTCGATCTTACCCGATGCTAATTGCGGCATGCAAGGAACAAATATGATATCTGCGGGAACCATGTAGCTCGGAAGCCAACGATTACAAGTGTTAATGACTTCCGATTTTGAAGCCGCACTTGAACCAACAGCACAGAAAGCTACCAAGGTATCTTCGATGACAACGACGGAGACAGTGTGGCACCCGTCCACCTTCGAGATGATTTGTTCAATCTCTCCAAGCTCGACTCTCTGGCCCCTGACTTTCACTTGACCGGAGACAATACGACCTAGACACTCTAAGGTTCCGCTCGGGAGAAGTCGAGCTTTGTCACCGGTTCGATAGAGAACGCCAAATTTGGGATGTCGCAAAAATGCTGCAGCCGTGAGCTCAGGGCGATTGAGGTACTCTTCAGCGACCTGCGGTCCTCCTACGACCAGTTCCCCAACTTCCCCTGTTGGCAATATCTTGATATCTGTGGACGACTCGCCTTCCAGAGCAGGTGTGACAATGAAGGCTGACACTGTCTCCAAAGGGAACCCAATGTTACCGACGGAAAAGTCGCTTTGAAAGTGGGGCTGCAGAGTACAGTGGATTGCGGCCTCCGTGGGTCCGTACATACCCCAGAGGATGCTCTTTTGGGTGGCGTCACCACCAAACTCCTGGACAACATGTCTGGTGAGCATTTCGCCGATGGTGAGGAGCAGTTTCAATCCGGGCACACTTGCGCGCCCGCGGAGCAAGTTACTAACGACAGTGGGTGTAAGCTCGGCAGCGTCGATCTCCATTAGTTTGATAGTGCCTGGCAAATCGTTAAGCATTTGAGCCCGAGTGCATCCAACTAAAGTGCAGCCTCTAAATAGGGGAAAGAAGATCTCAAAGATCGAAACGTCAAAAGTCGGGGCCGCAAATTGAAGGAATCGCGAAAAGCGTGGGATGTGTTGGTCATGAGCCATTAAGCTTTGAGTGACTGCTCGATGAGACACGCTGACGGCCTTTGGGAGGCCTGTCGACCCGGATGTGTACAAGACGTATGCCAAATCTTTCGGATGTACGGCCTCTTCTACATGCAGACTATCTTCTTTATGCTGGGTTGTCTCCTGGTCCACCACAAGCACTTCGACACCTCGATCCAGAGGAATTCTCTCCTTGAGAGTTGATGTGGTAATAACCAGATTTGCCGTTATGTCCTTCAGAATGAAGCTCAACCGCTGCTTGGGAGTGTCTATTCCCAACGGGCAAAATGCTTTACCGGCCTTGAGGATTGCCAGGAGAGTGATGTAGAGCTCCGGACACTGAGGTAAAAAGACGGGTATAATAGCAGAGGTATGTTTCAGCCCAGTCAGCGTGCGGTAGATTCTCTTAGCAAGATCATCACTAAGGATGTGCAGAGATTCGTAAGAAAGCTTTTGTCTCATCGATCCGTCTTTTAGGAAATCGATAGCGGGCCCTGCATTACTTGAGGATTGTCGAACAAGATGATGAAGAAGCCGTGGGCCTTCAATCGGAACAGGATGTGGATTTAGGACAGACAACCCCGAACCTAGTTGGTGAAGCATTTTGCGGGTTTCCTAATTAGGCAATAGTGCAGTCGAGCTCAGTGATGGGGAGAGATTTAGAGAATTCGTTGCGTTATGTTTCTCAGGTCGAGAATTTCGGCGAGAGGAAAGGCTGATGAAGAACTTGAGCGCAGAGGAAGCTTCCTCCCGTTTAATAAAAATGAACTTGAAGGCCGTATTCGAAGTGATGAGAAATTGCTGCGTACTGGTTGGTCCTTCCTGGATACAGGAGTTTTGCTTTTTGCGGAGGTAGAAGAGGAAAATGCCCACGTGAAGACCCGTCAACTCACCAAAGCGCGTCGCCGTTCGTCAAAAGAATGCGCCGGATGCTCCACGCTCCCCACACCCGAGTGTTGAAGAGTGAATGTTCTCGGGTAATGCCAAGTCATCAGATCGTAGAGTCGGCGTTGCTGGCCGCCAAAACCTAGGTGAGGCGGAGAGAAGATGGGGAGCCTAGTTGCGAGTTCCTCAGCGGTGATGTATCAAGGTCATTCGCCACGGTGTGATGTCTGTAAGGTGAGGGAATCGTGTGGTTGCGTCAATGCATCATCCATCTTATCAGATGAGATTCATGCTGTTCAGTCGCAAACGAGTTAGGAAGGGACAGCACAATAACAACCACAACAAATGGCGCCATAGCGTCGAGGCGTTCAGGTGTGCTGGCAAACCGCGCCTTCCAAGGAGGCTGCCGACCTTCTCGGGTTTGCAGAAGATGGCAGGTGTGAGGGTTGCGGTGCCCCTTGGCGTCATTGGCTTGCGGGCCATGTCCGTCTCTTTCTTCCCGTCTTCGCTCCAGGTTATCCCACACCTCAGTTCCCCTTTTCACTTCAATCCTCCATATATGAGTAAGACAGACTTTACCTTCGAACCGGGCTAGACGCTGCCAACCAAAGTCATTGCAAACAGGAGCCGATCTCGGACATCGCGAGCAGGCTCTTGTTGTAGAGGAAAATGGAGGAATACAAGAATGCAGATCGGGTGTGGGTGCGGCCGCCGAATCCTCGGCATGGACCCGGCAAATAATCCGACGATCAGATATGTCGACTCCTTGTACACAACATCCGAGCAACTAATCGCGAGAAAGGGGACCACTACTCTGCAGGTGCTGGGTTACATATGCGGCTGTATTTCTCGTACAGATGCGTACTTGGTTGTGGGCGCATATCACCTTTCCCTGAAACCTTTTCATTGCGTGAGATGACCAGGGGATATTTCCAACATTATCGGAACGTTCTAGGGGTTAGGACATCCGTCCCCACGAAACCTCCATTTCGAACTTAAATTGATGTCAACTTTCATTTTCAAGGAGGGAGGGTTACGGGAAGTTCTGGCCCTTCCAAACATAGATCCTCCAGAAGTATCGCTTCCTTGCATTCTCGCAATTCGCCCGGTGGCCTAGCAACATGTCTAATCGTTTGAATTGGTACTTGCGCACTATCGAGGATCATGATTCGAATCTACTCTACCAGTTCAATGCTTATAGGATACGGGTACAACAGTGTACACCAAGATACGACGTGGCAGCGCCTTCGCTTGAAAGAATCTCGGTTGGTGTACAAATTTCATTCTCACTAGAACAAATGTCTGTTATTATTCACTGAACTACTACCCAAGCAAGAAATATGCTCAGATAGCTACCAAAACTGATTAACTGTAAATGATTTAGCACAAGCAGCTGCTCTAGTCCTTAAGAGCTCCTCTAAAGTTCGGCTCGGTGAGGTGCTCTCAATGCTCGTGGCCTTGAGGGGGGAAATATCTAGATTGCTTCGTATGCCTCATGCGTCATCTCCTACATATTACTCTCCTGGCGCTAACTGAGCTGAAATATGGATGGAGCAATCAGCGGCGAGGCGTGCTAGCCTTTAATAGCAGCTATTCCGGCGAACGCTGCATGTAGATGCTGCAGTTTGAGCTGTGCCAGAGATGAATGGGCCAACAATGGCCGAAGTTCGGAGAACTGAAATTTTATCTGATGATCAGATAACTTTGCTGCCCCGCCGCTAAGCCTCTTACCACATTTCTAACCTTGCATCCCACGTCCCCAAGCTTCGCTTTAGTTCAAAAGCAATTCAGTACAAGCGTTGCGGGGCATCTGCGAAAATTTTGCCTGCATCATGACCTGGTTGGGGTCGATGTGACCGTCTCCTGCCGGCCTTTACGCCGATCCATTCATATGCGTTGTTATCTGATTCCAAGATTAGATGGAGTGATCCCTGACATTGTCATCTACCCCAGCCCTCCGTTACCGCCGATGGAGGCCTGCTATCATCGAGTCGAGCGGCCTGCAAACCGCTTTCAATAATGGGAATTCATCGTACCATTCTCTCCTGAGATCCCTGATCGCACGCGGAGAGGAAGTAAACTTACTCAAGCCAAGCATGGAACGCGGATGCAGCCGGTTTGGCTACAGCGGTAGTGTACGCCATCATCTTCGTTCAAAATGGGGATCGAGGACAATGTTCTTTCGCAAATTAGTCCCTCTGAACTCGCTTTCTTGCCTTTGAATAAAGTCTTGACACATGTAAGCCCGATTTCTCCATTAAAGTTCAGGGTCTTCCCTGCCCGATTGTCCAGTGCGTCACCATCCACAAGTTAAGCCACTGACGGGTTCCTTTACGTTCAGACGATTTACTGTGGCCACTTCTTCCATCTTATTCACGTCTTTCGCACGGACCTGTCACAGTGACGGTTGACAGCTGTCAGTGCACTCTCGCACTCCAATTGGAGCCCCAAGTGAGCAAACCACCACTGTTCCACGTCCCTGACTGACATGTACTCACCTCCTTCAAGCTTTACTGATCTGCAGCCTTCACGTACCTTGATATCACCGCGAAAATGACTCCTCACGCCGATTTTCGTACGCACTCGGAGAAGTGGAACTCTCCAGCCGGGCAGGAACCGCTCTTGGGAGCCAGTGAGTGTTTTACCAACGGGCTGGGAAATAGCCACCTTCCTACCGTAGTGAGCCGATCTCATCTTCGACATACACCAGAAGAGGAACTACATGATCTCGTATGCGTTGGGTTTGGGCCGGCATCACTCGCCATTGCAGTGGCTCTTCACGATGCGATGGATGGGACAGATCCATCCCTTAACATCCCCAGTCTTCAACAAGACGCACCAAAGGTCGCATTTCTGGAGAGACAACACCAATTTGCATGGCATGCCGGAATGCTGCTTCCTGGCGCGAGAATGCAAATTACGTTCATGAAGGACATGGCGACGTTGAGAAATCCACGGAGCGAGTTTACCTTCATTAATTACCTCTTCAAGAATGGTCGGCTCATTGAATTCACAAACTTAAACACTTTCCTACCACAGCGAGTGGAATACGAGGATTACATGCGATGGTGTGCGGGATGGTTCGAGGAGGTCGTTCAGTATGATCAAGAAGTGCTGAAAATTGTGCCTGAAAAATCCTCTAGCGAGGGTGATACTATTTCAACATTCACAGTGTTATCACGAAACCTCCAAACCGGGGAATTACAATCTAGGAGGACGAAACACGTGGTCATAGCATCAGGTGGAAGACCAAACATCCCAAAACCGTTCCCTAGCAACCACCCCAAGGTCGTACATTCGTCGCAGTTTTCTCACATCTCGACGAAGCTCTTGAAAGACTTCCAGCATCCATACAACGTGGCAGTAATCGGGAACGGACAGAGCGCGGCAGAGATCTTTGATTTCTTGCATTCCCATTACCCTAATGCGAAAACTAGGTTATTAATTAAAGGGGGTGCTTTGCGTCCAAGTGATGATTCACCTTTGTGAGTTGATTTCATATTAATATTCCCTTTGAAACAACATCCTATTTCTGACCGAGCATAGTGTGAACGAGATTTTCAATCCCTCTCGCGTCGACTGCACCTTTTCTCGCGACCCTGATCTTCGCCACACCACCATCACCGAGGATCGCAATACCAACTATGGCGTTGTACGCCTAAATTTACTCGAACGGATCTACGAGACCTTATACACTCAGCGCATACGTTATGGGAACTCTCCCGTCGCGGAGGAGCAATGGCCTCATCGGATTCTACCTTATCGTTCTGTACTCAATTTGGAGGGCTCACCCGTTATCAATGGCGGAATTCGTCTGCACGTACGAGACCAGAGTCCGCTTTACCTGTCCGATGCGCCGAATGCGGAGGAGAAGGAAGACGAGCTAGATGTCGACGTAGTGTTCGTAGCGACAGGTTATCAAAGGGATTTGCACGAGACCCTCCTTCAAGACGCACGGAGCTTAATGCCCGGTGGCGGCCTAAAAGATGCAAAATGGACAGTTCAACGCGACTACAGAGTACAGTTTGCAGACAAGAAGGTCAGCGACGATGCCGGAGTCTGGCTGCAAGGTTGTTGCGAGAGCTCGCACGGTGTAAGTGTCTACCGATTGCAATTTCCGGAGTAAGGCTGACGGTGTGTGTGTGCCCGGCAGTTGAGTGACACGCTTCTTTCTATTTTGGCAACACGCGGAGGACAGATTGTCAAGTCTATCTTTGAAAATAGGTCTGTGTAAGGTGACCGTGTCAGTTACGAGGAGGCTTCGTCAGGAAGCGATAAAAAGAGCATTGGTTTGGAGGTGGGAAGTGGAGACGGCTTTTGCTTTGTTGCGTCAGCCCCATGCGCCAGCAGTGCATGTGGCTGTGTCGGACATGTGGGGCTGATTGGTGAGGCATTCCATCTCTCCGAGTTTATTTCCTATTGATACCGGTTTTGGAGGTTATACCTCGAGCCCTCAGATGTCAATGTCTGATGAGTTCTTGTATAGAGGGCTTGTTGAACTAGTTACCTACAGTTAGCATTCTATTAGCATCTCACCTCTTCCATCCACTTACGGAAACAATGCTCAAAAGCGAAACGTGAGCCTAGATTTCATTATTGGGCCGTCCTCAAGCTACTAGGCAACGGAGACGTGTCTCAGAGCAGAAATTGGTGTTGGAATGGAGTGGTTTAGCGGTGCGTACGCCGACCCCGAGTACGACTTGCCACTCGTGCAGCACGGTGCTGAATTATTGACTGAGGAGAAGAAAGCAAATAGCCCACGAAGTCATGACTCTCAATGCAACCTCCAGACATTTCACTCGGGTTCAGTAGCAGGTAACCTAGCGCCTGCCCGAATTTTAGGGAAGATGCAAATTGTACGGCGCTTATTCCGTAGATAGCTGCTTACAGTTAGGTACAATCAAGAACATAGGCCCATGGACTATAGCATTGCATTTCCAAGTGAATCCAGCCAGGAATAGTGGCGCACATTGACAGCAGATGTTTGATACCTCGACAGGTGCTTGCGAGAATCGCGCAGGTGGCATACCTGAAGCTATGTGGCGCAGCGTTGCGCCTGATAGTGGCTGCAATTTCAACCGGCAATTAGTGAATAGCGAAGGGATACGAATAACGTTGCATAGGACAGGAGAATTGGGCCGAGAGCGAGGATTAAGTCTTGAATTGGGCGTGAATGTGGATGGGCAAGGATGATGTTGCTGTGTGCCCGCCGCTGGTGATGATGATCAAGCGACCCGTGCCAAGCAGACCAGCTCATGCTGAGAGCCCGAAACGCTACCTTGGTAGGACATTTTTCCTGCATTCACTTACCTCCACTCCCTCTGTGTGCTGCTGTTCACAGCGGCCCTACCCTACGCCTCCTCTCCTGCCGCCGGCGCCTCGTGTTCTCGAGCCCGCTTCGAGGCTGTTGCAGCCTCGTGCATGAGGTAACCAACCCCTCCGTCTCCAGCGTGCACTCTACCCACTCATCGCCAGACGCCCGAGTGTACCGCAACACACACAACCCGCACCATCGCCGCTGCAACTGACACTCTCTCCTCCAGCCTGTGCTAGCCGCATTTCCGCTTCTCCCTCTGCGACCCCCGTTGCCCTCCCCTCTCCGCGGCGCGATTCGGAATGCCCACGGCCAACTAGCGGGCGTCACCAGCTGAATCGGCTGCGTACCAACACCTCGCTCGCCTCGCCGCCTTCCTTCCGATCCCCTTCTCTGCGTTATGGACTCGCAGTGGACCACTTCGTACGCTGAGAGCCCTGCAAGCCGCCAGGCGCGGTACGCTCCGCACAGTATGACCACCCCCCAACAGCATTCTCAAAGGGACCCCAATATACCGCAGCAGATAAAGCAGGATCCTTACACATCTCCCGCAGTGCCTTCAAGGACAGGCTCGATGGCACTAGCGTCCCCTGGTGGCCCGCTTCCCCGGGGTCCAGAGTACAACGACGGGGACGGAGACGTACCCATGGAGGACGCTGATCCTTACAAGCCCAAATACAGCGCTTCACGAGCGAACCATCAGCACAGGCATTCGCAGCAATTCTTACAACAAGAAGAGAGCGCGGCCGCGCGAAGATACTCGCCAATGAACCTTTCGCCAACGTCACCATATAGTGGAACCACGCAACAGGGTGGTCAGAACTATACGAGTTTCAGTCCCCAGGCCGCCCAGAGCAACAGGCAAAGTCCGACTAGAAACAATCCCTACATGTCGCCGCCAAACAGTTACTACTCCCCTCCCAGTAAGCCAACTTCCACCCCATGCCTTTGCATTCTTGGCGTGCCACATGCTTACTAGTACTGTTGCCATAGCTTCGCGACCGCATGCCCCTCAGCTCCCTCCTTTGCAATCGAACATGAGCCCCGAGAGCTACTATCCGCAATCCGCGACTGCCCAGCTCAATGCCGTGTATAATAGAGAGGCGCGCTCACCACGAACGACGAATCCGAACCCTCCACAATTGCCCCCAATTGGGCAGCGAGGATCAGTGCCAAAGTTTAGTAAGGTTGTCAATACCGCCGATTTGGAACCCAAAATCAATGCTCAACCGCCATTCCGACGCGCTGCCCCAGAAGGAGGTTTCATTAGTGTAATCCAGCTCCACATGACTCTCGGATGGATATGCTGACGAGTAACTTAGCCACTCCAAGCCTTAACAACGCATTTGCCCTCGACGTACAGGATATGCAATCCCGGTTTTAAGTACGAATCGTCTCGAAACCCCCGTCGAGTTCTCACCAAGCCAAGCAAAGGGGTCAAGAATGACGGGTATGATAATGAGGATAGCGATTACATTCTCTATGTAAACGATATTCTAGGATCTGAAGAGTCTGGGCACAAGAACAGGTATCTGATCCTCGATGTGCTTGGTCAAGGAACATTCGGGCAGGTTGTAAAATGTCAAAATCTCAAGACGCAAGAGGTTGTCGCTGTCAAAGTCATAAAAAATCGGACAGCGTACTTCAACCAGAGTATGATGGAGGTGTCAGTACTCGATTTGGTTCGTAACACTCGTTTGTTTCTTTTTGTTGTTCTAACGTTGCACAGTTGAATAAGCAGATGGACAAGAACGATGACCACCACTTGCTACGACTAAAAGACACGTTCATCCACAGGCAGCATCTTTGTCTGGTGTTCGAGCTGCTGAGTGTCAATCTGTACGAGTTGATAAAACAAAACCAATTCCGCGGGTTGTCGACAACTTTGGTCCGAGTATTTGCGCAACAGTTAATCAACGGCCTGGCCCTGCTAGGGAAGGCGAAATTGATACATTGCGACCTCAAGCCGGAGAACATTCTGCTGAAGAAGTGAGTCATGGATGGCCATGCCTCTATGCAGGTTGCTAAATACAGTGTAGCCTGGAAAGCCCAATCATTAAGATAATCGATTTCGGGTCGGCGTGTGACGAACGGCAGACAGTCTACACATATATCCAGTCGCGTTTCTACAGGTCCCCTGAGGTGCTACTTGGTTTACCGTAAGTCCCGTATGCCATTCTCATCAACGTCGCTGACTAGTTACATAGTTATTCCGCGGCAATCGACATGTGGTCATTAGGCTGCATCGTGGTCGAATTATTCCTCGGGTTGCCATTATTCCCTGGATCGTCGGAATACAACCAAGTATCGAGAATAACCGAAATGCTTGGGCTCCCACCAACATGGATGCTTGAGATGGGAAAGCAATCTGGTGAATTTTTTGAGAAGTCCCACGATGAGTATGGGCGGAGAGCATACAGACTGAAGACTATGGAAACGTATTCCAGAGAGCATGGCACCAAGGAGCAGCCGAGCAAGAAGTACTTCTCAGCGACGACGCTGCCTGACGTGATCAAGAATTATCCAATGCCAAGGAAGAATATGAAACCTGCAGAGATTGAGCGAGGTAAGTAACGAGACTATCCTGAGATTATGTCCAATCTAACGTATATTAGAAATGGCAAACCGGACATCGTTTATCGACTTCGCCCAAGGATTGTTGAACCTCAACCCGCTCGAGCGATGGACCCCGAACCAGGCCAAAATGCATCCTTTCATAACGCAAGCCAAGTTTACAGGACCTTTTGTACCGCCAATGACTCTACGATCAGGATCTAGTCGATCCCCGGCCCCTGGAGTCCAGGAACAGCAACGTTTCGAAGGGCTAAGCAAGCAGCGAGCACAGCAGCAGGCTGCTCAACAGCAAGCCCAGGTGCAAGCACAGAACGCCGCATATGCTAACATGCAGATGAATCAATACGCAGCTCAGACCCCGCATGCTCAGCCTCCGAACATGTACAACAATATGTACAGTCCAAGTCACCAGGGTGCTCCTCCGCCATACCCAGCTCAACCTACATATGGCCAGCAGATGGGGATAATACAGCCTCAGCAAGCTAGGTCATATAATCAGCCCCAGAATCTCTACGCCCAAGCTACAACACGTGCCGGACGACAACGCGCCTCCACCATGGATCAGCAACAGTCCGGTATTCCACCGGCTTTGCAGAGAGTCATTAGCCATCTAGATCCAAATGCGCCGATTCGGTTGCAGCCATCACCAGCATATTATCCACCGCCACCCGATGGTGCACCAGAAAGCGCCAGTGCCAGGCGGAGAGGTTCACGGGCTGGGGGTCAGCATAACAGGGCTAACAGGGATTTTATTAGAACTTTGGAGGATCGAACATTGGAGGAAGGATTTATGAATCAGACGCATTGGCAATGACGGGGCCGGCTTTGAACCAGTACCTTTTCTAGCAGTAGGTGTTCTATGGGGACACCGCACCACACCAAAAGACTTTGATAGTCGGCCATGTTGAAAATTCCGCGCATTTCAGGCACCCATTGTTCAGGCGTCCACTTCTGGACAATAACCTTTCAACCAAACGAATGCAGGGAGGCAAGATTTGCAAGGAGCAAAAACGACAGATGAACGACCCAAGGTAGTCCGTCAAGAGCGGCATCAGATTGCATCTTTCCCATTCATTCCATTTCGGGGGACGCAGCCCGACTTACGTTTGTAGAGGCGCCGGGGTTCAATATATTTTGGCACAGCCCGGGCGCAAACGACAGACACAGCCAAAACTAGAGTCCCGGCAGACTTGTGGGACCGAGTCAGCTTGCTTAGCGTCGAGGGGTCAGATTCGGTCCATCAGACCGATGGTGTGGCCCCTTTGGGGGATGCCGAGGAGTATATGTGTCTTTGATGGGAGGTGTAGCAATCGTCTCGGCTTTTCGATGAGGGGGATTGTACTTTGCTAGCATTATTAAGAATATAGCTGTACCGCGGCGATCACTCGACGTTACCTATATCTATTCCCATGTGCGAGAAATGGATGGCGAGGGATGAGAGAAAAGATTTGGGAGGCTCAGAGTGCTTCGAATCACCGTCTCGGATTCTCCACTGAAATATTTGTTCTAAGCTTTCTCTCCAGTCTTGCATGTACATAAATTGTGACTCAACAGTGCATCCTCCTGTATATGCAGACTTTGCCAAGGCGGTGAAGTGCCCCGCACGTGAAGCGAAGCACAGACCATCAACACTGACTCAATTTTGGCAGCCCACATTCCCATCAAATTCGCGGACCTCCAGGAACTTCCCTTACAGCGCCCTCCGTCAACTCCCTCACCTCCGAAACACCCGCCAAACCAGGAAACTCTAATATACGCATGATGACTTCACGGTTCTTTGCCGCCAGCGACAGCTCTAGCGACGAGTCGAGCGAGGAGGAGCTGTACAGTGACGGAGAGGAAGCATCTGAGGAGTCAAGCTCCGAAGAAGAGTCCGGAGAGGAGGGATCGGATGAGGACTCGTCCGACGAAGAAACCGGTGCGAATCGTTTCCTGAGAGATGCAAGCGAAGAGTCGGAGAGCGAGGACGAGGACCGGGTTAAGCAATTAAAGAGTGCGAAGGACAAACGCTATGATGAACTAGAGGGGACGATTCGATTGATCGAGAACGCGGAGAAGATTAATGACTGGGCAGTTATTTCTACGGGTAAGCTGATATTGTTGTCGAGTTTGCAAGGGGTGCTAGGGGAAAGCGCAGAATGCTAACAAGTTGAAGAATTCGACAAGTTGAACCGCCAGATTGTCAACCTGATCAAGCAAAATGATGGCAAGGTGCCGAAGCTCTATATCAAGGCCATCGCCGATCTTGAGACGGTCATGCTCGAGACCATCGAGAAGCAGAAGGTTACGCCGAAGAAGATGAACGCTATCAATACTCGCGGTCTCAACGCTGTGCGCCAACGCGTCAGGAAGAACAACAAGGACTACTCCAAGGATATTGATGCTTACAGGGAGGATAAAGAAGGCTTCATGCGCGAGGAGATCCTCGAGGAGACCACACCTACTACGAAGAAGCCTAAGCGGACGCTCGCCGATCCTGGTGAGCTTATCACAGCGGCCGACGATGAGGGATTTACCATGGTTGGGGCTGGCGGCAGAGCTGTGCAGTACACCCCAGAAGGCATCCTCAAACATCTCAGATCTATTGTGGACCAGAGAGGAAGGAAGAACACAGACAGGCTTGAGCACATTAGGACTTTGGAGAAGCTATCCGATGTAGCGGTCAATGATTACCAGAGGATTAGGATTTTGTTAACGCTCATCTCCACTAGATTCGACTTAACTTCCGGCACCGGTAATCAGATGTCCCAAGAGCAGTGGAAGTTGTGAGTAGAATAGGCCTTCGCTTCCTGGATGGTACTAACCGTAATTGCAGGGCTGAACAGGATTTCTCCAAACTTCTCCAGATCCTCGAGGGCACCAAGGACATTGTCGTTATCGAGACCGCCGAAGAATGGGAGGATGACGATAAACTGCCAACTATCACTCCCGGGGAAATCTTCCGTGTCCCCGGCAGTGTTGTTTCCTTCGTCGAGCGACTTGACGACGAGCTCACTCGGTCTCTTCAGCACATCGACCCCCACACGGCTGAGTATGTTGAACGTTTGACGGACGAGGGTGCTCTATACACCGTCCTAGTCCGCTCCCTCGTGTATGTTGAAGACCTAAAGAAGAACCCCAAACTCGACCAATCGCAAGAAGGCCTGAACCGAGTGGTTATGCGGCGATTGGAACATGTATACTTCAAGGTATGTAAATATAAATACGTTGTATTGCCATATGATACTGACACCAATAGCCTTCACAAGTTGTCACAATCCTCGAGTCCAACACCTGGAAAGCCATCCCGGCTGGCCTCGACTCCGAGATCACACCTCGCGCGATTGCTAACGACACGGCTTCCCTGGTCCAGACGCTCTGCACATATCTTTTTAAGTACAGCGAAGGCATTATCCGAGCGAGGTCGATGCTATGCCAGGTATACTTCCTAGCATTGCACGACCAGTACTACAAAGCTCGCGATATGATGCTCATGTCCCATCTTCAGGAGACGATCAGCAATTTCGACGTCAATACCCAGATCCTCTTCAACCGTGCTTTAGTCCAGATCGGATTGTGTGCGTTCCGCTCAGGCCTTGTGTACGAGGCCCAGACCTCACTCCAGGAGATCTGTGGTAGCAACAGGCAGAAGGAACTTCTCGCCCAGGGTCTTCAGATGCAGCGTTTCTCACAAATATCCCCGGAACAAGAGCGTCTCGAGCGGCAACGGCAACTTCCATTCCACATGCACATCAACCTCGAGTTACTAGAATGTGTGTACCTCACCTGTTCTATGCTCCTCGAGATCCCTCTCCTTGCCCAAATCGGCTCTTCTCCCGACATCCGAAAACGCGTCATCAGCAAGACATATCGCCGTCTCTTAGAATACCACGAGCGACAGATTTTCACCGGTCCACCAGAGAACACCCGCGACCACGTCATGCAAGCTTCCAAGGCGCTATCTGCAGGCGAGTGGAAGAAATCAGCCGAGTTCATCAACTCGATCAAGATCTGGGAACTGATGGCCGAGTCAGCAAAAATCAAAGACATGCTATCCTCCCAGATCCAAGAAGAAGGCCTTCGAACATACCTGTTCACATACGCACCCTTCTACGACACCCTCGCTATCTCAACCCTGGCATCCATGTTTGAGCTCTCCGAACGCAAAGTCTCAGCCATCGTCTCGAAGATGATCTCGCATGAAGAGCTGGCCGCGGCATTGGATCAGGTCAACTTGGCTATCATCTTCAGGAAGGGGGTTGAGTTGTCCAGATTACAGAGCTTGGCGCTTAGTCTTAGTGACAAGGCTTCGGGCTTGATTGAGGCGAATGAGAAGACACTTGAGCATAGGACGCAGGGTACGGCGAATGCGTTTGAGAGGCAGGGTGGAAGGGGTGGGCGTGGTGGCGGACGTGGCGGTGGGCGGGGAGGTGGGCGGGGAGGTGGGCCTAGAGGTGGGCGGAATCAGCAGTTTACGGGTGGTGCGTTAGGGAGGGCTATCCAGGCATAAGCATAAACAGAAACTGGACCTGGATGTAGACCGCTTGTGGGGATGGTACGAGTGTTGTGATATGATCATTAGCTGGATTCTTTGAGAGCTGGGAGAGTTTGATGGGCGATAATGGTTTCTCTTTGTTTCTCCTTGAACTGTCATGGCAGGTGTTGTAGTGCTGATTAGGCTCAGCATTATCTAGAGTGCATCAATGTGATAAAAGTATATTAGCTACTTTGGGGGTGTTTGAATCCCTGTTTTTACACAATAATCTGGTGCTCTCCAGAATCCTATATTCAGAAGAGCGAAGGCAAAAGCTCAATAACTATAGACTACAATTATGTGATGGCCTAGACCTCCCTCGCGTTCACATCTAGAGGAAAGGAATATATTGTCGATAAAGCGTACTGCTAAATCAGAGTGTCAAGTACCAGATGGTACCATTTCGGGTGGAGGATGAAGGACGAAATACGTAGTTGGATATTGCAGTGTGGCGTTCTAGATGGAGAACATTGCAAGTAGTTACACGGCTGAATTTCAACCCATTTTATAGGATGTGTTATATGGGAAGAGAACGAGTGTGCTAGGCAGGTATTGAGACTATAGGATGGAGTAATAGTTGTTAAGAGGGGTCCTCATGCGTCAGGATTCGAATGAAACACAAGGTTAAGACAAGGTGAGGTCCGGCGCTAAGAGCTGCGAAATAAGCAATCGTATCGAGTGTATCATATATGGAAGGCTTCCCTACCAATCCAATCCAATCCCCTTTGCCAACACATACCAGTCCAGAACGTGCATGGAATGGAAACACAGGCAGTATCAATTAATTGTGAATTTGTATTTTCTCGAGCTCAGCCCAGCCCAATCATGCTAGAAAACCCCCCAAAAGTATTACTCTCATTGTAACATGTGGTTGATCGATGGAGCATCGGTTTCCATTAAAACAAATAGATTGAAAAAAAAAAAATTGGACAGAACCTAGAGAAAGGCCGCTGCAAAGCAGGCAACTCCAACGCCCTGTTATGGTATCTCATATTGGCCCCTCGCCCACGTATTCTCGGACCAATCCCCATGCACACAGCCACACGCACGTCCACCCCTTGTTCTGCTCCACCACTCCTTCATTGTATGGAATACACACACGGTGTGCATGCGATATGCATCTAAGAGTGGATATGGACTTCGGTGGTACCGCTACGATGCCAGGTAGCGAGCAAGACACCGCAGCGGCCGCACTTATGCTGGACGTCCTTGAGCGAGTTCATGACGTACGGGATGCATCCCAAGCAGACGAGACAGCAGAGACCAAGGGCCCAGGCACTGGTTTCCCGTTAGTACCCTTATTCATTCTTTCGTACAATAATGGCAGGTAAATCGAGTTATTTCCAACTTACTGTGTGGTATTTCCAATCTCGTACGAAACATTTGTCATAGCACGCTGTCCACAAGCTGGGCAATCAGCCGGGGCTGGCGATCGGTTGAGCGAAGCGATGGGCGTCGCATTCTGGTAAACGGTTCCGCTCTGTTGCTGCGGCGGCATTCCAGGGGCGTGTTGTTGCTGCTGGGGGAATTGTGCAGGCTGTTGGGGCTGCATATATGCGCCCTGAGGCTGCTGTGGAGGCGGCGATTGCGCATATTGCATCTGCGGCTGCGCGTACATCTGGTTCTGCTGCATATGGGGCTGCGCCGGTGGCTGATTGGGATCTTGATAAACAGGAGGTTGTGCGCTGGGCTGCTGGCCGGTAACGTCAGGCGTGACAGGGTATTGGTTCATGGGAACTATATGAAGAATGTTAGAGAGGGTTCTTCTCAATGTTGCGCCATGAGGATGAGGAAATGTCGCCAGGTGTCGACATCAGGCTGAGGTTGAGAATGTCAGGCGCAATGTAGCTATCCCACACAAAAGCGCACCGAGATCATCGTCTACACCTGTTCGCTCCTCAGGAAATGGTATATTACTTACCACCTTGCTTCTCCATTGTGATGGGACGGTTTCAGACGGGTCTTAAAAGGGTGAAGAGAGTGATATGAACAGAATATCAACGTCTAAAAAGGGGGGTGAGCAAGGAGACGAGCTGGGCTGAAAGAGGCGAAAGGTGTGAATGTGCGCACTTGGTCTAGAAAAGCGACCAGAATGGGGCAGAGGCGTTGGGTTTTATTGATGAGGCTTCTGGCCAGAGGCTGTGGCCAAGGGGGTGAAGGTGGTGCACAGCCCTCATTCATCGGCGCGGATAGGCTCGCGGAGGCCCACCTAACCCAATTTCCCCCACATTGGCACCATCTGGGAGCTCAGCTGAGCCTCCAGATCCAATCAACGCCACCCCAATGATGCACAGAATCCACACAGACTGGCGGTTCAAACACCAGAAGCGCTTCAGCCTCAGCCTGCGCTCAATTTGACTCGACTCCCATGTCGCGGGCAAGGACGCGCTTGGGATCTGGGACCAGTAGCGCGTGCAGGCCCAGGCGAGCCAAGTCGACAGTTTCCTTTTCCTGCCTAGAGTCGCAGACGTGTGCTTCTTTTTGGGGGCGTTTTTCGTATCATGCATTGCTTCGTATCGCAAGACGGGAGTCGAGACTCAAGCTCATGTTCGCGTCGTATTCAATGCGGGTAGATTGACCATCAACCATCACGGATTGACTCAAAAAATCATGTCGTGTGCACATGGGAACAGTAAAGAATCAAATCTGATGTTGTTCATAAGGCTGTGCTGGTCGCCGAACGATCAGCAGAGTCCCATTGAAGTGATACTGGTGCGAGTCGTCGGGTCTGTCGAGCAAGCAAAGTGATTCGCCTTTCCCCTGCAGCTTACCCGCTTGTCTATTTTTGAAACATGGCGCTGGGTGGCGCTTGGATTTCGCGGAACCAGACTCTCCCAGGCATTCACATGAACCTTGTCTGCCCGTGAACACCCCAGATGCGATTGTTGGGAACGTTGAAAACCCAGGTGTGCTGCATCTGAGACTGGTGAGCAATTGCCAGAGTGCAGACACCTTTGGTGTCTCGAAGACTGGACATAAGGGAACTCCGAACCGGTAAACGAGAGGAGAACGAGCCACCATTTCGAATTTGACTCACCGGTAACGCACGACCTAGTCAGTATCGCGTATCCATATCCTCGAGATCGGCGTCCTCCTCTTCATCCGACGGCACATGATTACCCGCTCCATAGCCGATATCGTTTTGCTCCAGTTCCTTCATCTGCCCAGGTGTTAATTCGACAACAGTCGGAGCATATTCGCCCGTCTCTTCCTCTTCATCAACCCCGGCCACATCCATCTCCACCCGTTCGCCGTCTTCCAGGTCAAGCATCCCACGTTTTACAAAGTTATCATCGAATTCCCATCCGAATTCTTCCTTGAGGTACTCTTGCAGGTCGTCGAGTTCGTCTAGAATATCCACTTTCCACTTCCCATCAGATTCCACAAGACTTCTCCTGAACTTGCGTAGCATTGGTTTCAGGAAACCCCCACCATTCTCATTTACGTCAAACATACCAGCCTCCATATCTGCGCAGTGGCTCAGCTGTAGTCGCAGAATGTTAAGCAATTCGAGGAAGAGGTGGGTACGCTCTTTGACAGCTTGGCGACACGTAAATAGCAGCCCGAGGATCCTCTTCCACTGTTCCAGACAGGAGTTGTTGTTAAGAGTTAAAACCATCAAGAAGGTAAACTGGAGTTCACCAAGGATTTCCCACTCACGCGTCCGAATACCATTCCCCTGACAGTGCTTTTCGACGAGTTCCCCCAGCGCCCAAGACCGGTCTTGAGCAGCCTTTGTCAGCTCTTCTCCCGTTGCGCCTTCTCTCCATGTCCGCTTTAGATCGATTGGTAGGAGGCGCAACTCCTTGTCTGGTTGCATTCCGTTGATGCCCATATCAAGACCAGGAATATGTTCCAAATCTTGCACTGCGGATGAACTAGAAGTGAGGCTCCAGTGGTCGGGATTCAAGCCTGTGATACGTGATAGCAATGTCTGGCTGATCCGGGAAGTCAGCAGACTCCAATCCATAGATTCCTCAAACGCCTCCTCCTCGTTCCCTAAGTCTGTAGGTTGAACAGCCTGTCGATATGGGGTAAGTCCTTCTTTCCATATACCACCAAGATTCGCTCTCCAGCGCATAACTTCAGTCTGCGAAGCCTCGGCAACAAGTTCCTCCTTTGTCGGGTCCCATTTCTTGATAAACACTTGCGGTGCTCCTATTGACGGAGAGACATAGAACCAAGCACCATGGCGAACAGCGAGTGATGCATCACTGGCCGCGAAGACGAAGTGCAGTCCTGGAGGAAGATTCTTCACGCCATGGAACCGAGGAGCCGTTGTAAAAGAGAGCAGATCAATTCCCCCCAATGCGGACGGTGGCAAGTCCAGCAGCAGGACGCAATTTGACTGTGCGCCTGGACTCATTTCAGAGACGTAGAAGAACGTCTCAAATCTCGTGTTTCGCAGAATCTTGAAAGCGATAGATTAGAAAGGGGAACAAATGTTATGAACTAGATATTTGGTTAAAGAAAGAAGGCTTATCAGGAAAATGTTCTTCTTGAGGAAACAGGGATGGAAAGATGTAGACTTGAAATCTTCTTAATCGTCGCCGCTTTGACCTACATGTTAAGTAGCAAGTAAGCCGACTGTGGCAAGCATCGCGCCTCTGGGTCCGGCTATTGACTTTTGTGGATTGGAAGTGAATGGAAAAGCCGCCGTGACGGAATCATTCCCGACACCAAGCACACCACGTGCTCGCTAAGCTTATCTTATCATCCGAATGATGTGCATGTGCGATGAAGATGGATCTTCACAGACCATTGCAGCCAGATTTGCGCTTCAAGCTTCGAGGTTCCCCAAACATGCGATCTCCTCCTTGAACTATCCTCGAACGCATACATTTTCAGTCCTTTCACTTGCCAAGAACCCCCTTATAGAGCCCACTTCATCTCCCACCTCCCATCCTGCCCCCGCTCCCAACACCATGGACCGCACCCGCCGTACCCCCGGCCTCTCCTCACTCACGACCTCCCGGATCTCCTCCTCCCAGTATGCCTCTCATGGTGCCTCCCTCCGAACCCAACAAACCCAATCCCTGGCCACCCAACTCTCCGTCTTCCAATCGCTCCTCCACAACTTCGCAATCACGCACAGCAAAGACATCCGTGCTAATCCCGAATTCCGCGCTGAATTCGCCAGAATGTGTTCCGCCATTGGCGTAGACTTCCTCGCATCATCGCATCACCGAGAAACCAAGGACAGCGCAGCAGTCGGGAAGGAAGGCGGCAGTATCTGGGCACAAATGCTCGGCTCCTCGGTCAACGACTTCTACTTCAACCTAGGCGTTCTCATAGTCGAGCACTGCAGGTCCACACGCTCCGAAAATGGAGGCCTAATATCTGTCTCTGAGATCCGCAAACGGATCCAGCGCGGACAGTCGTATACCATTGGCTCCTCGCTCAACGTCTCCGAAGACGACATCGTTCGCGCGGTTGACAGCCTTTCGCCCCTCGGGTCATGTTTCTCGATTATGAAGATCGGGCATAGGATGCTTATACGTAGTGTGCCGAAGGAGTTGAATACGGACCAGAGCACCGTGCTGGAAGCGATTCAAGTCATGGGGTATGTGACTGTGTCGATGCTACAGCTGAATCTGAACTGGGAGAGAGCGAGAGCAGTTGCCGTTGTAGACGATTTGATGGCAGATTCATTGGTGTGGGTTGATACCCAGGCTGGGGAGAATGAGTACTGGAGTCCTGCGTTTATCAGTGGAGCTGGTGTTGGCATTGGTTGAGTAAGGTGAAGAAGATGCTGAAGAGCTTTGGAACGCAAAGTTAGAAGTGGACCGAAAATCCTCTCCTGGTACACCTTCAAGGGCAAAGGGAAGAGCTATGATTGCAGCCTGGGTATCTAAGCTGAGCTTAAGGTCTGAGTTGAACAAATTAGGTCAACATAAACTCTCACAAAGGATGTGTTGCAGCGAGAACACGCCAAAGGGCTTAGGATTACCCGCTCCAGTGGAGCAAGGAAATTGCCACATTAGGCTAGCCCTACACAATGCAGGTACAGCTGCCTCTTTAGCTTACGCTTTATTTCAAAGCTGGAATTGAGAAAGTAGGAGGTGTTGTGCTCAGAGAAGAAGAAGCGAGAATAAAGGTTGTTGTTTCGAATCCCAGAACCATGAGTAGAGGTATTGAGGGCTCTCTGTATTAAGAATCTTTGAGCAAAATTTAGAGTTCGTAAGATCCTAGTTTGGTGTAAGGTGAAAAATATGCTGAAGTCTATCCTAAGTTGAGAACCGGATTATAAAATGTATGTAAAGTCCTGTATTTGATCATAGAGAAGGAAGGATTATATGGCATCTATATCGATTTCGAAGCGTGAGAGCTTCTTCATATGAACGGCTTTTCATGAAAGCCTTGAAATGGTAAAATCTTTGAGCACTACACAAAATCCAAGAATTCGGATTTCGTCTACAGAAGAAAGCGAACGTATTTATAGTACATAGTGGCGGTTCTAATTTCCCTGCCTCATCATTGATATTTTGTAGCCCAAGAGGACGATGTCATCGAGGATGGGAATTTGCAATTACGATGATATGAGAACCGGCATCTGGGTTGTACGAGAAGCAACTGCGCGCACGGACGGGTGGACGTGACGTCATACGTGAGATGAGGTTTGAACACTTCCAATCTAGGAAGACTCAATGTAAGAATTGCCTCTGTTGATAAGCTAATAGAAGAGGATCTATTGTTGAAATATCTCCACGAAAGTTGTTGGATTCCTCCTCCTTGTAGATATTCATTCGTAGTAAGCTCCATCGTCACGGACAAGCTCTAAGCTCTCCATCCAACCCGTCCAAGCTTTCTGCCCACTTTCAGTGCACCACGTCTCAGCCACCCAAAGTAGCAATAATCTTCATCTAATTCTCTTAAAACGAACTATTGAATCATGCTGTATTCTCGTTGCTCGGGATTGGTTGACAGGGGTTCCAGCCTGTTTATGGTTCGACGGGTGAGTGGACGTCTCGTGGTGAATGATGTAGTTGTTTGCGGGTGTGTGACGGGGATCGCGATAGTGCTACTACTGCTCGAGTATATAATTATTGATCTTGGTTCACTGCTTTTTAATTCATTTCTCTGAGCACTTCGCGTTTGTAGGGTAAGGTGAGCTTGCTTTGTTAGCATAGCTCTATCAACGTCACGATTCGTTTCCTGCACCTACCCTATTGTGTTGTCTCCCACGGCCCTTCTCTCACCGCTACCTACTACGTCAGTCGATAATCCTTCATCCATTCATCGCTTCGAGCTGTTTGCCTTGCCTCAAACAACAACACCTTAGCTCCCTGCGTCAACAACCCCAACACTACAATGGGTTTCTTCAATCGCCGCTCGACACCCGTTGACGCCAACACAGCTACAGCAACTGGAATACCCCACGAAAAGCCAGGCATCTTCAGTCGGCGTCGTCATGATGCCGCTCCTGCTGCCAGTGGAACCCCGGCATGGAACTCTCGACCAACCTTCGGACAGTGGGTCAAGGCGACGGCGTTGGACATTGTGACTATGGCTGTGATGGGCGCCATTGGGCTGGGTGTCTACATGGCAGATCCGGCGCCGAGCAGGAGTTTCCCGGGTATGTATCCTTATGTAAAAGGCTTAGGCTTCTGGGGAACAGATGCTGACTGAGCGCAGTGAGTTTCCAGGACGGCGAGATCATCTACCCCGAATTCGCATACCCGCTTCGAAACGAGATCGTCCCAATCTGGGCCGCTGCTCTCATGGCATCTCTCATTCCAATTGCGGTTTTCTTGATCTGCCAGATTCGAGTTCGTAGCTTCTGGGATGTCAATAATGCTACCATTGGGTTGCTCTACGCCTTGATTACGGCTGCCGTCTTTCAAGTCTTCATTAAATGGCTTATTGGAGGTACATATGGCCCCTCCGTCCTAACTTCTCCTATCTCCTAGGTACTAACACTGAACTCTAGGCCTCCGTCCCCACTTCCTAACCGTCTGCCAACCTGACATTCCCACCACCGGTCTCCAACATGGCAACGGCTTCCGACAAATAATGTACGACCGCTCCATCTGCACGGGCGACCGCAAGAAAATAAACGACTCCCTAGAATCCATGCCCTCAGGCCACACTACTGCCGCCTTCGCCGGTTTCGTCTTCCTTTACCTCTACCTCAACGCTAAGCTCAAAGTCTTCGCAAACTACCATCCTGCTATGTGGAAACTCATCGCCATCTATGCACCAATTTTGGGAGCTTGTTTGATTGGAGGTGCACTCACTATTGACGAGTTTCATAATTGGTATGATATTCTAGCGGGTGCGGTTATTGGAACCTTGATGGCTTTTAGTGCGTATAGGATGGTGTATGCGAGTGTTTGGGACTTTAGGTGTAAGTCTTCCTCCCGAATTTCCTCTCCCCCTTTTACGCACCGACATATCAAGCCAAGTTAAAAAGCTAATTAAACGGTTTAACAGTCAATCACATCCCCCTCCTTCGCCACACCCCTTTTATCTACGGCGCTGGTCCCTCCACCCTCGACGGCTTTCATGACGCGACCTTCACCCGTAAAGCCGGCTGGGGCACACACGACGGCAGTGCGTGGGCTGGCGCACCCTTTGATGCCGCTGATGGTCCGCGAGGCACGATGGGTCAAGCGGCGGGTGTCCACGGTGCGAGGAATGGACATGGTACAAATGGAGGCATTGTTGGTAACGGGGGAAGGCATTCGATTGAGAGGAGGCCGGTTAACGGGAGTAGGTATGGTGAGCATATGGTTTAAGTGGTGAAGTGAGATACGGTAGTGAGATAAGGTAATGAGTGGAGTGTGATCTCAGAGATGAAGGGCTTGTGAAGGCAGCAGGTAATTTTCGGCGGCTCATATGATATACTTGTCTCTAGTTCTAATGGAAACGAATGAGTCGAGACGGATGAACAGGACTAATCCCCTGAATACAAGCGAGGCATTACGGGAGGGATGGTGGTACCACTGTACATTAGCTATGACACTCCCGACTTTGCTTTTCATAGTAGTTGATAAACAAGCACATCGATGAAACTTCAAACTCTACAACCGCAGATGATTCAGCTTTGTCATGCACAATCGAATAGGTAAATACGTAAGTTGGCAAAGTAAATAATATACACACCATATACACACTACGCACCTACTATACGTCCATCCATCTACCTCATTGCATTCCCCTACCAAAGAAACTCCGTCCCACACATCCTCACCTCCTCCACATCCTTCCAGCTCGTATACTTCGGATGCGGCAAAACCCTCCTATCCCAAATCCTCGCAAACCTCTTCGCCGCATCCTGATCCGTAAACTCAATCACCCAACGATTATACAACCTCCCTGTGGCCATTTGATTATGACTCCTTTCCTCTGCACCGCGTATCATGGCATCCATCATTACGTTGTCGGACGCTGGCGCATCCACAACCCCTACGGCATTATTAATTGAAGCTAGAGGTGGGAGTTGGGAAGGGCTTTTTTTGACGTGAACGACATTGCGTAGATGATGGATTCCCGCTTCGCCGTTGTAGAAAGGCCAGCGGATGCCACGGTCGTAGGCCTCGCGGCTGAAGATGTGGAAGAGGTCGCGGACTGTGGGTTCGTAGCCGGACATCCAGAATAGCACTTTCGAGATCTCCTGGCCGTTTTCGTCGGTGTTGGGGACGATGGGTTTGTAGCCTTCTTGTTCGATTAGTTCCCGGAGAAAGGGACGGTAGGGTTGCATGACCATGTTTAAACTTAGTTTTAGGGTTGCTGGGGCAAGAAGGTACGAGGAGAGTGCCGCGCTAATGTCTTCGCCATCTTCGAGGAAGCCTTGCGGCGGAGGGATTGCGGAGAATATGGAAGTGGATTGGTGGAGGCCGGCGAGCTTGTGGAGGCGTGCGGCGTTATTTTGGTAGGCTAGAGCGGATTCGGGGCTCTTAAAGAGGAGGAAATAGAACGGCAGGCGTTCGAGTGTTAGAGGATCTCGCCCTGGTATTATCTTGTGGAATTCCCCGTCTCTCACCCAGCTCTGGATGTGCTTTCCTTTGGGTATTAAACGGCGGAAGTCGGACTCGGTGAGCCCGGTGCTGCAGTGGTTTAATCGTAATACCGTGGTGAACTCTGCGCGGCTTTGGAAACGTTTTATCATGCGCTCGCGTTGTGATTCTCGGGGCGTGAAGTACTCTTTGCGGACTATAGACCCTTCATCATCAGGAAGGTCAAGTTTGGGATAGGTCTTTTGTGGAACAGCTAGGTAGTGTGGCTGAATGGGCGTGCTAGCTTCGGGGAAGAGTTCTTCGAGTAGGGATTGCTCGTCATGCGGCTTTTCGGTTGACAGAGTGGACTCTGGTGTTCCACTCAATTGTTTGCGTGGCGCATTGACTGAGAATGGGGCTTTGTGTGAGTCCTCCGTCTGAATATTCGAGTTGCTTGCCCGCGAGCTCTCATAGGTGGTGGATGTTTCGCCTTTGATGACATGTCCTGCTTGTGCTACAGGCCTTGGTTGAGTGGGCAGATATTGAGGGTGCATCCGCATATCACTGCTTTCCTTCGAAGCCACTTTCGAATCTCCCCTGCTTCCCTCCAGACTCGATCCAGCAATTACATTAATATCTGAGCGAATGAAAGCAATCTCATCACCTATTTTCTTCAATTGCTTGTTCACTCGTTTCATCATTTGAACCCGATCCCGACGCGTCTTTCTCCGTCTCGGCCTCTCAGGCTCGGTGTCACTTTTCGTCTCCTTGCCGATTTTTTCATCGTCAGAATGTGAATGGAAATCACCAACGAGCACATGTCCTTGAGATTTCGAAGCCTGGAATGCAGTCTTGTCCTCCACCATCTGGGCTTCCTTTCCCCCCTCGACACATAGTCTTTTTTGACGGCCTGAAGTTCTAACCTGACCGGTCGGGGTCTCTATTCTATGCTGTTTAGGCTTCGATGACGTTTCTGCTGAGTTCGAGGATTGTGTGCTTGGCGATGCACCCTCCTGCCGGGGTGTGCTTTCTGCTCGCGATTGTCTTTCCTTGCGCCCAACAGCAGCTTCCTCTATCTGCTCTGAGGACTGGAAAGCGCTTGGCACGATTTCCCCCGCAGGATTCTGAGCTTTATGGTGATATTCTGGTTTCAATGACGGCTTATTTTGACCAGAGGCGATGTTGTTCGCGATCACAGTCCGGACAATTTGCTCCCTTCCCCTCCTCCGAGCCTCGTTGTCATGTCTCAGTTTTGGGGACAGCGAAGGGGCCAGCTGATTTGTCGATGGTGAGGGGGGCAACTTAACGGCCAATTCCTTCCGCAATTGCAGAACTTCATGCTTCAGATGCTGCATTTCTGTTCTTGCACCCGTGGCTGTGCCTTTGAAAGTAGCGAATTTAACGATTCGCAATGCTGGAGGGCGAGTAGGCTGGGATGTCCCTTCCTCAATGCCCGCGGGCGAGGGAGTCTTCGGTGCATTCTGTATGCGCGTGGGCTGCGGTTGCTTTAGAAGTGCCGAGCCGCTGTTTGGCTGGGGAGACGCTTCGTTGGCGCTTGTTGGCGAGGGGGAAGGCGAGGCATTCTGAATTGGCCTTGGAATCTTACCGAATAATGAGGTCCACCAGAAGGATTTCGTGTTTGCACTGGCTTTTTGTGGATTGCCATCTTGGGGAGGAGAGGACTTGTCGCGGGGGCCATCGGATGCCCAACGGATCTGGAGAGAGCTCCATGGGGAATGACATAGCCGCAGAGATCGTGCAAGGCGCGGCGGTGGCATCAATTGATTCTCGTCGGTCGCATTTCAGGAGATAGAAGCTCTCCAAGTCGAGGAAAGTCGGACGGGGCCGAAAAACTCCAGAGTCGCGTATTCTGCCCCCCTCCACCGCCTGCCGTTCTGATCACTTTGGTCAACCCTTTCTTGCGCAAAGCACATACTCCTTAACTCCTCGGCATATCTCAACCCCAGCCATGCAATGTCGGTGACAAACTGAGTCCAAAGCATGGCTGCTCTTACGCCTTTCGTCTTGCGGCCGCTTGACCGCCGCAGCCCGGATTCTGCACTCAAAGACGCTTTCAGGGTCCATCTTTCGGCCAAAGACTTGCAGAGCCTCGGAATTGCTACCGGAGATCTCATTCGTTTGAGTACTTCAGGCGGAAAATCAGGATTTGGTATTGCTTGGCTTGCACAGCAGACTAATCCAGGGAATAAATCCATCGCAAAAGTCACGGATCTATTAAGAGAAAAGTATGGTGCAATTGAGTTACAGGAACGCGCCTTCATTGAAAAGGTCCATCACGAGCAATGGAGGCCCCTCGCGTCCGTCGAAGTCTGCCTGACGGACTCTGCACAATCCCTTGGCAGCGGTGACTCCACCGAAGAACTCCTTTACTGGGTCCGATACGCTTTAGGTGGGGTAAGCCTGAGCACACCTCTGGAAAGGTACTCTTTTCTAACGATGGTGTTTAGCGGATCTCGAAATAATTACCCCTGGGGGCATGCTCGACGTGCAACAAAAAGGCCCCAAGCTCCGTCAGAAGAGTCCGAAATTACGTGCAACTGTTGAAAGTATTGAGCCACCACTGGATCCCAATGTCCCCTATTATTTTGATCCTATCAAGAGCCACGTCACTATCATGAATGCTCCTTCAAGTCGGGATTCGCCGACGCTTTCAGACACTGTTCTTGAGATTAATAACAGTGGCATCGGAGGTCTATCCGCCCATATTGGAACAATCAACAAGTATCTTGCGATCCTGAGTGTCTCAGCCACGGCACTGACGGACTACCATCTGTTCGGGCCTACAGCAATACTCATTCACGGCGCTGAAGGCACTGGCAAGTCTCTGCTGTTGGAGAGATTGTCCGAATGTGCTTGGCGAGATGTCTTCAGGTTAGACGTGGACTGGCTAGCCTCAAACCCTAAGGCCCAGGTAAAAGAACTTTCTAAAGTCTTTGACAAGGCTCGTACTCTCGAGCCTAGCCTTATTCTCATGGATGACGTGGATAAGTTTCTTGGGAAGGCAGAGTCTCTAGTGAAAGTCCTGAGCACCGAGTTAAAGAAATTAGAAGGGACAAGGGTTGTTGTTGCGGCAGCTGCTCGAAGCGTGTACGACATTGATGCTAGTCTGCGAACAACGTCAGCTTTCAAGCTTGAACTAGAGATCTTTCCTCCTAGTGTGAAACAGAGAGAAGACATACTACGGCAGATTATAGGGCCGAATCGGATCGTCCCAAGCATCAACTTTACCTCCTTGGCAGAGCGAATGCATGGATATGTCGGTCGCGATGTTCATAAGCTTTGTGGTCTGGCACGTAACCACCGTGTACAGACAATTCTCCAATCCCTGGAAGTTGAGAAAAGGTCGTCATTGGCAGAGATCCTTAGGGGCCAGGACTTCATTATGCAAGTTGATTTCGAAGCCGTGATAGATCAAGTACAGCCGACGGTTCTCAAAGACAGCGTTCTAGAAGTGCCTAAGGTCAGATGGACCGACATAGCTGGGTTGGACCATGTTCGTGAACTGCTCCAAGCTATCACAGTTCGGCCGTTCAAGGTAAATACTCTTCGGATGCTATATCACCATTCCATATTGACTGCGTTTAGTACCCTGATCTAGATACCAAGTTCGGTGGACCGCAATCACGCAAAGGCGTTCTGTTGTACGGACCCCCTGGTTGTGCAAAGACCTTAATTGCTCAAGCAGTCGCAACCGAGTCTAATCAAAATTTCCTGGCGGTCAAGGGATCGGAGCTTATTAAAATGTATGTCGGAGAATCTGAGCGCGCAATACGAGACGTTTTTCGTCGAGCGCGCGCCGCCAAACCATGCATCATCTTCTTCGATGAAATTGACTCAATTGGAAAATCGCGCGAGAAGTCCCAAGACAGCGGCCTGAATGTGGTTACGACATTGCTAAATGAGATGGACGGCATTGAGGCCTTGAAAGAAGTCCTCATCATCGGAGCAACGAACCGACCCGACATCCTTGATTCGGCACTTATCCGCACAGGCCGGTTCGACGCTCATATCCATATCGGGCTCCCAAACCAAGAGGCTCGAAGACAGATTTTCCAGATCCACACCAGGAAGAGGCCGCTTGCGGGGGATGTGGATCTAAACATCCTCGCTTCGAGAACGGAGGGAAGCAGCGGTGCTGACATCAAGGGCCTCTGTTCCATTGCAGTGGAAATGGCCATTTCTGATTACGAGAAGAGTCCAGAAAGTCAGCCTGAAATCCGAATGTGTCACTTTGAACGAGCCTTGGACAAGCATGTCCCTCACACCGTTAAGGAGGAGGCAGCGAGATACAAGGGCTGGAGGCCCGGGAAATCGCTGTCCTCAGACTGAGGCACAGCTGATCGGTAGCATGCGATGGTTCGATGGCTCGAAAACTTGAAGCAAAGAGAGAACGTCAAGAAACAGTCGGAACCCTGCCGGAGGACAAGACATCAGCCGCATGAGGGTGCCCATGTCCAAGAATGTAAGTATGCGGAGACAAGATTAGCCGCCTGCTTTGTGCGAAGATTCTCGATGTCTTCTGGATCTCACCGGTCCATGCTGTCGAAAGGCTGAGGAAAGCTCCGAGGCACTCAGCACGGCGGATAATAAAATTGTGGTGGTAATTTTGGATATTTGCTCAGTGCGGCGTCTTACTGGCGTCCTGCGTTTCTTCCTTCATCTCCGATCGAACTGTGGGCCTCAGACGACACGACGCCATTCACGCGCGCTGTTGGCCAAGTGTCTCGTTTTCTGGGCCCGCATGACAATCTGTAGCGCGGGCAAATCATGCTGTGGGCATCAGGTCCTTATGTTTGTGCGAGGCCACGACGGCTCAATTCATTTCAGCAGACGCAGCCAGTCCTGTCTCGCTATTAGTGTTGCTAGTAGTGTGGGCGCTTGGCATCAGAAAGCGAGATTGCGGGATGGGGCAGATTTTGAAACCGGGCTCCGTGCCCTCAGCCCAGCAGCACGCCGCTGCAGGAACAGCCGCTTATCCCAGGCCTGTTTGTTGCACCTCACGATGTCAGAACGCTTCGAGACATCAGTTCCCGCATCAGCTATCATGGATCTGCCTGTTGCAAGCCTGGCTGTTCCGCCAATCTGCGTGCGCCTTCCCTTCTCGCCCATGTCGTTCTGCATCCTCCCCTCACCCCACCCTCTCGGCGCACTCCAATCTCGTGCCAATCTGTCCCTGACAGCCATTGACGCTGTAGGGGGCTTAGTTTCCGCTGATGGCGAATTCTCTTTCTTCTGTCGTCGTTTGCCGGCGGGCCGTTGCTACGGAACATTTCCCTACCTCTTCAACCACTCTCTTTTTCTCCCAACCTTACACTACTTTCCAACTTGTTGGCTCTCCGGAGAGCTGTCCACTCCTTAGTACCCACACCTTGCCTTTCTTGTCGCTCCTTCATCGAGTACATTATTTATAACCTGATACCATCTGACCGCTACTAGCGCTCCATTGAAACCGCCATGGCCAGGATGCTAGGAAGATCGAAGTCGTTGCGGATGCTCAGAGGTTTTCAAAAAGAATCCCACCAACAGGACAATGGCCGCTCTACGCCACCAGACGCCAGTATTCAAATCGAGGTCGATAGATTAAAGGCCGCAACACCTGTTACAAGAGCAAATAGTCGGTCTGCAACCCCCGACTTATCCCAACGACCGAGGACGTCAGGTGGGCCAGGAGACCGCGGCAAGTTGTTCCACAAAAAAGTCACCCCCGTCACCCTTGGTTCCGAGGATCAAACCTACAATTTTCCCTTTCCTTCTCCAACCAAATCCACCACAGTTCTCTATACCGCAGAGGTTCATGAAGATCGCGAAGGAGTCATTGGCATCGCTCTGGGAAGTCCGACTATGGCATCACACTGGAACAGCAACCCGCAGGATACCTATCTCTTTACCAATACTCCAGGAACAATCACACACATATCTTCTCACAACACTTTCGCGGAACCCGTAGAAAGCAAGCAAGAGGTATCGAAACCAAAGATCAGCCGATGGAAATCATTTTTTGGGAAGAAGAGCCAGGCTTCACAGCAGCAGCAGCAGCCATTCTACAAGCTACAACCATCGCCTGAACGTGCCGACAGTCACCATGATGAGGAGCCTTTAGACGCACACGCACTAGTGCAAGACGAATCTCGATCAGCATCTCCAGCGGTTTTCAGGCCAGATATCCGGCAGTCGCGTTCGGTCCTTAAGGGCCAAGTACCTTCGTTCCCAGATAGACCACGTGCAAGGACTCTTGCAGAGAATCCACTGGGCAAGCCGAAAGTTCCACTTCTAAGATCCGCTTCAAGCCCCAAGCCTCCGCCAAAGGATGACTGGAACAATTCGCCAACTGTACCCCATGTGGTGGTATCTGGTAGTTCCCAACATGTCTCGCATTATCCCTCGGCTCGGGCGAATGGTGACAAACCTCTTTTGGATATCGATATTCCTAGAATTGAGATGGAAAGGTACAGCGTCATGTTCGGCAGCCTTCTTCAACCAAGTCGCTCTTCCAATCTTCTGGTGCGACGCCAAGGGAACTCAGAGAAGCTGAAACCGTTGAACGAGCTATCTATGAAGGTGTGTTATTACAAATATGTCTCTTCTGCAACTTTTGCCTAATAAGCCTGACAGAAAGATGAAGATGGGTCCCGAAATGGATTACTGAAACCTCAGCGAAGGGCGACCTCACCGTCTTTCCCCAAATCTCCTACTGTCTCTTTATCATTATTCCCTCAGCCCGCGGGAGGCCACACTGGTAAAACACCATCCCCGCGAGCAGTTTCCGTTCACAGGCCTAGACCCTTGCAGCGATCCAGGACGGCACCTGCGAGTTCCCCTCATCGGCAAAATTTCCCCGCTACTCCAAGGTCATCTGATGATGGCGGAAAAGGAGCGTTTCACGAGCAAAAGCCTGAAAGTGGCGATACAGGGATGAAGACGCAGCTACTGACTCCCACTCCGTCAAGTCGGCACAGCTTCGATTCCGACACGGAGGAAGTGACGTTTGTGGTTGGCCGCGCCCCAGTCGTGGGCCCATGGAAGCCACAGGTGGAGGAGCCTGAGTGGGAAATCATCTCGAAGCCTTCCATACGGAAGAATCCTGCGTCTCAGGATGCCCCGTCTTCTGCACCTCCAGAATCATTACGTGCAGATAACAAATTAAAAACACAAATCATCGAGGTCAGCCCCAGGTTGACTGACACTGCTCCGCAAAATAGCTCTCAAGCTACCATCGGGTTGGCGAGGCAAGTTTCGGTGTCACGTACGGCGGGATTCCAGCGAGCGGAGTTGCTGAAACCAGTACTTGTGAAAGCGGCAACGGACAGCTCCTCCCTATCGCCATCTAGTACGACGAGCTCAGAGCGTCTGGTGGACAGGAAACCCCTTACACCGACCCTGGTCGAATTGAAAAACCGCAAAAGTCAGAGGGTCCAGTTGGTGGATGCGTAGTTTGCACATCCACGAGGTTGTTCGTTTATACCCACATTCACCAAATGCGTTTGGCGTTCATGCAGGAAATTGAAGGGTCCATTCTTATGAAGTTTAGAGGTTAGGTTCGGTTTGGATGGTTGGTCGAGGGTTTTGGATGAACGTGAACTATCCTTGGTCGCGTGGCGCGCATTTTCCTGATACGTTTGGAGTCCCAGGTTGCAAGGCGAACGATGCCAGACGCGAGGGGTTTTGGGTTCGGATAGGATACTCGGATTCGCGATTTTGACGATGGAATCCGCAGGGCGGACAGAGAATAGGAGATACCACATTCTTTCTGAATATCAATTTTTAATTGTCAATGGCGTCTTCAAGTGCCGTTGTTTTGGAATTTCTGTTATGTACTTGGCGTTCGTTGACCGTTTAGAGATGCACATTTAAGCTCAGTTGACGTTTGTAACTTAGGAGAAGCTTGAGCCAGGTCAGGGCAAACCGTCACACTATCATTCAGATACATGACGAGGAAACTCTCTTTTCGTGCGGGTGGCTTGTGGAGGCTTCACGGTAAGGTTGATATTCCGCCAACCCGCCTCTAGCGAATGTGGATGCCTGAGGCTTCAAGGCGGGACCGTGCCTGATGGTCCCAACCCATCACATGCAACAGGATATCCTACCTTCAATATCCGAAACACAATCTCAAAGCTCAATATTAATTGCGTAGAACCAGGGACTTACGCCCTCCTTAGCTGAAATCAGTGTCTTCGTATGACGCTTGCAGATGAAGATGCACAAGATCGATAAAGAGCACAGCTGCCAAGCGACTGCGGTCCTCGAGTTCGAAGTGACAGCTGCCCCCAACATGCACACAGCCCTCCTAGCATCAAGCCACACTCGCTGTGATTGGAAAATGGGGGGCGATAGCTCTCCCAACTGCAGCACAGTCGAGAACGGATACTGTCGCCTGCTGGCTGGCAGACCTCAAGGCTAACCGCAATGTTATGCCCGGTGTGCGGTGTTACAGAAGCACCTGGGCAGTTGAACAGTGAGGCTGAGTACTTGCGCTCCGATATTGCTCACCTGCTTTCCAATCAGTTGTCCTTCTCCCTTCCTTCTCTCCTGCCTTGTTCGTGCTGTCTTCTCCCTTCACTCCGAACCTGTCTTTCAGGTAGATGCTGAGGGACCACTGTGGTGCCGCTAGACTCTACGCCTAGTACCAAGTTTATCCTACATTTTTGAGCTAGGTTTCTGTCTACCCAACAGGCATCATGTCCGGGCTCGAGGTACGTCGGATCCTTTCCGGAACCCACCATCCTTGTTCATCGAATTGACTTCTGCATGTAGCCTTTTGCTGTAAGACCTCTTCACTAGCAAGGCACATCATACTGTCGCAACGACTTGTTTCTGAATATGGGCTAACACATTTTCCATCATATGCAGGTTGTTGGTGCTGTCGCAGCTGTAGTTTCAGCCTTCCACGGCGGCGCAGAACTAGTTGCCCATATCAAGAAGAAGCGTCGACGTCGCAGTAAAAGCCAACAAGAGTTTGAAGAAAAGCAACTCCAAGATTCTCTGCAGACCGGCGAAACAACAGTCGGTCAACGCTATGTCGCAGACATTAAAGAATTAGGGGAGATAGTAAGAATAGGCGATGGTCCGTTCGCTCTCATCTCATCGTCCGAAGTCCGTAAACTAGTAGAGAGTAAGGAAAACTGACAAGAAATTGTTCCAGCCGTCGCACGCGACCGCTTACTTCATATTGCCGTTGTCATGCAGGCCGAGATTATAAAGAGTCTGCAACTCGCTGTTAAATACGAAAATGCTGTTCTGAACCTTAAGATCCTCCACGAAGCTTCTATCTTGAACCGCCAAGAGACGATTGTGACCCTGGACGAGTTGAAACAGAGGATTCTTATAACGAGACCTGTGCTACGGACATTAGAAGCACCGCCGCCTGCGACGCCTGAGGGGCAGAGACATTCCATCAGCTCGTTGGAGTCTGTGCAAGGTTTCCGGACTGCAGCAAGTTTCAATACTGTTCCTGACGACTACATACCTGAAGCTGTGACCATCCCAGGTCCTGGAGATTTAAAAGAGTCAAAGACCGGCCTCGCGAAGTATTTTCAAATGAGGAGACAGAACAGCACTTCCTCCACTGCCTCGGGCCAACACCGACCGACTTCCTCTACAGGGAGTATCAACTTCAGCCCTGCACTCAACTACCTAATTCAAGGAAGTGATAATCGGGGGTCGATCATGAAGGATATTGATGAGATTATCAGCTCGTACCAAGGCCTGCGTCTGGACGACAACAAGAGAGACACCTTGGCTATTCTTAATGGAGGCAACAACGGATCAAAGCGTGACACGCTCGCGATTCTCCAAGGTGGAGAGAACTACAAGCGTGATACAATAGGGCTAAATCGGGACGCACTACAAATGCTCAGGAACCTCCCTCCCACACCAGAAGAATCACATGAGGGCCCAGAGTATCCTGCCTTCAATCACAACATCTTTGATCCGCAAAATGCATATAGCCAGTACTTCACCCCAGCGCCGATTCCGCTCCCCCAACGCCATTCCTCAAAGGATTCGAGATGGTCGACTTCGAGTTCTGTGTACTCAGACACTGTTCCCCCATCACTCTACAGCCACGATTCGAAATCATCTAATGAATCCCGCACCCCATCCATCGCACCAGACTTCTCTGCCCTCAACAGCCCCTCCGCATCTCCGATCCCACCCTTTTCCACACCACAACGACCTCGCACTCCGATCATGGAAGACGGCGGTGCGCTGAAAGCGGGTCGAACGCGAGTCCACCTAGTTCCAGTACAAGACAGCTCTAGCAGCGGCGGCAATAATACCTCCAGGCCCTTCGGAATCTCCGCCCTCGCATCATCCTCTGCATCCCTCGTAAGCCCTCAACCCATACCTCCCGTACCCACACCCGCACCAGCATCCGCGCCAGGACCTCCTACTCCCGTCCTCAAGCACACAAACTCCGCCGGATCCTACTCCTCCGCCCCATCCTTCCGCTCCAACACCATCGCCGGACCACTCCCCACGCAAGAACGTATGATGGATGGTCGCCCTTGCAAAGATAACAACTATTGGGGCTTCTGCAAAGGCGCGTGGGCGGTGCGGGAAGAACTCAAAAAAGGCATCGGCCTTCATACCCGCCCAATTGGCCAGTACAACACGATCCAAATCTGGCAGTGCAAGCAGTGCACCTTCAGTGGGAAAACATACGCCGGCAAAAAGAAGAAAGAAGTCGTCGTCGACCCCAACATCCACACTTCCGCGGTCGGAATCCGGTATAAATGGATTTTCCTCGCGAAGTCCCACGTCAAGAAGAAGAATGGTGATAGTTCGGGGAAGATGTCTGAGGATTGTAATTATGGTTGTGTAATATGCTCAGTGGAGGGGAATGTTACGGGTATTTATGGCAATGTGGAAACGCTTATGAATCATATCTTCTTGGAGCATGTGAGGGATCTGAGCGAGAAGACGGCGCAAAAGGCAAAAATTGTTATGGGGAGGGAGGCCAGCAGGGATGAGGAGTGGGATTTGAATGTTCCGACGATGGATGTGCTTTCGGAGAAGGAGATTGCAAGGGTTGATGGGTTGATGATGTGATGAATAGGATTGGAATGGCGGGCTCGGCTTGGGTTTATTTATTTTTCCTTTCCTTGTACGCGTTTGGAGATACCCTTCTTTGATGACTGTTGTATGAATTTAGTTGATGGAAAGATCTAAGACTGGTCTCTCCCTGCCAAGGTTTGGTGTGTGGTGCCTTTAATTCATCCCGTGGACGATGTTAGCAACTGAAAGCGCCTCCTGCACATATACTTGTTCGCTTGCTGTCAAACATTCAATACTTTGTGAAATTTTACTCTTATTGTCGAGCTGTTGGTCTATAGGCAGCTCATACCTCGATGATATCTCGCAATATATCCATTCGTTCAAAGTCCAAGTGCACATGGTCAGAACGACTTTCCTAACGCCCAGAATATGCAATGCAAAACTTGCCGTAAAAAATGCTCTTCATCATCTTATCCTCACTCATCCATCTGCCAAGCATACTCCATGGTCTCCCTATTCGCCTTCCGATTCCTCGCCTTGAACCACTCTCCCTCAAACCCATTCCCCCTATCCACACCATCCCATCGATGGCCCGGCCGTATCCCATATCGATTCGGCGTAAAGGCACCTTTATACAGTGGTTTCCCCGTAATACTCCTCCCTGCCTTCTTCTTTTCCAAAAAGCCCATCGCGGGATCATTCCACCGATCCTGTTCCTTCAATTCCTCATTCAGCGCCGCATCGGATGCATACCGAGCGACGGTCATGTATTTCGCATCTCTCAGCTCTTCCTTCCGTTTCTCAGCCGCCACATTTTGCACCGCGCCTCTCGCCTCCCTTTCTTTCTCTACTTTCTTCCTCTCCTCTTCCTCAGCCTTCTTCCTCGCCTCCGCACGCTTCATCACTACATTAATAATCCGTCCACTCGCATCCCGATAAATCGTCTCCCCACCGCCATTCTTCTCCGCCTCCTTCGCCACCTCCGCAGCTTGTTTGAGATCCGCCTCCCGTTTCTTTTTCACGGCTGCGGCAACTTGTGCAGCCGTTTGCAAGCCTGCGTGCGCGCCAGAGTCCATTTTCAACACGCCCTCTGTGTCGACGAGTTCAGGAGCTTCATCCTCTTCCTCAGCGGCTTTCTGCCGGTCTGACGCTGCTTGTGTTAGGATAGCATCTGCGGCCGCGTTTTCGGCGTCGGCAGCGAGTTGGGCGGCGGTTGAGGGCGCGGCGACGCCGAAGGTGGTCCAGGAGGCTTTGGTCTTGGATCTGGATTTTTTGGATGTGATTGGCATGCCCGCTGTGGCGATTGCGGTTAGCGTGGGTAGACTGCAAAGGGATGTTGGGCATATTGATGTATGGGGAGGGACGTACGAATTATAGGTCTGTCGTCGTCGTCGTCGTCCTTGCTTTTGGACCAGCCTGCGATATCATCGTCGGCGATTTTAAGACCGTCTTCCTTGTTCTTTCGTTTGCGCTTTTTGGATTTCTTGTCGGCAGGCGAGTCAGCAGTGAGGTAGTTCTTTGCTAGATAGTCGGCGAGAGACATTTCTGTGGAGGATGTTAGATTCGGTAAGTTAGGAAAGGTTATGAAGTCGAGATGGTGAACTTTGGCAGCAGCTCTTGGCAAGCGCGCGTTGACTAATATCACGTGGTCTGGCGCTTTCGCGTCATGCTAGTGCTGCTGAAGCTACCTCAGTTTTTCAAGTCTCCTCCTTTCGCTAGAATTTTATATTCGCTGCAGCAACGTACAACATGGCGCATGGAGAGCGCTCTGAAAAAGCTTGGCTATGGTATACAGCTGTCTACGAGGCTATCCAAGAGATTCCGAAAGGAAGAGTGACATCCTACGGGCACATCGCGAGGCTGGTCGGGAAGCGTAAGCATCCCACCCTCATCATAGTTTCAGCTAATGAGGGCGTTTGCTAACGTTTGCAGCCGAATGCCCCAGGTACTCAAAGCTGCGAACATCTGAAGCCGAGAACTAACCCGTGATGCGACTCAAAGACAGGTCGGAGTCTGTCTTAAACACCTCCCCTCAAAATCTAGCGATCCAAGCAAGAAGAGTCCGACATGGCACAGTGGCAATGTGCCCTGGCAGCGCGTGATCAACGCTAGAGGAGGCATCAGCCCGAGGTTAGTGAGTAACTTTCCTTATTCACGCCGGTCTCCGCTTCGTCGTTTTGTCTTGTTAACAAGACAAAGAGGACCTTCCGGGGCGAGTCGACAAGCAGCGGCACTACGCGCGGAAGGTGTGCAAGTCGATCAGGGACCGATGGGCGAGCTCACTGTGAATTTGGAGCGATTTGGATGGTTTCCGGATGTGCTGCCGAGCGAGGAGGGCTTGGTGGAGAGCAGCGGCGAGGAAGACGAGGATGAAGAAGCGGCGGCGTACCATACCTGAGGCATCCTCACCCGGAAACGGGTGTTTGGGGAAGATGCCATGGTACCGGAACGGAACATCAAACGGAGCAAGTTTCTATTGTTGGCAGCTGATTGACAGGAGTTCTATGGACCGGAAGTACTAAGAGCGGTTCCTTCGTCCCAGTAGATAGACTGCATCCCACCTCTCTCATCGCTGGCGGTTTGGCGATTCCACGTACTCGCCGGCTATGCCGAGATAGGTAGACGCCGGAGGCGTAAACGAGGTCCTGGTTGCGGGAGTTCTGGGGCTGGATGGCAACATGCGTGAACCACGGCCGAATCCGGATCGTTATCGAGACAGCGTGAAGCAAGGCACGCTCGTCATAAGCGGGACAGCAAGTAATATCAGACGAGGCATTTATTAAGATGAAAGCTAGTGCGCCGCATCTCCGTGACTGTGGCTGTTTGGAGAGGGGCTCAGAGCTGTGTCGAGTGGGGTACAGGTCCACGATGCCTTGCAGACGATGACCATTTGCTTGCTTCACCAGTCCGGCAGTCCAGCAGGAACCCGCTCAGCCTCCAACACGCCCACGTTCGCACGTCGGCGGCGCATGACGGCCGTGTCATCTGTGTCATCATTGTGTCTTCACCAGGCGGCCAACAGATCAAACCGGCTGGCGCTGAGCCAGCCTCGGCGAATCGGGGTGCGTCACGGGGCAGCTCCATCATGGACGTCTTATCGCACGCCCAGTTCCCAGGCACAACAAAGGATGTGGGGAGGCGTGCGCCTTTGACTGCCCATAAAGCCCCCCAGCTTCGCCTCCGGGGGCTCCTCACAACATATCTCATGCGCCCTTTCATCCGTAGACTCCCTCTGCATAGCCACTTACTCTTTGAGCAGCGTTCTGACTGAGTCACCCCAAGGAGTCATCCACGACAGCTACCAGTCACCAGTCACTAGTCACTAGTCACCCCTTCCTTCTCCTCTCCTAAGATTATTAGTACCTTCTGTTACACCCACTTACCCTACAATCACTCTCACTACTCTCGTTCTGTCCCCCAAACACCTCCCTGATCTACCTAGCTACCTACAGCCACCCGCCCACCCCCTTCGCCTATCATCACTCTTCCAAGGCACCTCCACCAGTTCACCAAGCTTCCCACAGCTACCATGTCGTCTGAGCAGACCTTTTCGACCCACGACCTCCGCAGCGGAGCCAAGGAGTTCGGCCGCGACAAGGACCAGAGGGTGAAATGGGCCCATGGTACTTCCTATGGCCCGGGACGGAGGGTTGAGGACGCCCGACCTCGACCTGCGCGCGTCATTCCAACCCCAAAGTCAGCATACCCAGGTGCCTTGCTTTGCAGCTAAGGCTAACGTGAATTTTAGGTCCACTGCTGGTTTCAACAAGGCCCGCACCGCCCTTAAGAACGACATGGTCGATGCTAGCGACTCTTCGGCCGATGAGGAAGTCGACGAGCCCTCCGCCGCCCCAGCACCAGATGCCGAGATCACCTATTCCTACGACGCCGAGCGAGGCCCGAGCCACGGAAGCCAGGTACTTGGGCAAGCACTTGCGCAAGCCATCGAGCGGTTTGAGGTCCACCAGACCGACAAGCTGATCAAGGAGGAATATGAGGTGCTGGACGCCGGCGAGGTGCTGTCTCCGGCTCCAAGGCCCCGCAGGCATGGCGTCACCCCCGAGGACGAGGACTACGAGTTCATCGAGGCCTAATTCTTTCGCCTACGGATATCCCCTCCTTCCGTGATTGTGTTTTAGGTTATTAGCGGACTGCATGCTCTCCATTGGCGTTTTGTATGGCATTCAGATACCTGCGGGTTGTGTCTTTTGGGTCATTAGCATTGTAACGGTACACGGCAGCATCAACAGGCGAGCGTTCGGCGCTTTCTGAGGACTTGAGCAGCCCCTTACAGCATGCTTTAGATTTTCTGCATTGGATTTCTGTATTGGATTTTTTTGGATGACGGATGGATGCATCGGCAGGACCCTTGTCTACTGTACAGTGTTTGACCTGGTTGCTTTTGCTTTGTCGCATCTGCGTTCTCGGTAGTCAAGTCGATTGGATGCATGAATTCATGCTTCCACCAACCCGAGCACTGCTCCCGATCTCGATCCAGTGACAGTGGAGAAGATCTTGAAACTCTCGATTGCAGTTATGGCAAGCTGCGTAATGGTGAAGCTGCCGAGTTTACCAAGCAGGGAAGGTCTTGGCTTGTAGCTGATGAGTGCGTCGATCGAGGTAGATGCATACGTCATCGTGAAGGTCCCACCAGCAACTTCGTCCCCTGACACAGCCCCAAGGTCTTTCTGGGCTCGCCTACTAAAGACGCTTAACCCACTGCAAAGGCCGACAATTCTCACTCATCGCGTGTGGGCCTGATACAGCAGAAAAACACGCCACCGCCGTCGTTCATATATCTTCGGTCGCGTCCCGCCTGAACTCGGGGTGGTTGATCAATTCGATTATCGATTTCCCTCATGGCTGCAAGGCGTTAAGACCGCGCTTTAATTATTCGATACATAGAAGCAAAAACGAAAAGAAGAACATCATGGCCGGACGGCCACGGTGGGTCCTACACTTACAGGCGCAATTCTGGCGCGTCCTCATGGGCATTGGGATGATGCTCCATCGCCTCGCGCGCCCCTTGCCACCATCTCCTTCCTTCCACAAACACATCGATGCGACTGTGTCCCCTCTTAAGGGGAAGTTTAGACTGCAGTTTTACGTACCGAAGGACTATCATGCGCAGAAGAGGCTGAAGGGCAAGAGATATCCATGTGTTATCAATTTCCACGGCGGCGGGTTTACCCTAGGAACTGCTCGTGACGACGCCAGGTGGGCCGGCGTGGTCGTCGAACAAGTGGGAGCAGTGGTTGTAAGTGTGGATTACAGGCTTGCACCCGAGTTCCCGTTTCCTACGGCCGTGGAAGATGGAGCAGATGCAATCTTGTATCTGGCCCGTAATGCGGATCAATTGATGCTGGATCCAGCGCGTTTCGCGGTGTCGGGGTTCTCCTCGGGCGCGAATATGAGCTTCACGGTGCCTTTGTGTCTCCAAGGTGAGCTGTTGGACAAAACGCCCTCGGGGACTCCAATCCAGAACCACCGTGGTAGTGTTCCTGCTCAACTTGCACCACCACCGACATCATCATCAAACCTCTCGCCAAATTCCTCACGAATCGGTCTCACGCGGCAAAAGTCCCGTCTAGATCGAATAGCCATGCTTCGCCAAACAGGAACATCCTCCCTCTCCCTCGTTTCCTCGTACAAGGACGGCGCAGCTGTCTCCGTTATCACGCAAGACACTGAGGTCAAAATCAGAGGCATAGTGTCCTTCTATCCGTCCACAGACTACACGCAAACGCGCGAACAACGTCGCCAAACCTGCTCGCGAACAGACCAACAGCTCCCCGCTGTTTTCACCGAGCTATTCGACGACTCGTATCTTCAACCCCCTAGCCTGGATCTCTCTCATCCCTGGCTAAGCCCCGGCGTGGCTCCTGAGCACATGCTTGCTGTCTTGCCCGACGACATCGTCCTATTCACCTGCGAGTGGGACATGCTCTTAGCCGAAGGCGAACGATTCCGAGACAGATTGGTAAATGATCTAAAGAAACGAGTACATTATCACTGCATCCCAGGTGTCCCGCACGGGTGGGACAAGGCGCCGAATCCCCTTCGAGAGTCTCCTGGCGCTCGACAGCAGTATATGGTGGCTTGTCGAGAGTTGAAGAGGATGTTTGATCTTGAGCAGGATGGCGAAGAGTAGAGGTTACCAGGCCCCTGGATTTTGGATGGGATACAGCGTGCTAGTGTTTTGGGTTGATGCTTCGTATATATACCCTGTTGGCATGGGGATTGGTATTCAGTGACTTCTTAGGATTAGAATTGTAAAGGGAGAAGGCGTTGGAGGATGTGGCGCGGATTTTATTTAGAAATGTGAATAGAATGTAATCTTATCAGATGTATGAACGAAAACTTCAGAAACCCCATTTTGGCTTCGATGGGGTTTGGTTTCTTCGAATCAAACCCTTGCAGTATTTGATTCTACGAAGGGGTTCTGTAATCCCAGTCCCCATTACTCCTAACCTTTATATGACCCTTTCACGGCTCTGTTTCTAGTTACAAAAGCAGTAGATGTACTTACTCACTACGTATCTTCATTTTTTATGTCCCTCCTTTAACTTTGAATTTTGACTTTCATCACATCACGCTTCTTTCCTTGGACCGTCTCATGTCTTGTTCATTGCTCCTCAATCATACGCGCAACTGGGGCACAAAGGTACTCAGAAGCAGACAAGAAAACCATCGCGAAAATAAAGATCAAGTGTGGAAATCTTCCCAGATTCATAACATATACACACCCATCATTCAGCTAGTCTATATTTTACAAACCCCTGCTAGTCTTCTTTCCACCCGACCATGTTGTGAAGCTTCTATAGTACAACCCCTCTCAACCCGCAACATCCCCTTCCCCCCCTTTCCCCCAACTAAACCGCCCTCGCCCAAAGCCTACTCTTCCTCCTCTCCATCTTCAACCGATCTTCTACGACATCATCCTTCGTGAAAACGGGCAAATCTCTCTCCCTCAACGCGTACTCAATAACCTTCCACCGCCCCACCTCCCTCTCCTTATCAACCTTCGTGACCCTCTTATCCTTCAGCTTTACATTCGGCAGCCGCAGCAAATCCTCCATGCCCGGTTTGACTTTGTCTTGGATCTCCCCTTCTGCGCGAATCTGGTCGATGAGTTTCTTCGGTTTTGGTTTAGCGGCGGCAAGGAGGTGGGTGTATAGGTCACCGAGGGTGGAGGAGTTATTGAGGAGGTGGTCGGTGATGCGGAGGGAGGTTAGTTGGAGGAGTCGTTTTGAGAGCTAGGAAACCCATCATCATTAGTATAAAATCGGAATCGGAATTTAGATTGGGGGGGTTTGCAGATGAAGAAAGAGATAGAGAGGCTTACTGCGAATTTGATCTGGGGATCGGTCAATTGGATTTCGTAGTAGTCGACCAGTTCTGGTCCTTCCGAAACTGTGGGGTTTTGGATAGAGATGGATTGAGCCGCAAGGGTTTCGATAGCGTTACGGACTGCGGTGCGCATGGTAGCGACGGCTTCTTCAGAGGTAGAGGCTAAGGCCTCGAGTTCAGCGGTTGGAGAGGGAGATTCGGGATTTACGGTCGTTGTCTCAGTGACTTCGTCGACTGTCATTGTAGATTCTTCTCGTTTGGCGCGCGGAACAGGTCTGTTTGACATGAAGTCGAAAGGCTTCTTTTCGTTTTGCTTCACCAAAGCGGCAGCCTTTGTGGGTACAGCGTCTGTCGAACCAGCTATGGCGTTGTCGATTGATTGGCTTCCGGGTTCATGGCTGGAATTCTCGGCTTCAGCATGCACCTCTTCTGCAATGTATTCCTCAACAACTTCCTCCAGCCCTTCCTCCACGGCCTGCTCCTTTGCCTCCCTGTAGTTGACCTCTTCTAAAAATTCCTTCATTGCCTCGGGGGGAAAATTTAGCTCAAGCTGCCCATCTGGCGCAGCGTGGAGCTTGACATTGTATATCCAAGTTGGGTCCTCGCTCGAGAATCGTTCTGGATGGCTCGCTAGCGTCGGTTCTTGTTTTGCCTGTATGAGCATATATGTCTCGACAACGGCTCTCAAGAACGCATTATTCAGTTGCGATTGCTCGGTAACTTTTGTCTGAGGAGCATAACTGTTCCAATCAGCACAATTTCCAATTCCACATCCCAGAACCCATGTCCATCTCTCATGAGGTTATGGGAACTCGTCAGAGTAGAAATACATACGCACTCCCCTCCCATCCCCTCAGTTTGTCCCCTTTCTGCCACTCATTAAATTCCTTCGCCCACTTCTCCCCACCAACAACCTCTAGCCCATCCCAAGTTACTGCCTCTTCATACTCCCCTAGACCTTCCCCGTCTTCTGCCTCCTCCAGCATCTCCTGCTCCTCGCCCTGCTCCTCGGGTGTGATCCGCACGGGCGACGTCGGATCGTAGGGATCTACGTGCGCGCCTATAGGCTCCGACTCTCCGAGGAGTCGTTTCTGCCATCTCCGCACCATGGCTTGGTGTTTTTTTTTGTCTGGCTTCCCGTCGAAGATGCCGTTGTACCGAGTCGAGCTCGAGAAGGTTGCAGAGGTGGGACTGAATCGATAGCGTGCTGGGAAGCCCGTGAAGCAAACTAATCGAGGCCGCCATGATGGGTAGTAAGGTAATAAATTTTCAATTGGCCGTTGTGGCCGCGGTATTCGGCGCATTGTAGCGTGCTGAGCGAAATGGTGATTGCTCCGCTCTAAATTCGAGACGCAGGATTCGGCGCCGGCTGAATCTCGGGATGCTCGTAAACACGTGATCGTTACGCCTGGAGTTCGTGGTTGACTCCACTGGAATGTGTACCAATATGACGTGATATGCCATGGCCTGTGGATGGGTGATCAGCCATCTAGGCAGATCTACCATATTCTTAATGTTTGAAAGTCTTCAGAAGTGGATGCTTGTTGTATTAATTGTACAATCAGAGTATCAACTGATGAAACCAGGCAGGCTTATTCCGTTATCCCAGCAGTAAATGGCACCAGATAATGCCTTGTCTTCGGTGCAAACTCTAATTACTACACACTGATACTCTTACATTGCTTGCATGGATAGCTTCCAACGTTCACTTCATGTCGCCTCCAGCGAATTTCCTAGCTAACCATCCCGATCCTCTTTCATCATACTCAGCCTTTTCGACCAGTGCCTCTTTCAGCAACTCAGTCTGACTTGCAAATTTTGCTGCTCCAAGCCATGTATGCTTGATTGGATCCTCTGCCCTCGAGATATTGAGATCATACTCTGCAGGGACAAGGGCCCTGAGTTCAGACTCTAGTCTTTCCATAAAACCAGGAATAAGCGAGTTACCTCCTACAATGACTACATTCGCCAACATTCCCACCTTCAGTGCCTCGGGGAGGACAGCCACAGACTGCATTATGGTCTCCGGGAGGCCAGGTTCTTGAATTCCGATGTCGGTAGGGTGGAAGAGAAGCTCTGGAACTGCGAAACGCTCGTTTCCGAGAGGAAGAAGATCTTCTCTTGGTCCTTGGGGGGGCTGAAGGCCTCGGCGCATCCGTGACTTTGTTGGATCATGAGGTCGCGCATAGCCGTGACTGAAATGCTCATAGTCTGGCAGCACATAATCCAAGACAATTGTTGGGTCAACATTCCTTCTATCGCCTACCCGGCCCTTCCATGTGCGCTCCAAATCCTGGGAGAACTGTTGTGTAGAAGGTGCAACGAATGAGACGGCTTCCTTGATTTCATTCAGCAGGTGGGTTTCTTCCATCATGTTGTAATGCCGAAGTGAAGATAATTCTTTAAGGTAGTTCGTGAGCAGCTTGCCGCCCACGGTGAGGCGCCGCAGCGCGGATTGTATGAGCTGACCCGAGTATAGTGGTAGGATGGTGGTGTCGGAATACGAAGTGTCGATAATGAGGAGGCATTCTTGCGGGAGGGCCGAGAGTGAATTGGGGTTTAGCTGGTGGTAAGCGTTGAGTGTTGGTCCTTAACTTATTAGTCTCAACTTTTATAATTAGGACTTACGTCGAAGGGAGGCATACCAACGCAACGATAGTATCGTGCAAACTCAAACTGCTCGAAAATTATCTCATCGCAGTTCTTCTGCAGCAGACTTGGACAATTTGGTTTCTCTGTCAAGAGTAAGTTCGATTCTCGCGGATCACACTACAATTCTAATTAGCTTGTTGAGATTCTAAACTGACCCAAAGGCGCGTCTCGTACCTACCCTTAACCCTTCCCCTGCCTTTGCATCGAAGAACTCATGTTCCCAGATGGCTTTTTGTGCCTCCCAGTTCACGATGAAACCTTTCTCTACGGGACGTCGGAACGCCAATTCGCCAAAGTCATTACAATTTGAGAGCTCCGAGGATACATAGGTGCGCTTGTCACGGTTACTCCGCGCAATGCAGTTGGGCGCGACACTGCAGTCGTTGTAGGTGAGGTCTGCGGATCCAGCGGGGACGACGCCAACTTTGAGGGTGTACGCGCCATTGTCGAGAACCAATGTCTGCGTCGGAAGAGAAGAGGAGAACTTCCTAGACCCTTTTGGGGCCATCTTTGCTGGTATGTTGCGATATTTCTAAAATCGGACGGCTGGACCCAAGCCCATCAAACATTACGTAATCAAAGCTATCATTGCGGCTCAAGTAAAAAAAATACCCACGTGACTCTCATCTAAATGATTCCGGACAGGTTTTCTGCTTGCAACTTCCTCCACCAACCGCAAGGCCACACTTGCAGGATTCTGTCCATGTGGTCTTCTGCATATCGGCACTGCTCACACGTTGGTGATGTTTCCCCTCTTTTGGGCCGCCCTCTTTGGCCTCCGCATTGAATCAGCCCATCAATTGTCCCGAGGTGTTATCGCGGGTCGTTACACCCTTTACTGTGAACGGCCACGGCTTGCATTACAGGTCGTGCAGCTCACCGGAGATGTCAGGGCCTGTCCAAGAACCCCCAATCGCAATCTGAAGTAAAACTGCCGCGTCGATTGCTGATGAGATACAGGACACGTGGGCCTACTGACATGGTCCCTATATACCAAGATAGTATGATCCCTCGAGGTTGTCTTCTTTCCCGTTGGCCCATGCCATAGGAGTTGCAACGCTTTCTTTTTTCAAGGCAAAAGGCAAACCGTTGCCCTGTTGATATCAATGTTACGAGAGGCTTACCAGGATTGCGCATATACAGAGGTCAGCAGCCAGAAGTACGTAACAACAACACACTCTTTCAGAGCCTCATACATCACCGAGCCTAAAAAGGCATAAAATGTGGCCTTGCAGATGGCATGTCTGCCTTATCCGTCTCTCCCTTTCACCGGTCCTTTTCCGAAGCCACTCGCCCAAGTCATCAATTAGAGCGTTCTAAAAAAAAAAAAACCTGGAAGTCAGGCACCGGTCAACAAGCAACAGTATGCCGTGGGTCTGGGATTATTTCTCTACCTATCGGCTTAGTGAAGACGATTTGAAGGCTTTTCTAACAGAATTGTTTGGTCAACATGAGTTCTCTATTTCGGTAGGCCTCCCCTCTGCGACCACTTATTTTGCTCTAACAGTGAAAGAAGGCCAGCAATGGGAATTATGCATTTACGGTCCCACGATGTCTCAACATTGTAAGGCCTAGCTTTCCTTAAATCTAAATATTCTCCGTTAGAAAAACTCACGGCCAGGTAGGACGAGAGAAACAAACTAGAGGACCGTCGATGGACCACCGGCCAGTGACACAACACCATTTTTGGCATTTGTGAAAGGCGATCTTAGCCTTGAAAAACGGCTATGGAAATTTTTCTGTTCCTATGTAGAGGTTGGTGGAAATAGCTAGGCTATTCGGGGTCATTGCGTTTGAAGGCAAACTTACATGGGGCGTTCCAGATACAAATGTGGAGGTTCTCGCGGGCGAAAGGCAAAATGCACTGGGCCAGTTTAAAAGGCCGACGTTTTCCATTAAGAAATAGCTCTCATCTTTTTGGTATATATCTCCAAGTCCATAAAATCCGCAATTAACGCAGTCCATTGCTCGAAATCTTGTAAAATGAATCAATTGATCCAAGCGTGCGAAAATTATGATTCCTTCCCGGAGAATCTCATCGATGATGACCTACCGATACATCGTTTGGTATTTCATCGGAATCAACTGCAGTGCCAAGCTAGTCGTCTTTTCGACGAGAAGCAGGCTGCAGTGGATGTTCTAGACTTTAGACAACACCAAGGTGAGAAACACAGTTACCGGCATCTTTGGGCGAGAGAGCGCTGACAAGGCCGTGCCAAAGAAGAAGTGAATCAGAGATGTCTGACAGACTTGGATCAGCTCAAAGAACTGCTCAGGGAAGCATTCACTAGCGAACAGAACGAGCCGATTTGCAGGTATATGTGGGTTGCTCGTGCTCTTCCGTCACGCTTAATGAGCTCTTACAGCCACCAGTTTTGTGCATGCGCTCCATAGCCGGGCCCCACTTAGAATATCTTCTTCCATGTTGACTTTTCTTTTCTCCTATTACCAAATTATGGCGTCCTTTCTGGATTTTATTTCCCCTTTTGGTAAGCAAGAACATGCCGAAGACTCCCATTTCAGTGCCGTGAAGGAGGATATCCGTCTTGATTCAAGACACAGTGGACTCAAAATTCGTGAGCTGGGTCGATCGGGTCTTGAAATACGCATTGGCTACAATTTACGGTCTGTGGAGCGATCACCGGGCCAAAAGGATTTCCCGTGGTCAATTCGCCAAACGGCGGTGTACCATTCGTTCGACTTGGAGACTGCGCATACCTTGTGGGTCAACTTCAAGGGTAATAAGCTTCTAAAGAAACGAGTAGAAGAGGTCTTAGCCTCATCTGACGCTCACAAAATTGGATCATGCAGTCAAGCATTCACTACTTCACTTCAGCAACATGTCTTGTTCTGCGATTGGTCGGGCGAAAACTGGCGTTGGTATATCAATTACCTCGAAACTGAGTTGCACAAGATGTCTCGGAATGCACTCGCTGTACCTGTCAACAATTCTGCTATTCTCAAGTCTCATGTACGCCAACATATATGCACAGACCATTGTGCAGCCTCTTGCGGAATTCATGTCAGGCAATCATCCGACGATTCTAGGGATGATCCACAACTATGCCTTCCAAGGTACCAATCTAAAACCTCGCCGTCGGTCCGCCAGGAGAGCCCTTCAGAGTCAACAATAGATAAACTACGTGGTAGTGATTGGGCCCTTCCCGCGAGAAGGAGTTACAAATTCCTGAAGCTCTTTATTGGGCCAACCCTTAGTACTCTAAGATACAACAGGCTTTCTTCACTTCTGTCTGGGCAATCAGACCTGACAGACCATAGTAGCACCTCAAGCTTGACCCCAGTCGCCGAAACTCCGGGTCTGGAAGAAAAGAGTGATACAAAGCGCTCCCCCAATGCTACCCAAGACGCACAGCAGGATCAATGGAATCCCCAAGATAAGAATTCCTGTGCTGAAGCTGGTAATCAGGCTAGTTCCGAGGAAAGTTTCACTATCCGTGATCTCCAGCGAATGCATTACATCGAAGAGCAACTCCAAGAAGCGAACTTGGTGCTGAGGATGAATATCGAAAACCTTCATGATCTAAGGCAACTTTACAGCTCTATCAGCAGTCATCAAGGCTTTCCAACCAAAATAAAATCTAGTTGTGGGTCTGACTTAGCAGACTTCGACAGGCGCGTTTTAGGAGTGGAGAAAGATCACCGTACGCAGTTATGGAGGACGGAGACTATTCTGCAGCTGTTGAATAATCGAAAAGGCCTGGTACGATACATTATCTTCCTATTTCCGAATGAAAGGCTCAATTGCTAACTTGTAGAGAAGTTACATGACATTATACAGTACCAAAACATGAGGGCAAATGAATTATCTGCAAAGAAAGCACAGTCTTCGGCCGACAAAATGGAAGTGATGACTACCAGCATGCACGAAATCGCCCGCAAGACAAACCAAGAGACTGTTTCCATGCGGGTTATTACTTCAGTAACACTCTTTTTCCTACCCGGGACCTTTGTAGCAGTATGTTGCGCCGACCCGCCCGTGGTCGCTTAATAGTTCTGCTAACAAGGCTGTGTAGACAATAATGAGCACCGACATCATCAGGTTCGTGGACAAAAAGTCAGTGTTCCAACTCAAAGGTTTAAGAATATATTTAGCCATCAGCATTCCTATGATGATGATGACTTTCCTGGCTTGGTACATAGTTTATAGGGTGGAGAGGAGGCGTGATAGGCTCATTAACTGCACGATCCAGGGTACAAAAGGTTCGAATAGGGTCTAACTTTGTTCGTTCTCGGTATTAATGAAGTTTTATACTGCAAGTATTCCCGACACAGATTAAATATACGGAGGGTTGGGTTCTAACTTGGAAAAAAAAGTTGCTTGCCATTCTTGGATTCTGTGTTACTCTTAGCTTAAGACACTGCGTCAGCACTCACGTATATTAACAAAAATTCGGGGCCTAGATTGGATTATTGGCTAGGGAACTTTCCTTAGGGTGGATGAGAAGGCTCTATAAGCCCGGCAACAAGAAGATGTGAAGTGGTGAGGTGTGACCGGATTCCGAAGTCAGAAACACTCAAGCTCGAGGCTAAGCCAAAATAGTCGTAGTAGCAGGCTGACCCAAGTTCAAGGACCACGCCACAGTCCTGGCCTCAACAATGACAGCCTCTCCCACTTCCCAAATGTGCCAGCTGGTTACCATAACCGTCCCAAGACTATTGGCTTGCGAGGACTCCCGCTAGTAGGGATAAAGGAAAACGCCCAGGCAAACAAGCGATTCGCCCAATGCCTTGAGTCTGTGACCGGACAGTCACGGGAAGGACGAGGTGTCATCACCGGATGGGCGTGAGAAGGGAAGCTACGAGTTAAGGTTTCTAAGTCTCCTTTACACGAATAGTGACTGGACCGCGCTCACTGGAAGTAGCATCCCCTAGCACTAACGCACGTCAAAATGATTCATCATTCGAAGCTTCCCCTGGTCAATTCAGCTGCCCTATGTATTTATAACACTTTATGGAAGATCGCTGTAGTCTAGCGATTCGATTTCAAAATTTCTGTATGTAGGAAATGCTCTACTCGGCATCTTCCCATCCTATCTACTAGCTTTGAAGCTAGCTTTGGTGGTTCCTTCGTCCTTGTCGGCCTTGTTCCGGTCAGTGCCTTTGATCATGTCAAATGGTTATCCTTTATTGACTAAGATAGAGGCAGGCTCTCCGTCCCTCTCGTCCCTCTCGTTCCTCTCGTCCCTCTCTCCCGTATTTGGCATTCATGATTAAGTTTTCTTGAACAAGGCCATGTATGCACATTGCCTTGGCCAGGCTACCTTCCTAATAGCCTGGAGAAGGTGTCTATGGCGAGGATTTGCCCTCTCCGGTGTGGCTCTAGTGTGGCTGATGGGTCCCCAAACTCCGGAAGTTTGCGCTTCTGTCTGAGGCAAAGCTGCAGTCAGTGAGTTTACATAGGGTTGCCACTCCCACACGTGCTGAGATGTTCCTCTGTGCTTTCCTACGGGCATCCATTCACGAGTCTCTTATTTTTTTACCATTCGTTTGACATTCTTTGCGTCTCTTCGGCTTCTCCTGGCTTCGTGGCCATAATTCAACGCCTGCCATGACTGCAGATACTCCCGCCGCAGTCGTGGATTTACTAAGCCACATTGAAAGTGCTCTCGTCTCTGGGGTTTATGGTCCGTTTCTACCTTTCTCTGCCCTTCAACAATACTATGCAAATCGACTTCGAGTCTTATACCTCTTACGATCTCTCGATCAAAGCCCTACTTGTTATGGAGCTATTCAAGATGGCTATCCTATCGTCTTCACGATATTAGTTATCATTAATAAGACCGGTTACTTCCGTCATTTTACCCGTCACACTTTTCTTTCCGACAGGCACTTACCTTTCCGGAATCACAACGACTGGCCCGAAGACTGCCAACATTTCTTCAACTCCTTTCGCAACGAGCAATGGCGCCTCTGCCCTCAAAACTTTGGAAGACAGCAATTGGACGATCTTCGGCTCCAAGACGAAGTTGTACTACCAGTAACCCGCAGAGAGCCCTTGGGTCGGCCAGGTAATTCCACTACATTCAAGATTGAGGTGCACCCGGACTACGACAACTTGTCCGATGAGGTAGGCAAACTCATGAGGTCAGGTACAACGTTTTAAACCAATGCTGACCAGGATGATACAGAATGGCAAGGGAGTTTCGAGAAGCCATGTCTACGTGCTCAAAGTCTGCTCCAGCCGGAACCAAGAGTCATACCTTAATGAAGTAGAAGCATACACGCTTCTCATGCAACAAGAAGACAGAAGGGGTAACAATGAAATCGGGGAGAGCATGGTCAAGCTCTTTGGATGTTTTAGGCAGCGTGGAGCGTTTCATCTTCTATTAGAGTATGCCGATCGCGAGACTTTAGAAAGTTTCCTTCAAAATGTCGAGCCACCACGCACGCAGCAGGATCTCATCCTATTTTGGCGCAATTTTGGGCAGCTTATAAAGCCGTTGCAGCGCATCCACGAGCTCCGATGTGGCTCTAAGCAAGAAAAAATCTTCCAGGGGTAAGTAGCTGTCTCCCTTGGATGAATGTACCACCCCAGGCCTTATCGATAACAGGATCCATCAAGACATCAAACCTGCTAATATCCTCCTGTCCTCTCGGGGCACTGAGTCCAAGTACGATGTCATCTTCAAACTGGCGGACTTCGGACTGCTTCGGTTCGAACCAAAGCTCAGAGCGGGAGAATTCATCGAAAGCAGTGATAGGTGTGGGACGCAGGTATATAGTGCGTCATACGTTACAACCCGCCTTTACATATTGCTGACTTTTCATAAGGCGCTCCGGAATGCCTGCGAGATGATGTGTTTTTGCAAGGTTGTAAACTCTTGATCGACCCTTCCATCGACATTTGGTCTTTAGGATGCATCATCAGCGAAATATCGGTGTGGTCTTACCTAGGGAAAAATGGCCTAGCCGAATATGTGGACCTTCGCACTGCCGAAACAAGCAGTGATTACGACCTAAAAAACGCAGGATACAGTGGTTGCTTCCACGATGGCCACCATACTCTGAGAACTGTACACGAAATGAATACTAGGATTAGAGCGAGTCTCCGCCCTGGAGATAGTCTCTCTCATGAGATTATGGCAATTTCCGATGATATGCTGGAGGAAGCTCTCGTCCGCCCAAAGGCCTACATTGTTCATAAACGCTTTCAAAAGGCCATTCGAAACGCAGAGGACCTTTTAAATCGTCGCCGGAATCATCTAATATCCACGGGTCCAATCAAGTTGCCGTATCCGCCCATCTTTTGCACCGATGCTGAGATAAATGCTCTTAAGGCGCCCTTACCAAAGCTTCCCCCCGAACAACCAAAAGCTACATTCCTCACCACATTTCTCAAACTCCAAATCGGAGCCGGCATCTCGCGAACAAGGCACAAGATATGTGGCGGCATGATTTGCCTATTTGCACTAGTGCTCGTACGTACGTGGCTTTCCTAATGGAATGACTATCACGACTAGTGCAACTATCAGCACCTCCCACTTTCAACCAAGACCTTTTTTTTCTTCCCATAAATTTCCTTTGTTCGTTTTTCTCATTTAGTAGGCGTTTACCAGGTCCCCCAACTTCCAGAAATTTCCATCCCACCTTTGCGAGCCTAAATACGTTATGATGCCTTCTGTAATCATGGCTATCAACTTCCGTTTTTAATTTAGCACCTCCCTTGTGGCCCCTGTTAGGATCTCAGTTGGATGACACCTCAGTGAGTGGCTTTCCTCTTAGATCTAGGCTAAGAAGAAAGGAGCTCTTTATGTATAATTTTCTCTCCTCACCTCATAATCTTCCTGTATTTCTTTTGTTTCATCCTCCGAAGTCGTCTCAACAATTCATGTTACGCTTTAAGCTCTCTCATGTGTCTTTTCACTATATATTTGTTTTCTCTGAACACTATACGTTTCTCTCTCTGGACTTCAGGATGAATGGTTTGGTTGGCGGACCGAATGGAGGTTTCCGAATATCCAATAGGAACAGTTACGGTGTTTCTGGTTTCAACATTCGGATCAGGAATACCTTGCCATCATTCCTAAGTCACCTAGAGGGACCCCCTTCTCTGTAGAACACAATACTATCATACGTTTGCCTCGAATAATTTTCGCTAAACGAAATTGCAAGGGATCCCGCTTCGGATAAATCTTCTTTCCTTTGATTTAATATGAATAGGGAGAACTTATCTAGCCAGGCTAACTATACCACGTGCACTCGTCCGCAGAAGTTAGTGAGTGATTTGCTCGGCTTAGAACCGCACTTCGTTCACCATTATTCCACGACTCTATTGCCCTATGCTCGTCCATAATTGAGGACATCGTCCCCGTTAGCGTCTAGAATCTAAACTTAGACAGCCCCATGCTAACTTGTACCTTTACAGTCATGACCTAGAAGGTAGAAGTTTCCACATATGCATCGGGGCAGTGTTGGTATAGTCTGTTCAGGAATTTAATTGTGGTTAGTAGATTTCCTATACGTTGCCGTCATGATATGAATACAGGCTTGGAGTGACCGCTGGATATGATGGCACGGCTTGCGGAGACTGCACGAACGAACGAGTTCAACGGAGGAAAGTTTATTGAAAGGCCTTCCTTGATGTTGTTTCCGGCCGAGAAACCCGAAAAGCTGCTAATCTAGCACTGGAATTCAATGAAGAAGGGGATCGCATATCATACTTAGAAACATCTATGCCCGAGGCTAAAGTTTTCAGCTACAGCTCCTTAGAGGTATCCCGCCACATGGTAGGCTGGTGTTTGACGGTCGAAAACCGTGTAAGTGAGGCTACTTTACACCACAATCGAGCATTGCTAACACCTTTCTCCAGGAGCTGCTAGCTCCAATTACGGATAGGTACTAGGTCATCTCTCCGAACGCCTCAGGCCGACTGCTTTCATGATAAAATAACCGTCACTGACGGTAAATTTATCAACGTGGAATTCAATTTTGCAATCGAGGCCAAGGACAAACCGGTTCCTCCCTTACAAGATGGATATGTGAGCAGAGTCAGGTGGGCCGCTCAGATCTTTGTCGTGCTGCTGGACGAAGTGGAAAAGAGAAGCTGGTTTATTCGGGAGACCCATGCTTTGCTTCACCTGGTGCTCGAGTCCCTTGAAGCCGATGCTACTGACGAATTCAAGCAGCATTTTTATACGAACCTGGAGACCTCCGTGAGGCACCATTTCTTAGAGATGTCTAGCTGAACCGGCACAACCGAAATGTGAAGCTGAATCTAGAAAAGGAAGTGGTACAAGACAAGGACTCATTAGACGAGTCCGATCGAGCAAAGTCGACCCCGAACAATTGAAGGGGCTTCTAACGATAATATTGCATGCTCCATACAATCCCCCACCTTGGATTCGGAGCACTCCGCTAATGTCCTGTCCCCAAGTCATCGGGAACCCCGCCAAAAAATCTTGTCCTGACTTTCCTGCCTCTATTTACTTGCGCACAAAGCCTCACAACTTATTTGCTGCGGCAGAGTTCTGCTCCCTTCTTCTTGTAGTACTCAACCCTCATTTTAATACGATGTCCACAAAACCCAAATCTCCAAATCCCCACCGTGACACACACGCCCTCATCGAGCTCACAAAATCCTCCCAAATCCTCCTCAGCCACTTCCAGTCCTCTCTCACGCCGGTGCCGGCGTCATTCTCCGCCGTGCCTTCTCACTCCTCAATCTCGGCGTCTACTTCCGTACCGAACCCCCTCGATGTCGTGAAAACAACAACTACGCTTCTGAAATCGCACACGACGACTCTCTCGCTACTCCTCCTAACCCCACCGCTCACTCCCTCGGCACTGAGCAAGAAGATAGGCGATGTGTCGTCTGGGGTGCTGAGCGGGATGGTGGCCGCGGTGTCGGGTGCTCCACAACCCGGGCAACAAGATGGGCTGGGCGAGGTCATGCGTGCGGAGCTGAGGGCGCAAGTGCGAAGAGTGCTGGGCGCTTGGGGAGATGTCCTTGCCCACCTTCTTAAATTCGTGGAGAGGAGAGAGGGGGTGGAGGGGAAGGGTAAAGGGAAAGACGAGGGTGTCACCGAGTCGGAGAGGCAAAATATTCTCGCTTCAACGGGCGTTGTCTGGGAAGCTTGCGATGCCTTGCTCAAGCTGTGTCAGGATGGCGTGGTTGGCTTGGTGGTTAAGAAGGCGGAGAGCTGGAGGGCGACATTGATGGATGCTGTTGAGGAACTCAAGGAGTGGGGTGAGAATGTGGAAGATGAGGAGGAAGACGGGGATAAAGCTGAAGGGAGTGATGGGGGCAGGGGAGAGTTTGGAGATGAGGACGGGATATTCGGCGCGGCAAATAAATTGAGCAAGGGGGATAAGGAGCTCAAGGAATTGCTGGATGTGAGCGTGAAGAAGTTGAAGATGGTGGGCATGCTGTATCAGGCGTTGAGTAAGAGGAGGTTGAAGACTTTCCCAGCTGTACCTACATCGAAGGTTGAGACGAATGGGGAGGGTACTGTGGCTCTACTTGATCCCATGGCCAAGCTTGATAAACTTATGGGGATCCTCAAATCAATACCGGAATGTGCTGACGAATTGGCGAGCTCTTTTTACAACTTAGATGAAGAAGAAGCAAGGCAGACGCTCGACACGTGTTGTGGAGAAGCGAAAATTGCTATTGAACTGGTCAAGCAGAGCTGGAGTGGGAAAGATGATGAGTTCACCACTTGGTCGGAGAAGTGGGTTGGAGCATTAGAAGTATCGTGAAAATAGCTTGCTAGTGATTTACCAAGCCAGACAAAGGTAGCGGTGGTTGTCTGCATAGATTTTTGGCGTTTCTCACGAAAGTTGCGCGAAGGCATGTGATAGTTGGGATTTTGAAGCAATCCTTCGCCGCAAGTGTTAAGGGATCCGAGCCATGACGGGTGAGTCAACCTATTCAAGCCTCTTGGCCCTTGGCCGCAGGCACCGCGTCACACAGCGAAAAAGTCACGTCCGACATTGAACACGTTGAGAGATTGGCATAGCATGCTAGAAGAGACCAGGACCTTGATCAAATCAAGATAAATTCTGCCATGCAACATTTTCGAAATAGACCGGTTTCAATCCAAAATCTCATGCAGTGAAGTACTCTCAGATCATTCCAAAGCTAGTATCCCCGCCCAATGCAGAAAAAGTGTATTTCCTCCTTACCCCCCTTCCTCGACCAATTTCCCAATGCTATCCTACCTCGACACTCCCCTACGTTCCTATCATCTTCCCCCCCAACCCTAATTGTACTGCTTTACAACCCCAAAACAGCCGCCAAACCGACCGCAAGCACGCTACCCAAACCAACCGTATTCACAACCGCAGCGCCCGTCGTCTGTTGGGCCGCCCCACTGCCCGTTGCGCTCGCGCTAGAGGATCTGGTACTGGTGACAGTGGCGTTGTTGTTTGCAGCGCCGGAGGCAGAAGGGACGGTGGTGGGGAGATTGGTAACGGTGATGCCGGCTTTGGCGCAGAGGGCTTCGACGGCGGGGACGAGTTCTGCGGGGAATTATTGTTAGAAGGGTCCCGTGTATTGTGGATGTTGGGAGTGTGAGATGTGGGGAGTTTAATAGGGTTATGGGAGGAGAGGAAGAGGGGAGTCATGGGGACGTACTAGCTTGGTCCTCGGCAGAACACTTGGATGGCACGCAGGCAGAGACGGAATCGGTGATCTTCTGCTGGCCCGTCGTGCATTGGCATTTGGTATCCGTGAGGGAGCAACCGGATGCTGGGACAGCGACGGCGAAGCAGGATAACTGAGAAAATGTTGATCAGCAACAGAGGCCTAAGAATGTAGCTGTGAGGAGCTGGGTGGATTTAGGGTTCTGAGGCTTAGGAAAGCGACATCAGAGCTCCTGGAGAAGAACCGAATGCGATTGGCATGCAGCTCAACAACATTGCATGGAAGCATGTATTTTGCTTGCGATGAAGCGAACGGTACTACGCGTTGACCGAAAAACTTCCACGGAACATGCCAGATAGAGTTGATGTCGGGTCAAACTCGCATCTTCACGACCTTAAGTTCTCCTGAATTTACGACCAGCAACGGGTAACGATGAAAACTCCCTTTGTCTTTCAACGCTTATGCTCCGTGATAGGTGCTCCGCTAACGCGCTGGAACGAGTGGGCGGACTTTGAAGAAGCAAACTTACGGCACAAGAAGGAATGCCCGTTAAGTCCTGGCCATTGACGAAAGCAAGCGATGCGACGGCGGCGAAAACGGCAGCTGTAAACTTCATGATGACGAGGAAGGGGAAATGTGGGTTGTTGGTTGAATACGCTCGATGTTATGAAAAGTATGGATAACCCGTCTGGACCAGCGGACGCGAAAGCGACAAAACCAAATTTATGTAGGTAGTGTGGAGAGAGAGCGAACACGAAGTGAAATGTAACAAATAGATGTAAATGCGGAAAAGGTAAGGAGAGTTTGTGATGGAAGAAACGTTTCTTGCGGTAAAAACAGTGGCGAGCTTCAAAAATAACAAGAGGCGGCGCGGATCTATCTCCCTTTTTAAGGGAAACACTTGATGTGTCCAGATAGGGCCTTGCCATGGACCCTTGGTTGGTAAACTCTGGGACCTCATGCAGTACGGGGTCCAATTACCACCGTAGCGTTGGGATTGGGTCAGGTACCAAAATGCACGGCTATGTCTCATCCTGGCCATTCCACTCCGCATCCATCCTGCATCACGTCCGTCGAGACCCGCGTGCTATCGGTTGCTATGTCCGTCGCTGCTGATTTGAGCTATCAAAGGAAGCGTATGATTGGTCTTGTTACGCCGACATGCTATGAGTAGATGGGTTTCCGAGCATTAGAGGCATTCCGGCGGTGGGGCTAGACAAATCTGCTCCGAGGAGAGTTAGGGCTGAGAAGGATAAAGTGGACGCTGTGGAACCTCAGACGAAAAGATGATATGCACAACTCCACAAGCAAGAGTCCGAAGGCGAAAATGCGGTCATGATTGATCTTGCACTTTGGAATTTGTTAGTTGTGGGATTGAATTGTTCCCCGATATCAGAACTCGTGACCGGGTTTTCCGTTTCAGCTTTTGGCAGCGACAAAAAGCATCCGCAATTGTCATGCGAATCGCTGTCCATGAATGCCTACTCGGAAATGGAAGTGCAAGCACACATCACTCGCCATCTAGTCAGCCTCCCTGGACGGGAAATCCTTTGCGGCTGGGCCAGGAAAAAAAAGTGACTGAACCTGGCTAGCTCGCTCGTTTAAATGGACGACATGAACGAGGAATGCCTCGCAGGATTCCGCGATGACGGCTTCGTTAGTGTGTGCAATCTTTGAGTTTCGACGAATCTTGGTGGAGACGGTTTGACTTTCAGCTAGCCCGCTGTGCCGTTAAATGCGTTGAGTTTGACTTCTAGCGTGCTGAAAGTTTGGATAGGATGGCCAATGAGGGCAGCGAGAGAGGAGAAAGTGGGGATGAGGACGCCAACTGGTCACGTTTTTTGCGCCATGGAAATTCAGAAACGTGTGATGAGCTTGGTTATTGATTGACTCAACTTAGGACGGTGATAAAGGCCGCATCTGACGGGCTTTTCCCCTTGTGGCTTTTCATAGGTTTCTATACGCATTGTGCCGCTTCCTCCGCTCTATGGACTTTAATGGAGCTGCGAATCCAAGTGGCGATTTCTCTCGACTCTTCGTCATGATACGATATTCCTTTTTCTTATCGAAACCTAGGCAGGCCGATAGTCAATCCCTTCGAATTTCGATGGAATCTTTCTTCGCGAAGAGTTGCAGGGATGCTGTATACCGCACAGACCAAGGTAATCTGAAACCAAAGCCACAACCCCTTACATTAGTTGCCGATCAGGGGTACCGCTGTCTGTCGAGCTTCTATTTTCCCACGCTTGTCTTACTTCAGAAGAGGGGGGGGGAAGGGAGGGGAGGGAGAGGAGGGGGGGGATGGGGGAGGAAGGGAGGGACAAGTTTCTTCTTTCTTGATGTTTCGAAGGTCTGTACCAGCTCGTGTTGCGGCAGCTTTCGAGGATGAGGCTTTAGAGAACATGTAAGGCCGATGGAGATACGTGCCAAGCTCATGCATCGGGAATCCATCGTCTTGGCAATATTGCTCAACAGCTAGGAGTGCAATTCGATAGCACAATCAGAAATCTCTGTCCTGTACGGATCCGTATGTACAATCAGATATCACCACCTACTACTACTACTACTACTATGGAGTGTGCCCTGCATTACTGTATCCAACCTCCGAAACTCTACCAAACATGTCACACCGGTGCTACTCACTTCTACAGTCGACCCTTGCCTCCGGTCCCCCTCCCCCGCAACAAAAGCTTACTGACAAGCACGTGTCGAGCAAACTCTGTTGGCTTTTTGCTTTGGGCGGCGGCGTTTTTGTTATTCCCCTGCGTACACGGTGGAGACGAACTCCTGTTGAGTAGGTGCAACAAGCCAGGATTACCTCGCTTTTGCTTTCTCAACGATACAAAGCAACCCTTGCCTGTCATGGCAACAAGAGCATCCAAGTATTTCGACTAACCGCTACTAACGTTCTCGTGAATCCAGAGAATCGGAGGGCTCGGACAGAGATATCTAAAATGCACAGCATATGTCACCTGATCCAGATAAAGTTCAACTAAAGTCTTGTTTACTTTTCTTTGTTTTAGAAGTTACCATTTGCACCCCCTATCTCTATCTCTGCGTCGAAAAGCCTCGTGCATACCGTTTCAGATAGTGTAGCAGTATACTGACTTTGTACAATTACAAATTGCGATCAATCGCAATCAACAATCTCCCGATCCCAACCTCTCCATGCAGAATATCCTCCCTCTACACTAAAAGCCCAAAGAAAAACATCCCCATCCTCCCATTACGCAATTGTATTGGAAAGACGGAAAACGAAGGACGTAGGCCCCACACCCAAGAACACCAGAAACCCATACAGTCCGGCTATACGAAGCGCCCTGGTGTCCCAAATGTACGAGTGTATGTGTGTATGTGTGTATATGCCTGTGGAGGTCGCAGTCTAGAAAGGAATCGATCGTGTTCCCATAGCTTTGCCAATCCGTGCCGCCCATCCAACCCAGCCGATTCAATTCTCTCAGACGCGCCTGTTTGACCGTAACGAGATTCCGTTGCAGAACAAGAAAGAAGACAAGGTATATTGCAGAGAAACAAGGAAACAAGAGCCGTAAATAAATCCAAAAAATTAACCCACCAGAAGGTACTTAAAAAAGGAATCCTACCTGAGGATAGGATTGACGAAACAGAAATAACGTAGGTTTGGTGTTTTGGTGACCTTGCGCCATCGAACCAGCAAAGGAAATCCAAGACGTAAAAGTACGAGGTTTTCATGCAACAAAGGATGTGGATACGGCTCAGCAATTATACGAAGCCGTTTTAAAACATCGCTCCGTCCATGGGGCGTTGAGCAATATGTCGGCTGTTGATAGGACGAGGCGGCGAGCCATTGCGTCCAAACGGAGTTGAAGGCATAGCGGGACTCCCAGCCCCCTGAGTCTGAGCTTTACCGTGTAGATTCCTTCCTTCACTCGAGGTCTTCCTCAGCCTCTGTCGTGCCTCGGAGATTGGATTTGCCTGACTGGACAGTGCATCTGATGAATTTGTCCTCTGTGATTCTGTAAAAGGCGTATGTGGTGGCTGCACATATGAATCATGCTGTTCTGTCCGTCCAAATCCAAATCGACGCCTCATAGGGTTGATCGGAGGGACCGGTGGGGGTGGTGGATCCATTCCATTCTTCAGCGAAGCACCAGCTGGTAGATCGACGGTGTCCATCACCGAAGTCGCAGAGAGAAAGATGGGCTCAGAAATGTCAGTCTTAGCAATGGACTTTTTCCGCAGCACCTGCATGCCAGGCTTTTGAGTGGGTCCCGAAGAGTTGGGATTTGGGTGGTTAAACCCAGGCGTAACAGGTGTTGTTGTACCAGACACGGGTGGGGTGTTGTTGGCGGAAAATGCAGGTACAGGGGACGCTTGAGGTCGGAAAACATTCATATTCGGGCTTGGTGCACCCGGAGATGGACGTGGAGACGCTGGAAGCCCAGGAGAGAATTGGGGCTTCGGGCTGTTGGCAGCAGGCGACAACCGCGGGGGAGCCCCATTCATGTGGCCGTGGCCTGTTTGAATAGGTTGAAGGTGCTTGGATTCAAAATAGCCAGTCGTCCTACTATTACTCCGGGATCTCATTCGACTAGACTGGCTATCGAGTGAGGGCCGATCAGCAGGGACTGGTTGGGTTGGATTGATAGCGTATCCAGACATTGAGGGAGTATTGTTTAGTGGATACACTGTGGACCTTGACCCTGTACCTTCAACCATGGCCTGTTCGAGATCATCACGGTAGCGGCCTCCTCGGCTGCGAGAACGACCAGATGACAGCTCTGAGCTTGACCGGTTCCTTGTCGAGCTTTTGCTGGAGGCGGGAGGCGACCTGCCTTTGGGTTTTGCATGATGGGTGACGTCGTCAGTTGCGGAACGTTGAAGGCGCTGCTCAAGCTCTCGACGGGCATCTTGCTCACTCTGTTCGAGGACGCGTGTAGGTTTTGGTCGCGAGGCAAGGCCACGACCCATGCGATCCTCGTCTGCTCTCCAGTGATCATTGCCATGAAACCGGTCGTTCTGTCCCGCCAACGATGTGCTGCTGGCATTGGCAGACCCGGTGCCAATCCCCAACATCCTCATGGCTTTAGTTGGAGGTAGACCTTCCTGTGGTCTTATGTCGCTGTTTGTGGCAAACGACTCTCGGCTTGATTTCGAGCGAAGCATGTTTAGTGCGTTCTTTAAACCACCAGCTCCTGCAGATGGTGCAGGGCTTACAGACCGGTTATTATCCTGGCTGACCTTCATCCCCAAGCTTTCTTGGACAGCACGCTGGCGTTGAGCAAGCTCACGCTTAAAAGCTTCCCGTTCATCCTGCGTCTCCGTGCTAGCGCCCCGCTGATGCGACTTCTTCATATCCTTTTCCCATTGAGGAGTATCGTCATGTGAAGGGCTTCTTTCCGTGGACTGGGAGTTGGATGTTGGAGGATTGACATTTGTCACTGGTTTCACCTTATGTGCATCTACCGGGCTGACTGAGCTTATACTGTCGCCTTCTCCATAATATGGGTTGTCAATGTCGTCCAAATCCCAAGGATTAGAGTGACTGTAACTTGAGTGTGCGGGTGTATCTGACTCGGAAGTGGGCTGTCGTCGCTGAACACCTAATTCCTGAGTCCTTAGCGAGAGGGGGGCAGTTGCCGTTGATGTATAGGGCGGGCTCATGGCGATCTGGTTGAATTCACCATAGTCTGACGACACATTACTGACATTCCGCAGATGTTGTCGGACGAGACCACTTAAGCCACCATTGTTTGGACCGAGAGTAGGAGAGTCAATGTCTAAATCGTCAGATGACTTAGTTGTAGAATTAGGCTGTAATGATCCGTTGGTAGAAGGGGGAGGATCGTGCGACTGCTGTGTTGGTGCAGGGCGCGATTGACTGTGAGACTGCAGAGAAGGATGTTCCTGTTTCTCTACCCGCGAGTTACTCCGGGATCTTAAGGCAGGATGCTGAAGGATTGGAGGTGCTGGCTTATTTGTAGTCGGGATATTTTGGAGCCGGCGGGACAGGTCAATTGGCTTCTTTGGTCCCTCATCCTCATCCTCACTACTGCCAGGGGAAGCAAAGAATGTCGCCCCAGTTTGAGAGTCAGGTGACTGCACACTGTGAGCTGACGGGTCTGACTTCAGGGTTGAACCCGTTGTGGTGGCTGGACTCTTCATCTGATTGGCTGCAGATTGGAAAACTGAAAACGCTGATGGCGCTTCTCTTTTCTCGGCGGTGTTCGACCACTGTCGCTCATTTGTCCCCGCCTCTGCTCTCTTGCGCTGTTCAAGTTCGGCCCGCTCTCGTAAGGAAGGTTTTGAAGGCTTGTCTAGTTTCGGCATTGACGCTTCCCGTTCTTGCTGCAGTCGTTTCAAACGCTCTGCGTATTGTTGTTCACTAAATGCCTGCTTGGGTTTGTTGAACGCACCCATTGCAGTAGCCTTTCCCCGGTCATTCGGTTGCAGGGCAGAATGCAGCGTTTGAGCTTCGTCGCTATCACTCGCTAACGGACTGTTTAGTGGAGGTGACTGGGGTCGGGATACCACGGGACTTGAGTTAGAGGAATGGGTATCCTTTCCATTGGGGATCGCAGCGTTTGCCATTTGAGTGGGACTCTCTGTTCGGAATGGCGTAGTCCGATTAAATCGATCATTTAGACTTGTCGCAGATCTGGTCTGAGTATACAGTAGCGGGGGAGTAGAACGACCTGTTGGCGCACGAGTGCGTTGTATGCTATTGAGTCGGTTCATGGCGGACGATTGCTGCTCGTAAATGTGTTGGTCTAGTCCTGTTTCGTACAGCCTTCTGGCCTTCGTTGTTGTCCGATTGAGAGGCGGCGTTTCGGTGGTGGGGGATGTAGCTGTTGTAGAACTGGGAAGGGCTGGCGAAGATGCTGGAACGGCATTGGCACCTTGTGAGGCGATTGAAGTCGCGGCGGTGGAGGAGCGAGTGTTAGCTGTGCCAGAATTGGTCGAGGATGAGGTTTCTCTTCGTTGGCTGTAACCAGAGAGCGAGGGAGAGTATGCGAGTTCCTTGGTTGGGCTGGATGGTTCGGATTGCTGGTCATCATCGGCCTTCTCTTGCCCTTCCATCTGCACCCTTGCTCTTTCCCGTTCCTGTGCTCGTATCTTTTGAAAGGTCGACATGCTAACATCGTCCTCGTACAACGCCCGCCCAAGACTCTTTGACGACCCAGTGTTGGAGATCTTGTAGATCTTCTGCCGACCGCCAAACAGCACATTGCCCTCTCCCGGCCTTGCGCGGCTCATCATGCTTCCACCTTCCTCGGCGTTATGGCTGTCGAATGAATTTTGCCGCTCGTTTGCAAACGGGGGTCGAGCAGAACCACTAACAGAGCCATTGAGGGATGAAACTTCGGCTATATCAGAGAGCCCTCCAGGGACGAAGCCGAACTCATGGAGACGAGACTGACGTTTCGGGAGCAAAACACTGTCGTCGCTTGCTTTACCGAGCTTCGAGCTTGGGTCGTCCTGTTCTCTTAGCATGCTAAAGCGCGTGGACAAGCTGGGCATGATTAAACTGGTCCGAAAGTTGTCTGAAGCGGGCAATGCGGCCGTAATGTCCAGCTCGATCTTGGGCTCCGGCTGGCTCTTCTTTCCCTTCTTGCTTTTCTTACCACCTGACGCATTGTCGTCGAGGACCCGGTCCTTCTTTCTCGTGAGGAAACGATTCATGGTGATCTGGTACACGTTAGGGGAGTGAATTCGCGTGAGGAGCCGCGCGAGCGACGAGCGATAGCCCGAGTGCACGTAACGGCGATCCATGTTGCGGTGGAATGTCTTACTAGCTGTGCCGGCTGTACGGAATAAATATCTAGTCGAACGAATGCGCGCTCAAAAAGCCTTCACCGCAAGTATGCGGTGAGACGAGAAGAGAGAACTGTCGTACGAAGAGACCTGGCAAGAATTGGACGCAACGGTATTCTATTCGCGGGTGGTGAGTTAGTAATGTATGCTAGATGTGAGTTCCCGTGCAGTCTTGCCACACGCTAGGGTAGCAAAGACGGGAAGTCACCAATTCTCATCGACGTACATGACTAACACGAGTGCCGGTGACTATGTCTACCAGCAAGTCCTGCGCGGGCGTGGTGGTGGTCGTGGTGGTGGTAGAGATGGTGATAGGAGACAGACGCTCCATCAAGCGTCCGACGTACAGTTCGCGGCAAGAGCAGGTCGGGTATAGGTATCGAATGTCGTCTCTGTGATGCGGAATGCAGAGCGAAGGGAATGGGGGTGGAGCAGTTATGGCGTCGGACGGGCAAAGGCAAAGGCAAATGCAAATGCAAATCCAGGAGTGAATATATCGGGGGTGTCTCGGTTGGCGGGAAAAAGACAATATCGTCAGAGGCCACAGCAGATAACAGAGAAAGGAGCGTGTGGGTAGCTGGAAAAGAAAGGCAGTGCACAGTAGGGAGGGACAACGACGCCTGCGCTCGCAGAGATGGGCGTGGTGAAGCAAAGGAATGGGATGTGAATCTCCCGCAACCGAAAGAGAGTACAGTGAACGACCGGGCTTGAGGGAGTGGAGACTCAAGCACACGCTGGGGTTTCAAGGTTTGCACGCTTGTGGGAGAGACCAACGTGACCGTGAGGAGCCAGCGGAGCGCACCAGCCCTTGAGCGCCGGCCAGGAACGACCAGGCTTTGGGCCTCCGCCAGGGATTCATTTCCACTAAGCTAATCTCCGCATTATTAGCGCCTCACCCTCGCCCTCACCCTTCAGCGAGTGTCACCACGAGCACGCTGCAAGCAGGGACTGCGTTCGCGCTGCTGCGAGCCGCAGCCAGTCACCAAGCTCTGACAGCTCTTCTGGGCGTCTCTGGCTCTGATTCCTCGAGATACTCGCTGTCCCTCTGCGACTGGACGATTGCGAGCAGGAGACACGAAAAGAAAAGAAAAGAAAGAAGCACGACAGAACGTGCACTAGCGACGTCGAACGGAGCAGGGCCTGCAGAAGTACAGGCGACAATTTGCTTGCTCTTTTGGGCTCTTCCGCGTCAAGTGGCCTGCCTCCTGGCCCTCTTGAGTCGACGATTCACGATGCCAGGAGCGGGCGACGTGTGTCTCGGGCGCTGTCCGCATGTTGTCGTCGTTGTTGATTGACCACAGCGCAGGCGGGCCTGCAGCTGCTGCAGCTGCACAATCTTGTTCCGCCCGGGAGCGCCTCTGCCGAACGAAGCCTTCCAGACGATCTGAAGCTTATGCCGCGCCAGCACAACGACCACGATGCTCTGTTGTATCACCATCAGCAGCCTGCATGGCCGATTGCTGGCCGCAGGCAGGACAAGACATCTGATACTGTGTTAGACATCGTCGCTGCCCAGCAGTGCTGGCAGCCATCGCGGCCGAATAGGGGGTGCGGAAGTGCGGGGAGATACTGGCCGTGGCCCAGGACTCAGCGAAGCGAACGAATCATCGTCGTGCCATTGCCATGGGATCAAGGGCGGCGTTAACGTGCCCGCCTTCCCGGCTCCTTTCCCCTTGGGCTAACCGTCTCCTGTCTCGCAAGGCTCTCGCTGTGCCACTGTTCTGCCATCAGCGCCATCAGTGCCATGGTTATCGTGCGTCTGGCGTCTGAGCGGCAGGACTGATTCTGCGTTTGCTCAGCTTGAGAGGCTCGCGGATCTCTATTCTGGTGCATCGCCCCAAGCCATGCTCAGACGAATCTCATTTGGGCCTCTCTCCAACGATCATGGCCAGGAGCCGCCATCAGGTGCTTCGTATCATCAAACTCCCATGGCTGTGGCTTATTCGTGCAAGCCGGTTCCTGGCTGCAGCTGCACGCAGCACGCGGCATCTCGAATCACCATGCAATCCGTTCAGCCCACTGCCCGCGAGTGAGGGGTTGTGTTGCTTTACCCTTTCCAGCCCGGATCTCCCTTGAAAAGAAACATTCTGTCTCTCACCTGCCGAGCTGCAGCATGAATGTTGCAGCAAACATCTTTCTCAAAAGCTGAAGCTGCATACATTGTTTTTTTACGGCCTTTGCTAAGACTTTCCACGGTTGACTCCAGAGCTTGCACGGAGTGGATTCATCAAATTCATCCACCCCGTGCGCCAGGCTCAGCAAATCACCACAAGACGCCTCGGCCCTGTGAATCCATCTCACCCGCCCAAATTTGAACTTACCGATATGTTGCTGCTTACGAATTTCAGAAAATAGGTGCGCTTGCGATCCCGCTACCGCCAAAGAGTCTTCGATGACGATCCGCTTCAGCCTTTTTGCAAGGTAGCTGTGCCTCGGACGGGCGCAAGTAAAATTACTTCAGGATCTGCAGCCTTGCGCCATGGCGGGCGCGGGCGACCTCCCGCTGGCTCGTCCACGCTCCCAAATCCGCGGTGGGTTCGTGAAAGGTTCGCGTGTCGACCTGTGGAATCGCAATACCACGCGATTTTCACCGACAATGGATCGCTCGCTGCACCGTCGCTTAGCTATTCGGAATTCGGATAAGCGCGGAGACACACGATATTTTGAGACCTAAGATCTTGTCAAGATGGAACCACTGCGTGGCTCAAAGGCGCAAATGTGTCTAGCCTGATACCCCCAAACGATAAACTGATTCTCAAGGCATCATCGTTGTAGGCCTATAGGTCTGTAATAAGACAACAGCAGCAGCACCTCAAGCTACATGGAGAAGACAACGTCTTCGACAACGGACAAGCATTTCAGACGTTTGTTTCATGTAGAAAGATGCTGAGTGGCGTATCCAACACGATTTCAGTCGGAATGTTCAGTAAGCATGACACCATGAGGACTCCGGCTGAGGGAACTGCATGCACATGTACGAACCATTGCGCCCGAACTCACGAACACTTTCTCCGGTGCCACTTCCGACCCATCTCACCTCACCCGATGAAATCCTCAGTTTACGAGTTCGCTCTCCGCACCATTCCCGAATTGCGAAGCGGACTTGGCGGACATGTCGTGTTGGTCCTGGTCCGGTTGAATTTAGCAACGGCCAACTGTCATCCGCCAATCCAGGGTGTATTATGAAAATTAGGATGTCAGTTAGGAATCTAGCTGATTCGACAATTGGACGCGATTATTACGGACTACCAGATTTGCTATTAGTTAGATCTTGTAGCTCTTGCAATCGGCGACATGTGCTGGTGGATCGTCAAATAGCTAGGAGCAACGAATCTCAACTCTTCATTTGCAGAGCGGCAAACCCGCTGCCACTAAAGTTTTTTTTGGGATTCTATTTTCCACAATGTGTGGTACGCCTTACTCCTGCATTTAGACTAACCCTATATCCAAAAAAAAAAAAAAAAAAAACCGCTTGTTACAACTCGTTGTGAGCAGGAGAAACTTGCTTGACGCCATTCATCTTACCCTCACAAACCGCCGGAGACCCAACCTCCATCCTATACACGCATTTCTCTTCTTCTACAATCTTCCAAATCTCATCCTTCTCGGCACACGCCAAGATGACCTGTGTGCTCCTGTTCGGGCCGTTCCAGCAATGCTGACCGTTCTCAAACTGCAAAACATAACGCTCCCCAGATCCCAATCCTTTACCGTCAGGCGGGAGATCTTCATCCACCACGATCTTCTCAATGCGTGCGAAGTTTCCCATGCCCGTGTGCCCACCGCCCTTTTTGGACTTCTGCGTCGTTTTATCCATCCAGCAGAATTCGTAAGTGTACTCGCCGGAATCTTGTTCTACGCACTGACCCTTAAGCGCTCGGAATACGCCTTCAGGACCGTAGTCTTTATCCAGGTCTTCTTGGTGCCGTTGGAGTTCGTTTCTGTCAGTATCCAGCTCACTGCGGGCCGTGTTAAGTTGTTGGCGGGCATCGGCGACAGCTTTAGATTCAGGGGAATTGGTGTCATGTGGGTCCGCAAGGATACCATTTTCGATCAACATGATACGCAGATCACGCAGTTTCTGATCAACCCAGTTCCGCAAGGGCTCTGGGAGATATTCTTCAAACTTGTACACTGTGAATGCGATATTAGTATTGGCATAATGCGTACGACTGAGTGAAACAGGAAATTGAGGCCATGGAACTTTGAAGAATCTGTTTCGGAGGTCGAAGCACACTTACACACGTCGACGTCACTTTGTTCGCCCTCTTCATATTCCTCCCAATTAATGCCGTTCTCGGAGTCGGGCTTCAAGATCTCTTCAAGATCTCGATCGTGCGCCCCATCTGGGCCAGGTCTCTCTTGCGCAGCATAGTCTTCCCAAGCTTTGACAGCCCTCTTGACACCCTCGTCGTTGAAGTTGGGATTGTATTCCTCCTTAAACTTCTTCAGGATTTCTTCAAGCTCCTTAACCCTATTCCTCGCCTCATCCCTCTCGCCTCTCACTCTTGTAAGACTCTCTACCAGCTCCGCAATCCTCTCCTTCGCCAGGGTCATCAACACCGTCAACTTCCCTCCTTTGCCTGCGCCCTTGATGACTCTCCCCTTCTCCTGCCTCTCAATATCCTCAAGATTCTTTTCCAATGCTTGAACCTTTATGTCTGCGCCCTGGATCTGCGTGTGCAAGGTCTGAATCCTATCTTCGACTTCCTTTTTCAGCCTAGCCGCTTCAGTGACCAGCTCTCTTCGGCGCTTGTTCGCAGCCCCAAGGCTCTTCAGTCTCGCTTCATCCTGTTTCCGCCATTCCTTGCCAATCTTTGCGCACCGATCTTCGCATTTAATACCACCAACTCCATCATATTCATCAGAACCATCACAGCACAGCTCGTAGTCGCAGATGCCGTCATTGACAGCCGTGAAAGGCACATAGCTGGGCAGGTGCCCTTTATTCTTGCAATAATACCCGGGTAATGCTGGCGTCTCATTGAATTGACCCTTGCCTAGCTCCGAGGGTTGGGGAGGCGAGAGTGGGGAGAGGTATGAACATGCAGAAGTGCCGGGTTCATCGCTGCCATCGGGGCAATCGCAGTAGTCGTCGTTGAGGCGGGATATGTCAAGTTTAACAGTAGGGTTAGAGATACACGTAAAACTGTCCCCATCTTTGTAGAACTTTGCAACTATTAATTCAGTCAAGATCAGCATTCATTCGTTTTCATCCATTCTCCAGTTAGAGTGCTTAGGACGGGAGCTTCGAGAAGAGGATCAGGTTCCACAATACATACACTCTGGACCTACGCCACGCGGCCGCGGCGCCTCTGATGCCGCATTCGCAGCAGCAGATAGGCAATACAGAAGAAAGGCAATGGTCGAGAGTCGCGGTTTCCCCATCTTTCAATGGCGGGATGAGAGTTTGGAGCTCGAACTTTTGGCGGAGCTGATATGCCACATTTCGCTAATGCATGACAGAGGGCTTAGTCATCGTCTAAGCCAATTCCGACCAAGCTTTACTCTCACTTTCTCCTTGACTAGTGAACAGATGTTCTACAGTCTTTTCATTGTTACTCGCTATCCACTATCTAATTTATTGCCCTCCGTTGTAGTGAATATGCTACCACAAAGCAGAAGGACTTCCCCAATCGCGATATAACGGCCAGATCTCGCCGCCGCCCTCACTAGATCATGGGTCTTCCTTTCACTCATAAGCCGCTCTAGGATTCGGGGCCGTGTGGAATCTCTACCTTCAATCAAACTTCGGCCCTTCTCGTACCATGAAGCACTTCCGTCTTGTACAATTTCCTCCTATATCTTACGGATCCATGCCCTCTATTCCTTGCTGTCAATATTTCAAATGCGAATGCCGCACTCATGCGGAAGGTGCAAAGGGAGCCCCGATCCAGCGCAGGTAGATCTTAGCCGAACACTTAGAATATTGGTCTTTCCCCAGACTCCTCAATCTCCTACATATGCCGTTATAAAAAACCAAGTCTGAAAACTCCTCAAGGTTTGGTTTCAAACTTTTTCTAATTTCCCTTTTTCAAGAACCTTACCCTCCCTATCAACAGGAACATGCAATCCATTGTTCAGAATTGCCACCCTTATAGCAACCTTCCTAGCTCTAACAAGCGGGTGGAAGGTTAACGTTTCTCTAGCTATGTTCAGTGCTCAGTGATACATACTGTGGAAACATCCACTAAGGACTTCGAAACCATGGTTGGATATGGTACATTCATTTCTCGACGACCGGATTATCCTGGCAGTGGTACTTTCCAGTTCACCTCAAGAAGCTCATCAAACACTACCAGAACTACAGTGCACTCTTTGTTGAAAATAAAAACCGAAGAGACGGAAGATATGCTAATTTAGATTCTTGAAGAGCAGACGGCATGCGACAGCCAGAACGTCCATGTTACGAATATCGTGCGGCTTCGTATACTCTCCTCACTGTAGCTTCCGATCACGCACCTCTTGCGATCGCAACTCTTGCGTTCTTCTGTCATTTCACCTGTTTTTCTTAGTCATGTCAAGGCGCCAGAACAAGCTCTGTTCTTTTCAAACTTCCCCCCTCGCCCCTCACCGGATCACGTTCCGAGTGGCTAGCACTAAAGATTCAGGCCACTGAGGTGGTCGATATCTTGGTGTGGGTGGGTATCAGAGAACAAGTTTTTTGGAGCCCGTTTGCCATAGCTACGGCGGTGAGGGGACGTCTCGGGTGCCTACATACATCCATAAGCTTACCCGGTGATACGTTGATGTCACTCACCGACCATTCACAGGATTTGAATGACTTTGCCCGATCGGGCTCGCTCGTGGAGGGAAAGTTTAGAGACATAAGAAGCATCGCCTGGGTCACGATAGCTTTTAGCTCGCCCAGCTCAACATACACTCGTGTTTCGGAATACCGCCGCTGCCGCCATGGACTCAATGATTGAGATTGACGATGTGATTTTCGAACCATATAATTCTGACGACAATATGAGCGATTGGCAGGACGAAATAGGGCTGCCAGTCACCCCCCAGAGGGAGGCGATGGGCGTCAGCATGCAGGTGGAGAGATTGGTGGATTCTGCTCGTAAGGTCCTCGTGTGTCAACAAAGTCTCCAATACTCACCAAGAGCAGAGAGTGTCAAGCCAACTCCCCCAGGCCAGTCAGATGCCGTAACAATGATTCCCGGAGGGGAAAGCGATTGGCAAGTATCAGAGCTACCAATCCCCCAGGAGACAGAGGCGATGGCCACCAGGGCGCAGCTTGAGAGTTTCTTGGACACCTCTCGTAAGTTCCCAGCCCGCCATCAGTCTCCAATACTCACAACCAGCAGAGAACGTCAAGCCAACTCGGTCAGAACTGCCAGATACCCCAGTGGTAATGCCACAGGAAGACAGCGGTTTCCCGTGTCGTAATGATCTCAAGAAGGACGATCTCACCACATTCATACAATATCAGGCAAATCAGAAAACATACGAGGCAGCGTTCTTGAAAACCTTCGTTACTCATGCACTGCACCCTAGCAGACTCAATCTGATGAGATGTCTCCCAGACAAGCCTGAGGCTCTTGAGAAGATTGAGGGGTATCTGCGTGCAGTCTCAGAAAGCGTGGACGAGATCACCACTAAAATCATCCAGAATGCACACCTGAAAAGTGTCAACTTCCTTGCTAAAGATGGAAGCAAAGGTCTCCCATTCATAAATATCCACCGCTCCAAGCAGGATACGTTCAAGGATTTCGGCCCAGATAATATCTTCCCGGTTGCGCAGAAGCTGAAGCACTCCTGGCACAAGGCGTGGCCGAATCGAAGCACGTATGTGCAATATACGGCTGCGGATTATCCGGTGTCAACACACTCCCCTTTTGCCGACATTGCCGCTGCACGAAAAAAATTCGATGGAGAGCCGGGATGTCCTGAGTTGCCTCACGGCCACCCGGTTGTGTGGCCTCCAAAGCCGGATCACTCTGCTCTATCGGGCATCGCTGGTGCCGCTTTTGGTGTGATCACCCAATACGATAAAGGACTAATTCAGTTTGCTGACCTTGTTCGACAGATTCTCGAGCGACACTGTGTAAGGCTAGAGAAAGTGTTCCAACTCGTTTAAAGACTCCCCGAAAGACTAAAGCGAAACCTAGCGGTAGAGAGGTGGTATCCACTACCGCATCTACCTTTCTTGATGTGGATATGGTCGGTGTCAGCGCTGGATCTCAAGCGAGTGGTACATCAACTAACCTAGATCCCGATATCACGCTGCCAGATAGGGAGTCTAGACGCCTCAATTCTGCTGTACTTAATCTGAGCGCCCAAATCTCCAATGAGGCATTTGTCTCTGGAGATTCGGCCAGGGATGAAACCCAGAAGAAGGGGCGGAGCGAAGAGATCATGGAAGTACATTGGCAACGACTTGTCCAGTCGTCCTCCAATCAAGCTAGCTCTTCTTACCGCCCTTCTTACCACCCTTCACAGGACTTCAAGGGTGTCATATCTCACTCCGTAGAGAACCGTGTCCTCAAGGCACCCTCCCCTGAAACCCAGAAGCAAACCAATGCCTTTGCTTGTAAGAGTCCAGCGAAGACATTGATTCGATCCAGAAATGGTCTAAACTTGGAGACGATACGCGCTGTAACGCACGCTGTGGATAATGAGATTCTCAAACCTCCATCTAGTGCTGCACAAAAGGTGATCAAAGCTGTTGTTGCCAAGATTCCGAAGGTGAAGCCTGCTCAACCTGTCAGCACACCGGGCATAGGGATGACGACTATGGGAACATGTGCCCTTGAACCTCCGTCCTCTAGGCCACAGAAAGAAATCAACAATGCTTGGAGTAGGATTCAGTCGAAGACACTCGCAGAATCTACAAACTCGCAAGGCGGGGGGATGAGGTTCGCGCCGACTGTTGAGGAGATAGGCACGCTTGATCGGCAGTCTGGAGCTGAGGGTCTGAAACGGAAAGCATCGTCCTTAGCTTCTACGACACCACAAGCAGCTCCGAAGAAGCCGCAGGAGCCTCTGTTGAAAGATCCCTTGGGAAAGCATAAAGCGTCTAGAGCTAGTCAAGCCGAGAATACCCCCAGCCGAAGTAAAAGGAAGGACCCGAGCAAGCCGGAGAAGCCAAGCAAAACGACACCATCCAGTGGCCCAAAGCTGAAAGTGCGCAGGCCAAAGCTGACTCTGGTCAAGCCCCAACCTACAGGACCATTTCCACCTCATCCAAGCGGCTCACAGACCCTCGAACCCCACCAAGTCCTTCCACAGGGTGCATACTTCGAGGCAAAAGGCCCAGAGGACAAGTTTGTCTGGCGTTGCGGCATTAACCACGCGTTGGGATACTACTACAACTCTGGAGATAGAAAAGTCTGCCCAGGCTGCTTCACGCACATAGAGTACCAGCGAAAGCATATCACCATGGACTTCTACATGCCGATTAAGACTTTCTCCCGCCAGCCAGCTCCGGATGGAGTAATCTGGAAGCCGACGCCAATCTACGCAACCCAGAGAGTAAGGACGACCTCAGAGAATGTGTCACACAAAGGCCACGTTTCGCACAATGGCGTGGCCAAACTAGTGTATTGGGAGTATATCCAGGCTGGTTCCACTGAAGCAGGAGCTAGGCAGAAGGCGATCGAGTACATGGAAGAGTATCTCGCCGCTAAGGTAAAGCCGGAGTCGGAGCCTACACCTGAACCTGAGTCTGAGAGCGAGGACGAACAAGTAGAGCCTGAACCCCATCCCAGCGGATCGAAAACCATGGAGCATGGCCAGGAACTTCCACTGGGCAGTTATTGGCAGAAGCAAGAGCGCCACGAAGAGTTTGCTTGGCGTTGTGATAGCAACCACGCACTTGGTCGGTACTACCTTGCAGGAGACAAGAGGACCTGTCCTGGTTGTGGATCGAACAAGAGCGGCAAAGCTAAGCATGCGACCATGGATTTCTACATGGAAGAAGGCACTACAGTTCGCCAGACTGCGGAGAACCTAGTTGATTGGCAACCGAGGCGGCCTTACAAGACCAAGAGCAGTGGGAAAGAGAAGAAGGTTACTGCTAGCACCCATAATCAATACGCTGCAAAAGTTTACTGGGAAGCTGTTGATAATGGTCGCACAGCAGCGGAGGCTATGAAGCTCGCGCTCGATAAAACGGACGCTTGGGTCGACGCCAAGGACGCCGAAGTTGAGGCGGCGGCAGTGGCAGTGGTAGAGGACGACAATGGGAGTCGGGAAGCCACTATTGAGGAGTGCCCCGACTCCGACTCGGATTCTGACTCCGCTGTAGCCCCCATTCAGCTTGGAGGACCGGATAATACTAAGCACAAGCGACTGAGGATCGTCCCGAAGAAGAGGGCGATTGATGAGGTGAGTATAGGCAGCCAATATGAAGAAGGGCCATCGCAGAACCGTGTAGCCCCTAATCAGGTTGTGGAATCCAGTGATGACGACATCTCTTCCTCGGGTTCAGACAGTGAATAAGGACTTGGATAGGTACTATATATACTGACTAGGCTAACTATGATAACTAGAATCTATGGCGATTATTAAGCAGGGGCCTGTGCTGAGAACCGGCAACTTGCTGTGAACATGCATGTTTCTAGAGGTTGTCTTCTTTTCACTCATTCCATACCTGGGTTTCATATGCCTTTGTGAAGGACATCGGTAATAAAGAAGGGTAAATGAGGCCTCCAGTCCTCAAGCGTGCCTTTGGCTGTTTCGTCCAATCCACCCTTCCGTGTTCCGCAAAGTCGTGATGAGGGCCGCGCGGTGTGGCTATGCAACCCGAAGGATCGCAAACCTACCCTGTTGAGGGAGCAAAAAGACCGAGCTAAAGGCCGGTGTCGTGCTCCCGCCCTCACTTTTGCTAATGATTGGATCATCAAACGCGTTCTAACCTAAACAACGCAAGATCAATATTTTAAAAACGCGGTACCTTTGTCGAAAGACGTTCGACAAGACATCTTGACCCTGCAAATTTATGTAGCACTAGGGCGGTTTCTTGTTAGCGGGCCATGTAAATTTATGTTGAATACCGCGACGCGTGTGCGATCGTCTGTTCCCCATGAAACCCCTCTTTTGTTTCTTTTGACTGTTCTTTGTCCATCTTTTGTGATGTTCATGGCATGACCGACTCAGCCTTTCGTTTCTTTAGAGGAGCCAAAGCATGAAGCTTTGCATCGCGTCTTTCGGTCTTTTTCTCGTACAATGTTTAATTGGGGCTGCTAATGCTGGTATGTCGAGTGTCCAAGTTTCGGGAATATTGGGGATGGACGATGCACCACAGCTTGGAAATAACATTAACATCTCTCGCAGACTGTGCGCCGGTGTCTGGGTCCCTTACTCTCAAGACTTCGCAAGATGTCACAACAGTTTCAAAGTGTACGGACTTCACTGGGAATATTGTCGTCGCGGCCGATGGACCTGAGGAGATTGCACTTGACGGGATCCACACGGTCACTGGAAATATTGATGTTGAGAATGTCGCACAGCTCCGCTCGCTCTCTTCTAACTCACTTGAGGTTGTTCAGAGCCTGACGTTGATGAATCTCCCCAAGCTCTCGAATCTTAGCTTTCCAGCGTTATCGAATTTCTCCTCACTGCAATGGAAGAATCTGCCATCTTTCGAGCACTGTGCTGTCGCCGGAACGCATAATGGCGAAATCCAAGAAATCACGGTTACGAACACTTCGCTCAAGAGCATGGATTGGTTGGTCTGGCCGGTTCAATTGTTGAACATTACCGAGAACGCCAGCCTTGAGACTTTCAGCATCCCTTACAATTCTATTAATACGGGTAGCTCGCTTACCTTCTCTGACAATGCTGCTCTTGCAAACATCACCGTCTCGCAATTATCTGGAATCTACGGTGGTTTGCAAGTCTCGGGTAATAATGCCCTTTCCAAGCTCTCCTTCGAAGCGATGGAGACAATTGGGGGTTATGTCCAACTCAGCGGCGATTTCAAGAACGTCTCTATGCCTGCACTCAACTCAATCAATGGCGGACTGAACGTCCAGTCCACTGGCGACATTACAGCACTATGTATCAACTTGCAAGAAAAGGCGTCCTCCCATGTCCTCAAAGGACACTATGACTGCACACCAAACGTCCAGAAGAGTCCAGCGTCTCCAACCACCATGAGCAGTGCGTCCACCGCGAAACCAACGTCCCCAACAATAACTACAATACCAACCCCCTCTCCAAGCCCCCAAGGCAGCGGGCTCTCTATCTGGGGAAAAGTAGGCATATCCGTCACAGTTCTTGTCATTGCCTTCACCACTCTCGCCCTCACAATCTTTTACTTCCGCCGTCGTAACCATTCCAAAGTCCAAGAAATCCAGCAAAAGAAAATCGACTCCATCGAGCTGGCTGATTCGGACGCTGGAGCTGGAGCTTCGATACCTAAGGAACTAGAATCTCCGCATATCCGATTAGAACTGGCGGCAGGGAAGATTGCCCAGGAGCTACCAGCATATGTTCCGCATGAATTACTGGCCAAGCATGGGAGCAGCGAGTTGCATAGCCCTACGGCGAGCTTTACGAGTGTGAGGAGTGATGTGCCATTGATTCGACATGAGTTACCTGGTTGAGAAATTTCAGATGGGCGGTTTTTGGCAGATGGATCCAGGATGTAACTAGGTGGGTAACTAAAGATAAATTACCTAGAGAAGAGGAGGAAGGGCACAAATTCGCCTATATAGCAAAAGAAGGACCCAGATGCGAAACACGCGGGGAAAAGATGGTATCCAGCCTGGTGGCATACCTGTCCCACCTATGGATATGATTTTCACGCCTTGACGGAGTTTTCCAGCCCCGTCTCCATTGTAGGAGGATGCATACTCCCGAGTAGCGGAGTTGTAGGCTACCGCTATTCGACTCTCTATGTTGTTAAAATACTTAAGAAGAGATGGAGGACATCTGCCTGCCCAGGCGCTCTGTCTATGCACGTCCCACGACGGCGCTGTGGCGGAGATCAAGTCCACGCGAGGCCTCTAACAAGCGTGGAGAGAAAGGCAAAATATTGCTCCTATGAGGGTTGGAAAGACCCTAGATCATACATGACCCATTTTTTCAAATAATTAATGTAATAAGAGTAAGCAGGTGATACTTTACCAGCACATTACTTTCGCTCAATCTCCCTACATTCACACAACTTAGGAACTTGTTTACATTACAGAATCAGGGTGCGGTGTACTAAATACAACATCTCGAGCAACATAAGAAAGATCCTGACCTTTTCAAGCCGTGATGAAACCCTCGAACCCATTGTTCAGCGCCTCCCGACACTCCTTCTCATACAGCGGAATGCCACCTGCGAAATTTAACTGCTCTCTCGGCTTTCCTGGGATATTTGCGCCCATATACCAGGACGAGGTGCCAGGGAATAATGTCTTGTCGGAGAGTTCAGTAACCTTTTGGCGCCAGCTCTCTTCCGCTTCTTTTGAGGGATCGATGTACTTGATATCTTCGTCCTTGAGCTTCTTCATCGCATCAACGATCCAGTCACCCTGGCACTCAACGCAGCTCGGTCCATTGCTGAAGGCAGTCGGGCCTTGAGCGCCGTAGAGGAAAAACATGTTACTGTTCACCATTAGCCTGCATGATTCTCGCGACTATATAAGAGCACTTACGGATATCCAGCACATGTCATACCCAAATACGACCAAGTCCCCATCTTCCATTTCTCATTCAACTCCACGCCATCAATATCCTTCAACCCCATATTCTTCATTCCTCCCGTCACAGAATCAAATCCAGTCGCCAACGCAATAACATCAAACTCCCTTAATTTCCCATCCTCGGTCTTAATTCCCGTCTCTGTAACCTCTACAATTGGCGTCTTTTTGATATCAACAACATCGTTTTGCGGCTTATCCAACATCTCGTAATAATTCTGCTCTAGGCTCGGTCGCTTCGTGCCAAACGCATGTGGAGGGTTCTCCGGCGCGAGAATATCCCGCTTCCGCGGATCTGATATTCGGGCTCGAGTCTTCTTCGCCCAGAATTTATACGCCTCGTTGTTGGCCTCTTTGTCGAATAGTAGGTCTTTATAGTTCGCAAGCCAGAATTCAAAGCCGCCGTTGGCGAAGAGTTTTTCATAGAAGGCTTCGCGCTGCGAGGGTGTGTCGTCGAGGGTGTTGCGGTCGACGAAGTCGTATTGAAAGCCAGCGAAAGTGGTCATGCGGTTCTTGTAGATTTCCGGATAGTCGGATTTGCGGTTTATTTGTTCGTCCCTTGTGAGCTTGGTCTGGCGCATTGGTAGGGCGAGATTGGGTGTTCGTTGGAAGACGGTCTGTTCCGATCATCAGGTTGAAAGTTCCCTCCTTGTATGCATGTGATGGTGAACTTACCACAGACCCTGCTTCCTTTGCCGTCTCCTGCGCAATCTGGACACCGGTCGAACCGGTTCCAATCACAGCAACACGCTTTCCCTTCACATCTACACCAGCATCTGGCCAGAAAGACGAGTGGTGAATCTCGCCTTTGAATTTATCCAATCCCATCCAATCTGGGAAGTATCGTTTGGCAGCAAAGCCAGTAGCCAGTAACAGATATCTCGCTCTCGCAGTTCGCCCATCCTCAGTCTTAACAACCCACTTTGATGAGGCTTTATCGAACTGAGCACCCACAACGCGGGTATCGAATGCCACGTCCTTCTTCACATTGAGAACCTTGTCGACGTGTTCGAAGTATTTGCGTAGTTCCGCAAAGCCTGGGTATTTTTCGGACCATGTCCAATCCTAGTAAGGACGTGTTAATTTACTTATTCCACCTCTCTGAATCAAGATCATCTTAACCGAGCTATGTGCTGTAACTTACTTTCCAGACTTCTGGAATGCTATACTCGTAGATGGGCACTTGCGTATCAACTCTCGCACCAGGGTAGCAGTTCCAGTGCCAGATGCCTCCTAGCTCTTTCCCAGCTTCATAAATCTTACACTTGAAGCCCAATTGTCGAAGCTTGTGCATTAAATAAATGCCGCCAAAGCCAGCGCCAACAATTAGGACATCAGTCTCCAAGTTGTCCACATAACTGTCGCTACTCCCCACCGCGTGCGGGTTCGTGGTACCGATATCAGTTCGGAAGGGAACCATCGTAGCTCGGCGTTTTAGGAGGCGAATCAATGGATAGATGTCAGGAAAAGGGTATGCGCGGGAAGCCGGTACACAAGAGAAAAGTGAGGCACCCTGGAAAGGAAGCCAATTGATCGAACAATGACTCCTGCCACAAGGCTCTCGACGATGTCTTATATATAGTCACCAAACAGCCCTTCGTCTTGGGGCTTTAGACTATTCCTCGACCATTCGCATTTATGCCTGATGATATCCTACCCGAGGACCAGACATTTGGCCCACTATCCAAGATAGTCGCCACATCGCTCCAACCCCTTCCAACCATTCCTCTAATCCCAGTAAAACCCTGACAATCACTCTCCGTTTGCCCTTTGGTCCGTCTGTCCGTGCAATTCCTTCGTGTTTAGCTTCCAATCTTCCAACAGAATCCACAGATGCGAGCGGAAATACTCCGGACATACCATCCACCACACCACACCACGCTCGCCTAGCAGGCATCCGACAAGTTTTATCATCATCGAACACCCGCGGTGCGGAAGCGGGTGACCCTGCGTGCGGGGTTGTGTTGCGAATTGCGGGGTGATGAGCACTTAGCAAGCTTAAGATTTCTCCAGATCATCATTGGGGACAAGGTTTTACCGCTTTGGGAAATCCCGGGAGGCGGAGCGATGAATGTCCGACGTCGTTTGGCGACGTGCTTACCTGTTGTCGAGAGATCTGGATCCAAACTTGGAAGTGGGTATTCAGTTGTCTTTGGGGGAAGGTGTGCCGATGGTATTGGTTGGGGACTGATTTTTATTATGCGACTCAGGGCTTGAATTGGTGAGGTTAAGTCTTGCTTAAGGGGAGGTATGGAGCTTCAAAAATCTAAAAGTGAACGGCTTTACGGATGCTAGAGGACCGGGACTTCCGGTTGAGGTGGCCATCGACCTAGTGCTTGAATTGTACGGATTGTAGTTGAAGTGAATCTGCGTGGAAGTAGAGATGCTAGTGGATTATTTTGTTGCGGCAGATGGGGAAGGACACCATATTGATCTCAGGCTTGTGGGGTTAGGATGGGTTAGAGCAGCAGAATTCCTTAAGCGGTTTAAAATTAGCCAAACCCACAATAGTTGGAAGGGTGGAATTATAAAAAGGGGGTTTTTGGAATGCTATCGATACACTAAACGAGGGCTCAGGAAAGGGGAACAGGGAATGGGATGGTCAATGAAGCCGTTTGCAAAAATTTCCAAACCGTAAACCACTTTGCACGGCCATTAAGCAAATATCCGTGTTATCCGCACCGATAGTCCTCACAGAAGCATGCCATGGAAATCCAGACTAGGGTGATCACTCACATATCCTGTGTTAAACACAATCCATCAAGTACCTCATCGCAATTCAGAATACTTCAGAGAAACACTGCAGCTCTCGATTGATTCTTCGTTATCCTCCTCGGTGTCGTCGGCACCGTCTTGAAAATCGATGGGCTCTTGACCAACCCTCTTGCTCTTGCCTTTTTCAAGAGCGTCTTTGTCAAAGGACGACATAGCACTTGCTTCAGCAAGAGCAAGCTGGTACTTCATCTGCGGCTTACTTCCAGCGGTATTGAGTCCTCTCGCACGAACAAGTTTCTTAAGCGCCACTAGGCTGTTCGCATTGTCGGCTTCATCCAATCGTTTGACGAAATCGTCTTTCTGCTCACCCTCCGTAGAGAGATTACGGTTAGCGCAGAGAGTTTTCAAGTCGGCAAGGGATAAGATGCTTCTCGGATCCGGATGGTCTTTCGTGATGGTTTTGAGAATGGCGACATTTGTAGCCTTGACCGGTGTGTGAGGGTTCAATTTCTCGCGGAGCTCCTTCGCAGCCGCCTCCTCTGCAGCTTTCCGCTCTTTGATTTGCTCCCTCTGTTTGACCTTTGCCTCCTTTTCATCTTGCATACGCTGGATCCTCGCTTGATTATCGGCTATTTTCTGTGCTGCACGCTCAGCTTTCTCTCTCGCCTTTTCCTCACGAGCTCTAACCACCTCCTGCTGCCTCTGGATGACGCGACTGCGCTCGGCATCCCTAGCCCTACGCTTCTCCTCAATCTTCCGCTCTTTAGCCTTGCAATCCTCTTCACGGATGCGCTCTCTAGACTCGCGGAACGCTTCCATTTCCATGCGGCGTACTATCTGATTGTCGGGCCCATCCTCGTCGATAGGAATTGTGGCAGTTCCCGCCATGAGGGCCTGGTAGCGGTCTTTACAAGCCTTTGAAGAGAAGATGGCGTCCTTGTTGAGTTTGCGCATGAAGGTAGAAACTTTGTGGAAACGACGGGATCGGACCTGTTCCATTTCGTTGTTGATATCGATGTCAGCCAGCTCAAATGCGGCTAGAAGAATTTTGTCCTGCCACTACATTAACTGGCTTTACTTAGGTACTGCAAGTGTAACGTACATCTTCCAATCCCCATTCCTTGTAGCCTTCCTTCAAGAGAAAGTCAACGTGCTCGGCTTGAGCGGACTTAATCCTGCAAATACGGCCGCCAATGGATTTCTTATCATAAAGGATGCGGCCTTCCTTTGCAAGCTTCTCAGCAATCTGGTGATCAGTATATCCCTTCTCCTTCATATTAATCATTAGCTCGTCATCGGAGTCCAGATTTACGGAAATCTTCTTTGCGTACGCTGGGAGGCAATCGCCGGGTTCACGCTTGTGCGGACGTCCGAAAGTGAGCGGTCCCTTAGTTGGGGCAAAATTAAGCTCCTCTGCGCCCTCGTCCAAGAGAAAAGCATTGTCCTCATTGAATCGAGCACGGAGCGCCGCCTTTTGAGCATAGTTGGTGGTTCGTTGATAAAGGATTTTGGGTTTCGGTGGTCCACACGGGCTACGAACTTCGCTGACAAAGCCGATGCAATCATCCCCCATTTCACTATCACCTCGACGCAGCTGTTCATACCCTTCAGGCTCAGGGAAGTCATCGTCATCCTGGACCGGATTAGAGAGATTTTAAGACACCAATGTTAAAGAAAGGACTGACCTCCATAATGTCACCGAATACACTCATTTCCTGGTTGTCGTCCAAGACCAAGTCTGAGGGTATCGCGGTCACATCTGCCATTTCATACTCAAAGAGTAGTCGATCGGCAGGATTACTGGCTTCATAGAATTAGAAGAATGCAAGAATGCAAGAAGGTGGATATCTGTTTGCTTACCAAGCTCGACGAACTCGTGACCGGCCATGTTATTCGTGTTGACGCTAACAAAGGAATAAAGGTGAGTTGATGTAATGGTTTTGGGGGTGCAGACTGTCCCGTAACCTGCCGCTAGAAATCAGGGAAATTCCCTGAGAGGGAGGATGGGCAAGGTTGCCGCCAGAAAGCTATGGATGCGATAATGTTGCTGCGATTTGGGTGGATATAGTAAAAATTCTGGCAATAAATCCGCTCAAAGCTGGAGAGAGTTGACGCCCTGGAGGCTGCTGGCTCTGTACCACCTAAGAAGTGTTTGCAGCAGGTGGAAGAATTAGGCAAAGTCGATCAATAGAGGGGACGAAGAAAAGCCGGAGCTGAGGAAATAGGTATGTAGGTTTCTGCGGCGACAGTAGGGTGGACGAATGTGCATGCACCACAGATGAAAGAGGGCTCATGGTTGGGTGAAGGCGGAAAAGAGTTTTGCTTTCCACCAACAGTAGGGAGAGTCAGAGTCAACTGGCGAATATCTAAAAGTGTCATGACGCAAGCCAACTGACCGAAGTATCGTCAAAGAAGGGCATCTTTCATGGTGCCACGCTTCTAATGATATCTGTTGTGATGTTGATGGTCGTGATACAGATTATGTTCGCAATTGAGGGTGATAGTGGTGGTAGTTCTGTGGCGCAACGTGTGGCGCATCAAGCCCCTGTCATATGACGCAACCGCCCCATGGCGAAGATCACCTCCAAAAACACGATTCTACACCAGCAATCCCACAACATTTACTTTCGAATAATTTTATCCTCTCGCCCGCTCTTTTGCATCCATCGAACCTGAAACTTGATACAAGCTATGTCACTCTCTTATTTCAATGTTAAAAGACTTCGCCGCCAATCCAAACAAGGCGATGCACCATCGTCTCCCATCGAAGAGGCCGCCACTTCGCCTGTCCTTGACGAAGCGGATGAAAAGTTCCTCGAGCGCCTCGCTGCACTCGCTGTAGAGCCTGAAGGCACTCCGCCGCCACTTCCAGATCGCCCTGTAACACTGACCAGCGGGGAGAAAAGCAAAGAAACTGAGACTACCTCCGATGTTGACGCCGATGCCGACGTGAAACAGAAGAAGAGTATTATGTCTTATTTTGCACTTGCGCAAGCCAAGTTCAAACACTCTGGGGAGAAAGAACATAAGGATAAAGTTCGATCAGACAAAGGGAAACACAAGGTGACAGACAAGGACAGGCAAAAGGTTGCGGATGACCTTCATTCTGCGGCTGAGGCAACTAAATCTTTCGAGGAGAAAGAAACAGAGAAGGAGAAAGAGGACATTACGGTCATCTTGGATCAACTCAATCTTGCCGCTGTGAACAACCGCGTTTTCAGCTTCTCAAAGGAATCCCAGGAGCTCCTCGACAAGTTTAAGTTAGTCCTGAAAGATATCGTCAATGGCGCCCCAACAGCCTATAATGACCTCGAGAAACTTCTCACTGATTCCGAAAATCAACTCAAGAATATGTACGGAGGTCTCCCCCCATTTCTGCAGAATCTGGTCAAGAGCCTTCCGGCGAAGATAACGGCAGCCCTCGGCCCAGAGATTCTTGCTGCCCAGGCAGAGAAACCGGGCTTTGACGCGAAGCAACATGCATCTGCAAGTGGCTTCGGAAAGAGATCCAGGTCAAAGAAGTTAAAAGTTCCCAGCCTTAAGTCACTCGTTTCCGCCGAGGGTGCTGTGGCAACAATGCTGAAAACCATTCTCAATTTCCTCAAGTTTCGCTTCCCTGCTCTTATGACTGGCACAAATGTGCTCATGAGCCTCGCCGTGTTCTGTAAGCCTTATAACCCTCGAGTCAGGAATCTAGACGAATATTAACATCCTTCAGTGCTCCTCTTTGTATTCTGGTATTGCCACAAACGCGGCCGCGAAACTCGGCTTGAGAGAGAGCGCCTCACTGCTGAAGGTGTGGATTCTGCACTTGCCAGCAGTGTATCCTCCTTCGATGACGACGGCGACTTATTTTTCGAAGACCAGCAAAAGGGAGAAAGTAGTAATGAGAGGCCTGCACCTCCACTCATCATCCACGACGATAGAGAAGCCCCTGACAAGCAGCACGCAAGCGTCGATGACATGCCATCAGTCTTACATCTCCCCGAGCCGCCATCTGGCGCAACTCCGTTGAAAGAGGAGCTGTTAAGAGAGGCGCCGCTAAAGTCATCGGGTGCTCTGTAGGAAATTAACAGTTATGATGAGGCTTCTGTAGCAGTGAAGTGTTGGCTATCCCTTTAGATTGATATCCCAGTATTTAAGTATTTCTTGTAATAGAGGCAGGTCTATGGATTTCGGATCTGCTTAGTATATGGCTAATGAATTGGATAATGACGGGACGAGATTAGATAAGATACTTGCAATGAGACACTCTGTGTTTGTTCGAATAGTTTTTCCAGCGTTAACGATTTTGAGCTAGCGGTAAGATTGAAATGGGCATATAAATATAGTATATCCAGACACAGAAGATACAAACAACTTTTAAGGAGCCCCAACGCGATCCATTCCTCAGGCTTGATTCCAAGGCGTTTAAAGAAAGACATGTCTGAAGTCTCGTTACGTGGCTTGCAAAAGGAGCTGATACTCGCGTTGAAAAGCACTAATAGGTGTCGGATATTACCCTACCTGTTGTGTCCTAATACAAGGGCTTACATGTGGTGCTAAGCAGCTAAATATACAGAGCGCCCTATATACCTGGCTCTCCAGCTTAGCGTTCTTCCTAGGTGTTTATATCGACTTGTCTCTATTATATAGTCTCGATTGGCTTCTCCACTTACCCGATCTGATAGACGACTTGTTTCAGCCACTAGGTGCGTTACTATGACGTTGCACAAGACTTTGAGGAGTAAGGGGATGCAGAAACTGAATAAGTGGGAGGGAGAGTAAGGCCGATGGACGAAAAATGGGTATTGAAGGAGAGGGTGCGTGTTAATTGTGACGAGGTCTATGTCATGTTCACTTCACCTAAGACTACTACTTGCTTGTCAGTAGCGCAAATAGTTGAATCGGATATATTTATTGCAATTTTCTCCCCCAGAATGGCAGAATCTCCCCCTTAGACATACCCTATAAATAGGAAAGAGCAAAGAACTTTTAGTATACCAAGAGATCTGGTAGATCTCACTGTGATGCCTGGCTAGTAGACTGGTGAGTGGCAGGTGATTTATTAGACATTCTTCGCTAAAGGCTTCCGACCATAAATCACAACACTGCTAAGTAATCAGAGACTTTACGTGGGGGGTGAGAGCATTGAGTGGGAAGTCGAAGTTTACGTACGCTTCGAAGTATGTGTGTACACTGCGGTCCCTCAACGCTTGTCGAAACTTGGCAATAAATACCTTAGCTTCGTCGGCCGTCCACTACGGTACTATTAGTGTGGAATTCAATACTGGAAAGGGATCAACTCGCCTTCATGACACGGGTCAGGAGGAATAATGCCCAGCCCTCAGCCCCTTGGTTACAATGCAGGAAATTCCATCTCCCGACCTCTTTCATTTTGGGATCGCTACTCCATGGGCCTACGGGTAACTTATACCATACCTCATGGACATCCTCAAACCCAGTCTCACCAATCCAGCGTTTTAGGTCATGGACGGCCTTGAACGACTTACCGAACTTTTCGCCAGCCTCATGAAAGATATCAGACCACTGAGAAAAAATGTGGTCCGGAGTCAGTGTCCCATCGTCCGATTTGAACTGAATAGTAAGTTCAAGCTGATTAATCCATCCGCCGGGTTCTAAGTGGCTTAGTGGGCGCGTTAGCACTAGCGACTTGAGTCTCAGTCTTGTACCTTATACATACTCATATATTTCGCTGTAAAGCTTTGGCCAATCGGCAATACTTCCATAAAGGGTGCGGATGTGAATGAAGTCGAAGCTTTCTGGTGAGTACGTCCACTCAGAAGTAACGTCGTCAATTTCGAACTTGCAATTTGGTGGAGCAAATTGAGGCTGGATTGGAGAGAGGTCGACTCCAATGACCTCCGCCTCGGGATGCTCGTCGGCAAAATCACTTGGAACGCGTGAGCTTAGGGCACCTAGGAGAGATTCAATGGACGGCTAGGAAATTGTTCGGCTCACATTGCCCATATACCAGTGCCACAGCCAAGATCTAGAACTTTCTATTGGCCGATGAGTAGCTCCTAAGTGAAAGGTGAGCGCTGAAACTGCTCACCTTGGGATTTTCTACTGGCGCAAGATACAGTCTGTTGTCCAGAAGAATCATGAACATGTGGTGGCTTCAAGTTTTCAGTACAGCACTCCACCCAGTGTATATTGTAGCATAGCTTAGACACTCACGCGATATCAAGTTGATCATTTTGTTGATCGTCGTTGGGTGCATAATACTCTCCCTCTGCTCACGTTAGTCTCTCCCACCAACTGTCAGCATGTCCACGCACCGCGAAACTTGTGGTATCTGCGGCCATTCTCATAGCGATGACGAAAGATGGTCGAAGGGATCGAGGTGGTGTCGCTTAGGACGTCGTCGTCGCCGTAGGCCGAATCATCGACGTCTGGATCGAAATCTGCCTATGCGGAGAAGTGTCAGGGGACTGACATGGCATGTCCGAAACGGTGCACGTGGGTTGCTCGCCACAAAACTTACCACGGGGATCGGGTTATTATACTGGGACGAATTCGTTCCAGAGCCTTCAGCCATTTTATGCTAAAGCTGCCGGCACTTCCAACCGCCACGGGGAGAGAATTTGATCCGACGTGACCAAGACGGCACGCGTGCAGATCTCGATGTCAATGCTCTGCCGTCGGCAGATCGGGGGGGATCGCTGCTTTGAGTGTTCTCAAGGCAAACGGTGGAGAGTCGCACACACAAGGAGAAGAGAGAAGGTTGCGCGGCACGGCAATTGGAGAAATACTGACACAGAACTTTGATAATCGCTCCCGCGCACACGGTTCACCAGATAACGGGTGCAAGCATGCTTGGTCACGGGTGGTGGTGCCTCTGTGACATTTCACTTCACAGGCGCCCTTCTGCAATGCGAGCCTGTTTGAGAAAGGCCGCGGCTGCCTGCCTCCTTTCACCGCCAGCTTCGGCTCCTGGCTGGCCACGAGGAGCTCAGGGCAGGGCTTGTCGTTGTTCCCCGCAGCCACCGCCAAGAATTAGACCCATCTCCGATCCTCTCTCCTTGTCTCATCTGCCACCTGTCTTTTCTCTGGAAGGGCCATTTTTCACCAACCAGCTCGCATCTGGCACTCGCTTCAAGTATTCGCGTCGGTGGTTTGATGGAAGTTGAAGATGTCTCAGGAGCAGGCACTTGTGCGCATTAGGACGAGGTTGGAAGGACTGGTATTGGTGTTGGTAAAGTGCTGGAGACCAAAGGAGTTAAACTTGGCACCCACATGGGCTGTGCTTCGTGGAACAGGAACGTCGCAAAAGCTTGCACCTCCATGGGCAAGGACTTTGTAGAAGCCCTCCGAGCTCACAAGAGCCTGCATCCCCCTGGATGAGGACTTGGTGAGCGATATTTCTGACTGGTAGGAGCTCTGTTGGTGCCATCTTCTCCTGTTACACCTTCCTCTCCCTACCTGGGCATCCTTTGATGGATTCTACATAAACTCCATAGCTCCCACGCTGAGCCTCCCTTCTGATCTTTAAGCTATGTACGTACTTGGGTACGCTGCGTATTAACATTTTCCCTCCTATTACTGCCGTTTCATGCAATTCCCTTTTTGCCACTTGACTGAAATGCTTCTCAGTATTCTGCAAAAGGGTGCAGTATTTTACTCTTTTCTACAAGTTTATATTATTATTAACTTTGTACATGTTTGCAGCCAGATTAAATGGTCCCAATGGTCCCACTACCCCGCTTAGCCTGCTTGTACAAGTGTATGGAACATATCCATCAACGGGCTGAGCAGCAAATATACTGTGGCACGGTTGAAGCGCTTCATGCGAGCTGCAAAGCCAAATTAGAACCTATCAATCGGAGTGAGCAACAGTTCACTGTTCCAGCAAGAAGATCTCCTAGTTGACGTTTCGATAATGACACGAAAGCGGAACCAGCTAAACAGATACACGGTTGCTCCCACGAATACTTCTGGTTCCCAGCCTAGTAGCCATCCGATTGCTAGGCCCCCAGAACTTTGTCCAACAAACATCATACTTGAGCACTCGAGGATAGTCCAGCAGTACTACGCGAACCTAGGCCAGGAAACCTTGAAGGCTGAGACCCCTACCACCTCCGCTCAAATAACTCGAATATGCTATTAAAAAGGAAATGAAGTGACACGAAGCCTGGTCGCAAGTGTGCCTAGTTCCGCAAAATGGAGTTCACGAAAGTATGAATTACTACGTGCTGGTCTGGCTGGTTGGCGGCCTTAGTATCCTCGTCAACACCTTGTTTCGTCATCTGGCCGGTTACGAGGACTAGATATTTGGGCGTGGTGAGTGAGACCATCCATTGATTCGGCTGGTTGAACTATGGGACTCTGACGGGACATCGATGAAGTATCACTTGAATCCAACCAGCTGGTAAAGGGGTTTTCGCCCTTCATCTTGAAGTTGGTCCTGGTGAGTCAGCGCCGTAGGTGAATCGGCGATTCTCGCCGTAGCAGTGGGCTGCATCTTTGTCTTTTGAGGCTAAAACTAGATGGCCTAGCTATCGTCTTCATTGCTTTGGGAGGTAGCCCCAGGAATGAAAGATTCCAGTGGCAACGCTTGCTCGTTAGCATAGGACTTGCTTAACAGTTTGGATGTATGGGCTACTAGTTGAAACATCGTCCGTGCCGGTATGCAGCGCTCCAAAATCAACAACGTCATCGGGGTGGTCATTCCCGGAGATATCAGTGCTAGGCATATTCGTATAGTGAAGCTCAAGGCCGGGGCATTGATACCCTAGCATTCGAGGGCGCGGCAATGGTGGAGGGAGAGACACTCTCGCCGTGATCCCCATTGTTCAAAGGAGGGACAATTACACTGGGTTGGCTGTTTGGTTGGAATGCCGCAGAAGCGATGGCATAGTCATCCGGGTGGCCTCACGGCTGTTTGGCCATCGTGATGGTGACCTGGGCGATCTTACCAGATTTTCGAACGACCTGGGTGGGTGGAATCCAATGGAGTTTCGAAGATCCAATGTACACACAATCAAAGTTAGAAATGATAGAAGTAATAAAGGCAGGGTTACCTCATCTTTGGGTTGGTTGATGGGTTACATTTTGGTGACGGAAGCTCGGGCGAAGGCTGCAACAACGATAGCCATAGCGATGGGAAGTATCCATTAAGAAACAGGGAAGGGATGGATGCCGGCGAGAAAACTCAGCATGTGAAGAAGATTTAAGTGTGCAATCCCAGGATGGGACCCTGGAGCCCTAGCGGTGAGAAGGAGACACGGCAGTAGCAGGAGGGAAGGCACCACGGAGCTCCCAGTCAAGTGTTAGCACAGCCTTGGAAACATATCTCCCTATACCAATTTACTAAGTCCTCACCCATGTAGGTTTCGAGTCCGTTAACGCCACTGATTTCCAGTGCTTCGCCAACGCAAGGACTGTCTTACGCAACTTCACCGGCCCAACTATCACGTACACGGGTACAAGTCCTTACAGCATCCACTTCCATCAATCCTATCAACTTCCGTTGCCTCGCTAACGTAAATAACACCTCCTCCAAATTCAAGACTCTACTATCATGCACACGGTTTCGAGTTTGATACTACGCGCTTCTGGCAAACCACTAACGTGAGGGTTAAACGTGAATTGGCTAACGTCTTGGACTAGAAAGAGGTAGTAGGTACAGTTACAACGATGATACTTCTGTATGTATCATAGAAGAAGATGAATTGAAAATGTAAGGCAGTCGACGCATGCGCGTTCTGGTAGCTGTCGCTTCCTTGGCACATTGTTGCGTGGATTCTTCCCACTACTCTAATGTCTCAGACCTTGCTTCTGAGCTAAGATCATTGCATATAGTGCTAATATGTGGAGACTCCTTTCTAATGGATAGTGAGGTGGTAGTACGCTGAATTTCGAAGGGTCGATCTGGAGTCTTTTCTCGATAGACTAAAATACTTTGAATTCGTAATGCACGCTATCACACCTTGTGGAACATGGCTAGGGTAGAATCTATATATTAAACCTCTTGCTAGAATTAAGGAGAAAGCTAACAGGACAACGATTTCTGTCTTAATATACCTCGATCGCCTTCCATAGTACACGCTGGGACCCCTCTTCGTACTGCGGACGCCACCAAATACGAGGCTTCCAGCCACGCTAACAGGATAACAACAAAGTGAGTACATGTTACTACTAACATGTTACTTGTTCAAGATCTCAAGAACCCTTGAGGTTGTCTCTTTTAACGTCACATTCTAGCACATATTTGTCTAAAAGAGATGCAAGAAGAATGGCTGGACCTGGAGAGCAGAAAGCACCATGTTAATTGGTGTACACATCTGCATATTTTTTCTCAGAAACTTTGGGAAATGCAAGGAGAGTCCCAAGCGAAACATGTTTCCATGTGAGATGGCAAGACACAAGCCAATGAGCTGGAGCCCTTGTGCCACCGATAAGCTCGTGCTAGGAGCCGAAACGGGTGGTCGAAAGGAAGGTGAGACTGCTCGCTTGCCCCCGCTATTCCCCGCCAGTCACGCTCGTCCACCTGCAACCGGACCTAGGCATGCACTTGCAATATGCCAACTAACGCACGCTCTGAGACCAAGCCGGCTTGCTGTAGCGCAAGTTATAATCCTCTCATGGGAACCGGTAGCGGGTCCTTGTCTTAAACTTATGCCGAAACACCCTTTCAGAAGTTTTCCCACGCCATGGATTCGGATGCTGTCGTTCCAATGTTGAGGTACCTGTCGCAGCAGCCCTTGTATCTACTCATTATCCTCGCCTTTGGCTCCTACCTCGTCGCAAACAGGCTTCGCCAGTACTGGCGCCTGAGGCAGTTCAAAGGACCCTTCAGCACCGGCGTCTCCTGGGTGTGGCATTCACGTGCTGTCATCAGCGGCAGTGCGCACAAGTGGTACGGAGATGTCACTGAGAAATATGGTGAGACAAAGCATGCCAGGTGGCTCTGCTCCACGACCGACTTCGGGTTGCTAACGAGGGGAAGGTTCTATCGCTCGGGTAGCGCCAAACCACCTCATCACGTCGTCGCCAGAGCTATGGGCGCATATTAATGCTGTGAGGTCGCCATACAAGCGAGCCGAATGGTACTATCACTGCGCACGCTTTGAGCCCGGAAAAGACAATGTCTTCACTGAGTGCGACAACGAGAAGCACGAAGCTCGCAGGAAAAAGATGGTCGCTGGAGTAAGTCCTAATTGCCCCAACCTATATTTATACGTAACCCAACACCAACAGTATTCCGGCAAAGAAAATCCATCCCTGGAGTCGTCCATTGATACCCATGTTGAGGAGTTGGTGCACCTTATTCGATCTAAGTATGCCGCTCCGACTGCCTCAACTAGCGCAACCACACCAATGGACTTGGCCACGAAGATGCAGTACTTCACTCTCGACGTGATTAGTCATGTTGGGCTGGGAAACGCTTTTGGTGACCTTAAAGCGGATGAAGACATCAACGGCTACATTGCCTCGTCCGAAGAAGGACTTATGATCGGAAACACGTCATGGGGCCTAGGCATTTCTTGGATTCGGGATGTCCCAATTCTCGGCAAGGCCATCAGCCCCTCTGAAAAGGATGCTAAGGGTTTTGGGAAGATGATGTCGTATGGCTCCCTCTTGAACCTCGTTTTGTCCAGTCCAGGGCTCAGCTAACGAAAGCAGAACAGCTCGCAAGTGCATATCAGAGCGAATGATGAAGTCAACTTCCGAACGCTCTGACATGTTGTCATCTTTTATCCGCCATGGCTTGACAGGTGATGACTTGTTCCAGGAAACCTTTGAACAAATCCTTGCTGGATCAGATACCACTGCCGCATCTCTCCGGATTATCATGCTCTACATCATGAGCCATCCGCGTGTCTACGCAAAGTTGCAGGCGGAGGTTGACGGAGCAGTCAAAGCCGGCATCGCACCAGCCACACCCAAGATCATCTCGGATGCGGAGGCTCAGCGTCTGCCTTATCTAGGTGCGGTTGTGCGCGAAGCCTTGCGCGTGCACCCACCTGTAGTCAATTTGTTTTCTCGCGTCGTTCCCAAGGGGGGAGATACAGTGACGGTGGATGGTGAAGAAGTCTTCCTACCTGGCGGCACTATGATTGGCTATTCTGCCTGGAGCATGCACCGAAACAACAAAGGCCTATATGGGGAAGATGCTCAAATCTTCCGTCCTGAAAGATGGTTGGTAGACCAGAACATCCCCTCCGAGAGAGATCGCCTAGCCCACATGTGTAAGACAAACGATATGATCTTTGGATACGGGAGGTGGGTCTGCTTGGGCAAGGTGGTCGCTATGATCGAGATCCACAAAGCTATCTTCGAGCTTTTCAGGAACTTCGATTTCGCCCTTGCGAATCCTCATGAGCCGTGGACTATTTTCAATACTCTGGGTCTATATGCTATTGGGAATATGTGGGTCGAGGTCACAGAACGAGCTTAGATATTGAACGGCAACGGCCATCCTCTTCACAGCTATGTAACGCTGGAGACGCGCGGCTGCAGGTAACGGCCGCGCTTGGGTAGTGATTACGATAGTATCCTGAAATTTGAAGGGTTGAGCTTTGTGAGAACAATTACAGATAACACGTGGTCGCCTAGACTTGCTTCGGCAAGTGCCATGAACGTGCAGGGTTGGCGCAAGTACAACACAACGTGGCATGCTCCAGATATCCGTACAGTACCGCTCCGAATAAAAGCGACTACCAGCATGAGACCTTCTCCCCATTCCCGCAACATCGACGAGCAGGTACCCATCTATGGCCCCTTACCAACAGAAAACGCGACCTCCGCTCCGTCATATCCTGCGTTCACAACATCTTCCAACCATGTGGACCCCGCAACCCACCTCTCAGCAGGCTTTAGCCATGATATACCCACCCTGAACCAGCATTCCTATACACACAGCGGCGGCTTGCACCTGGACCCAACCCTCTCTTCGGACCCTCTTCCCCACCAACATCAGGTTGCGCCACAAACAACAACATCCTCTATATCTCAAATGCAAGGCCCAGGCCACCTAGCCGCCCAGAGCCCTCCAACGCCTCTGCACATTCCCAATTCTGCGCCCTCAGGCCAGTTCGATATGCTGCCCCCTCCAAACAGCAGCCACCGCTCGTGGCAGGCCCTCCACGACTACGCCCAATCGCATGCCTCGGCTCACGGGTACGCTCTTAGCATTAACACTACAGCCAAGAACCGGTCCCGCATCAAGCTGGCATGCGTATGCTACGGAGCGCCGAAAAATACGCACAAGCTTACTCCCGAGACCAGAATTAGGAAGAACAGGATTAGTTACAAAACAGGCTGCAGAATGTGGGTCGAGGGTAAGAAGCAGGAAGATGGCTTCTGGGCACTAAGAGTTGGTGAACCAAGCCATAACCACCCCGGACGAGCTGTGGAGGGGTGGGCGGTGCAGAGGAAGAGGACATGGGGCGTTCAAGGTGGACGGATTGGCGTTGGAGGGGTTACTGCTAAGGAAGAGAAGGAGCAAATGGGCGGTGCTGATAATGGACATGGGCATTTACTAGAGAATGGCGCCGAGCCGCCTTCACAGAATCAGAGCCACAGCCTTGAGAGGGGTGGCATAGTCTGGCGCATAGTGGAGCAGGAAATGCTGCGAAAGGGTGGACCAGGGCAGGGACGCGATCGGGGCGTTGGCCGGACGGTAAAAGTCCTTGAAGAGCGCCTGCCCGGTATACACATATTTAAGCGCGATGTTTATAATATCCGAGCACAGATTAAGCGAGCTCGCAAAGCGGCAGGTCAGCAAATCGGCGAAGGATTGAACGACAGTGACGACGAGGATCTAGCAACGTTGGATCAAGTGGTACACTCCGGTGAGGGTCAGGCAGAACAGGGTGATGGTGAAAACGATATTCATGGGCTCAGCCGGTATCCTGAAATTGACCCTATGCTTGTCGCTCAGTGTAACGATGCGCTGAAGAATGTCAGCCAGCAGGAAGAGAGTGAAGTTGATGGACTGAGAAGGGAAGTAGAGGAGCTTCGGCTCGCTCTCGAGCAACGGGCGAAAGAATTAGAAGATAAGAACAGCGAGAATGAGAGACTTAGGATGGACCTAGAGGTCGCGAATATGGCGCTATATAATAGCAGGAGCGGACTCACTCAGTGAGGCCTTGAATACGCGGATCATTCTCCTGCAATGATTAGTTAAGCTTGAAGTGGCTCTGGTCAAGGCGAGATTTTGAATGCGATGTAAATCATATGCGAATGCTGGGGTGCATCAGGGGCAGCAAGAATGCTTTCTGCTGGCCAATAGCTCAGAAGGCGCAGGTCTTGAAAATTTGACCTGCACATGCACGCCAGAAAAAATCTATCGCCAACGCGCATACCCCAGGGGTGGAACTTGGAGAGCCGATTCTCACTAACATTGTTCCCATCTACTTCGCCTATTGTGGCTTGGGAATAGATGGATTGACAAGCATAAGTACGTGAGAGAATTGGATGAGCGGGAGGAGGAGCCATTTACTCGTGGTCTTGGAGATGAAAAAACCGCAGGGCTGCAGCATCCATGGATGGCAGATGACGAGACGTGGGGGAGTCCGACTGCTACAAGGAACACTCGAGAGGCTTCGAAACATGTCCGTGAGGTCAATTGGCACGGAGACATGTAGAGTTCAACGATACTGAAGCCGCGAGAGGGTAACAAGGGGATCAAGGGGGCGTTTTTAGCATTAATCACAGGGAAACAATGGTCAATGGTTCGAGATGCGCCCCACCAAAACAACCGGGGGAGCTTCGTTTCTTTTTCAGCGACCCCACGTCATTCTACTTCCAACCTTCTTTCACCTCGGAAGCGTTATCAACGAGCTGTCCTATATAGATCGCACCTCACCTGCATCCTCGTTGCCTCTCACCCCTCCCACCATCCTCTTACTTTTACTCCCCTCCCTTACACCGAGTTTCGGCCCGCCCCATTTCCGCCGGAGCTGCGCATCGGAGCTCTCATCATTCTTCGAGTAGCCTCATTAACGGTTTAACGTAAGTCATAACCCTCGACGGTGACCTCCCGATCATTGTATACTCACTTCCTCGCAGTCTTTTCAACCCATCCTCAGCTCCTGAATCCAACAGGAGACACCCACGCCACCAATCACCCCACCGAACCCGCCGCCCCGACCACACAATATGGCACCCAACGAGACCCCGGCGGCTCTTCCGGGCAAGAAGCGCCGAATTGGCGTCATGACTAGCGGCGGCGATGCCCCCGGAATGAACGGCTCTGTGCGAGCGGTTGTCCGGATGGCCCTACATTACGGCTGCGAGGCCTATGCCATATACGAGGGCTACGATGGCCTCGTCAAGGGCGGCAGCCTCATCAAGCAAGTCGGATGGGAAGACGTCCGTGGCTTTCTGTCCGAGGGCGGCACATTGATTGGCACGGCAAGATGTATGGAGTTCATGGAGCGAGCTGGACGGCTACTGGCCGCAAAGCACATGATCGAGACGGGAATGGATGCCTTGGTCATCTGTGGTGGTGATGGCAGTCTGACTGGAGCAGACAAGTTCCGAGCCGAATGGCCCGGCCTGCTGAAAGAGCTTGTGGAAAAGAGCGAGTTGACCCAAGAGCAGGTGGCGCCCTTCACCCACCTCAACATCGTGGGCCTTGTCGGCTCTATTGACAACGATCTCTCCATGACCGATGCTACCATTGGATGCTACTCCTCTCTTGCCCGAATCTGTGAGGCCGTGGACTCGGTAGACACCACAGCAACCTCGCATCAGCGTGCGTTCGTCATCGAAGTCATGGGCAGGCACTGTGGCTGGCTTGCTCTCATGGCTGGAGTGAGCACAGGAGCTGATTTTGTTTTCATCCCCGAAATACCCCCTCCTGAGAACTGGGAAGATCAAATGTGCAAGATCATCAAGAAACACCGCGATATGGGGAAGCGGAAGACAATCGTAATTGTTGCTGAGGGCGCCCACGACAGGAATCTCCACAAAATCACACCCCAACATGTCAAGGACCTCCTGTCGAACAAGGCCAAACTAGATACCAGGATCACAACCTTGGGGCATGTACAGCGAGGTGGGACACCATGTGCCTACGATCGCATGCTCGCGACCCTCCAAGGGGTCGAAGCCGTGAAGGCTGTCCTTGAGGCAACCCCAGAGACGCCCAGCCCGGTTATTTGTATGATTGAGAACAAAATTGTCCGGCGACCGCTTCTCGAAGCAGTTGCACAGACTAAGGAGGTCGCGACCGCCATCCACGCCAAAGACTTCGACCGCGCAATGGCCCTCCGCGATGCTGAGTTCGCCGAGTACTGGCAGGCCTACCAAATCACTACGGCCGCTGACCAGCCTAATCTCATGCTGCCCCAAGAGAAGCGTATGCGCATTGGTATCATCCATGTAGGTGCACCGGCCGGAGGTATGAACGCAGCAACACGTGCTGCCGTGGCATACTGCTTAGCCCGAGGTCACACTCCCATCGCTCTGCACAACGGGTTCCCGGGCCTGATTCGGCATCACAGCGACGAGCCCACGGGAGCTGTTCGGGAGATATCGTGGCTTGATGCTGAGGGTTGGGCTAGCAAAGGTGGCTCTGAGATTGGAACGAATCGCGGACTTCCCTCCGAGGATCTTGAAACAGTGTCCATGGTCTTTACCAAGTATAACATCCAAGCACTATTCGTTGTGGGTGGCTTCGAAGCCTTCACTGCCGTCAGCGAACTCAGAAAAGGACGCGAGCATTACAAGTCTTTCAAAATTCCCATGGTTATTCTGCCAGCCACCATCAGCAACAACGTTCCTGGTACGGAATACTCAATTGGCAGCGACACGTGCTTGAATGCCCTAATCCAGTACTGTGATGCCTGCCGACAGTCGGCGTCGGCGTCTCGAAGACGAGTCTTCGTCATCGAAACTCAAGGAGGAGAATCTGGCTATATTGCTACTGTCGCTGGTCTTTCGATCGGTGCTCTCGCAGTCTACACTCCGGAGGATGGTATCTCGCTTAAGATGCTTGACCGCGACATCGACCATCTCCGAGATGTGTTCCTGAAAGACAAGGGCCAAAATCGCGCTGGCAAGATTATCCTGGTCAATGAAAAGGCTTCAAAGACGTATTCTGTCCAGATCATTGCAGACATGATTGCAGAGGCCGGGAAGGGTAAATTCGAGTCCCGGCATGGTGTCCCAGGTCACTTCCAACAAGGCACTACACCATCTCCAATGGACCGCGTCCGAGCTGTTCGTTTCGGCGTCAAGAGTCTACAACACCTCGAATCGTACGCAGGCAAGAGCAGAGACGAGATTGATGATGACGCAATGAGCGCCGTCGTCATTGGCATCAAGGGCGCCAAGGTCCTCTTCTCCCCAATGGAAACAGTGGAGAAGAAGGAAACGGATTGGAAGCTTCGAAGGCCTAAGAACGAGTTCTGGATGGGTTTGAAGGACATTGTGGATACACTTTCTGGTCGCCCGAAGAGGCCCCTGAAAGAGTGAGCTATCCGGTGGTTTGATGGATTGGTACTGCTCTGCTTGTTTGTGATACCTGCTTGTAGATATTGAGTTGCCCCTACTCTCTTGAGTATTAGTTTATGAGGAAATGAGGCGCACGTTTGGTAGTCGGTTTGCATAGCTAGAAAAATACCGGGTTTTATTAGCCTTCTTATATCCTTGTTTATGATTGATAGTGTGAAACCTTGGATGCGAAGTATTATTATATTGTAAACATGTACGAGATCATGGCCTTTATAGAGAACCATCTCTTAATTCTCTCTTGGTGGTCTTCTAGCTTCTATCGCTGTGAAGCACCATTTCATCCTGACGTCTCCGAAACCTCGGCTGACCCCACGTCATAGCTCCCGAGCCCATCGAATCTCATCTGACCTCAAAATTGCATATCTTAACCACGACGTCCTCTCCCCCTCCCACATCCAGCGCAATGGCCTCCAAAACCCTCTCCCCAGCTCCGCTCCGCCCTCTACTATCCCAATCCTCTCAAAAGTCTCTACAATGTCTCCGCAAGCGGCCCCTCCAACCCCTCTCGCATTCTAACGCCAACACGCAACCACAACCTCAACGCCGCCACATCTCGGCCTATGGCTACGAACAAGCCAAAGCCCTCACTTTCTCGCAATACGGCGAGCCCTCGGGTGTCCTCTCTCTCCACAGCCACTCCATCTCCCCACCACATGGCAACCTTATGACGCTGCGGTTCCTGGCCTCGCCTATTAACCCCGCCGATATTAACCAGATCCAAGGCGTGTACCCGTCAAAGCCCACATTTACAACCGCGCTAGGAACTGCAGATCCGATAGCGGTCGCGGGAAACGAAGGGGTTGCAGAGATCCTGGCGCTGGGGGATGCGGCGAAGAATGAGGGGTTTAAGCGGGGAGATTGGGTTATCATGAAAGGGCCTGGGTTTGGGACTTGGAGGACGCATGCTAGTGCAACTTCCAAAGATGTGATAAAGCTAGGGGATGATGCTAGGCGGGGAATTACGGCTATTCAAGCGGGCACGGTCAGTATTAACCCGTGCACAGCATATAGGATGTTAGGCGACTTCGTGAAATTGGAAGAAGGGGAATGGGTTATCCAGAACGGCGCGAATTCCGGCGTTGGACGCGCAGCGATCCAGCTTGCGAAGACTTGGGGGTTGAAAACAATAAATGTTATCCGAGCGAGGGAAGACGACAAAGACGCATTGAAGCAAAATCTCATAGATATTGGCGCCGACGTCGTAATCACTGACGCCGAGCTACAATCGCAGGGTATCAAGGACATGGCAGCAGAATGGACGTCTGGCGGCCGTGAACCCATCCGGCTGGCTCTCAACTGCGTAAACGGCAAACCAGCAACCGCGATGGCGAAACTCCTTGCTCCGCACTCGCACTTCGTGACATATGGTGCTATGTCCAAACAACCACTTACTATCCCAGCTAGCATGCTCATCTTCAAGGATATCCATTTCCATGGGTTTTGGGTGAGTAAGTGGGCAGAGTGGCATCCCGAGGAGAAGAAGAGAACGGTGGAGCATGTACTAGATTTGACGAGGAGAGGGGAGTTTAGAGATATGCCGTTTGAGGAGATTGCGTGGGAGTGGGAGACTAAGGGAGAGGAGTTGATACAGGCGGTTAAGGGGACGTTGGAGGGTTATCGGAAGGGCAAGGGTGTGTTTGTTTTTGGGAAGACATGAGGAGGTGTAGGACAGAGTGGAGGGATAAGATGTACCGGGGAGTGATTTGATAGTAGAAGCTGGCTTCTGACTTGGTCTGAAAAATCAATAAGCACGCACGCACGATACCACATATGCAAGCTCGTCGAGGATATAAATAGCGAATTCAATGGGTCGTCCTTATCACCCAGTCTAAGTGAGAAATCTCTTTACATGTTTCATAAACTATTCCAGACTAGAATATCTTGTCCTGGCGTCTGGTATTGAAACACAAATATACCTAAGGTCAGGGGTTCTCTTATAATCTATCTATCCATTTTGCTTTTCCGCCTCCACTACAGCAACGACATCTTCGTCCAATTCCCGGGCAACTATGCTCAGAGCAGTGCAAACGGCCTCTATTTCGGATTCCGTCCCAGGGTAGAATCCTGGTAGCAGGACTGGCTGATTGACTGTGAAGGAGAAATACCCACTATACACGCGGTAGGGTAACCGCCCATTCGCAATTTCCATCTCATTGCTTTGGTCACGTATTGCACAGATATCCATCGGTGATCGCTTAAGGGAAGAGGGGTTCAGGGCACTGACTTGTATCCTCCCAATTCATCCTCGGAGTAGGGAAAGGATAGCGTGTTGTTCCATATTCCCTGCATAATGATACCCTTTTGAATCCGTCTTAAACCTATCACTAAGACATCTCGACGCCCTATTCACCACCCCCTGCCCTGCGCTAAAAATTCTGAAATGCAAGTCTCGGACCCTTCAAGTTATCCGTAGTAATGCCATATAAACCCCGTCTGCCGACGGATCTCCAAAATAGTTCGCCCCCGTCAAATGCGGCCAGCTATTGCCGACGCCGAGATCAACAACGATAACCCCGCCTTAGCCCTCGAATCCATGCTATATGCTACTCCGCTGCCAGTGGCTTCTAGATGGGGCCAGGGGTTAAAGCAAATATCGTTGAGATAGAAGGTTGTGTGCTGGACTTGGGCCAGGGACACGATGGTTTGGATAACGGAGTTGCATGCGAGCGAGCCAGCGTTGATCCCGGGACCGCCATCGGATGCTAGCATTAGAGCGCCGTTAGAGGTGAGTGTGCGACCAGTGTTCAGGATCTGGAGACAGTTGAGGGGATCGATGGCGGATGGGACCCTGATGAGGTGGGTTTGCTGGGTTACTCTTGTTTATCCGCAACAATTAGCTCAGAGCACGGTAAGATATGGGTATGGGCCAGGGTGAGGGGTATGTGAAACACACAGGCAGGATATATGGAGCAGTTGATGGATCCGCAAGGCAGATTATTGATCCCAGCATTAGATAAGGTTGCTCCGTGATGTCTCCAGTGAGTTCTACGACTATATATTTTCCATTAGAGCCGTTGCTTATACTGTTAACATCGAGGCCGGGAGGGTAGTTGGAGAACTTGAGGTCACCTCTTGAGACAGTAATCTTTGGCAAGGATTAACTCGACTCCGCAGCAAACACGTACTTATTTTCAGATATACTTGCCTGTAGGCTATTGATTGTAGTAAAAGTGAACAAGCTTGAGAGGCGGTCCTGCTACCTCCGAAACCCTCGCTAACTGATAGGTGGAGAGAGCTGCGAGGCTCAACGCTCCAAACATCACCGGTGAAACTATGCCGCTTCAACAGAAGAGTTATGAGTGAATCCATCTTGGTTAATTAATACCTGCCCTTATATCCGAACATCAAGTGGTGGGAGGAAAAGATCGACAAGCTGCATATCTAATTTCTGCTCAATGTTTTGTGCGCAAGAAACAGTTGAGTTTTGACGTTATTATTCATCACAAATAATGGCTCGGATCCAGGCTTCACTCGCAAAAATGTTGAAGCATGTTCGATTTAGGTCAGCTGAGAGTTACCCCATAGCCGATCCCCCAGTCCCGGCCAAACGGCAGCGCTTCCGTGCATGTCGATCGGAAAAGCAGGTCCAGCCATTGCTGTGTTATTAGGTACGGCACTTTGCCCGTTACAGATCACGTGACGGAGGTCGAAATGGTTGCCCTTGTGTTTCGGGAGCGTTTTAAGGTTCACTCATGCAATTGTGTTTATTTGTCCTTCAAATGACAAAAATGCCGGTCTCTGCAACTTCAAACTTCAACCCATGAAGCCCTTCACCGTCTTTTTGAAAGAAGTTGCATCTTTTCTACCATCCCAAATGATTTCATTCTCGGTCATAGCCTCGCCGTGTACCTGCGGATTTGCAACACTGAGCTTCAGAGCGCCCCGAGCAAACTCGATAACGACGTCTTTCTTGGCCCGCTTTTTCCTTCCCTTCGTCCAAATACTGACTCGGGGAGGAATAATGTCTATTACAACTGCCCGTTCACCATATTCGAGAGGAAGTAGGGAATGTGTTAGATCGAGCGAGAGAATCCAGTCGAGATAATGTTCTAGCTCAGTAGCAGACGTGAATCTGAACTCTCGCTTCTGGTCCTGGGGCAAGTCCAGCACAACGCCCAAAGAAGGCGGAACAATGACTTTATATTCTGAGCCAAATATTGGAGCGCCCATATAGGTTCGTGTGTTAATGGTGATCAATTCAGGGCGAGTTTCGTTGGATGATGGAAGGGTCAGAGTCGCCGTGCCATCGAAAGGTTTCGAAAGGCTTCTTAAGATTTGATCTGCTACAGAAAGATCCTTGTCTTGCGGTTTTTTGAGCGCTTCTATAAGATGTGCCCAAGAATTCTCACGGACCACGTGAGAAGAGGTATTCAGACCAGCACTTGTCATGGCTGCGACCGTCAAATCCAAATAATTTTGCAGAGAATTGACCGCGCTTGTGTGATGGAAGAAGGTCAACATAGTGCGGAGGAGCGGTGGAGAAGGATGCACCCGTCGATTTTGCGTGAGCGGTGGAGGTACCTGGGATCGTCGATGCAATCGCATGTGATGTTCGTGAGCAAGGAGAATACGAAGGGCTTCAGCGATCTTCTGAGCAAGCCAGTCTTCAGAGCGGTCGTCGGCATCTAAGAATTTGTCATCTCGCGCTACACAGTCGATTAAAACGATCCTATTAGTTTGGCCACCACCCAAATCCGGGACTGGGAGATGGATGCACGAGTCTCGCAACTGTACCCCAAAAGAGCCTAATTGACGGCGCTCCATCGACATCTCGTGATATAATTCCTCTTCGAATAACGAGTCTCGAGCGAGCTGGATTGACTTCTCGATCCCTAGGTCAGACAATTCTCCTTGTGGAGGGAGCGTTGAAGTCCCCAAGATCTTTCCGTTGGCGGTAACTCTGACTCGTAGTGTCTTCGGCTTCAGAGCAAGGGCTGGATCAAGGATAATGCTACCATCTTTGTCCATACGGAGAGGAGCCAAGCGGCGCGCCTTGAAGTGGTCGCTAGCTGAGACAGGGTTAGAAGGATGTCTGGGCAGTGGCGGATGAACATGCCTTCTTGGAAGCCATAGTGCACAGCAAATGGGGAGTGACGCGCATCTCTACGAAGCTTCTGGAGAGACCAGCCTTTCTGAGAGACGGACAAAATCTCTCCCCAATACTTGGTTTCCTTGCGCACTTCCGTCTCGAGCTCGGTTGCCGCTTGAAGAATGTTGTCAATGCCTTTGTCCAAGGCCTCCATTCTTGAACCCATAGCAACAAGCTTCCGCTTCTTTTTCTCTAGAGTATTTGAATCTCGTGTTAGAGCACCTTTTTGCGATTCTTCAGTTGGGGCACCCTTATCCAGCCCGAAAGATCCATGGGGGACATTTTGTTCCTTGAAACGTGCACTGAATGAACCTTCGACACGTTTTGAGGGGTCCTTTGACAATATCAAGGATACTAGGTCAATCATGTTTGTAGTATAGAAGGAGGACCACCTGGGAGAGAGTTAGCGCCTGAAGCGGCGATTACGAAGCAACTGCAGACTCACTCCAGCCTACTGAACATGGCTTGTCCTGTCCGCTGGATCTCGACTAGTCGCTCCTGCCTTGTTGGAGCGGCATTCTGCTCGACCTGGACAACGCCCTCCTTCGCACTTGCAGCTTTTGACGGGTCTGTGCCCGTGTCAATCTCATTCTGGAGCGAGTCCTCAGTGATATAGCGGAGATGTCCTCGCTCTGTCGTTAGCTGTGCAATTTGCGCATGGATCTCCACCGGAGTCAGCTTTTCTCGTGCAGGGGCTGGCCATGGTCGGAGGGCTACGTTTGTGAATGATCCGGAGGCTGACATATTGTTGGTAGTCGGGAGTAGGAAAGGTTGTTGTGAAGTTCGAGGCGATGAGGTACTGGGATGAAGGGTTCCAAGGTTGCGACCCGCGTCAGTCACCCCCCGGGCTCGCTTATCGATAGGACCATTCACGTGGAAGTCTTTTTCACCTGGATTGCCTCCGAAGGTTCACCACTGTCACGATGCCCTCTGGCTGCCCACGTCGTCTCTTGCGGGGATCGAAAGAATGAAGCGTCAGAAGACCACGGAATGCACGGGATGTGCCTTGCGCGTTTCCCTTCCTGGCTAGCGGCGGCTTATCGATAAGGAAGTGGTAGGGGAGCTTGTCACTGTCACGGCCTAGCTGTGGCTCCTACAGTTTCTACACTCGCTGCTCGCCGTCGTCTCCTCAATTTACTCCCACCATGACTACTCGTTACCGAGTCGAATGTGAGTATAAGCTGAACAAGGGTATCTTCTATCATCTTCAGCATTGCTAATCACCCTTAACACAGATGCACTCAAGGTGTGTCCGTTGCTCCATCTGTCGGGAAGGTCGCTGACAATCCTGTAGACACACCGCCGAGATCAGTTGGTATGTAGTTTATCCTCACCTTGACAAGCTACAATACAGCTGACTCTCTGATCATAGATTGAATGGATAAAGGTACCCATACTGTTTCATGTTTCAATTACAATCAAGCCATCGCCTTAGCTAAATCTACACTCCAGGGTCTTCTAGCAGTTCCCTTCGTTCTGCACTCCCAGCCCACGGCTGTATTTGAACCAAATGGCCAATCTGTAGACCAGATGTCCTCCGTAGCCCAGCGACGCTACGCTGAAATTATGCGCGATGTTGAGGAACTAATAAATGATCATAGTAAGTAATTTCCAAGAACGTAGTAGCGTTCCTTTGGCCTCCTGGATTGATAGTTGATTGAATCATTTGCTCTCTGTCTTCAATTGTTTCCTTCGAAACCTTTGCCTCCCCAGTTGCTTCCCTTTACAATCTTACATTTTGCACTGCTTAACTAATTTTACAAGTTGCCCATCAGAAGGCGGGGACTCATGATCGATCTAAACTCAAGCTCCTTGTCCCATCAGTAGCTACTTTCTTCACTCCACTTATGCTTCACGACGCATTTATTTGGCAGGACAATAGGCGGTTCATCAGCTACCGACGCTTCGTTCCCCCATCCTTTAACGACATTAGATTGGTTCTCAATACAGCTCAAGTAATGAGTCTTGTTCGTGGAGGCCCTTTAGAGCTCGTAACCTTTGATGGAGACGTCACGCTTTACGACGATGGGCAATGTCTAACCCCTGAAAACCCTGCTATTCCACGCATTCTAAGGCTGATGAGGAATGGGACGAAGATCGGCATCGTGACAGCTGCAGGATATGCAGAAGCTCGCAGATACTACGGGAGGCTTTATGGTTTGCTCGATGCTTTACACGCCTCTAGTCTATCGTTGGCTTTCAAACAAAACCTCATCGTTCTTGGCGGGGAAAGCAACTACTGCTTCAAATTTGACCCGGATAGCCCCGACTTACTGAAATTTGTACCCCGAAAAGACTGGCTGCTTGACGAGATGTTGCTTTGGGAGGAGGCGGACATCACAGAACTGCTCGACATTGCTGAGGCTTCCCTCCGGGATACTGTCAAGAACATGCGACTGGAAGCTACTGTTGTTCGGAAAGAGAGAGCCGTTGGGATTATACCACAGGAGGGAGGCCACAAATTCAGTCGAGAGGCACTCGAGGAGACAGTTCTGATCGCGCAGAAGATACTTGTATGTGGAACCCTAAGTCTCGCGGCTGGTCAACCAATGCCAACTGACCATTTTAGGAAATGTCCCCGGTTGGGCGTCGGCTGCCTTTCTGTGCCTTCAACGGTATTGTTCCTCTTCATCACTAATTAGCAAGCTGATACTAACGGTGGTGGTCCAGGAGGGAATGACGTCTTTGTAGACATTGGCGACAAGTCGTGGGGTGTATTGGCATGCCAGCGCTTCTTTGGGGGAATCGAAGGAGGCAAAACGCTCCATGTTGGCGATCAGTTCCTCTCCGCGGGCGCGAATGATTTCAAAGCTCGTCTGGCATGCACAACAGCATGGATCGCGAGTCCGGCTGAGACCGTGCAATTGCTAGATGAGATTGACGAATTGGACGAGATGCAGCAGCGCAAGACGCGGTGATGGAAAGCATGGTGACGACAACCAGTTTGTTTACTGGGCAACGGGCCAGCAGGTGTTTACGAGATGTAAATTACCATGCAGCCTGCAGCGAAAGCAGGTCTCGGGGGTTCCAGGAGCGCGTCCGGACTGGCTGGAGGGATGGCCGGCTTTGCTTTGCTGTACACACATGTACACATGCATTGGCAGCAGTGGTGACAGATTTTATGACGGGCATCCTGATAGCATCTAAAACTCGCGTGACAGGGAATTCAATTCACCATGACCCTGACTGGAAACGGGTGTCTCACTCGCTGATTGGCGCTCGGAGCCTGGCTGGGAGGCTAGTGGACCCTTGCTGGGGCGCGCAGATGCAGGCCTTCGCGGCAACGGGCCTCAAAAGCAAACACCAACGCCTTTTTCAACCACGCAGACTTCATTCTGCGGCCGCCAGCGTATTCTGTCTGCCGCTCTGTGCCCTTGCATACCGCGCCATAGCAACGCCTGTACATGTGCGACCCCGTGCACCGTCTCTCTGCCGTGTAAATTCGTCCCTCCGCACCGGTTCAACTCCTGAGCAGCGTTCACGGCAGCGACTGCGACACTTGTTCACACGCACCATCGCTCTCGACAAGCCATTGCTTGTCTGGCCAGCCCAATTGCGAGCCCCGACTGCCTCCACCGCACTGCTAGTTACCCCATCACCATGACGGGGGGCAAGTACCAGCCGCTCACGCTGACCCCGATCAACTTCTCGCTAACGGAGGGCACGTCGATTCCTGCGCCGCTCGACTCTCCACCAGATACACCACGCCCTCCCACGCCTGGCAAGGGACCGCTCTCCTCGCACCCGACACCCAACTCTGCGACGTTTCCCCCGTCGGCAGACTCGCCACCGCCGAAAGAGTCAACCGACTCGACTGCGGACTCGCACCTCCAGAAGACGGTCACCAGCGATGGAACCAGCAGCACGCTATCCCCGACAAGCCCGTCCTCAAAGCGACCGTCGTCGGTGCGCAAGTTCCTCGGGCTGCGCACGTTGTCGTCGTCCGACAGCCTCAAGTCGGACCGGCCGGGATCACCGGCAACAGTAGACAGCAAGCCGAGTCTGAGTCGGAAAAAGAGCGGCAGCTGGTTCGGCAAGAGGAAGAGCACCATGATGTTCGGGTCTGTCCCGGAAGGGAAAGAGAACGCCGCGCCCCAGACGAACGGCAAGCCGGGGAGGAAGGGGCCACCGCCGCCCGCTCTGCCGGAGCTCAAGACTTTCGGGGTGAGCGACGAAGCCGTCAGCCTGGGAGCAGAGGACTTGTTCAAGAACATAAAATAAGCACGAGGACGACGAAACCAGGGCGATGTCTTTTTATGACGGATTCAGAGCGGATTGGGGTTTAATTTTCACGATTGTTTCATTGGGGACAGGAGCGTGAGGGATTGCGGATTCTGTTCATTTATTTTGCATACACGATACCCCCCAGTCGGAGAGCGCAGGACGGCGGGAGTGGACTTGGTTGGAAGTGCAAATGTCTTTGGATAAGATGTGTCATGGCCGAGTGGGAGTCGGAAGGACGCAGCGACTGGGGATGAGGCGGAGAAGACTGGAGCAGTGTTGAATATTTTGCGGACATTCCCTCTTCTTGTACATTGATCTTCCCCTGCCAGACTTGGTTTGGATCTTGCAGAGCAGCTGTATTGAGACATCTCATTTGCCCACTTGTGCACGCCTCTGCTGGCACTCTCGCTGAGGTCAACAACGATGGTGAAGAAGGTGGCGTGGCCAATCAGCGTGTGCGTTGCCATGGCACTATCGCCGGATGCGGCGGTGGCGGAACAACAACAACAAACAGGCCCGCACCGCAACATCAACAACGTCAGTCCATCGATCGTATCTGCATCCGACATCCCGCGTATTCTTCGAACTGCACATTCTACCATATAATTCACCGCAGTAACTCTTACTGTTGCTCCTCTCCCTCACACTCCCCCCACGCCAAATGGCCCAGGAACAGGGCATTTTCTCAGTGCGCCGCCCGCGCGAGGTAAGTGTGGTGTCGCGCGCAGCTTCCTAGCTAGTTGTTTCGTCGCGTTCGACCTGCCATGTTAACTTTTTCGCGCAGACGTTGGGCGCAATGAACAACAACATTTCTGCCATCCCAATGCCCTCATCCGCTATGAAGCGCTCGAGTTCCATCTCGAACATGCAACAGGTTGCCGGCGCCTTCACCTCAAACCATGCGCGCTCGACATCCGGCTCCCGCATGTCGCTTGCCCCAGGCCGCCCAAACCAGCCCATCTTCCAGCGCTCCTCCTCAGGTAACAACCTCGCCGATCTGGGCTTCCAGTCTGTTCACCGCAATTCGACGAGCAACATGTTTGGCGCAAGCAGTGCCGGCGGTGGCAGAAAGAGCTTTGCCCCAGGCTCCATCTTCCAGACGCCCGCGTCTGCACAGAGTCTCGAACAGAGCACTCAGCGTCGAAGCAGCGTTTTCAAGGCACGACCCTCCCACGGCTCCGGCTCCACGGGCATAAAACAGTCTTTCTTCGCAACCGCACCTCTGCCCGCGGCCCCCCCAGTCGATCCGCGACGCCTCAAAGATGCCAGCACTCGAGCTCAAATGGCGCAAGAACTAATGGAGTATTTGACCCATAACAACTTCGAGATGGAGTCGAAACACTCTCTCTCAAACAAGTCGATGACCTCACCCACCCAGAAAGACTTCAACTGCATGTTCCAGTGGCTCTATCACCGCATCGACCCTTCTTATCGCTTCCAGAAGTCCATCGACCAAGAGGTTCCGATTCTGCTCAAGCAGATGCGCTATCCGTTTGAGAAGTCGATTATGAAGTCTCAAATTGCGGCCGTAGGCGGCAACAACTGGTCCACCTTTCTGGGTTTGCTTCACTGGATGATGCAGCTCGCGCGCATGATGGACTCGTATGAAGTAGGATCCTACGACGATGCGTGCTTTGATGCTGGACACGACGTTTCTGGTGATCGCATTATATTCGACTTCTTATCTGACGCCTACCGTACGTGGTTATCCGCAGAAGATGAGGACGAGGATGAAGAGGCGCAAGCCCGTCTCGTGCAGCCGCACGTAGAAGTCATGGCTGCACGTTTTGACCAGAACAATGCGCAACATCTCGAACAGGTTAAGATTCTAGAAGCAGAGCACAAGAACTTGGAGGACCAGATCGAGGAATTGGGGAAGTCTGGCCCAAGGATTGCGAAACTGGAAGAGCAGATCAAAATTCTGGAGGAGGACCGCGTGAAATTCGAGAACTACAACAATTCTATGGACGCTAAGGTGAAAAAATATACCGACCGATGCGTTTTCTTGGAGAAATCTATTCAGGAGATAGAAGCCGAGCTCGAGGCAGGCGAACGTGAGCGACAGGAGCTGCAGGACATTGTTGATAGCAGAGGTATGACAACCTCTGACATCGACCGCATGGCCTCAGAGAAGGAGCGCCTCGAGAAGTCTCTTGAGACTGCATTCACACGCATGGAGGAGTCGAAGAAACGCGTCGCCGAGAAAGAATTAGCAGCGTCCCGCAAACTAGATGAACTTGAACAGACAGTCGAGAAATACAACAACCTAGGCTACCAGATTGGCGTCATCCCTTCCACGGCCGCCAATGCAAAAGACTTGGATTACGAACTCCTCATCACGATTCATGACACGCCCAACTTCTCTAGCTCTCAAATGGGCTCGTCAACACAAGAGTCTGGCGACCGTCTCGTTCAAGATGCTGGAACAGGCTACTCTCCACACCACCTCCTGAACCTTGACCTCCGCGGCACCGTCAAGACAAACATCCTCTCTCTCCGCAAAGAAATCGCCGAGCGGCGCAATGCGTCACTCGAAGCTGATATGAACAACCACGATCTCCTCGACAAGATCAAGGAAGCCATGGATGACAAGCAAGGCGAGGTCGAGGCTCTGGGTCATCGCGTTGCGCAAGCAGAAGAGGAACTCGACAAGCTAAGAGAGATAACTAGTACGCAAAAGACGGCGAGTGATGCGCAGATTGAGAAGATGGAGAAGGAATTGAGCAGGATGAGGGCGAATTTAGGCGAAAGTGTGCAGTTGATGGTGCAGAGGGAAATGGCGGTTAATATTGAGTGAGTCTTTTCTGATCGAGGTTATGCTATCCTATATCATCTCCAAGCTCTTACCAACACAAGCCTAATATTGTGTTGCGAGAGAGGAGGGGAGCAGAGATGACGGTGTGAAGGATTCTGCACAAATGCTAATGTACGAGCTAGGTACGAGCAACTCACCCTACGCGCAAATTCGCTCCGCGAAGAACTCCACACGGAAATCGAGCGCATGCTCGATGACATCGTTAGGTTCAAACTACATATTCAACGCAGTTTAGAAGAGTATGAAGTTTTCATTGCGGATGAGGTCGAGAGGAGTTGTGAAGAGCAGGATTTGTTAGGTGATGCTGAGGAGGTGGTGGAGGCTTAGCCTTTCCACGGAATGGAATGGAATGGCATGAGAATTCTATTTTGCATAAGTAGAGTAATGATGATACCATGATTGGAGTTTGGGTGTTGGTTAGGTTGGCTTGGGGGGGCCCTTGGATTGGATGGATGGGATGTCATGGAACAATGATCTAGTTGCTGTCTGCTTGTCTTTATTCATCTCCCTTTCCACCAAATACTATAGGGTAGGATCTCGAGTGCATCGAGTGGAGGCGTTGAACGGCTGGGGCTGGATGTACGCTTGATGGATGGATGGATGATTGGATACTCCAAGTGATACCTATTGGCCCATTTCATTTAGACTGAATGTAATACGTGTTTGCTTTTTCTCTTTTCATGGCGACTCTCTTTCCATTTGATAGTATGTAAATAGCAGGAGTCATGTGTGTCCCGTCTGTTGCTGGTCGTAGCCCACCGAAAGCTGTTTGTAGTCGTGACACTGTACATGGAAATGCGCCTTGAATACATCAGACACGCGAAGCAACGTTTCAGCCATTGGTTGTTCTTATAGCATAGGAGAAGGAAGGTATATGGCTATGGAGGCTAGAGGTTATATTTAAAAAAGTACGATGGTAGCTGCCTTGTACGCCTATACTACTACTACTACTACTACTACCTGTATCCTCTACACATAGCTCTAGTAGTGGTATGAGCTATCACTGAGATATAAACGTGAGTTATATATCCTACGTGAGCTGATTAGGCGGCAGGATATGGATATTGAGCGTCCAACTCAGTTTATTGGGAGAGCCTCGGCTATGGCTAATCTTAACGAAATCTACACTCGTGCGCTTCGAGAGGTGACTACAGTTGTACAGGCGCGTCTGCAGCGACAACAAGCACCTCAGAGGCACGTATAGAAGGGTGGCGTACTTACAGCCGCAAAAGTTCGCGCTGCAGCTAGTACTAGGGCTAAAGCTGAGGCTTAAAGGGCTTCGAGGGGGGCGGCAGCACAGTATAAGAAGGACCTTCAAACCACTACCAACGGCCCCTCAGAGCCAGGAGGCGGGCTAAAATACATCTCAGGACCTGTTCAGGAATACGACACTGAGCGACTATCTATAATTTTTATGTATTTCCCAAGGTTGATGTAGCAATTAAGTCCTATAGATAAACTCTCATATAAATTTGGCGTTGGGCTGTCAGGTTACGTTGAGCTGTCTAGGGCTAGTAATCCTACGAAAAGCGAACATACATTGGTCAGTTCCAGTGCATGTGATCCTCGGTAGGTAGGGCAATGATTGTATGCCAAGCCTACCTCTGACATTTCATCTCCGCATCAATTTTACACTTCCCCATTCTTCAGTTTGCTTAGCCTTGTACTAACGTTACATCATTTTACCCTGTATACCTTCTAAATCAGCGCTCTCCATTAAGTCTTAGGCCAATGCTATCTCGAGAAACTTACTTAGGCACCCACTAGATTCGGTATGCTCGCAACGTTCAGGGCTAAAACACTATGAACATAAGCTTCGCTACCGCATTTTTTCCTCCATTACCAGGTTCATAAGTTAATCGCCAACCCTGACAATATGTCAGACCACGAGTTGAAATGATTATGAGATCTTATCTGCATTTCCCCCGTTGGGCGACCAAAGTCTCTCGCACGATACTATGCTTCATTTTGTCAAGCTCCTCGTACCACCGACTTTCTTTGTTAATTTAAAGTCGGCCGGGAGTAGAATGTGGCCAACACTTGGCGGGCGTTATCTTACAATATTGGTTTCTTTTACCTACCGACTGTGGGCAGTAAGATCCCAGAAGCCTCTAGCTGAACGCAAGTTCAGCTCAGTGTGGTACCTGGTCCTAAACTCACGATCTTCGTTGAACCGAACTAGCACCCTCTTTGAGTAACTGCATATACGAGTCAATAATGTTGGAATACGCCCCATAAGTCACGATTCCAACAGGAACAGACGTCCAGAGCATGTATAAGAAGACAGAGATATCTCTCGAGTGGTTTCTTCATCGCACCATCCTTCTGCAACCATCTTTCAGTCTTCTACAAGCAAATCTCCAATCCTGTCACCATGAAATTCTTCACTATCGCCTCCGGCCTTGTTGCGGCAGTCTCTGCCATCGATATCCGCCTGCGATCAGGAGGCGGTTGCACGGGGACATATGTTGCATGCGTCGGCATAAACCCCAACACTTGCTGCTCCAATGGTGGTACAGCCTTTATTGCTGTTGGCGCCGTCGCCATCCCGTCCAACTGGAGGATCGAGCTCAGGACCTACCAAAACGGTGGCTGCAATACCTTGAGAGGCATCCAAGGTTCCGGTGGAGTCACGAACATGTGTATCAGCGAGAACGATGGCATTGCTCGCCTCACCGGGGGTGGTTGGAACTTTTCTAGCAAGAAGAGAAATGCGGGCGCCGCGGCCTGCTCGACTACTGGGTGCACCTCCACCGTGAAGCCAGATATCTTAGTTTTGGAAGATGAGACAACTACCTTCGCTATTGCGGAGATGGAGGAATCACTGCTCAATGTCTTGTAAGCGGGCTTTTCTTATAACGAGTGACTCAGTAGTCCTACCCGACCCCGCCCTCTCCCTCCCTTTCCCACATTTTCCTCATATTTAAGACAAACCGCTGACCACACCGTTACATCCAGGATGGACTATGCTATTAATGGAACCCAAGCCGCAGATCTCCCGCAGGTGTACGAGCCATACAAGATTGAAACCTAGATGGGATTGGGAATCGTGAAGGCATATGAAGCTGTGAGGTTTCATGTACACAAAGGGGTTAAAGTGGTTTTCTGCACGCTATCTCAGTGGGTGGCGACATAGCGTGATCTCATTTGTATCTCAGGGGTCTGTGTTTGTGCGTTAGGTGGGAACGGAGGTTGGGCTGATTGTGGTTTACCTCTTCTGCTAGTATAGGGAGCAGCGGAAACAATCTTAAGAGGAGATGATGTAGGAGTATATATAATATACAATAGTATAGTGTTGTTAAAAACTACTTATACTACTTAGTCTATGCAAAGAAAGACTAAAACGTTAATTACAACCCTCCTAATAATAGTCTAGATTAAGACTATATACATAGGTTCTGACTGTGCTGTCTGTCGCGTCCGTCGTGACTGTAGGTTTAGAGACTGCGGTCTCTGCGGTTATTACGGTCATTGCGGTTAACCTGCTAAGACGTTGCTCCAATCCGGCGCCTTCCGGAGAGGTCACGTGATTCTGCATTTGTGCGTCCAAGAAGAAGCTCCACCACTGATTATTGTATAATCCAGTGGCTGCCCGACACTCGCTTATGGTCCACTCAGGGACCGTAACACTTAGCAAAGTAGCTAGCCTACCTATAAGGTATGTTACATTATTAAAGTCTATACTATTAAAGAAAAGCCTTTTTAAAACTATATTAACTACTAGTCTGCTATTTAGCTTAAAGTAGAAAAATAAACACAGCTAATATAGAATGCATACACTATCTAAACTGAGTGTTCTAGCTAGTTCTAGTCTGTAGTTAGAATATGCAAGCGGTTTTATACTGCTGCTAGCAGAAATTACAGCGATATTATCACTGCTAATAGATAGATATAACAAAACTCTAACTAAAACACCACAGTTATATTGCCTAGCAACTTTACTATTAGTAGTATGGCTATTTGTAACTAGGTAAGTACGCTAGAGTATAGAAAGCCGATCAGTTGGACGGAATCTCGCTATTCATAAATCTAAAAACATGGTGCACGCACGCAAGCAAGCAACATAACAGATAGACAGCACTCAATACATCCTAGCTACCGCCGTGCCTAATATATATCTATCCATCTTCTAGGCCTTAAAAAAGCCGGTAGGCGGCCTTCAGCTTCAGCATTCCCCGACCGAAAAAGGAGACAGACCGAGATTGTTCGCATGCATGCAAAGGAATTTCAAAGAGGTACACATCACACAAATTCGGGAGGAATGTTCAGATGCCAAGAGTGAATTCGACACCGACGTCAATATCGCGAGCCATTTTGACGACCTTCGAGAACTGGACGGATTTCTCGGCGGCGGACTGGAGGTCGTCAATGGAGAAGATTTTGAGGCCGGATTCGTTGATCTAGAGTTAGGTTGCATTGTTAGCTCTCAGAGATTTGACTGCAACACAAGAATTCTGGTGTGGTGAGGTGCGAAGGGTGGATGGAGGGGGTTCTTTACCAGTTTGTGTGCTTGCTCCATGTTGGTGCCCTGCAAACGTGCGATTACTGGAGTCCTCAAATTCATGCTTTCGACTACAGAGATCAGCCCCTTGGCAATAGCATCGCATCTAACGATGCCTCCGAAGATGTTGACGAAGATGGCGGTGACTTTGGGGTCGCTGGTGATGAGGTCGAAAGCCTGCTTGATAGCCTCGGGAGTGGCTCCACCGCCCACGTCCAAGAAGTTCGCTGGTTGCCCGCCATTCAGTTTGATGATGTCCATTGTGGCCATGGCCAAACCGGCGCCGTTGACAAGACATCCAATATCACCGTCTAACTTAATGAAGTTCAGGCCCCACTCGCCGGCCTTGACTTCATCGGCGTCTTCCTGCGTAATATCTCTCCAGCTGAAGACCTCCTTTTGGCGGAACTCGGCGTTGTCGTCGAAGTTAAGTTTGGCGTCCATAGCAAGAACCTGGTGGTCCGTCGTCTCGGATAGAGGATTGATCTCAATTTGCGTAGCATCGCGCTCCATGAAGACCTTGTAAAGCTTCTGGATCGTGTCCTTGGCATCCTCAATGCACTGCTCCGAGAACCCGAGCTCCGTCGCGATGTTGCGAGCCATGTCATCGGTCACGCCCTTGTGGATATCCACATATGTCGTGATTATGGCCTCCGGGTGTTCCTTGGCCACGGTTTCAATGTCCATGCCACCTTGTGATGAAGCAACGATGACAGGGCCTTGCGATGCTCGGTCCATGAGGACGGCGAGATAGAACTCCCGGCGTGCGAATTTGCGCTCGACGATGTAAACGGCGTTGCAGAGCCGGCCGGCGGCTCCGGTCTGTTTGGTGATGAGCTTGTGGCCGATCATTTGGTCGGCGAGGATTGAGGCTTCCCGGGGGCTGTAGACAACTCTGACGCCGCCCTTGAAGCCATTGTCGAAGGTTCCCTTCCCGCGGCCGCCTGCGAGCACCTGGGCCTTGATCACCATGTCGTCTCCGCCTGCGCCCTGTTAGCCAACCCTCGCTCCAATTTCAATTGGTTTAGGGAAGGCATACCAATCCCTTTAGCCACCTTCTCTGCCTCCTCCGCGTTCGTAGCAACGCTGCCGCTAGGAACCCCAATGCCGTACTGCATCACATATCAGCATCCAGGACTATGAAATTGTGCATGGCTGAGAAGGGCTTCGTACCGTCTTCAGCAGGCTCGCAGACCTGTATTCGTGTATTGACAGCGCACGACTCTGCTGTACCACAGAGCGCTTCAGTGGCTTCTCCTGCGTCCCGTCAATATACAAGCTTAATTGGGGTGGGCTCTGGCGTCAGAGGCGCTCGGAGTGGGGACCTACCGCGGTAGCTCGGAGGGCGCTGGCCAGCGACCGGCAGCGGGCGAGCTTGTACATTGTGCGTATGAAATGGAAAGAGAGGTGCGGTTGGTGGGAGTGCGAGCTGATGCAGAGCGAGCTTGCCGTCGTCCACTATCTTGCCGTGGTCGAAGTTGCGGAGGTGCCAAGACTTGCCGAGGATTTTCCGGGTGTGAGCGAGAAAAAAGTCGGTTTGGCGTTTTTAATATCAACACGCCCAATGCCTGATTAATCGCGCGAGATTGTGTGCAGAGTTTAATCGCGGCCATGGTGAAGCGGAATAGCGACGGTGATGTCCTGCTCAGTAGGCTCAGCATTGGGCTCGCAAAGAGTCAGAGGCTTCTGGCGTCTCTGCCGTTGGGGAGCGGGCTGCAGTCCGAGGGGCATCTTGAGGAGCGCGAGCTAGATGACATCGCGGATGACATCCAGGGCCCTGAGCAGTACGTCACAGACTCCTCGCACTCCCCGTGGCACGTCTAAACCGCCCGTCTCTAGGACCGGGCTAGGAGCCGCTGTTCCAGCCCATATCCAGGACGGGAGCTTCACGCGCAGACCCCCCACTTCAGACCACAGACTCCTGGAGCAGTTAATCGGGAAAGGGGCTGCCAAGGCACATGTAGCTTCAAAGCAGGCGCCCAGAGACAAGTCCAGGCCCCAAAAGCTCAGTAAACAGTCTCCGGCGGTGAAGCACGAACAGAGCGAGGAGGAGGGAGAGGGAAGGGCGTCTGCGTTCCGATCGAAGAGACAGAAGCCGAGCAAGGCACCAACGAAGAGCCCAGGGGAGACGCCAGAAGAAGATGGACATGCTAAAGTAAAAACCAGTGCAAGTGTTCGTCTTACAAGGCCGAAGTCTGGGAGCTATCTGGACGATATCCTAGCTGAGCGCTCCGAGAAAAAGAAGAAGAAGCAGTAGTAGAAACAGAATAGAGACACGACGGCGAGTATTTCATCATGAAGAAGTATCCCGGCACGTTTGTACGCGGCCAACAGCAGCTAGACGTGATACACATATCTCCTGATACACTAAGTCTTACCCCTGCTAATACGCTCAAAAGTCTGAACAACATACCTCCTGCTCCCAGGAGTGCCCTGATTCCCGTGAGTATTTCAGTGTCAGCCCCGAGATTTCCCCGAAAGAGACTGCTTTGGAGAACCGTTCTGGTGGGAAGCTAGAAAAGGCACAGGCTCTTCACAATCAAGCAAACCTCCGCCAATCTACTCCCTAACAATCAAACTCGCCATCCCCATCCCCGTCCCAATACATTTGCTCAACACCCCCAATGTCTGCGTCTTTCTCTCCATCTCATGCAGCAGCGTGCTCAACATTCTCCCACTCGTCGCCCCTAGCGGATGTCCCAGCGCAATCGCCCCTCCGTTCGGATTCACCATCGCATCCTCCAACCCCAACTTCCGGATACAATACAACGCCTGACTGGCAAACGCCTCATTAATTTCCCAAATTCCCACATTAGACGTCGTAATACCCGTGTAGTCAAGTAGTTTGGGTATAGCGAGTGCAGGACCGACCCCCATTTCGTCGGGTGCACAGCCAGCAACCTGCGTACCAGCCCATTTCCCAATGATTGAGGACGAAAGACCAAGACGTTCAGCGGTGCTACGACGCATCATGAGCGCTGCAGCCGCACCGTCCGAGACCTGTGAGCTGTTTCCTGCAGTACTCGTACCATCGGGTTTGAAAGCTGGTTTCATAGCCGAGAGTTTCTCCGCTGTCGTGTTCGACCTAATGCCATCATCTTTCATCACTGTGATTTCGTCCTCCTTCTCTGGAACCTCGGGATCAGCAATCCACCTCGTGGTCACCGGCACGATCTCTTCATCGAAGAACCCAGATGCTTGAGCCTTTGCAGCACGCCGTTGCGACTCTGCTGCGAACGCATCTTGATCCGCGCGGCTGATACCATACCGCTCCGCGACGTTCTCGGATGTAAGTCCCATTGGCATTATACAATCTCTGGCATCTTTGACCGGCGAGTCTTTCAGCACTTTCCAGAGTTGAGTGGGTATAGCTCTCGAACCGTAGTTCCGACTCATACTTTCCATGCCGCCAGCAATCCCGACCTCTATCTGACCCACAGCAATAGAGTTCGCGATGTACGTTACAGCAGACAACCCTGACGCACACGCCCGATTCGTCGTGCTGAACGACGTCGTCGTAGGAATGCCGACATGATTTGCAGCCATGCGCCCCGCTTTACTACCACCGAGTTCGGAAAGCACAGTGCCGATGCAGATGTCATCTATTTTCGCGGGGTCAAGGTTTGGAAACTTTGCCAGTGTTGCTTTAAGGACCTGTGGAACCGCTTAGCTAGGTACGTACACACAATTGATTTGTGATGGGTGGATGTGAGCTGTTTTGCATACAGCGGCTAGCATCTCATGGTCGTATGCGTCTCGTAGTCCGCCCTTCTTTGCCCGCGTAATTGGTGTTCGGATTGCGGATAAGAAAATTACATCGCGTGGGTTCTTTTGAAGAATATTTTTGAGGCCTTTTTGTACGAAACTAGCCATGTTGGAAGTTATTAAATGTGAAATCTAGACTGGAACCAATGACGCAGTACAATTGAGAGTCAAGGCGAATGGAGGGGACTCAGACTGCAGAAATGAAAGAGGACATGAAAACTTTTGGAGAAGAATTGAGGGGAAGGAAGGTTGCCATAAGTGTATCTCATCCTGGCTGAGGGAAGGCTAATGAAGCTTCAAGGTATGGAGCTTCGGCAAGTGAAATGCGGGAGAGTCGGGGTCGGCGGACCAATACGGGAATGCCGGAAAAGACCTCTTCCAGAAAGAGACGTCACGTGGAAATCACCGTCGAGCGTCGGCGACTTCGGGAGCGCTCCGTATCCCCTCCTCGAAGATTGCGCCGCTCCAAAGCAAGCTGGGATTCTTGTGTCGATAATTTGAAAATGGGGATATATTCAACCGGTCTACCGGCACAGACACAATTCAAATGACTCCAAATGACTTCTTTAAAGGGGGACTTCCAAGAGTCCAAATGGGTATTTGGCCCTATGAACACTCTCATTCAGAGTTATTCCGTTCCCCCTCAGTCCCCCGCGTTTATCACTCCCTTCCCACACCGTATGACCCAGACAACGAATAGAAGAATCAAGCCGCAGGGTAAACTAGTCTGAAGAGGTCGTTGAAAACGTACCAGCTCCCACCATCACGTTTGAGCTGGAATGTCTGGGTGTAGCTCATTGGCCGGTCTTGCCCGTCGACCTACCCAGATGTCAGATAATGCACCGCAGACTCCCCAAAGAAGGGTACCCAACTCACCATCAGAGCACCAGTCACCATGACCATGATGCCGTCATCTGCTGAAGGCTGCGAATCGACCGTGTCAGCGCGGTGTTGCACCTGCTGGAAGGGGAGGTTCTGCAATTTGTAAGTGCTGTGATTAGTAGAGAGCGGGCCACGGGTGCTACCTGAAGTTTCTCTACGATGGCGGCGGTGCCGAGGGTGGGCTGGGCCTCGAACGTAAGCATCGAGTTGTCGCGCTATATAGTAATACCGTCAGTCTGGGCCATGATTTGAGATGGCGCATTGCACATACGTAGAGGGCGGCGAGGTTCGCACGGTTCTCATCGAAGGTTTTGTAGTAGAACTCGACAAACTGCTCTAGAGAAGCAGTCAGTAATCAGACCCAGAGCTGTGTCGACTGGGGCAAACTCACTAGCAACAGTCTCGAAATCTGGGGGTGTCGCGTCAGTCAGACATGACTTCCCTCCCGGGCTGTGCATGCGGGGAAGCAAACATACCTGCCATGGTTGACGGGTTGACAGGCCAAAAGTTTAGGGGAAGTCAAGTTTGCGTGCGGCTGGCGTGGAGGGGGAGTGCTGGTGCTACTGATGCGGATGTATTCGATGTTTGGGCGCAAGGGCAGGCGGGATGTGGCAGGCAGAGACTCGTTGGTGGGGCAGTGAGCTAGGCAAAGCAAGGGATCGGAGAAACTGTTTTTCCGCGCTCCCCTAATTTAGGTGCAACCATTTCGTCACTATCCCCTTACCTCACACACTCTCGACAGGCCTCTCCCGCTTGGAAATAGCGTCCGCCCTCTCTCTCTGAACTCGCTGGTAGGTTCCCAATAGCTCCCATCCTCTCGCTGTGATGATTTTTCTACTTCAAACGATAACTTCTGAGTCTCATACTATGGTGTTCAAGCCTTCAAGCTCAACAGTCAAATCAACAGTCAAACCAACCGTCAAATCAACCTACTCAATTCCTCTGCCTCTTCACCAACAACACCTCTGTGAAGCTCACTAACAATGAATAGATGAACCTCGTCGGTGTGCTTCTTGAAACTTAGTCAGTCGCCCTACAGCAGGCATGTCCGTTGGAGTTTACCACACTATGACGTTTCTTTATGATTCGTTATATTGTCTACAACTTGGAGTAAACACTAATTTACAAGCCTACCGCCTGGAATGACTTGATGGAGTCGATCACCGATTCTTCCAGGGTCTTATACTTCAACCCTAAAACGTCGATTGATCGTTTGTTACTAAACCCATAGAGTCCATTCTGGATACCACCCTCAGGATAGTCGCCGCCCGGCGTCGAATCGCTCGGTAGGTCCTTGTACTGGGGGAACTTGCTCTTAATGATTTTGCAAATATCTCGGTTGGAGAAGTACCCAGCTACGGTGAAAAAGCGCTTATTGGCGGCTTCAGGTTTCTCAAAAGCCGCAACGTGGGCTTCGGCTACATCTCGTACATCGACCCAGAGATACACTCCGGTGGCTGGTATCTCGTCCTTGAACTTCCCCTGAGCTGCCCAGAGCAAGCGCTGATTGGACGTGTTCATGCTGTCCAGGCTTTCGAGGTTGTGGACCTAACAGGCAAATCAGCAACGATGACGTAGTCATAGTGTTGGAAAACAACAAACTCACAATTGGCCCAAATACCATAGGAGGGTTGATGGTCGCAACCGCGAAGTTTGGCTTCTCCTTCTCTAAGAAGTCCCATGCAGCCTTCTCTGCAAAAGTTTTGCTCGCACGGTAACCCATCATTGCGTTCTCCTCTGCCTCTTCACGCGTAATCGGATTCCAGTCCGCCTCTGAGTATGTATGCCCAGGCCAGAAGCCTTTACTAGGATTGACGATACTTGCGAAGGACGAGGTGATGACCACATGCTTGACCGAAGGGGCATTCTTCTTAATTGAATTCAGAATTCCTGTTGTTCCAATGATAGCGGGGTCGAGTAGGTCCTTCTGGACATTGGTGACGTTGAAGTGGAAGGGACTCGCAGTATGCAGCACTGCTTCAAATGGTGGGTCAGAAATTACAGCTTTGTCGAATGCGTTCGGCTGCGCGATGTCCGGTACAATGGCGAAATCCAATTTATCCTTGCCATGGTCTGGGTATGCGGCTTTGATCTTCTGGGCTTTTGCTTCGGAGCGAACAGTGGTGACAACTGAATGCCCGTGTTTCAGCAGCACATCGAGAGTATGCGCCGCGATGAAGCCGCTCCCACCCGTGAGCAAAACTCGAGTCATAGTTAAAGGGTCCGGCTATTGAAAACTGGCAAGATGAGGTCGAGGATGCTTCCCCTATCGCAATTTGTATGTACGGCATGGCACCCCACTGCGGGGCTGCCGATGCATCATCGGCTGTTGCAACGCTCTGAAAGCCGGAGCTTGGTTCCCTTGATTATAAAAACTCATTTTTCTTCTCCCTTAAATCCGTTCTCGCTTTCGCGACGCCTTTCCCGCATTTTGGCTTCTGGAATTAGATTCTCGGGACGCCATGTTCCTACGCGCAGTCAATTTCTATCCCCGCTCCATCTGGATGAAGAGCAGCATGATATGCTTTAGGTCCTCGCAGTCTTGGAGTCCGAGATACGAATATAGTATGGGCCCGTACCTTTCTTACTTTCCATGTCTCAAGCACTCGTCCACGTTTAGATGCGAAATACCGATCAACTCCGAATTGACACTGGTTCCGGCTGCATCGAAGACAACCCACACTGACCCTGCATAGGAACATCAATTTATCCATTCGCTTACGCCCAGAAACCGGCACGTGCTTTCGCAGTTCCCGTCAGGGTACTCCGTCTCCGCCCTTGAAAGGCGGGGCAGAGTCTCAAATGAGGGGCAGACTTTTCACTCCTTGATTCCCCCCATAACCCTCTCATCTCTCGACAATTGCCTAGAAAACGATGACGACTGCGAAGAGAAATCCACCGTTTCGTGCCGAGCACTGTGGCTCGCTACTTCGTCCCGACGAGTTGGTGCAGAAGCGATATGACGTTGCGGCGGGGAAAGTTTATGCCTTGGAGCTAGTCCCATTGGAGGACAAGTCGATTGCAGACGTCGTCAAGCTGCAAAAGGACTGCGGAATTCACGTAATCTCGAGTGGCGAATACACCAGGTCAGCCTCGTCTAGCTCTTCTCGTGATATCCATGACTGAGTGGGCTTGCGTTTCGGGACAACAGGCATATGTTTTGGGGCACTTTTTTCGAAGAGCTCAATGGCATGAAAGAACTCCAGCTCGGTGTTCTGAAAGGCTATGATGCCTCCATGTTCCGTGACTATGCGCCAGATGTCAAGTCATTTATGGAATCGAAGGAAATACCAAATGCGGTGACCGTTTGCGTCGGAAAGATATCCCATCCGGGGCATTCAAGCTACCAGCGCGAGGTCGATATCATGAAGAAGCTTCTGCCAGAGAACGAATGGAAGAACATTAAAATTACAATGATCTCGCCGAGCTGGTATCACTTTAGGTATCGAGCGGGCCGCAGCTACCCTAAGGATGTGTATGCGAATGATGACGAATACTTTGAAGACGTTGCAAAGGCATACCAGGCTGAGCTGAAATATCTGCACAGCCAAGGCATTAGGAACATACAGATTGACGACCCAAACCTTGCATGTGAATCTCCCCTGTCTTGATTCAAAATGTATACCACTAAAATTGAGGCAGACTTTTGCTCCAAGGCGATGCTTGATGGTTGGGCCATAGACCAGGGTAACGACAAGACAGCGGATGAGATGTTCGATGCCTACGTCAAGTTCTACAACAAATGCTTCGAGAGACCAGCCGACATGCATCTCGGAATTCACCTCTGCCGTGGCAACTATGTCGGAAGCCGTCACTTCTCCGAAGGTGCGTACGACATCATTGCGAAAAAGCTTTTCCAGGTATGTCCTAATAAAACTTCATCGCCATGAGCGTTCCAGTTGTAAGGCCCTTACATTTAAATAGGACCTCAATGTTGACACTTACTACCTCGAGTACGACACTCCTCGCGCTGGGGGCTTTGAACCTCTCGCCCATCTCCCCAAGAATAAGAACGTTGTTCTTGGCGTAATTACCTCCAAATTCCCGAAACTTGAAGACAAAGATGAAATGATTGCTCGTGTAAATCAAGCAGGGGATTTTATTGCCCAAGGCAGCGGTCAGTCTCGTGAAGAGGCATTACAAAGAGTCTGCGTATCGCCTCAGTGTGGCTTCGCTTCTCATGCCGAAGGCAATGCACTTGGCTATGAAGATATGAGGAAGAAGCTCCAGCTTGTCAGGAGTATCGCTGACCACGTCTGGCCGGGACAACCGTAAGTATTGCTTGAAGTGCAAGATTGATGTAGATGTGGAGAGTTAGCTTGGGGTTTGCGGTGAACTTTGAATGCTGATTTCAACACGGCGTTCTCACAATTAAGGAAGAGTTGTTCGGGTTGGTTCAGGTTCTTGTTCAACATCTTGAAAAGTGATGCAGCATTTCCGGTGTCAATTTCCTTCCTGTCAAGTTATTTTGAGGGCAACGTGGCAGTGCGAGCATTTAAGTGAATTTGAGGGCGGTGGCAAAATGTGATAGTTTAGATATCATAGGGAGGACGTACTTGTATTCTAAAGTATCCCGCAACGGGAGACTTGGAGGAACCTACGAGCTACAAGACGGGTTGGTTTCGATTGCTAATTGATCGGACTGTGTTGCGATCTACTAGGCTGGGTGACTTTGCCATGCATCTGAATGGATATGTCCTGTTACCCCCAGCATGCTCTCTCAAATCCTTCTAGTACGAAACCTCGCGGAGGCGTGATGCTCTCAACTTCGGAGCCCAGATAGATAGTTGCATATGCATCGCCCAGACAGAAGGCCTTCCAGGTTATCTCAGCTAGCTCAGCCGGGGTGATGAGAGGCCCAAAAACCGCCATGTATAGTGTTCCTCTAAACAGAGTATAGCCTAGGGGCTAGAGTTTTTAACCCCTGTAGCTAGCGTTTTTCTTATTAGCTGTCTAAGAGACTTTTATAATTTTCTTTACAAATTACCCTATTTTATAAGCATAATAATAAAATTAAATTTATAATATCTCTACTACTGTCACGGTTATGTTACAGCTATCCAACCCCTGAGTACCCTGGGCTTGGCACGAGGTATATAGGCTCCTCGGCCTCCGTACCTCTGCCTCTGATCCTAAGGTTTACTCTCGTTACCCCCCATATCCTGCATTCCCTCTCTGTGCCTCGTGCTTCCTGTTCGATACCTCTTACATAAAGCTACTATAGTAATCTATAAAGTCTTTAAAACTACACTTGTTTAAAAATATAATAGTAAACTTTTATAATATAACTATATAGCTAACTTATAAAATTAACTAATTTAAAAAACTTAGTTAGTTAACTAACTATTATAAAGTATTAGCTGCCCTTGTTAGTAGAGGAGCTAGTAGGGGTCCCCCTCCTAGTTGCAGGGTCTTTAGGGGCTCCAAGCTTCTCTGCACAGTTGGCTGAGTACCTGAGACAGCTTCCAGGCTGAAGTAGGATCCCGCCTTTCCTTTCTCGGACTAGCGCTCTCCCAGTTCCAAAATTTCGAGCAGGCGCCCACTCCACGTCTTAACTACTTTTAATTTAGCTGTCAGGCATCCGTACCGGGATTATGACATCACGGGCTGACATACTCAATATAAGTTTCCTGGCTTTTCTGTACTATAGTCATTTCCCCTTCCCACATATTTCTTGTCCCTTGAAACCTGAAACCGAAAATGGGCAACCAGGTTCCTAATCTGCCAGTTGAGCTGATTTCACGCATCTTGGAAAATGTTTCGTCAAAAACAACCTTGAAAAACGCTACTCTGTGTTCACGACAATGGTATGACATTGCAATACCACACTTGTATTGCCAAATCGATGTGGGTGAAGGTCATCAAGACGAAGGCGTCGTGAGATCACTAACTATCCTCTTCCTGCGAAATGCCAAGCTCGCAGCACATGTACGACATTTCAGCATACGCCCAGCATTTGATGATGGCCCTGTAGAGCAGAAGACCCCAGAGGATTCGGTTGAAGCCATACTGGCCCAAAAAGCAGACCTTGAGGACGAGATCAAAGCCGCCGTGAAGGTGGCTAGCCAATCCGACGAAGAGCATGCGAAATGGCTCGAACTGATGGGTACTGAAGATGAAGACTGTCTTCTCGCTTTACTCCTGCCAAGATTTACAAACCTTGAAACGTTGGATCTGGAGATACCAATATCTCCCAATTATATCGATCGGTGCGAACCCCCCTAGGAACTTAATATTCTGTTGTAAATTCACTGCAATCACCTGAAACCGCACCCAGACGGTGCTGCAAGATTGTTGCGATGCCCATTGAGGCAGAGTATTGAGGTTCCACGCCTCTCTTTAAAGCCTATGCTGACTTTGTGCCTGGTTCTTCACAGTATGCTGTGGCGAGTCGGCCGCGGTGAGCAGCCTTTCGACAACGAGCCGACATTCGCTCGATTGAATTCGATTGCGTGGTTCCATATCGACAGTAAGGTATGCTATACAAGGACTCTATAAAAATGTGAGGAGGCTGATGTTCGCTTCAAGTACGGAGGGTCTCTCCCAGCTGGATGCTTCACCTTACCCTCAGCACGTGCTATCTACCTGCATCGAATGGGGAGCAGCGATGGAGACGACCCAGACAAAAAGTTATCCCAGATCGAGCATGGGACTTCAGGATGCACACATCTCGAGATGCACGACTGCAGACTCAATGATCCGGACATCAAGAATATAATCACTGTTCCAAAGAAGCTGTCTACGTTCATATACGAAATCGGGTGGGGCCACCTGTCATATTGTTCAGTCAATTTCCAGCCACTTCGAGATGCTCTCGAAGCCCACCAGAGCTGTCTCGAAGATCTCTGGCTGGATTACTCACATGACGGTATCGAATGGTTAGATGACATGGACGGAGTATCATCCATGGCTAGCTTCAAGCATTTCTCAAATCTTAAGCGTCTGCGTATTGCGCCGGATTTTATTTTCGGGGGAAACTTAAGCCTGGAAGAGCAAGGAGAGGAAAGCAGGCAGAAGCTGCTCCTAGAGTTTCTCCCACTCAACGTTGAGACGCTCCACATTACACACGGTGACCAATATGAGGAGATGCTTTACAAGGCGCTCGAGCATCTCCTTACGAACAAAGAATCTTGTCTGCCGGATCTACGAAAGCTCACTTTCGAGACATCGCTTGCTAAGGTCGAGAAAGACCGTGGCGATAGACTCGCCGCCATTCTTCAACTTGCAGAAAAGGTCGGATTGCCAGTGACCTTGTTGAACAACTGGGGAGACGCTAAGTACAGTAATTATGACAGCCGCGTTGAGCGGAAATGGGGTATGGACGAAGATATCGAGTGGAAGCCATGTGGAAGCTACTGCAACGAGCGGCCCGTCTATGAGATCATCGATTTACAACACTAAGAAGCTACAATCGTACATAAAGTATGTGTTATTTCGTATCACTCTAAATAAGTATTCTTCCTGGGCAAAAAAAAGTTTGACATCGAAGTTAATCGTTTCTCAGCTTTCACCCACAAAATTCTGTGAGAGAAGAGTGTCGGAACCTCTGGTAGCTGTTAGAGAAATGAAAGAGAACTGCTCGACTATCACTTATGCAGGGCGAACTCCACTGGCGCAGCAGGTGGTCGGCTTCGAAACAGCGGGAAAGCAACCCTTGACTCTGTACAGAACCCTCCATAAGATTACCTTATTGATGAATCTGAGTTTCGATGACTGTGGCCACCAATAATGCCAAGGTGAACTTCTCGTTAGGACGTGTCACGAGTTAGTAGGAGAAGAGACTGTGACTCTTCCCTTGTGTTGCTCGAGCTGGATAATCTGTGAGTGGACTTCTCTTATCTAGAGAATCTGCGTCATTAATTCCGGGTTGGCATTCGGGAAATATGGTCAGTTTGGTATGCTTAAAGGTCGAGCCCTCGTAGTTCTCTAACCAAAGAAAATACCATGGATCGCCGCTTGCAATAGGTATGTTCATACCCACTAAGTGCCACCAGGGCTTGGCTAGAGGCGCCGTGGTTCTTCGTCCTCAAAGGGTCTTGTACGGAGTGTTGCTGCTCAGACTTTCGCCCTTTCACCTAAGAATTCACTCCCTCTAACCTCTAATTTCTTTCATTAATTCAATTCCTTCTCAACGCCTCTACTTGTTCCTCCCGTTCATTGCTTCCACCGCTGTCTCCAGCCAGCCTCGCACGACACGCCATCCCATAGACCATTTCCAAATCCCGCGTTGTATCGAAATTTCCCTGCAACCACTATGCACAATCATAGCTCTGGAAATAACAGAACCATCAGCAATCCTCCCGAATACTTCCAGGAACCCAGAACCCGCCTCTTCTAGCGCCCTCTGACAATGATGCCGAGCTCTCGCCAGAAGGTGTTTCAGGCTTTAAAACCATGAATCCGAAACAAAATCTACAAGCTTTACCAGAAATTTAATGATATTTCATCCAAGATGATGTAACTACGCTAGGGCCTCGAGTTGAAACGTGAGAGTATGTGAACTACGTGAAGCCATTGCCTATCATGCCTCTGGCAACATCCGAAGCGTGATATGGAACTTTCGGCAAGCTATGATACAACTGGGTACTTCTCTATTACAATTTGAGATCACAAGGGTATGTTGGTGCGGCCGGCTGCCCTCCCTACTGGCGCGCTATTTGGAGTATCCTAAGTGCTGGCCGACTTGTTGACCCACCCGCAAAGGTACTTCGAGCGACAGACCCTCACTCCAGCATCGTTGTCGCTACTGGCGTGTGCTGAGATCACGAATATTTGCTCTACATATTACCTACCAATTATACAAACCCGGCTTTGTCTCCTGCACATCGTTTTGCCATACATGTGTTTTGTACAGTATCTCTAGCCGCTAATAATCCTAGCCAGCAGATTCCATCAAATAGCTAGATAGCACTCCGCTTGTGGGTTAATACAAGAGCCACAAAGTCCACTTGCAGAATCGAGGGCAGCCTTATGTGCGCTTCCAACCCAGTCTTTCTGGTATTTTATGCCCCCTGGAGGTTGGTGGTTCGCGACTTGCGATTGACTCGACAGTAGTCTGCGGTTGGCTGTGTATTAACACTGACTCTCTCTCTACTGCAGTGCTAGTCTCGTCTCCTCTCTTAGCTAAAGGAGTAAGGCCATCACGTAAAATCTGACAGCGCAGGTGATTATCTCCAACCACCTGTCGATAGCCTGAAATGGCTTTTGAATAAAGCAGTCTGGCGTCCTTTACTAGATGGTGACGATCAAAGAGAGAAGTGAGACCCCACATCGTATTTAGTGCCGGTACGAAGTGTGAGATATTTGTTTGCCAAATTGCCTTCTCGTATCCTTCTAGCGCCTGACTGTACATCTTCTCTGCTTCATCTAGCTTTCCCTGTAGAGGTTGCCCAAGTTGTTGACTGTGTTAAGGGTTGATGTGTGCTCTGCTCCTAGTGCCTTCTCATCTCCTTCTAGCGCCCGCATGTACCTCTTCTCTACATCTTCCACCTTCCCCTGGCTATTGTAAAGGTTGCCCAAGTTGTTGACTGTGTCAAGTTTTGACGTGTGCTCTGCTCCTAGAGCCTTCTCCTTTCCTTCTAACGCCCGCACGTGCATCTTCTCTGCATTTTCAAGCTTTCCCGGTCATGATAGAGGTTGCCCAGGTTGCTGACTGTGTTGAGTGTTGACGTGTGCTCTGCGCCTAGTGCCTCTTCATATCCTTCTAGCGCCCACACGTACATCTTCTTTGCATCGTCCAGCTTCCCCTGGCTATTGTAGAGGTTGCCCAAGTTGTTGACTGTGCCAAGTGTTGGCGTGTGCTCTACTCCTAGTGCCTTCTCATATCCTTCTAGCGCCCGAACGTACATCTTCTATGCCTTGTCTAGCTTTCCCTGGTCGTTGTAGAGAATTCCTAAGCTGTTAACTGCCTGTAGTATCTCATATTCTTTCTCTTTCCCACCCAGTCCCGACGCTTCAACCATATTTTCCACCAACTCCTCAATCCTATTTTCGCAGCGTTCTGCATGAAGAATAAGCCGCACCTGGGTCTCTCAGTATTTTTTTGTATCGCTCATCGGCACTGCCAGTCCAACAGTAGTGATTGCTACCCATGACAGCGCTGCTCGCTGACCATCGTCCTGGATGTGCAGCCCACTAGTGCACCACTGGGTGCGTCGCGTAGCCCGTCTGATCCTCCATTTCATCTACCAGAGAGTGGCTCCGGAGCATCCCAATAGCCTTAAAGAACTCCGTCTCGTTGCGAGCTATATCCCAAAGCCATGCTGACGTTCGCTCTGCAACCATGGCAGACTTCCGTGATGCAACCGCACGCAGCCCGTGCCACAGGTTCTTATTGTCTAGCTGCGCCCATAGAAGAAGCAGATTCGCGGCCGCCTCGTTTTTTGCCCGGACAGCGGTGTGCGATATCATCCAGGTCATCGCCACGCTACCGTTCGAGTCGGCCCGTGGCGGGAGGTGTCTCCCGTCATATGGCTCCATCAGCTCTCTCCACTACTCCTTATACAGCCGAGTCTATGTGCCAAAGCTCATGCTGGTTTCGCTCATGTACGCAGCAGCCTGCGTGAGGGCCAGTGGCGGCCATCTAGCAGTCCCAGCAACTCGTCGCCCTCCTGTCCTGTGATAGTGTTACTATATTACCCACAACTGTTTCAGCTAGACTCTGAGATGCTTACCAACTTCTTTCCCATACCATGTCTTGAAGATAGCTCGTGCTCTTTCCTGGTCCACTTTCTTCACTTCCCAAGGCTCTTCAAGCTGCCCAAGATGGGGGAAACGGGTCGTGGTCAGCCTCAGGTATGTACTCACCCACATCATACGCCTCAGTATCCTCCTCGCATCCCCTGTAGTCTCGATCTACGTTGTCCACCACCACCAGCCAGTCGCTGTTGTCCGGTATGCTTAGCCAGCGCAGCACCTCCTTCACGACCGCGTCCGCGTCGCCGCCCTGTCCCGAAGCATACATCCTACTGCTATCTTCGACTTGCCCCGCAGGGATTCGGCTCGCAAAAGCGGTGATACTCCGCTTGAGACTGCTCTCGCTACTCCCATCGAGCCATAACACCGAAGAGAAGCTATGCTGGTGGCGCCGAGAGAAGCCAGCCGCCAGCTGCGTCTTGCCCGCACCTCCAAATCCCTGGACGACTAGTATCCGCCGTCTTTTATCCTGCTTCTTCGGTATAAGGGTTCCCCGCAGCGCTTCTGTGTCCTGTGGCCGGTTCGCAAACTTCCCCACAGGCACGCCTTTGAGACTGAACGGGATGTGGTAGTTGCTTAACCCTCCTGCTGCCTCCGTTGCTCTCACCTCTGTTGGAATGAGGGACAGGACCTCCTTCGCGTACGGCTGCCACACCTTGTTCTTGTGCGAACCAGCGTAGCCACAGATGCCCCGGACCAATAGGCATGGGAAGTCATTCATTAGACCTGCCGCCTCAACCTATTGTATGCAAAGATCAGTAGATTTCCTTAGCAGCACTTTAACGTTCAGGCGTCGCTTTAATTAACTAGGAAAATTAACAATTTTATAAATTTAAGTATAACAACTCTAAAAAAAAAGCCGATAAGTTGTTAATTAAGTTAAAGTTATAAATATATATATAAACACTTATAGTTACTAATAACTTTTTAGTATTATAGAAGCTTATAGAGAAGGCTGCTGTGTGAACAACATTAATAAAAGCCTACTAAAAAAGTAGTAGTTAGCTAAGCTAGTAATTAATAAAAGGCAACAACATAATAACAACATAAGTGTAAGAGGTATCGACTAGGAAGCACGAGGCACAGAGAGGGAATGTAGGATAGGGTGTGTGTAGCAGAGCTACAAGGGAGAGAGTAAACCTTAGGGTCGGAGGCAGAGGTACAGAGGCGGAGGAGCCTATATACCCTGTGCCAAGCCCTTAGCATACTCAGGGGTTGGATAGCTGTAACATAACTGTGACAGCTAATCTATATACACTAGACCTTTTAGCGGCTATAATATAGCGCTAGAAGAAACTGCTTTATAGTTTAGTTAAAAACTAGCTAAGCTAACTAAGAGAGAGATTAAACACATAACTATACTCTACTATTAGTTAATTATTATATTGTAAGGACGGGGCTCCGCACCACTCCGCTAATACAACCAAAAGGTACGAATAATCAACCAACGGTTGATTTTCAGGTGCAGAATAGTATATATACCCGTCGCACGTAAGCGCTATCTCGGCCTTACAAAAGTAGTTTAAGTTTATATAAAACATAATAGTAAAGTATAGTGTTTAAAATAATAATATCTATAACTTTAGCAAAACTAGCTTCTTAATAGGTGTAATTAGTACTATAAAAGTTATTATAAGTTTAGAAAAATGTATAAAGTTTATTCTTATATAGCTAAGTAATTAAAAATAAATTACTATAATCTAAAGCACTTACGCTACTAGCTACACTACACTACTATTTATTATCTATAAAGAATATACTATATAATTAAAAGCTTTTAGTTTATAAAAATTGTTAAATAAATAACAGACTTAGTTTTAAGTAATTAAAGCACTTTAATAAGTATATAAAAGTATATTAAGTAGAGCTATATAAGCTACCTAAACTAAAAATTTATTTACTTATACATTTATTACATATTCTCTAGCTACTTGATATAGTATGCTTTTTACTATTAAAGCTTAAGTACTTTTAGTATAACATATTGTCGCATGCAATTATCCGCCTATATATATTCTTCTGCTGTGCTAGCTAGAAGGTTAACCTTTTAGCGACGCAACACATATTTTACAAGCAAGTAGTTTGTAAGGCCGAGATGGCGCTTACGTGCGACGGGTATATATACTATTCTGTATGCAAGATTAACTGTTGGCTGATTATTCGCACCTTTTTAGTTGTATTAGCGCAGTGGTACAGAGCTCCGTCCTTACATAGTTTATATAAGTAAATAGTCTACCCTAATAAAATTTTAGAACTTTATACTTTGTTAATGAACATTTTCTCATCACAATTATATTTTATGGTTGGGGTGAGCCCTTTTATAAATTTAGCTAGTAACGTACTTCATAGGCGAGTTGCTCACACACCCGAGTCGCTCACTTTTGCTAAGACCCCACCCTAACAAACTCTATTATAGCCCATAACAACCCGCTCTAGCACTATATAGTACAGTACAGCCTAGAATATTATTTAGATACTACTTCTGCTT